GGTGCTAACAAAATATTGCCATTTTCTTGGTTATTTTTATGAAAGTAATATATTTTGCATTGAAAATGACTTGTATGGAGTTGAAGTGTGTCACAGATACACTATTACACCTATAGTATGCCGCATTAAATTTCATACAAAACCATTCACCACCATACATAATGAGATGTTACACCACAAAGTTTTTTTTGCATGATGATAAAGTTTTTCAGGGGAAAAAAGATATATTATAGAATTATTAACCTCATAATTTTCCCCAAATCGACATTTTTCACATATCTTTCCCCTCCCTACCAGCACCCAGCATCTTCCCCTTTCTGTAAAAAAAACCCCCTGAATTGTAAAAGAAATAAATTTGTACTGTGCATCAAAACAAGTTTGTTGACATTGATTTCCCAAGTGCATAATTAGATCAAATGTGTATTAACTGTGAAGAAAGCAATGCATTCCTTGCATATATTTATAGCATACAGGGGTACATTTGTCGTAAATTCAGAATTATTTCCTTATAGAATGCCAATTTCCTTAGCCCACTTCATCTGCTCTTTGCAGGACGTACCTGTTCAAACTTCATTGGCCGCCAAGGAACAAACAGTGTAAACAACAATTACATTTATTTCCATAAAGATTCAATTTAAAGATAACTATTCAACATCTATTGTCTCAACTTGAACATCTCTTCTTAACAAAGATAATTTCAAGGAACAGTGCAAAAAACAAGTACCATTATTGTCATAAAAATTCTAGTTAAAGACCAATATTCAACATTTATTGTCGCAACATCTCTTCCTAACAAAGATTATTTCAAACAACACGTACGTGTTCACTGCCAACTTTTTCAATTTCTGTTGGCCATGCGATTATACCTTTGAATACTTCTATAGTAATACACTCCTAAATTTTTTTCATAACAATGTTAACAATCCATACCGAAATAGGTTTCTAATAGAAGGCCGAGTTGACTGGTCCGAGTCAGTATAAGTCCAAGTTGATCCTTTGCGGCAAAAAAAAACCACAAAGGCCATGAAAATCACAGGCGAATAAACCTTGAATATTTATAATGACCATGTCAACATTTAGGCACCTTACCATGTCCGCCACACATGCCAGTACTTAGAGTAGAGAAAATTACTAAATCGACAAAAAACCACCGTTCCAACAAAAATTAGGCCTGAGAGAAAGTGCTACCATGGATTTATATGAATTTTGGTGGTTTCGTCAAACTACTGTTTCGGCGGACTAACATTATGAAAAGGTGCGAAAGAGGTTTCGTCAATCTTATTTTATAATTAAAGGCATAGTAGGCATGGTTCATGTATATAAAGTGGTTTTATCATCAATATGTTTGTTGTAATCAAATTATGACACAAAATTTCATTAATGAATAGAATACATTGAAGAAGTATGTCTATTTATTATACCTATTTTGATAATGATTTGTTCTTTATTGGATTAATTCAGTAAGTTTTGAGAAAAAAAATATTTAAAAAAAAAAAACATTAAAGCTTCATTTGACGCCTGGTTGATGTAATGACTACTTCCCAACTACTGAGATTATGCACCCACAATCCAATAACTTCAACGACAGGATTTATGAGGACAGTTTTTAGGTTTTATATTGAGTGATGAATAAAGAATGAAAAAAGATTGTTGTTGTTTATTATGTAAAATAATTGACTAGGGATGTGCGGTATTACCGGTATACCGGTATACCGCGGTTTCGTTCAGACGCGGTACGTACCGGTACGACCCCTAGGAATACCGGTTTTTTAATATATATAATTTTACATAATATTTTTGTAAGATTCGGACGTTATTTACCCTGTAATCTGTGTTTCAACTTTCAACCTAAATTAAAGTGGAATTCCAAGTCTATTTTTAGAGCAGCAGTAAATGCACAGTATAATACTCTAACGAATAATTAGTCGCGGAAAGGTCGGATCGTTTCCCGGTTGTTTTTCATATTTATTATGTAGTGTAAATACATTTCATCCGCCGACATTTTTATAATTTCTATATATCATTCTTCATTTAAATGCATTAAAAGGGGACACCCATGTTAGTGCTCAGTCTAAGGCTAGTAAACATGTTGACGTATTGACGAGTGGCGACAATAACAAAACGTAAAGCATTTAGACATAGCCCAACTTGTAAACAGCTCATACCGTCATGGACGAATTCACCACGGTCAAAAATCCAAAGGGGAAATCGGATATTTGGAGGCATTTTGGGCTCCAAAAGTCTAAAATAACACAGAAATTAATTGATAATACAGCCGTATGTATGAAGTGTGATATTCTTTCTTTTATTTATTATTTTCCAGTCAGGTAGACAGATGTTAGTTGAAAGAAATAAAGATATTAATCTGTTTTTCTAAAATGTATTGTGTTTTATCAAAATGTTTAAACATTCTTATGGCAGTTGGTCTTAGTTTGCATAAGTTAAACATTAAAAAGTGTCTTCATAATACCGTGGTACATACCGCGGTACACAGGTGAAATACCGCGATATACCGCGGTACAAAAAAATTGGTGGTACCCATCCCTATAATTGACTCTATATAAACAATTGATACAGGCATAGCTTAAGGTCTTCAGCGTACCAGTTTATAAACTATGACATGCCGCATCAGATGAAAAACAAAAATGTTAAAGAGCTGCTTATAAAGTTTTGGAAGCCAGAACTAATACAGGCATAGTATTAAAGAGAATCTACTATGTTTTTTTTTACACTCTATATAAACAATTGATACAGGCATAGTATGAAAGAGAATCTACTATGGTTTTTTTTACATAATAAACAACAACAATCTTTTTATCAAGTGACAGTAACCAATTATTTTCCTTTCTGTTTATGTCATATAACAAAGAGTCCAAGTTCAAAAGAAATATCTTTATATTTTCCCTGGTATTGTGATTTCCTATGCCATAAGCCTGATAGGCATTTTCACCAGCCACATGACCGTCAAACATTCCAGAAGAAAAGAAAAAATTACAAAATCGACTAAAAACCAACGTTCAAACAACCATATGACCGATAGAAGGCGATACCACGGATTTATATAATTTGCCCCACAGGGGGCCCACACAGTGTTTGGATGGTATATACTGCTTGATAGTGACCTTAAAATGAGATTTTAGTCATAACCTTATAATATGTATATAAATATAGACAAGGGGCATTACTCGCTAAATAGAGAATTTTCGATCACCCTCAAATTCATGCGAGATTTTCCACTAATTAAATAAAAAAATTCAAAAAACTATACTGCGTTGCATAGCTTATATAATCCACAATTGATAAACACTAACTCTTTTCTGATTCCCTGAGCCCATTTAAAAAAATTTATTCAAAACCGTTCACTTCTGTCACAAAATTGCTTAGTCGTACGAGATGTCGCAACACCAAATTCCACGGGTAAAATATCAATTTTAAAAGGGGTAGGTACAAATAAACGCATGCAAACAATAACACAACATAGTTTCTATTACCTACCTGCGCAAATAGTCGTGAAGCGCTCTATATTCGTCTGTTTTGAACGAAATCTTCAAATCAGAGCAGAAATCTGCTTCGACGTAGACATCTTGGGGAAACCCCGGTCACGTCACAAGCCGGTGTATCGAGACCTTTCATTGGTTCGGTAGGAACTTTGTTTATAACGACAACCAATGAAAGGTTTCCATTCACCATGACCAGAATTTCCAACATGTATTCGCCGAAGCAGATTTCTGCACTGATTTGAAGATTTCGTTCGAAACAGACGAATATAGAGCGCTTCACGACTATTTGCGCAGGTAGGTAATAGAAACTATGTTGTGTTATTGTTTGCATGCGTTTATTTGTACCTACCCCTTTTAAAATTGATATTTTACCCGTGGAATTTGGTGTTGCGACATCTCGTACGACTAAGCAATTTTGTGACAGAAGTGAACGGTTTTGAATAAATTTTTTTAAATGGGCTCAGGGAATCAGAAAAGAGTTAGTGTTTATCAATTGTGGATTATATAAGCTATGCAACGCAGTATAGTTTTTTGAATTTTTTTATTTAATTAGTGGAAAATCTCGCATGAATTTGAGGGTGATCGAAAATTCTCTATTTAGCGAGTAATGCCCCTTGTCTATATTTATATACATATTATAAGGTTATGACTAAAATCTCATTTTAAGGTCACTATCAAGCAGTATATACCATCCAAACACTGTGTGGGCCCCCTGTGATTTGCCCGTGGCGCTACGTAGGCTAAATGCACAAACTATTTACTACTTTTAATCACTTTATGAAAAATATACAACCTTCACAGCAAACAACAATATAAAACATAAGCAAATAGAACAAAGACAGATATATACAAACAATAACAAACCAACCATTTCTTCCCGCCAAAAAGTCCTTTGTTCTGCAAGCCAGCTTGTAATTAGGTCACCTAGACATTCTTAATCATAGCTAACACGAACTGACAATGGGAAATCAAGCAGATCATTAAATAAACACTAATCTACAATATAAATAAAGCATAAAAATTCAATACTTACAGTTTAAACTTGCTAGTACATTTAAATTATCGCTCTGAAATAAACCCTCTATCTTCCTTAATGGCTGCCTGTTTGTTGATGTTTTTTCATTGGCTTACATTGTCACGTGATCAAATCAACATAGGTGTGGACTAAGTTATTTCCATTGCAGTTCTGACTTTAATTGTTTTAATCACAATTTAATCCCCGAAAAAATATGTTGAAACAATTCCAGAATTAACAAAAATCTTAAAATTACCGAAAACATTAAATGTTATATAAATTGTAAATAAAGGTTTTACATTTCACCCCTAAATAAAACATAATGGACTCAACCAAAAACAAGCGTCTCTCTCTTTATTTAATGATGTATTTACATGACCATGATCAACACATAAATCCCAGACCAATTGTAAGACGAAACTATTGTAAAAATAATACTATGACCACAGCAGATTTCGTACAGAAAAAAACGTAGGAAAGCGTACCGGATTTCGACTTTCTGATATATGCGAATCATCCAGAATGGATGGGCTTTCGACCATATCATCCGTTTCAATGTCTACCAATATACACGAACTTCCGTTTTCCATAGATACGTCATCTTCTATTATGCCAGAGTCACCCTGATCAATTTCTTGTGTAGTTTTCGATATGCTGTCCATCCAGCTGTCAAATTCTGCGGCATTAATAAGGTTATCTGATGTATTACTGTGTTCAATTGCTGAAACGTTTTGCAATACATCTTCGCCTGTAAAGGATACTTGACTTTCGTCTGTTTCTGTCGAACCCTTAGCTTGACAAGTTTCCTGCGACGATTGGCGCGTTTCTTCGATGAGATGCTTTTCAGATGATTGTGTTGTCTGGTTAAGCCAAGATTTCGAAGGTCCAAAATCTTTGTCTGTCAATTCAGAATGTGTTGATATGTGATCATGTGATTGTATTGGTTCAAATGCTCTCGCGTGATCTTCGAATTGCCTTGATTCCATTCTGATTTCTATTCTGGCTTCCATTTGTATCTTTTTTCGTAGACCTAGATCGGTACAAAAATGGATTTTAAATCACTTGAATAATACAATTACTCCTAAATAAAACAGAATATGACAAATGATTGTCTGCGTAAAACTTTAATGTAGAAGTTATTCCTTATTATATCAGATATAGAAATTAGCTGTTGGTAATCGACGATGTGGGATAAGGGTTAAAAGCTATACATGTATTATATTTTAAAAGTTGTTTGCATGCACATTTAAGTAAATATGTCATTGAATTTTGCGGACTTGATCCAATCGTCCTGTCGGTAGATAGTCACTTATTCTACCACGAGCAGCATGTATCCCTAATGAACATATAGAAGGACCAAAAATGTGTGTAAATATGCAATAACATCACTGTTAACGATCTATTTACAGACATGTGACGTAACCATTAAAATGCGAAGCGCTGCAAATAAGAACGGAAACAAATCAGGCACAATTTAGCTTGATATCAGGTACGGCAGCAATTTTTTGTTGATTTCGTGTTAGAATCGAAATAATATATCCCAAGCAGTGGTTTTATCTCTACATAAAAATCACTGTTTGTCGTTCGGATGCGCAGCATTATATCACATATAATTCCAATCTCCACGTAGTGATCTCCCCTTCATCCTTCGGCATATTCTTACTGTCCTGACAAAGGGAAGTAAAAACTGCTAGGAGTTTAATATAATTTCCCGCATTCGAATCACTGTTTGTCGTTCGGATGCGCAGCATTATATCATACATAATTCTAATCTCCAAGCAGAGATCTCCCCTTTTTTCTTTTGGCATATTCTTACTGTCCTGATAAAGGGAAGTAACCACTACGAGAAGTTTGATATGATTCCCTGCTACTGAATCACTGTTTGCCGTTCGGATGTGCAGCTTTATATCACATATAATTCCCTGTAACTGAATGACTGTTTGCCGTTCGGATGTGCAGCTTTATATCACATATAATTCCCTGTAACTGAATGACTGTTTGCCGTTCGAATGTGCAGCTTTATATCACATATAATTCCCTGTAACTGAATCACTGTTTGCCGATCGGATGTGCAGCATAATATCATTTATTATTCTCGTATTTACTAAATTTCAAACTACAAGTCCTGTATGTATAAATTTTACTTGTATATCCACGTTAAAAATCGAAGTAAGACTTATATAAATCTAACAGCGTTTACACTTCTAGGAAAAATCAACGCCTCGTGTCTATATATGTGTTTTATATTATTAACATATAATTATGTGCATATTATCAATGATTTTTGCAGACAAAAATATCATTATATCTTGATTAGATGTCAATTTCAGATTTAATGACATATTAAATATACGAGTATATATATATATATAAAGTTGAAATATGAATGTAATATTATGTTATTCTAGGTATGAATGTATAGATAAGACAGAAATAAACTTAAATACTTTAATTTGAAAAAAAAAATTATGTAATTCCTCGCATCCGAACACAATACAGTGATCTTTTGTAGCGGATAAAATCACCGTTGGGAATATACATGTATTACTTCTTAAATAAACATTTTCGCATACCGAGACAATACCATTTATTTCAAAGTCTACAAACAAGTAACTGATCATGTTTATAAGAAAGGCCCATTATGCCTTAGAAATGCTATCATTTTTACATCTCAAAACTAGTTTAAATTTGGTTTCTAATGCTACAGTTTCCAAAAAAAACAACATACTTATTTGTTATATACATGTACATGATCTATCGTTTGCATCTTTAGCTCTGATGGCAATTGGTATAATTAATTATATAATGTTTTTAGTAAGGAAGTCAGATACTACTTTTTTTTACATTTTGCTACCTTTCAACACATAACTGCGGGTTCAACGCTTCCTTTTTTTCAGCTGTAAAACATCTCATATTTTCTTAATCAATTTATTTAAACATTATGAAACATGTGTGTGACATGTCTATGAAATAAATATATGTGGATTTTTGAGGCAAAATTAATAGATGAACATATGATCTTATCAGATGACCAAGCAGACTTTCAGAGCATACATAATTATGCAAAATGCGACAATGGCTTATACATATGGGAGGGGTAACCGGGTGGGCATTAAACCCTGTGGTCCAGTAGCAGTAGAATAATAATTGAACTTCAACTTTCAGGTAAGTCTCGTTCAATTTATTAATTCTACTGCACTGGACCACCTAGGGTTAATGAGATTTTAGAGACCATGCTCGCATTTTGACAAGTCGTTAAAAATTCATAACCAAGTAAAATGATTACGTATTCAATCTACGACTATTAACTTTTCAAAAACTGAAAATATAATGCACAAAATAAAGTATGCAATAGCCATATACATAAAATGCTGTAAAAGTAACAATCATTATAAAAGAATACTATTCCCTAGCTATTGCTACTGTGTTGAAAAGGTCATAAGGCTTGACCCCTGCTGCAATGTTACATTGCATAATTTATATTGCTTATTGTAAACAAGTTTGACATTAAATGGTATACACATATACCACGGTGATAGGGCGATTACCACAACTTTTCCGCGCAACGTCAAAATATCTTACTTCTGTCTGAGACACCGTATATTTCTGTGGTACAAAATGGACAGCAAGTCTGTAACCGAGACGAAAACAGCAGATAATTTGCTCAAAACAAGGTAAAATCATCATTTTTTTCTTTTTCATCGAATGTGCCATTTAATTTGAAACTTATTTATCCTTACTACATGCAAAATGCTTCATTAATTAAGTCAGGATAGTGAAAACATTTAGGGCATACTGAAAAAAATCTTGCTTTGATTACGAAATATAACGTATTTCTAGTCCGTTCAGTTCATATAACTGGCCAAAATACAATATAAATATGTACATTGTTGTCGTATGAACATGTTACAATACATAAATAACCCGTTTTTTTATATTTGGTACGATTTTTATGTTTCCACGTGTGTATTTTAAGGCACCGCACAACTTTGTCAATCATAAGATTAGGGCACCGCATTCTTCCTCCTTAAAATCACCGCATTTTTCTGATTTTTTTAGCACCGTTTATTTTTTTATATTAATGTTTGCTTTCAGAAAAAGAAGACGTTCAAACCTATGTCTGAACAAGCCAAAGCAACGTGCGAAATTTGCAAAGCTGCATATACTTCCAGAAGATACTGCAGCAACTGGAGAGCGCCCAACTAAGTCTTCTGATATCAGCAGTGCGCCAATGGATCAGCGCCTCCCTGTTTTTCAGGACGATATGCTTAACGCACCTCATTAGAGTCAAACTTTCGCAAAAGATTGTTTAATAAAAGCACATTGGAGACCATGACTGAAGAGATTATGGAAATATTGCCCGGGTTCCTGCAAAAACTACACCATGAAAATTTATGTTATGACTTTTGCAACTTTATCAAATTAGTATGCAATAAGAAATTCCCATTAAAAATATTTCATTCCTTTTTTTCTCGATGTTGTAAGATGGTATAGTCTGCCAAGAACTTCAATCTTTCCATGTGGGGTTTATCAGTTTGAATAAGTTCGAAAAGGAAAAGACATCCTTATCTATATATAGATACATTGCACTTATCTATAACTGGTAGTATTAACACAGATCAGACCTTCTGAAATTTTCCATAACATAACGTATGATAACAGCAACATAACGTAACAGCAAGTAAACAATCTTCATCAAATGAAACATATTTGTATGAAGATTGCATAATTCAAAAGAAGACGGTGGCCAGTATTTATCGGTCTAACGGAAAAAGAATGCGGTGTTTGAATTCAGTGTTGTACGGTGCTCTAATATTCGGGTCAGTAGGCCTTTTTTCAACATATATTCCCTGAAATTTACGATAGAAACACACAATTTTGCATGGAACTTGAACTTAGGGTTAACCATAATAAATATACGAGCTCGTTAGGTCATAGAACAAAGACATCGTCGTTAAACACACGTTTTTGTGACAGGTACGAGTCATGTTGAGGTACACACGATATTTTGTAAACACTATTTCTTCGAAGTATGTGTTTTTTTGTGAATTGTATTGTGCTAGATTAACGATAAATTGTCTCAAAAATTCGATGGAATACTTAAACAATTGGAATAATCTTGCAATATCCAGCAGTAAGATATTTTGTAAGCTATAACCTGGAATTTGTTTATCCCGCCATTAATATTTTGTCCAGAAATATACGGTGTCTCGGTCAGAAGGATGGTATTTTGACGTTGCGCGGAAAAGTTGTGGTAATCGCCCTATCACCGTGTATACGTGTAGCATAAAATTCTTTCACATGTAGTGATATTCGAAGTTTTCTATGGTTTAAAAGCAACACATTTATGCTTTTAATTATAATTTCTTTAGGCATGATTTCTGATATCTTGCAAAATCAGTGTTTTGAAATTACTGATCTGCCCATTAAGCCTAAACCTGCCATTATTCGTTTATATTATTTACATTCCCTTTTTTTTCACATTCTGTACTATATTTACTCCAGATTAAAGTTAGATTATAAGTAAATCACATGTTTTTAATGCATTATGACACCAGTATAAAATGCATTTTCCCCCCTTTTTTTTAATGGAAATTGTGATTATTTCTGAGGCTTAATCTGTTTCTTTAAAAGAAAGAGGTATCACGGGTTTCCATCACAAATATCTAATAAAGATTAGAATGCCATAAAAACCACATACGATTTGTGTGTGTGTGTTTTTTTATTTTTTGTTTTTTTTTCTCTTTTTTTTGTTTTTTTTCAAACCTTTCAAACATCTCTCTCGCAATTATATAATGCCAAAGACGTATATATGTGAGGAACTCACATTACATGTTTTCTTCAATAAACACATGTATATTATTTTCAAAATCAGCTCTGTATTGCAGTTACAGTACATGTTTCTATGGTTCACGTTTTCGATTCCACTCGATACAGGATAGAATATAATGAAACAAACAAATGAATTTGTTCATATTTCCTGAATTATTAATATTATTATTTTTGTTCGGAATCAATCAATCGATTAATTGGTTAATTAAGTCAGTTGTTTGAAAACAAAGCCCCAAACAAGTAATTCTATGACCATGCCATTTGGTAGAATAATCTGCTTAGTGTTTTCCTTTCCCGGGCAATGACGAGTACTGTACCACATCTACATATAATGATAAGTACATTATTAACTTATCTGCCATTTCTTTTTCAAATTTTATAACATTTTTAGTTTACTAATTAACATGCAGACTATTAAGCTACACACGGTCAGAGTGCGAGACATTTTCGTTTTACGTTAAACATAAACAAGAACTTAAACATTTTTCAATAATTGAAGTTTACGGACTTTTGCTATATCTTGATACGACCATTTTAATTATAATTATAGTTATATAATTATAGAATATTTAGTTCGCGTTAATTTTATTTGAAATATATCTAAAAGTTACCTTTTTTCTCTCTATAACTCCGAAAAAAGTATCTTTCAGCAAAAATGGATTTAATTTCAGTTAACTTCCCTGTTAGAGACGGGCTAATGTTTATCAAGCGGATATTTATCAACGTTAATCCTAATTTTCCGAAAATACTTCTCGTGACCGCTTAATGATTCGCAAACGACTTTCGGTAAACCAAAGGGTCATTTGGTATTGCGTTGGTGTGGTCAAGTTTGGCAATATTGTCCACATTTTGCTTCCGAAATCTGTATTTTTCTAATTCACAAGGAATGTCAAACGTGTGTTTAATAATGTTTTAATTATGGATTTGGTGCGTGTTAGATGTTTAACAACTGAAGAAAGTTGCGCTGAACGTGCAGTTATGCATCGTATAAAGGTAGCAAAATGTAAACAATGTACATGTGGTATTTTGAATTCCATACAAAAACCTAATTCCCTGTAATTATACCAATTGCCAAAGAGCAAAAGAAGCAAAAGATAGTTCATCTATATGGGAAATAATTTTTTTATTTGAAACATACAAAGATACTAAAATTAAAATGATTGTGAGAAATAAAAACAACAACATTTCTGAGGTTTCATAATGGGCCTTTAATGTTCGGGAGTTCTTTTGTTTGTTTTTTGTTTTTGTTTTGTTGTTGTTGTTGTTGTTTTGTAAATTAGTTTCCGAAATGTATTACGATTTGACCATTTATTTCTAATGATAGTCAAATTCTCGAACATATTACGACCCGATGGCCTAGTGGTAAGTAGAATATTGCAAGGTAAAATCGCGAAGTTGCAGATTCGAAACTATTTATTTTTTTTATATTTCTTTCACTATTTTTAGTTATATGTAGCATTAATGGATAAATCATTTGATTATTTCCCGGCGTGTGCGTGTTCTATGTTGTTGTTTTTTCCCTATAACTTTGATATACATGCCGATATGTATTTTTTATAATTTTGATATGTATAATGTCGAACAATGGTTTATTGGCATGCACAAAACATAAGAGAGGTAATTAAGTTTTGCAAAATAAAGTAGAAAAAGAAAATATTAAAAAAAGATTGAGCCGCGTCACGACAAAACCAACACAGTGCGTTTGCGACCAGCATGGATCCAGACCAGCCTGCGCATCCGCGCAGTCTGATCAGGATCCATACTGTTCGCTATCAGTTTCTCTACTTGTAATAAGGTTTGTAAGCGAACAGCATGGATCCTGATCAGACTGCGCGGATGCGCAGGCTGGTCTGGATCCATGCTGGTCGCAAACGCACTATATTGTTGGTTTTGTCATGACGCGGCTCAATTGTTGTACTATACCTTCAAATTGAAACTAAAAGTTTTTACTCCTTGTCACACAATTCCGAACAAAAATATAATAAAAAAGTATAAAATTATGTAAAATAGCTTTTAATAAAAACACAAAAGATTTATTTATAACTTTTTGCCAAAATTGTCATAAGAAGACAAGGAAAAGATGATTTTTTAAGAATCCTCTCTTGCGATCAGCGACTTGACATTTAGGACAATAGTAGCATATATGGGTCGGTTTCACGTGCTGCGAACGCGCGGCGGCCATTTTGGATTATAGTTTGAATGCGATTATGTAATCTATTGTCAGTTTGGTTTTATAGTATTTATGTCACACTGTACTATCTTTACAACATGATAGTTGTTATTATATTCCATGGATTCTTTTTTTAAAAACAGGTTTTAAATAGTTTGGACTTGTCGGGCTGTTGAATTAACAGTCAATAATTATTAGCTTTAACCAGTTTAAGAATGTTGTTAAGTTGAGACTAGAAGATCAATTTGTTCATAGTACAATAGAAAATTCACCCATTTGTTTAGTATATCAAATATACAAAAATGTGTTCTGCTTTGAAAATTATTTAGATATCCTGTCTATTGATTTAAATAAAAATTTATGTAAATTTAGAACAATTATTTATTGTCTGCCAAAAAAAAAGTGGTCAGCATCTTGGTATTCAGCGACATCTAAGAAAATGTACTTTTTGTGATAAAAATGTAATTGATGATGAGTTTCATTATCTTTTGGAATGTGTTCATTATAATGATAATATAAATAGATATAGAGATAGGAGTTATCGTCATCATCCACGCGCGTTTCAGTTAGATCAACATAATTATGAATTGTAACAGAAAATCAAAATTAACCAAATTAGCATTGTTTTTGTAAAGTTAAAGTCTCTTGCTGTTGTTATTATTGACAAAACAGATCAAGTTCATCATCTAATTACTTTTCATTCTATCACTCTGATACCATTATTAATATTATAAACAAATTTCTTAATGTGTATTTGCACTTGTCAGGGCAGACTGGCAGGCATAAGGGGTTGGATTTAGGGTGGAGAGTTTATAGGGCTGTAAACTGTTAAAATGAGCGTTTCTCTCTCTTTAATTCTTTGTTGCCGTATTTTGTATTTTGTCACTTTCTCCGAACAACTTTGACAAATTCTTTTATGTTCTCATCGAATGCATATTATATCCCTGGTGAATGAATAAAATCTTGAAAATCTTTAACTCTTGCTTTTATAGCATTTATATAGATACTTAATCAAGTAGTGTGTATTATATAACTAATAGACGCGTTCTATAACTAAAGGGATTAGAATATAATACGGCACAGGGAAAATAGTATTTCGATCGTAAGTCAGATTATCTATACATTAGACGTGTAATATACATGGGACAAAAAATAAATGAATAAAATTTTTGTCACAGATTATAACTATGACAAAAGGGGAGATATTTTTTCGGAAAGGTGTTTTGTTGATTCATGTAATTAATCGGTTAAAAGTACAGATAATGATTATGCGTTTGGAGAAAAAATGGTTTAATTAAAAGATATTAATATCTAGTGTACATATTTGTTCTTCTTTGATTTTGTATAAACATATAAAAACCGATTTTAGCAGGTCTAAATACCTGGATATTGTTGACTCTATAAAATTAAGAAATACATTAGCTAGACTCAGATTATCATCACACAATTTATTCATAGAAATAATATTAATAGAAGTGACCGAAAATGTTCTATTTGCAACAATAATGACATCGAAGATAAATATCACTTTGTATTAATTTACTCTTTGTATGATTTTCTTAGGAAACAGTATACATTTGTATATCAAACTATTTTGCAAGAAACCCTAGCTAACATATTAAAATTTTTAAAATTGCTGAAAGGAAGTCAATGTTAACAAAATTAGCTATATATTGTAACAAAGCTTTAAAATTAAGATTTGATTCATTGAATGTCGGATAATGATATATAATACCACCTTGTTGTATTGTTTAAAATTAAATAAGGATTGTATATATTACATGTGTTGCATTTAACACTCGCTAGTTTATTTCAATTATTGATATATATATGATTTACCATTTTTCATATTCATACATGTAATTAGTGTCCAGCTTTATTTGTCATCCAATGAAAACGCTGTATTTCTTAAAAATTATGTGTGTTAATTTTCATAGAAGAAAAAAAGTAGATACTATATTGAAATCCGTTCATAGTCGCCTTCTATTTTTCATAGTGCTTCATAGTACCGCGTAGTGACGTAATCAAGGGCCAAATAAAGCTTGACACTAAATATGTTAGTGTTCATCCTTAGCTGTTCTACAGAATTAGAAACATTCTCCTGTCTCTAATGCTCCCGTCGAAGTTTCTAATTTCTGTAGAACAGCACGGATGAACACTAACATATACTTAGACGTGTATTATAACTTGGACAAAAAAAGTTACAGGTTAATAGTATAACTATGAAAGGTGTTTTGTTAATTCGTGTAATTAATTGATTAAAAGTACAGATAATGATTGCGTTTGGAGAAAAAAAAACGAATTTTAATACCAGCAATAAAAACGTAATCATTATCAAATTTTAGTTAAATATAAACGATACAATTGTGTATAATTTTGATATTAAGTAAAGTGTGGTGCGGGGTTTAAGGAGGAACTGGAGGGGTAGGTTAGGGTAGGTTTCCATGTCCATTATTATTTTTTAACAAATAAAACACTTTTGTGTCGCACATTACTCTACGGAAGCATGGAGAGGACATAGTCGATTTATTTTAATAATCTGTGGGAACAACTTATTTGTCGAAATATTTTTTATTAATCTGTGGGAACAACATGTTTTGTGAGAAAAATCTTTTTTTATTCTGTGGGAACAACATATTTTGTGAGAAAAATCTTTTTTTATTCTATCGACTATGTCCTCTCCATGCTTCCGTATTACTCAGTTGTGAAATAGTCTGTTTAATTTTTTAGTAATTATTTATTTTTGGTATTTATTTAAAAATCCTTTTGGCATCATAAACACACAACTCAGTAAGTCCGTTTTTTCTGTTTTTAATATAGTTTCCTTTTTTATATTTACACCAACAGTTCCGACCGGTCAAAATAACAAATATATATGTATATGTACATTAAAATGCACCGCAGAAAACTGCGGCACCAACACTTTACATGTTTACTGTATAAATGTCTGAATCCTTCTATATTTAAAAGTTTTTTTTTTATTAATACAAAAATAATTGTAACAAAGGTTTCAATAATTAACCAATGAAAAAATGACCCTTAACAGGAAAATATTAACCAATGAAAATACATTTTATTAAATATGAAATTAAATATTTGACCAATAAAAATGGTTCGATTAAGATTGATTAACACGCCAGATGTCAAAAGTCAGCGGCCTGTTAATTCCTTTCTTTAAGTCAAACAGATAATTAGATAAGAAAACTTTAAATAAATGTTGTAGATAAAATTAATGATAATAATTATGTTGTTATACATGTGACGTAAATAAACATAAATGTGTCAGACACGTAAATTGCAATAAACATGTTAAGTATGAATATTGAAGAAAAAAGAAAAAATAGTTTATTTCGGTAACTTATACATGTACAGTATCTCGTTACATACAATAATTACAAATATAATAATTCTGTGGTCACATGACATAGGCAAAGAAAAAATAATAATAAGAATATAAAAAGTTTTAACTGATGACATTCTAACGGAGAACAGACAGCTGCAAATAAAGGAACAAAAAGCATCACAATTTCATTATCATTCATAGAAATAAAAAGTTCCAGTAAGAAGAAAAACACCAAAAACAGAAAAGACGTGACAATAACAGCGTCAAAAGTATAATATTACATGTATCTTTCTAACGATAATAAGGATAATAAGTTGAACCAATTAACATTTCAAAATGTGTTATGAATTAACAACGGATAGTAACAATTCTTGTCGCTTTTTATTAGCTACATCTATATATTTTCCTAAATTTACAAGTATAGCTTTATTATCTGATTGTAGTAAATCTACTAATTTATACATAGAAGGTCTAATATAGTAATAACGCTTGATAAATCTTCTTCGAATATCTTGATAACATGGACAAACTAAAATAAAATGATACTCATCTTCAATTTCTGGTAAGTTACATAATTGGCATAATCTTTCATTTCTTTGTGTTCTATTACGTCCGTATCTACCGATAAAATTGTGATTTTGGTCAAATTAAAAATATTTATTAGAATTAATCTGTTGTTTGTTATACAGAATAAAGATATTCATTTTAAACAGATTCCGATTGAGTAAAAATGATAATACTGAACTATACTTTTACCAAAAACTGGAATAAGAATCAGAAATAAATAACGAATCATTATGTAATGAATGTAAAAGAATTTAATATATTGTTTTATTGAAATGATAAAAAAACCAATTTCAAAATCAAACAAAAAAACGAAAAATGCATATTTCGTTATACGGCTTATCCAGTTTCGTTCTAACGATTAGGAAACTCCTATAAATTGCTAACCAATCAAATGCTAGCAGGAATTATCTAATCAGTGGACTTATTTGCGTATATATGATAGGGTTCCGTTTGAATGAATAAATGAATGAATGAATGAATGAATGAATGAATGAATGAATGAATGAATGAATGAATGAATGAATGAATGAATGTATGAATGAATGAACGTTTACATATTTCAAACGATACTGATAAAGGATATACATGCAGTTCAGATTTAAATCCACGTCTTGGCGAAAAAGATACTGCACGTGTAAAAGTAAAAACCAATACAAAAAGTCAATTCATATTTTTTGTTACAAATGTAGGAAATTTTTTAATTAATTTATAATTAAGAGGAGTCACGTGTGTTAATTCACTTTTTTTTTCGGAAGACAGAAAGTGAAAGTACATAAAGTTTTTGGAAAATACGTTTCGTGACCTCGTGTTAACACTTGACATTAAGTGTATTCATGTATAACTCATGTCAGATATGGAAGCCTTGGAGGGTCATAAATCAAAAGTCATAAATCAAAAGTCATAAGAAAATAGTAAAATAAATCTATAAGTCGAAACTCAAAAGTGACCCTCCAAGGCTTCCATAGATATTAGCTACTGAGTATCAATGGTCTAACTCATTAAAAATGTTTGTTGAAAATAAATGTTTCCGTATCGAGCAAATGAAAACTCAGCCATATTATGCCGGCCTCCATATTCCCAACTGAAACGCGTAGTGACGTAAATCATGCATATTTATAAGGTCAAATCTAAAGCCACCCTGGTCATGACGTAATAAAGTGAATATTAATGAGGCCAAATAAAGTTTGGCTATTCATCCGTAGCTGTTCTACAGAAATAAGAAACATTTCCGGTCGCTATCGCTCCCGTCGAAGTTTCTAATTTCTGTAGAACAGCACGGATGAACACTAACATATACATAAAATATGTTCTGTTCTGTCAAACTTAGTTTATTGTTTTTCTCATTTTAATAAGGCATTATTAAGCGATCATTGTGCCTCTTCTGACGTGGATTAAATTCTTTGATAACGCCTTTCATAGTTTGTATTTTAAATGTATATCGTTTTTAAAACGTAGAATGCGCAGTAGGTTCCATACACTTTTTGATGAAAAATGTTTGTAGTTGACCATTATACAAGAGATATTCCTTCTTATTAAAACTATCTTCAACGCAATAACTTCAAACGGAGACAAAAAATTCGTAAGGCTGTTGCTTAGGAAAATAAAATATTTTCCTGGTACATCACTCGTATATGTGTTCGAAATCACGAAAAGACCCTTTTAAACAATTCATTGGATCGCAGTGCACACTGTCATCGGGTATTTTTGCGATATATATTCTGAATGATAATTGTTCATATTTAGAATATCAGGTGATAATCGTTTAACCTCCTACTTAGCAATTTCAGTTGCCTGTGTTACGGGCTTATTTTATTGACCATAGGACGTTGTGCACATCGAAGCTTTTCTCTTTCATGTAGTTCATGTAGTATTCAGGCCGGAACATCATCAAGTGGAATAAGCTGTGCTTCTTAGGCCGATTTGGGAGCGTTTTTCCCTTCTTTTTATTTTCATCCAGTTTCTAATATTATTGTGAATGTTTATTTGTATATCCTCAATGTATTATATACAATATAGCAGTTTCTTTTACATCTTATAGATTATATTACACATTAAATTTTCTTGTTAAAAACAACTGGGCGTGAATCAGTTCGTTTATTGTTTTCTAACTGTTTATTGTAACTTCACTGGGTTTGATAATAATTTGCATTAAACTTATTTTGACAGATCCATAGCTTATTCAATTTTGTCTTGAATGAATTCAATGATGTAGATTCTACTACCTCGGGATTTAATGTGTTCCGCGAATCCACGAATCCACAACACTATGGCTGATTGTGTTTTTTTTTCTTGTGTTATTTCTTGCCTTTGGCTTGAATATTTTATATTTGTGACCTCTGGTAGAGGCTCCTCGTATTTTAAATATTTCCTTATCTATTTTATCAATGTTGTTAATTATTTTACAAGTTTCAATCACGCCTGCTCTATTTCTTCTGTATTCTAAAGTTGGAATATTTGTAACAGTCTTTTGCAATATATTCACTTAATATTCTTATGTCTCTTCTTTGATTTTCAATGGATACTGCATCTTTTTTTAAAATTTAGGTGACCAAATATGGACCAAATTGCGGAGCTGTACTCAAGATAAGGCCTTACAAGAGATTTTTAAAGTTGTAATTTTAAACATTTCTGTGTTCATAAGTAGAAGTTTGTATTTTTTTCTTCTATATATACTAAACATAATTCCGCGTTATCACTTTTTTCACGGTAATGGCATATTTTCATGTGACCAGTGTTAAAATTGGTCAGGATCGATTGACATATATTTTTATTCATGAATACACCTATACAACAAAGTTTTTGTGCAAAATATTAAAATAGAAAACAGAACGACATTTTACAAATTCCTGCAAAAAGCAACAATAGTCCATTAAATTTTTGCTATGTCTGAAACAAAAATCATTTTCTAAATGTTCTTGTTTGTTGAAAAACAAATTTTGAGTTACAAAATAAAGATTATTTTAATATTTAAAATCAAGCAAAATAACATGTAGAAATTAACTGAAACATGAAAAAACTGAAATGTAACACTATTACTGAGTCTGTGATTTAAATGATGACATACTGTTTTCAAAATGGCCGACATATGGTCTACGTTTGGTCCACTATTTTAAATTGACTTTGACTGAATATATTGTTGTTTCCTTGAAAATACCTATATGTTATATGACAATTTTTGTACCATTAGTTTCATTTGTTGTTTTCTTTCTGGTTTCAAAGCGTTATGTAGCGTGAACTAAGAGGAGCACGGTATAAAGTGTAAATAGCCACATATCCAGAAGATACTTAGTTGTGTTCAGCCAAATAAATAATTTTAGTGTTTTAAGGCCTATTGTCGTAAAAGAGTAATCTGTATCGTATAAAAGCTTTTGAAATTTAAGGCACATGTAAGCACTTATTGATTTGGATGGTACAGACCACTTTCCTTTTTCCAACCGGCTTTGGGTATTCGACAAAAATGAATATTTTCCTAATATTTACGCTAATTTTGTTGTTAAATACATCTACTGTAAGTTCTGACGGTGTATTAGGCTGTGGAGGGTTTGTCAAGTCAGATGTTGACATCAACTTTTCCTTGGTTGAGGCATGTATTTTGCTGTAAAATTAGATTTTCTACACACCTTAATTTACCTAAAAAGATTCATCAGGATGTATATGTACGTGTCCTGAATTATGTCCTTATTCGGTATTTTTAATCAATAATATGAAAAAGGCAAAGCCTCAAAGCGAGCTCGATTTTCTTTTACCGTGAAATATAGTATAAAATATTCGATCATTTTTATTTTACATTTTCCTTGCGGTATTTTGTACACTGCTTCCCTTTATTCTGGTTCCCATATAATTGCGCAGGACAACAGTCTATGCTTCCTTTTTCAATCAGAATACCTTGGCAGTGATTTTCCTACTTATATAACAGACTCCGAAAAAGGGCCTCTTCCCAATTGAAATTTTCTTTAAAATCATGCAGTTTTCCCAAAATCTGAACTGAAACATGCTTTTTTCTTCCCAAATTAGCAATTTTAGCGATAATTTTTCCCAAAATACAGAGGCTAAGGCCTCTTCCCAATTAAGCGAGAAAAATCACTGATTGGATTTTATTGTTATCTTGTAGAGCAGGTGCATGTATTATCGACAGGCTACAGTTATCGACAGTTTATTATAATTGATCTTATATTTTTATTTAAATGACGTCATCAGTTATTAATGACATCATTTTTCCAACAACATATACAACAGCGTTCTTTTTGTTGTCAACAAAAATCCGTGCGCCATATTTTTTGAAGCCAATCGAAGTTTTTTGCAAGTACTCCGTTTGTTTGTTTACAGAAATAGAAACTCTTACGTCACAAGGTAAGGACACCGGTATCATAAATTTTGTTACTTGTGAAATTTGCAATGCTTTTCTTGCGGTTAGTGTACACTTAATTTAACGGAAAGATGTATATATGAAGGTTGCATACCACTAAATATAACACAATATAGTTACGAGTCCCATACCGGGGGTGTCGATAACTGTATCCGAAAATAATTAATGGGTACAGTTATCGACACTTTTATAAATCATGTTAATTAATTCCATTAATATGTTTTTAAGTTGCTGCTAAATGTAAAAAAGTGTCTAGCAAGTAAATCTAATTTCAAAAATACCTTTTTCAGATGTCATCACAACACAACAAAAGAGTGAAATATTCCCCCTCCAAAATGAGGGCTGCCATTGAGATGGTGCGTTGCAATGGCATGGCAAAAGCCAAAGCAGCAAAATTGTTTGGTGTGCCCCGCACAACCCTTATTGACAAATTAGCAGGTCGTGTACCTGAAGAGGCCACTAGACCTGGACCACCTTCAGTGTTGAGTCCAGCAGAAGAAAAAACGTTGGTCAGATACGCGGACTTAATGGCACAAATTGGTACACAAGTACTTTTTACTATTAGATTTTCACTAGTCATAATTATGTCAATTACCATAATTGTTCATTCATGAATAAACACATGATATGAAAGAAAACATTTTTATTTTTTTTAATAGATATAATTAATTACTAAACATATAATAAATTATATAAATATCTTCAACAAAACAATATATGGCATAATCTAAAAAAAGCAAATATTTTCGTGTGCATACAGCGATTTAACACATAAACTAAACTTACATTCATGTGTGACAGTTTGACTGTAAAATGATATTTATTACTTTAGGATACCCTTTAACAAGGAAAGAACTAGTATATGAGACCAAGAGAAACCTGGACATTGATGGCAGGAAGACAGTGTTCAAGGATAACCTTCCTGGGAAAGGGTGGTTCAAGGCATTTAGGCAAAGAAATCCTGAACTAGTAGAGAGAACACCCGCTGCCTTAGGAAATCAAAGAGCTGCCATATCACTTTCAATGATACAGGGTCTGTTGTCTGAACCCGTGTTATCTTGCCTTAAATTAAAATTTATATAAATGAACTTATTCTCCAATAAATCCTTTTTCTATTATGTAAGGACTTGAATTTAATTGACTACCACTGTTTAATCCAAGCTTAAGCATTGCTTTTTCTATCATCACCATAATTATATTGATTTTCCCATATCACTTACTCGTACATGAATCACATAAAATTGCACACATAAATGCCTCCTTATTCCTTTTTTTCTGTCTTTGTAGGTTGGTATGATGGGCTCTTTCGCTTCCTACAAGAAGAGGTTCCTAACTACCAAGCCATGATCAGTGACCCCAGGAGAGTGTTTAATGCAGATGAGTCTGGATTTCCGATCTGTGTGAAATCAACCAAAGTCCTGGCTCCAGTTGGTTCTAAACATGTTTATCAAGTTTTACCGGGAGATAAAACCCAGATAACTGTATTAGCGTGTTTAAATGCCTTTGGAGACTATATGTCTCCCCTCATTATATATCCAGGTCAGAGGTTCCGTGATACAGTTCTGTCTGGGTTTGAGGAGGCCATCTTTGGTATTACTAAAAATGGCTGGATGGATTCCGAGTTATTTATTGCTTTTTTAGAGCATTTTAATACATTTTTGACAGAAAAGAAAATTAACCGCCCTGTAATTTTGTTTGTCGATGGGCACAGCACCCATATGTCTCTGCCTGCAGCAAACTTCTGTTCTGAGAACAATATAATTCTCTATTGCTTGTTGCAAAATGCCACCCATGTGCTGCAGGCATGTGACATTGGGTTATTTAGTCCAATGAAGTCTAAGTGGAAAGAAATGGTAAAAAAATGGCAAATGGAGCACCTTGGTGAACCATTTACCAAATCACATTTTCCAGAGGTTTTCAAGTCCACTTGGAACAGTGTGGCTAACCTTACAAATAGTGTTAGTGCCTTCAAAAGGTCAGGTCTCTTTCCTTTGACCCCAGATGGCATTGATCAGTCAAAGCTTGGGCCATCTAAAATAACTAGCAATTGCTCCCTACCAACAAACTGTCCGTCTACATCTGCTCCCTCACCAGCTGCTTGTCCGTCTACAGCTGCTCCCTCACCAGCTGCTTGTCTGTCTACACCTGCTCCCTCACCAGCTACTTGCCTGTCTACAGCTCCCTCACCAGCTGCTTGCCTGTCTACACCTGCTCCCTCACCAGCTGCTTGCCTGTCTACAGCTCCCTCACCAGCTGCTTGCCTGTCTACGGCTCCCTCACCAGCTGCTTGCCTGTCTACAGCTCCCTCACCAGCTGCTTGCCTGTCTACAGCTCCCTCACCAGCTGCTTGTCCGTCTACAGCTGCTACAGCTCCCTCACCAGCTGCTTGTCCGTCTACAGCTGCTCCCTCACCAGCAGCAGGACAATGTGTTCTTGCTCAGACGCCCTCTGAAGCCTGCTTACTACCTAAATTGCCTGTCCCTGTTTGTTCCACAACTACTGTTCCAAATAGCAGTCCTTCAAATAGTGATGTTAGTCTGTCTGTGTCATTTTTAAACCCTACAATTTCTGTTGTCTGCACTCCATCAGTGGTTATCCCTATAGCTTCTCCTGTTTTCAGTCATTTTAATACTGATGTTTGTCCATCTTCATCAATTTCCACCAGTCAAATAAGGCCAACTTATGGAAATGACCCTCCAGCATCTGTGCTCAGGCAAAGAAATGACCCCAATTACATTTCCCCTGCCTTTAATAAACTTGCTGTCCCTGAAATAAAGAAAAGAAAGGTAAATTCTATTAGAAATAAACTCCCTAAGGCATTGTCAGGGTCTGTTGCATTGAAAATGTTGCGAGAGAGAGAGGAAAATAAAAAGAGAGCAGAAGAAGAGAAAGAAGTAAGAAAGGTTGAGAGAGAAAATAAGAAACGTGAGAGAGAGGAAGAAAAAGAGAGAAAAAGGCGGGAAAGAGAACTAAAGAAAAAAATAAAATTGATGGAAAAGAAAAAAAGGGTAGAGGCTAATGACAGCGATACCTCTTCTGAAGAAAACATGATACCATACATGGATTCTGATGATGATGGTATTCGCTGTCCTGTATGTTATTCTGGAGAGGGTGGTGAGTGGGAGTGGATCGGTTGTGAAAACTGTCCACTGTGGTGGCATATAGACTGCACAGGGAGAGAGGATTTTCTTGGAAAGAGAGCTTCCTCACTAAAGGAAGTCAACTTTGTATGTGATAATTGTGCAAACTAATTATATGACAAAGTTCTAGATTAATCTGATGGTGTTGATCAAATTTTCCCTATATGATTATTGTTGTATGTCTTATAACAAAAGCAATAAAATGTTTAAATGCAGTTTACCATGGTTGGTTGAAATAACTATGTTAGTATGTGAGCTTACACTTACGTCATCCATACTGTCTTTGGTTACATCGATATCTGAATAAAAATTGAAATTTGTTATTGTGTTGTTATCAACTTTTCTGAAAATTAAGAGGTCTGCGACTTGAGTTGAAAGGATAATTCAATTTATGTAAAATAAGCAATGGTAAATTACAATTAATTCATTTAAATAAATATTTTTTGCAATATAATAACTGTCTTAATAGTATAAAACATAAAACTTTTCAATACAACCATTTAAAAGCATTACAGTCGTCAATTAAAATTACCTATCGATAATTGTCTCCACGTGTCGATAACTATAGCGTAAGAATGAGTAGTTACTACCGAGTGTCACGCTGTGTAAAAATTGGGGGATACTAATCGACGGTCTCCGGTCTCCGGTCTTCGACGGTCCCCGGTCTCCAAAGACCGTCGAAGACCGTCAATTGTAGTAGACCGTCGATTAGTAGGTTATAACACAAATCGACGGTCTCCAGATTATATACGTAATTAGACAGAATGACCAATAGGCAATTACACTTTTATTTTCAGTGATTAATGTCAATAGTTTAGGGTGATTAACGGGTATTTTTGATGAAAAAAAATACAGTAATAATAAAAAAAAAGAAAGAAATTGACAAATTTACAACATAAAAAGCCTACTTTTTCCTGAATGCAAAGAAAAACGATGTTTAAAATAATCAAATCTGTTGAATTGACAAATGACCTGTTGAACTGACAAATGAAAAAGGCAAAAATAATGGTTTACGAAATATACAAAATGCAAATATAAACAAAAAAAAACACTTACTTAAAGGGAATGTAAATAAAATTTAAATCAGCTATTAAATTTCAAATTACGAAGTACATAAGTGAAAATAAAACATGAACATAGTAAACATTTATGCAATCAATTTATGGAATAATGTAAAAAAGTGAGAGAATATTTTATAATAAATTTTGCAATTTTGCACGAGAAAAGTTAGACAAGTTACAAAAAATTATTTCAGTAATTTATTAGAATTGATTCTTTATAGCAAAAATTTTGTTTTAAAAATCGGTCAGGAATAAAATTTTAAAACATAAAAGTTGTTAATATAAGGGCCTACTTTTTAATGAATGCAAAAAAAAAAAAAGTTTAAAATAATCAAACCTGTAAAATTAACAAATAAAAAGGCAAAAATAATTGTTTTTGTAATATACAAAATGCAAATATAAACAAACAAAAAATTCACTTAAATGCAATGTAAAATAAAACAAAATAAACATTTCGCCGCCTGTCAATCAAGCTGACAGGGGTCACAGAGATAAGCTAATCAGCGATCGTTATCAGTTTCACGCTAAGATGCCTGCGAAGTCCGCCATTTTCCTTTCTAAGACAATGGTGCATTAATTGAAAGTATTTTAATTTTCTGTCAATATACAGATCAACGTTTGATATTGGCGTTTTTCGTTGACGCAGCCATGGATTCTCTAACGTCCCTTTTAACATGATTCCAACAAAGAAATACTGACGCTTTCGGGAAATTTTTCTCCACTGCTTTAGTTAATGACACTTGGAACCCTGTCTGCTACAAAATTCATTTTAGTATCTCTGATATTTGGAAATTTCACTTTAGACATAGATAGATATTACTATATTACTAGAAAGCTTTCAAATGACCAATAAATTGTTACGGTAATATAATTTGGTAACGCACACATGCTAATTGATTGGCTAATTCTCGATAATTAACTAATACTCCGCCCACAGAGATTGCGACAATTAGTGTAATTAATAGATGGCTATAACATATTCACGCAACAATTCTCGTAACAGTTTTCGATTATTTGCCATTATTACTAATTAACAATCCGCTCCAACAGATTGATTTAAACGATTATTTTTTACCACTTTTAAATAAATGCTTCAAATATAGTCCGCTTTCCACCTCGAATACATAAACACTAAAAACAAAAATACATATAATTAATTAGACTATTTATGATCAAGATGTTACCCATACTAAATATCTATGTTGCATTCCTTTCACGTGTTATTGCCTGAAACATGTTAAATGTATATTATGTAATCTATGACAATTTAAAAATAAAGTGGTTTGTATTTGGGTTGTATTGGACATGGATTTTGGTGTATTATATTTGTACATGCGAGGAGACTTCATTAAATGATATAAAGGGTAACGACCTTAATTTCTGTAATAAAACCTTGTTAATTTTTGGTTGATTTGAAAAAGAAAAGAAGTTGTCTTAAAGTGTGAAACAATGTTTAATAAATCTGTCTTCTCAAAAGACAGAATTGGTTCTTATCAGTTAAACTATAACAAAACTTTTTACGTTTAAAACCGTTTTCAGTATCTTCAAACATATATATCCACTGAAAAATATCCTGTTATTTACTTATAAACTGAGCTATAGTTTATTTTAAATGTTCTTTTTGTTGTTGGTCAATTTCCCTCTTTTAATGTCATATGTCAAAATAACAGAACTAGGTCTGGTTACCCCCCCCCCCCCTTCTGTAAGCGCATGACATCAAGTAGGTGTTGAATTTTGAAGCCTTAAAAACATCTGTTTATGTATAGATTTTTTCTGATGATATGTCTGCTATGTAAACATGTATATTTAATTATGTTTAAAACAGTTTATCCTCAACACTATAATATAATTTTTTGTTAATTTGATATAACATTCTAGAATAATTACTAAAGTAACGTGACATTGTCTTTAAAGTTTGTTTTAATTCATTGAAAATTAGTAATGTATTGTTTTAATTGTTTATGCATTTCTATCAATGTATTATCACACTATGTATGATTGTTACTGCAATCAAGTCAATGAGTTAAATTTACTATTACGAGACCGTCAATATTTATCAAACTACTGTGGTCTCTCCATGTTGACGGTCTTCGACGGTCTAAGATAATTGTGTGCAAACCTTACAAATTAACAATGTTTGTGTTAAAATAATTCTGAGTACACTACTATTACTTATACAAATGAAAATAGTATCGATGAAGTTGATATTAAAAAAATACAAAAAAAAAATAAAATAACAATGATCTATCAATTAATTGACAGTCATCAAAAAAATCATATTAATTATATTATATCCATTTTAAAGGAATATCTTATTTGCTTTTTTTACAAATCATAAAAAAAATAACACAAACAAACAATCGTCATAGAGAAAATGCTTATTGGCTGGCTACATAAATTAATAACACGAGACCGTCAATTCGTATATTAACCCACTAATCGACGGTCTCCTACAATCAACGGTCTTTGGAGACGCAACCATACCACGAGACCGTCTATATTTATAATACTGCAAATCGACGGTCTCTCTCAATTGACGGTCTTCAAGGGTCTTTAGAATATATACAATTGTGCGTAAACTAACACATTTTTATAGATTTTTAAATTAAAAATATCGAGATTATACTACTACTTATAATAATAATATAGAGGGAGTTCATGTAACATAAAATCTGAGACCTTAAACAAGAAAATAAAATAAAAATAAAAAAACAAAAAAGAAAAATGAAAAGAAAAAAAAAGAGAGAGAAAAAAAGTTTTGCTTATTGACCGGCTAAATTAATTAATAACTATATAATATCCATTAAATTCATGTATACTCACGAGACCGTCGATTTGTGTAGTAACCTACTAATCGACGGTCTCCACGAGGCCGTCAATATTTATCAAACTACTGTAGACTATAATTGACGGTCTCTCCCTGTTGACGGTCTTCGACGGTCTTAGACAATTGTGTGCAAACTTACATTAACAATTTTTCTGTTTAAATTATTCTGAGTATGCTACTATTACTTATACAAATGGTAATATTATCGATGAAGTTAATATTAAAAAAAAAATACAAATAAAAACCACTCATAAATACAAAAAGGGGAAATCTGGAAAAATAACAATGATCTATCAATTAATTGACAGTCATAAAAAAAAATCATATTAATTATATCATATCCTTTTTAAAGGAATATTTTATTTGCTTTTTTTACAAATCATCAAAAAAAATTGAAACAAATAAAATATCGTCTTAGAGAAAATGCTTATTGGCTGGCAACATAGATTAATAACACGAGACCGTCGATTCGTATAGTAACCCACTAATCGACGGTCTCCTACAGTCAACGGTCTTTGGAGATATAACCATACCACGAGACCGTCTGTATTTATAATACTACTAATCGACGGTCTCTCTCAATTGACGGTCTTCAAGGGTCTTTAGAATATATACAATTGTGCGTAAACTAACACATTTTTATAGATTTTTAAATTAAAAATATCGAGATTATACTACTACTTATAATAATAATACAGAGGGAGTTCATGTAACATAAAATCTGACACCTTAAACAAGAAAATAAAAAAATAATAAAAAACAAAAAAAAATGAAAAGAAAAAAAAAGAGAAAAAAAGTTTTGCTTATTGACCGGCTAAATTAATTAATAACTATATAATATCCATTAAATTCATGTATACTCACGAGACCGTCGATTTGTGTAGTAACCTACTAATCGACGGTCTCCACGAGGCCGTCAATATTTATCAAACTACTGTAGACTATAATTGACGGTCTCTCCCTGTTGACGGTCTTCAACGGTCTTAGACAATTGTGTGCACACTTACATTAACAATTTTTCTGTTTAAATTATTCTGACTATACTATTATTACTTATACAAATGATAATATTATCGATGAAGTTAATATTAAAAAAAATACAAATAAAAACCACTCATAAATACAAAAAGGGGAAATCTGGAAAAATAACAATGATCTATCAATTAATTGACATTCATTAAAAAAATCATATTAATTATATTATATCCTTTTTTAAAGGAATATCGTATTTGCTTTTTTTAAAAAATCATCAAAAAAAATTGAAACAAATAAAGTATCGTCTTAGATTGGCTGGCTACATAAATTAATAACACGAGACCGTCGATTCGTATATTTACATACTAATCGACGGTCTCCTACAATCAACGGTCTTTGGAGACATCCACATAACCATACCACGAGACCGTCTATATTTATAATACTACTAATCGACGGTCTCTCTCAATTGACGGTCTTCAATGGTCTTTAGAATATATACAATTGTGCGTAAACTAACACATTTTTATAGATTTTTAAATTAAAAATATCGAGATTATACTACTACTTATAATAATAATATAGAGGGAGTTCATGTAACATAAAATCTGACACCTTAAACAAGAAAAAAAAAAAAAAAAGAAAAAGAAGAGAGAAAAAAAGTTTTGCTTATTGACCGGCTAAATTAATTAATAACTACTATATAATATCCATTAATTTCATGTATAATCACGAGACCGTCGATTTGTGTAGTAACCTACTAATCGACGGTCTCCACGAGGCCGTCAATATTTATCAAACTACTGTAGACTATAATCGACGGTCTCCCTGTTGACGGTCTTCGACGGTCTTAGACAATTGTGTGCACACTTACAAATTAATATTTGTTCTGTTTCAATTATTCTGACTATACTATTATTACTTATACAAATGATAATATTATCGATGAAGTTGATATTTAAAAAAAATACAAATAAAAAACACTCATAAATACAAAAAGGGGAAATCTGGAAAAATAACAATGATCTATCGATTAATTGACAGTCATCAAAAAATCATATTAATTATATTATATCCTTTTTTTAGGAATATCTTACTTTCTTTTTTTTTTTTACAATTAATCAAAAAAGTTTGACCAAAAAAACTATCGTCTTAGAAAAAATGCTTATTGGCTGGCAACATAGATTAACAAGAGACCGTCGATTCGTATAGTAACCTACTAATCGACGGTCTCCTACAATCAACGGTCTATAAACTACAAATCGACGGTCTCTCACCATTGACGGTCTTCGACGGTCTTTAGAATATATACAAATGTGCATAAACTCACAAATTTGTGTATGTATTTTTTAAGCTAAAACATCGAAATTATATTACTGCTACTAATTACTACTATTACTTATGATATAAATAAAAATATTAGACATTGATATTTCTAATAAATTTAATAGCATTTTTATACTCCAATATATTTCATTGTCTTAAAAAAAAAGAATAAAAAAAAAAAAAAAAATGGCATGTTAATTATGTTTCATCTTATTCAATTTTTTAATCGTATAATTATAAAAAAATACTGAAATCAATAAATCATTATCTTAGAGAATTTGCTTATTGACCGGCTAAAATTAATTAATAACTATGTAATATCCATCAAATTAATGTATAATCACGAGACCGTCGATTTGTATAGTAACCTGCTAATCAACCGTCCACTACAATCGACGGCCTTTGTAGACATAAAACTATACCATGAGACCGTCTTTATCTATAAACTACAAATCGACGGACTCTCCCCATTTTGACGGTCTTCGACGGTCTTTAGAATATAATTTTATATGCAAATATGCATAAACTCACAAATTTATATTTATACTACTACTACTACTAACTACTACTAACAATAATAATATAGATCTAAATAAAAATATAAGACCTTGATATTTATTAATAAATTCAATAACATTTTTATATTTCAATATATTTCATTGTTAATTTGTTCATCTAATTTGCTGCATAACAATATCTTATTTTTTTTATTTCCCCATATTTTTTTTATATTTTTCCCTTTTTTATCTAATCATTTCTTTCCCCATTAATATCCTTAAATATTGACTTAAATAAAGTATCGTCGTAAAAGAAAAATGTTAATTGACGTATTATTAATTATTTCTAAATTATTCTTATCAATTCATCGCGAGACCGTCGATTTGTGTGATAACCTACTAATCGACGGTCTCCTACAATAGACGGTCTTCGACGGTCTTTGGAGACCGTCAAAGACCGTCGATTTTGTGGAGACCGTCGATTAGTATCCCCCGTAAAAATTATTGAAACCGGGAAATACCCTTCTAAACAACCAATCAACGATTGTTTTACGCACTGGGATTCCATCAAATGAAAATAAACAATCAGATAAATGTACGTTGGTAATTTGAGTTTAAACTGTCGATAACTGTAGCACTTGCTCTAATTCGAAAAGTTGCGATGTGTCAATACGGTACTTCGGACGAAAGTTTTCAAAACCATCATATCTAGCAAGTACTCATTGGGCAACAGCAGTTTTGAAGTAATTCAATGATAAACAATTGGGTTATTTGGATAAAGGACCAATTTCAAAAACTTTACAGCTTAAGATTAATAGCGAAGGTGTTTCAATTGAAAATGTAAGCTGTGCATGAAATACCGATTGTCTCTTTTAAAAGGAAAATATAAAAATGAACAAATTTCTTTTATCTGACTTCCCTGTTTATAGGCTTTGCCTACTTTCTTATTAATGTATATGTGTAATATTGGTTTGGTTCATTTGTTTAATTTGTATGTTTTTCTACAGGTGAAGTTGTACACTCCACACTGGAGCATTAAATATCAGACTGATTGTGCACCAAACACTGGTTACTACCTTATTCCCTTATATGATAAAGGTGACTTCATCCTTAAAGTAGAACCACCTAAAGGATGGACATTCGGTGAGATATTTACTAAAATTTGCAGTGTTTACGTCTCAATGAACTATAGATTTTAACGATCAACATGCTGAATGTTACATAATGAATTTGCCTAGCTATGAATATGGAACAGTCCATTCAACTGTTTAAGGGATTTCAGATATCAAATTACAAATATTTGAATGATTTAGATAGAGCATGATGGCTGGCCTGTCTCTATACTGTTGGCAAAGTATTACTTTCTGTTCCAGAATGTAAGGATGGCAGCTTTATATTAACTTATTTGTTATAAAATAGAAATGTAACTGTTATTTTAACTATTTCTTCTTATGAAAATGTTGCCATAATATAGATTTATGGTTATAATTATTTGATTCAGAATGATGAGTTCTTAAGTACGAAAGGAGTTATCAGGCTAACAGAAAAAAATTGATGGCTCTTCTCAGGAGCCAGTGTTTCACTAAAATAATGCATGGGTGAGCAAAGGGGATTTGCCTTAGTGTTTGTCTATTTTATAAAGAAAATTCATGATATCTTACAGGAATGTTGTGATTTAAAACCCAGTCTCTTAATCAAGAAAATATACTTTCAGAACCTGAGAGTGTAGAGTTACAAGTTGATGGAGAAAAGGACAAATGCAGTATTGGAGAAGATATCAACTTTGTATTTACTGGATTTTCTCTCAATGGCAAGGTAATTTTTTTTTATAATCATTTCTCTAATCCCACCTGTGGCCATTCACATATGGATATGTTCAACATTTTGTTAAATGTATGGTGAAATTTTAATACATTTAACTTTTTTGGTAAACATATGTATCCTATCTTTTCTCCCTTGTTGTCTTCTTACTGGTCTTGTAAAACTTGCCTGTATACTAGTCAGTTGTAACCCTGCAGTGATTTTTCACCTTATATAACAAATACCTTTACAAAGTCTCTTCCCAGTGGAAATATTCTTTAGAATAATCCCCAAAAAATCTTAACTTACTTAACTTTCCAAAATTGCAATTTCAGAGATAATTCTTCCCAAAATCAAGAGGCTAAGGTCTCTTCCCAATTTAGTAAGAAAAATCACTGTCTTGCCCTCTGATACTCTAGCAGGTACCCAGAGCATTTCTGCCTTATCCATCCAAATGGATTCCTGAGGCAATGCTTAAGGGGCATAGTCAGGGATAGCTGTGCCTCTCTCACTCCAAGAGCTCTGGCGTGGGTTCGATCCCCGGGAGATGCTTTGGTAGTTTAGCGCGGAGGAAGGTAGTCTAGTACTGGTGTAACTCTCCAGGAACGATGGTTAGGAAACTACCCACATATATGACTGAAATACTGTTGGGAAAAGGCGTAAAATGAAACAAACAAACACTCCAAGAGTATTGATGAAGATAGCTGCCCCTCTGACTTCCAGGGCATTGCTAGAGATAGTGCTGTCCCTCTCACTCTCCAGGCATTGCTAGAGAAATAGCAGTTCAAGTGAGTCAGGTTCAGGTTTTTACCTTCCAACTGTCTTTGCATTGATGCATCAATGTGCTGGTTTTATTCTAGTGCCTAAATAGCAAAGGATACATGTATATCAAGCTACGAGTGTGAAGACACTTAGCGGCCATTTTATCATCATTGCATCCCTGCAGGCTGGAATTTTACCTTAGGTTTGAAAATGACAAAATTCCCAGGTCTTGAGATTATAAAACTCTTTTTCTGAGCTCTGTCTAAAGTCTTAGTACTTTCATTGGTTAATGTGTATTTATAATGACCAATCAGAGTGTATGTTGTATGTCAGGTGATCAGTAGAAGACAGGTGTCAGGTCCAGCTGATGTGAAGGTTAACCTATACAAGTCAGGATCTAAAGATGTTCTACAGACGGTTACCACATCTGATGATGGCAGGTAAGTCTGTATATGACTTGTGATGACTACAGTACCCCTGATTTTATTATATGCTTCTATATGTTTCAAAGAGTTTTGACCTGTTATATGGCTCATTTTCAAAACAGTTATATTGCATATAGTCATTTATATCAAGTGAAAACACCTGTCAATATTAAAAAGTTATTATATTCTTTTTATCTTAATTTATGCACAGTTACTTTCTTTCAATCCTGGGGCTGCCAGCACTTTAATTACATATGATTACAGGGTATTTCACCTGGGATATTTCTAAGAAATTACAGAAATCTTCTAAAGAAGATATGAAATATGAAGTATATTTTTTTGTAAGATAAAATTATTTTTTTATAAAATGAACCAAAATTATAAGAAAAAGTAAAAAATGTTGATAAACCAATAATTACTCAGATATCAAATCCCAAAGATGTATATGTTTAAAGTGTTAGTTGTGCATGACTGATATTCTTTTTCCTGTTAATACAGTTACCAGTTCAAGAGAATCATGCCTGGAAAATACGACATAAAAGCCACTCAAGATCAATTTAAGTTTGAAAAGGTAAGGTTAAACAAAAGAATATTCTGTTATGCTGGTACATTTATTAACATGTTGCGTCTATCAGCATTGCTACAGTACATACCAGCTTATAAGACATATGTGCCGCGTCATGTCAAAACCAACATAATGGGTTTGCGACCAGCATGGATCCAGACCAGCCTGCGCATCCGCGCAGTCTGATCAGGATCCATGCTGTTCGCTTACAGACCCTATTACAAGTAGAGAAACTGAAAGCGAACAGCATGGATCCTGATCAGACTGCGCGGATGCGCAGGCTGGTCTGGATCCATGCTGGTCGCAAACCCATTATGTTGGTTTTGTCATGACACGGCTCATATCGTCTTATAAGATGCTTCCACAACTTCACTTATCTCACAGGGTTTTTAGCTCAGCTGAGCACAAAGTGCTCAAGGTTGATCTTTTGGGATCACTCTGCTTCCGTCATGCATTGTTAAATGGCATCAAACTTTTTCTCAAAACAACATCTCCTTTACGAATCAGCCAATATTGCTAAAACTGAGCAGGAATGTTCCTTGCATGAAGCTCTTTAAAAATTGTTGTAAGAATTCCATTCCATGCTAAATTCTGATTGTCATGGCAACTGAAAGCTGATTGTCATGACAACTGGAAGAAAAAAAACATCTTCTAGTGGGTGTCTACCAAGTTTGTTCAAATACAAGCCCTCGTTTCAAAATTGGCCGCACCCCAGGGGGTCATTCATTTTCCATATATGTTTATAGTAAAAACAAGAAAAAAATCTTCTACAAAAAAACCAAAGAGCTAGAACATAGATATTTAGCTTGAAATATCTTCTAGTGAGTGTCTACCGAGTTTGTTCAAATAAAATACCATCCCTGGGGTCAAATTGGCTCACCATAGGGGATCAATCATTGATATTCCTAATACACGTATTTCAGATATTTAATTTGTATACATTTTAGCATGGGATATTTACTTTGAATATATATTTTTCAGTCTGAAGTAAGTGTAGAAGTAACATCTGACAATGCTGATGCAGGTAGTAGCTTGATTATTGCTGGATATGCAGTTACAGTAAGTAATATTTACTCCAGGATATAGTGAATTGTCACATGTTAATCATTATTGTCATTAGGGTCTATCATATGAACTCATCTCAGTTGAGTGCACAATAGTTGGTTTATTTTAAGGTTAAAAGTATATTGATTCAACCTCATGTTATATAGAGGTGATGCACAAATTGTAGCATGTTGTTTTATAATTTGAGCATGTAAGTTTTGTTTTCAACAGAATTATGTTTTGAAATAAGTTTAAAAAATTGCCAAAGTGTGGAGTGGCAACAGATTCCACCTATGTGACCAGAGCAGATCTAAATCAGCCGACACATTTTGTACCTTTTGACCATGGTCTGCACTGTTTCCTAGTCAGTCAAGTTGAAAAGATTAAACTTTTCAGATAGATAAGAACTAAAAACATTCGGTAAATAATTACCACTGCTACTTTGCTCCTGGTTGTTGCATTCATCGAATTCAATAAACTCTACATATTAACACATGTATAAATTAATTGAATCTTCAAAACAGATTTTTTGATTTAATCATCTAAGAATAAAGATAGAAATATTTTGTAGTAAAAAATGTAGAGGATATTCAAGTTTTTCTATTCTGTATGTAAGGGATTTCTTATAAAATAAATATTTCACGAGTGGCAACTAAAAGTTAAATTTGATCATATTCATTTATAGAGATGAAAATAAATCCCGTATTGATAGAATAAACTTGAATTTTATGTTTTTTTATCTACTTTTCTCTTTTGTTTGACATTACAATTCGAAAAATTGATTTTGTGTATTGGCTGAATTTAGAAGAATGTAGTCCTGCAAGACAACAGTGAAAATATGTTTCACTGCAGTGGAACAGATTTTTTACAGTGAAAATACGAAAAATGAAAATACGCATTTTATTTCATCAATAATTCTTAATATTTTATCTATAGAAAAAATCATATTTCAGGGTAAAGTATTTAGTGAAGGGGAACCTATAAAGGGAGTGAATTTCCTCCTGTATTCATCGACAGTTAATAAAAACGTAAGTGTTCTTCCATTATCAAATCATTCATGCTTATTCAGTGCCAGAAAAATTCAGACTCTAGAAATATGTAACAAGAAAGCAGAGAATTTATATTTATTATCAGTAAAATGATTCACATATCAAAAGCAAATTAACATTAAATTTACTTTTTTTATCACCATAGTACCATCCTGTTATGATAAGAGGTATAATTTCTTTTTGTAAAATAATTTTGACACATCTAATGCTAGCTTGTAATAACTTAAGTTATGCATCAAGCTCTTGCTAAAATTCCAAGACCTCGTTCTTTTTAAAAAAAAAAAATGATTAGGAAAAGAGAAAAGATTCTTGGTTTATTACATTTTTGAAAAAAAAAAAACTATGACAGATTAGTGCTAGTTAATACTTTCAAATAAACTTTGGGTTGAATGACAGTCAACCAATATTTTCTGTAATTGATTTTAAATGGCAATTAGAGCTATTTTCAGAGAGTATTATATATACAGTGTAACCTCCACAAAACATCCCTCTGTAAACCAATTACCTTTATACAACAACAGTTTAAATTTTTCCTAAAAAAAGAGAAAAGACTTTAAATATATCCTCTTTAGAGCAAAAATTTAACTTTTTTAGAGCAACGCTTCGACAACAACTAAAAGGTCCGTCACCCAAAGGGTGTTGCTGAGCAGAGGTTGTACTGTAGAATAATTATGTTATTTTCTATTTATAGGATGTGTTAGAGTGTGACAAGTCAGCTGTGGCAGGGATCGGGAAAGTTGACAAGTTAGACCCACTGTGTCATGTGAGCTCGGACACCACGGGAAAATTTACATTTCCCTGTCTGGCTACTGGGGAATATTTTCTGGTGAATACATCTTCATTTATATATCCCTGCTCAGTATTGCTTCTAGAATTAAAGTTTTAGTGGACACAAAGGCCTGTTGAATAGAACTTTGAGAGACATGTGAACACAATAATTTGTGATAACTACAGTCTACTACTGTCAAACTTGTTTTTTTCACAAGCATATATGCTTTTTAAGAACTTTGGCCAGAAGTTTAGAGAGAGAAATGGATAATGAAAGTAGAAAGTTGTTGTTTTATTTTGAAACCACTCTTTTTTCTATTTTTAAAACTGTCTATCCTATCACCTGAATCAACTTATATATAATTTGTACTGCATAGAAGACAGTAACCAGTGTCTAGAATACAGAAACCAGTATGTAAAGCTAAAGAACCTGTAATCAGTGAATTGAGGACAAGTTAAAGGAAAGGTGAAAAGGATAAATTTGGAGACAGGGTTTTAAGGAATATATATTCAGATATCAATGGTATTCCACAATTCCAGGCTCTAAATGCAACAATGCTTATACATATATATGTCCAGATGAAATATGCATTTTATTTATTTCATTATTTAACCATTTGGTTAATTGAATGTTTATAATTATAATTTTTAATGATATGACTCAACAGTATGTCCAGTAAATTTCATTGCACCTTACAAAATACTTTTAGCACACATCAATTTATTATAATTATATTATTAATATTGTGTACAATTGACTATTTTACAGGTGCCATTTTACAAGGGCGAACATATTACATTTGATGTTAAACCAGAGAAACTTCCATTCCAAGTAACCCACGGACCGTTAAACCTTGAGGTGAGTTTTTACATATGAGAGTACACCTAATTCCATTATTGTATACCTTGACCACATCAGATGGAGGTGGTTATAATGAAATCACTTTGTCTTGTCGGGCAGCATTTTTGTCAGTCAGTCCGTTTGTCCATCTGACAATCCTGGCCACATCCAATGGTATATGAGCATTTGAGCTTTATTTTGTTCATAATCTTAGTAAAAATAAAAGAAAAATACATAATCCGGTGGTGGAAATAAAATTAAATGGAAAAATGCTGTCCCTCTGTAGACTTACAAAACAGTTTGTTCGGACATCCCTTGCTATTTGCATATTTTTATTACTCAATGGATTATGTTATAATTTATGATACTCGAATGCTAACATCATGTAGATTACAGTATTAAGTATGAATTTGTCACCTTTTTATTTTCAGACTGTATTTCAAGTTGCAGGCTTTTCTGTAAGTGGACGTGTTCTAGATTCTGAAAAGGTGAGTAGAAGAGTCTTTTAGATAATTATCAGACATGATTGAGTAAATCATGATAATGTGTAATGCTCAGTTACCATAACTCTTAGCTTCACTTAATGTTATGCACCCACAAAGTTGGGTGCATATAGCATTGCACTTGTCCGTTTGTCTGTCTGTTCGTCTGTCCGTCCGCACGTCTGTCCGTACGTCCCGAAATCTTGTGAACGCAACTCCTCTTAAACCGGATGGCAGATTTTGCTTAGACTTCCAGGGATGAACAAGCTAAATGTGTAGATGGTAGTAAAGGAAGGAATTTTTGCTTCGACTAAATTTAACAGAATTATGGCCCTTTGTTGATTTTTTCACTATATACTATGTAGAAATTTTGTGAACGCAACTCCTCTTAAACCGGATGGCAGATTTTGCTTAAACTTCTAGGGATGAACAACCTTAAAGTGTAGATGGTACTAGAGGAAGGAATTTTTGCTGCGACCAAATTTAACAGAATTATGGCCCTTTGTTGATTTTTCACTATATACCATATAGAAATTTTGTGAACACAACTCCTCTTAAACCGGCTGGCAGATTTTGCTTTAACTTCCAGGGATGAACAACCTTAATGTGTAGATGGTAGCAAAGGAAGGAATTTTTGCTGCGACCAAATTTAAAGAATTATGACCCTTTGTTGATTTTTTCAGTATATACCATATATATGTTGTCAGTGGGGGCATCTGTGTCCTTTGAACACAGTTCTAGTTTAATGCCTCTCTTTGTTGTTAACAACATTGAGTATATTGTAAATAATGTATCATTATTGCATTCAATGACTTAAGAATCATACAGTTGTAATAATATATATACCGTATTACTTTCAAACAAGGCACCAGCATGTTATATTGGAAAGCATGTTTATCAAGATAATAAGGAAAACTACATGGTCTTCATGGCTGAGTGGTTAATGATGCTAATTGTTAGAAGTTTGAACCACTTATCCCTCACCTTTGCAGGTTTCACTCCAGTCTGGGGCTTTGAATTTATCCCTATGAGAAAGCTATCATGTGTGGTTCTACTGATGAACCTATTGGTGTTCTGAAATAATACGAACCACAGGTCTTCCTTCACCTCTTAAGCTGGAAAGTTGCAATATGACCTTTACAAGAAGCACTAAACATTCTGTTACTTATTTTCTAACTACTTAGAAAGGGGCATGTGTCACTTCTGATATACATTGCTTACTCTCTGTTTTGTTGACAACAAGGTATCCTTACTTGCTTCTCCCAATATCATGAATTATATTTGTCTATGCTGTTACAACTTAATATTTTATATACAGTCGAGACTGCCTTAGCGACCCCCTGATTTAAACGACTCCCTGTCTTATCCGACCTTGTTTCAGTACTCCCAACGTATTTTCCTATATAAATGGTCTGAATTAAACGACTCCCTGTCATATGTGACAAGCGACCCTAATTGTCAGGTCCCAATGCAATGTTTGGTCTGATTTAAACGACTTTCACACCTTTTAATTGTCCGTTAAATCAGATAAATAATCCTATTATAACACCTTGAGGGCCAAAATAATTAAGTCCAATTATAATCCAGTAGCAAACAAAGTCTACACACCTCTATCTCAATTACACAGTTGACATGTATAAATGCAGGTATCAAGTGACGTAGCGTCTGTTTATGGGAAGCATGACGCAATCAATGTGTGTGTAATGTACATTATGGCCTGAGTAAACTGGTTAAGACTTGTGTTAGATTTTTTTTTAATTATAAAGTGCCCACGGAAGATTTTTTAGGCAGCATATTTTTTTTATTTACCTTTCTATGACTGCATAATTAATACGGAAAAAATATTGATACTAAACCAGAAAAAGCTTTGGAATATGGATATGTTGAAAGATCCTGTAACACAATTTTTTATGTTTTATTTATAAATATGATGCTCAAATTAAGATTTGTCAATATTGTAAGTTCAAATATAAGCATTATTTATAAAGATATCACCCAATTTAACATTTAATATAAATAAAGGCCATTAAAGGGAGGTAATTAGAACTTTATTTTCTATAAATTCTAAGTTAAATTTCCCAATAAGTAATCAATGCATGTAATCTATTGATTAAATATAATGTGCACAAATAATTTCAGTACACATTTTACATATTCTTTGATGTTTGAAAGTTGTTTTATTTGCATAATTATATCCATATATATTTTTTTTGCAAGTGTGGTATACACTCTGTAACAATATCAATCACAAAACATAAGGGATCTTTAAGTCACAATAGTATATAGACAGCTAGATGATACTTAAATTTAATTTTCTTTGAGACTGTATTAAGAGACTCCCTGTCATATGTGACCTTTTTCTGAAGATCCCTTGGAAAGTCACATATGACAGTCTCGACTGTACATGACATAAAGTCACAGTCATGTATTAAATGGTATTTTGATTATGCAGGGATCCGGGATCAGTAAGGCAGAGATATTATTGAATGGCAGACCAGTAACAACCAGTGGAGTGGATGGCGTGTATCATCTGGAGAATATGAAGACAAACACATATAAATTACAGGTCAAAGCTGACAATATTTTCTTCGATGAACAGGAGATTAAGATTACCCCAAACACTCCACAGTTACCTCCCATTGTCCCTTCAAGGTAATTTAACACTGTTAATGTTTATTTATACACATGTCACAATAAAAAGTAACAAATTTGACCATGCTTTTAACTGGTTATGAGTATCACATGACCAATTAATAGTGTGTGGCCTGAGGCTGAAAAATTATAATCGAAATTGGCCCGCTAAAAAAACAGCATGGGCAAATGTGATGTAACATTTGACAGTATCAAAACAAGCTACCTGAAAATGAAAGCGGGTTTTTTGGGTACGGATTGCTGGATTTCTTTTGTGATTCTGCATTTTAGTTTTCAAAGAGTTTATTTTGGAACAATATTTATATTTTATGCAGTTTCAACATCTGTGGTAGAGTAACTATAAGCAAGTTTCCAGACAGTCTGTCGCAGCAGGTCACTAAAAGGAAGTTGATCATCTTCCCAGAAGGCAAAGGGTCTGCAGCGGTATCCAAGGAAACTGATGATGAGGGAAAGTTCTGTACGCCTGTTAAACCTGGCAAATACATTGTTAGAGTAAGTATTCTTGCATATCAGACAGGATTATCTACTGTTTACACCAGTGCTAGAAAAACTTGTTATATCCCTAATAAGTTGTGTTTTTAAATGACGTCATTTCCATGGGCCTTTTATGAATGAAGTTGTAAATTCATATGCTACTATAAGAAAAAGTGCTAAATGAAAATACATTGTATTAGTTTCGTAATTTCTTTTCGTAATATCATTAATTTGTGATAGGCAAGAAAAAGAATCAAACACCAGCTGTCGTCACAGATAGGAATATCTAGCACTCGTGTAACTGTTTAGCAGAAACTTTGCGGTGCTTCGTTACTGCCGTTTACTGTTATCCTCAAGCTAGATATTCCGGTCTGTACCTGCAGCCGGTGTAAGATTCTTATATTATATTGTTTTGGAATTAGAGCCATTTCTTGTATATGACATTTCAGTTATGTACCAGAATGTAGTAACTTGCACATTTAAAACAAGTAAAGCAATTTCTATACTGAGTGCATACTCTATAACAGTATAAGACTGGTTTAAAATATTGCTTAATTCTATTTTGTCTAGGTCCATCTATCTGATACTGAAACTAAAGCTGGTTTGACAATAGCCCCAGTTGAACAGTTGGTCACGGTGACAAGTAAACCAGTATTGGACGTCCTGTTTTCTCAGTTCCGTGCCCAGGTATCAGGTACTGTAAAATGTATGGAGAAATGTGGACCAATGGAAGTTTCCCTCGATGCTGTAGGAAGATCAGATAAACAGATCTCTCAGGTAATAATTTATTATACTTTTAGACTTATCTAGAATGGTCTCTCATCGGAGAGCCACCAGGTGGTCTTTGTTGAAAGGTGTTGTCTATCCACAAATTTGTCTCATTACTAATTTTTATTTTAAAACATAATTCAGTGTCGATGGACTTGTTTTAAAAATCACTCATTTTATAGTTGGCCTCTGTTTAAAGGTGCTATTTATTCATTCACATGTTAGTGAAATTACTTTAGTTATTCTTAAATAGAATTCTTGTAATGAAAGACATGGTCTCTACTTTAAGGTAATCTTTAAGCAAAGGTTTGACTGTAATGGCAATAAACATACAAATTGCTGTTTATAACATGAAAGGCTGATTAGGAAAAGATAATCAAATACTTCGAATGAAACCGATAAAAATGTTTGTGGTATGTCATACGTCAGCTGAAGTCAAGATACCTGTGTATTAATAAACAGATCATTTCACAGGCAAATTTCTTTCTTTTTTTTACATCCAAAAAAAAATAACATTTAGAAATAATACTCATATTAATGGCACTTTAATTTTTTTTGCAGACCCTTACATCACAGAATACAGCCACCTTTATCTTTGAGAATGTTCTACCTGGAAAATACAAAGGTAAATAATTGGTATCTTAACCTTAATAAGGGGATGGGGGGAGATATACATATATGTTAAAATAAATTTTTGTATTTAATTTTGATTTATGAAATAAACTCTTTATGATATATATTTAGGAATATTATGTTTAACCTTGAAATGTAAAAATCCAGCTTTTTTACAGAGTTGCCTTAAGATAAAGATCAGTTTATATCAACTGAAATTTGTTTTATTACAATTCTGTTTATAACCTTGAATTGTTTAGTCCATTTTTTTTTATGGAATTTCCTTTGAATTAAAGTCAAATTACATTTACTGAACATTGTTGAATTACAGCAACTATAATGAGGGATAGTTTATGTTGGAAAGAGAAGACTGTAGACTTTGAAGTGGGCAACTCTAATGTAGAGAATCTACAGTTTCTACAGACAGGATATATACTGAAGTGTACCATATCTCATCCTATAACATTGGTGAGTCTTTAAATACAATATGGACAACCCATGTGTTCTGGATAGTAATGTTTAGTTGTCATGTTTAGTTTTAGTTTAGTTAATAGCATTTTATTTTAGTTTGTGTTGGAGTCTTTAAGTTTATTAAATCACACTAAACTCCCTAAGTGAAACCAACCAGTCCTAAGCATTGAGTGTAAAGTTTCTTGCTTACAGAAACAACAGCTTGTCCCTGACTGGGTTTGAACCCACAAGTCTAGCAATGTTTAGATTACTGTTCTAGCATGTTAACCATTTGGCCACGCCGCCACTTGCAATGTGATGCAATAGTATTGCAATAGTAATGTTTGTTTAGCATGCGAAAATTTTTCTGGATTGATATACCTTTTGTCTATATTATTCAAAAGATTCCTATGACATGTTATACTTGAATGTTTAAAATTTATTTTTGACTATACTTATAAAATGCTTCCCATAAATTAGAGAGCATTAAGTCCGAAACTATCCCATTCCACCATTAATATCTTAAAGGGACTTGTCTGTTTTCCAATCTGGACAAAACCATTCGTTATTTATAGGGAAAATTTCATAATTAATATATACTGACTGAAAAGCGAATAGTAGACCATGATCAGATGGCACTGTTTTGCCAGCTAATCTTAGACATTATTTTAATGAGATTAAAAACAGAATGTTCTAAATTGGTTTTATACAGCATTTTGCCCAGGAAAAGAAGGAAGGCAGTGTGGGATCATTTGAGCTAAACAAAGGCAAGAACCGGTTTTGTCTGGCTCAACCAGGTATTTACAAGCTCACACCAGACTCGTGCCACAAGTTTGAGAAGGAAATTTATACCTATGACACGTATGTTTATACATATATATAGATGACCAATGTCTTTTTTAAATACACAAACTTATTACATTGAAAAATTTAGAAAAATTATTCTTGTATATACACATACATGTAGCTGTATTTTGAAAAGAATAACAAAGTTATTAAACCTTAGACAGCCTTTGCCAAATTTATAGATGGGCCAGTTTCTCAAAGCTCTGTTAAATTTAACCGTCTGTTAAATCCACTAACGGACGGTTAAATTTAACCGTTGTGTTAAATTCTGTTGCTCAAAATTAACGCTCACTTTAACTGCCACTTTAACAGCTGAATCTGTCTGTTAATTTAATCGAGGTTTGAACCTCCGTTAAAATTTAACGGAGGGATCCTAGAAATGAATCTGTATGTGTGATATCTGTTTTTATGCATTGACAGTCGTACTTTAATGAAATATATGCAGAATATCAAAATAGATATAATGAAGAAACAAATTTAACAAATTCCTAATAGTTCATTTTTCTCCAATAGAAATTTCTTCTATTACATGACGCTGTTTAAATTTTATAAATGTATTTAATCATTACCATAAATTATAGTGTTAGGGTTAGGTTTTTTTTTTGTTTTTGCTTGGGTTTAAAACACACAATGATACATACAATGAATAAAATAAGGTATTTCAATTTTAAGTGTCCATTTAGACAATTTTGTGTGGATGTTATTCTGTAACTAACCATATTTATTTAGTTCTACATCACTTTTTTCTGTTTTAATTGGTATTCTGAGATATCGTAAAAAATAATCGATCGAAGCAAAAATTGTAATGATAATTGGTTACGATTATGTTACGATTATCTTCAAACATATATATTATTTTTGCTTCTGACAATGATCTCTCAGAGATTAAATAAAATAATATCCTCAATCAACTCACATGGGAAATGATCACAGTTCGAAGTTCAATGTTTATTATTGTAAAAGAGGTTATGCTTTTTGAATTATACATCTAATTTGATTTCATTACTCAGCAGGTAGCATAGAATTACCAGTTTCCAGCAACATGTATGGGCCTTAACACAAAAGCTTTTTAGGTTGGTCCACTTTTCAATACACGTTGCTCTGTATGTTGATTATATCATACAGCTACTTATCTTGTGTCCTTATAAATTTCAGGTTTCCATGAATTTGTCACTGATAAATTTAGGAAATAGATATCAATTTTGATTGCTTTGTTGTAGAATAATGCATGGTTCGAATTCAAATGTGCAGGTATATAATCACAAAGGCCGATAGACCTGTATCGGTAATAAATTACAAAGCATTTGAATAATAAACCAAACTACATAATTTATAGCGTACTTCTAAGTAATTTTCCTGTGGTTTATTGATCATGTCTGATGTCAGCATCCATTTTTTATGCAGTGTACATAATGTATATATGTGAATAATGTGAAATGTGTCAGAATTTGAGTTAACACATCAAAATTTCCATTTACCTATTCCTTAAGAAGAAGAGTTTTGTTAATATTGAAATTTGTTGCTCTTATCTTTTAATCATGATTATTTTAGACAACATGTTTTACTTTGGTAATTCAGACGACATTTTGCAGACTACAGAATGGGGAATTATGGGATTGAATGAACCTGTTAACAGCTGGTTAAAATTTAACAGGGGTGTTAATTAACACTCCTGTTAAAAAGTTTTGAGCAACAAGTTTTTAACCGAATGTTAAGTAACAGTCGGTTAGCTATTTTAACGGACTGTTAATTTAACAGATGGTTAAATTTAACAGAGCTTTGAGAAACTGGCCCCAGGTTGAAACAACTTGCAGATTGGTAAAAACTGACTCTCTATACTGTTGCCTAAGTAATTTTATTAGTTTTAATACTGAGCCACCTGTAAATAACAGTGGACAGGTCCAAATTCAAAGTTGGCCAAGTTCATTATATAAATTTGGCTGTGTGAGTCTGTAACCAGTGTTTAAAAAGGAAATTTACACAAGCAATTGTCCTCTTTAGTTCTAGATAATCATATTTTTGTCATAAACTTTCAGTGTTATCCTTGAAATTCATGTGAAATTAATTTTTTTTGACAGTCAAAAAAGTTAGAGGAAGAAGGTAAAAAATCAAAGCTCATTTTGTCAGTTCTAATTAAGATGTAAAATTTGTTATGGAAAGAAATTTAAACATTATGTTGGCAAGTGATAAATGTTTTTTTTCAGTACTTCATAATTTCTGTATTTTAATGATATATCATCTTGTTATTAACACATTAGCTCAAATCCGGAGACACTCACCCTCACAGCAGTATCACACCTTGTACACGGTGTTGTAAAAACTGAGCTACCAGTCCAGGATCTGATGGTGACAATTGTGTCAGGACTGGACCAGTCTACCACAAACCTGGGACCGCTCAAAGTTGACAGTGCACCTGGTGGTAATGGTTCTAAACAGGAAGTGAAAGGACCACAAGTTTATAAATTCTCCCACTGGACTAGGTAACCAGTCTAAAGTTATTTTTGAAATTAATATTTGAAATATTTTCAATATATTTTTGAAAGTTTATTACCAGTATATCATTTGCCAAAATGGAATTGAAAAATTTAAAGCAGCATGCCTTCTGATGAGTGAAATAAATCTTTAGAAAGAATTAGAATAAAAAAAATTAAAGAAATAAGAAAATCTATAAATATTCTCAGTCAAAGTGATGCTTTGAATGTATTATAAGCAAAATATGACAGAATATAGTAGTTTTATTGTCAAAATTTTACCTATTTCTAATAGAGAAAAGGGAAATTCCAGCGTATTTAGACATGTTACTGGTAATTCCTATGGATAGTAGGTGCCTTTAAGGAAAAAGATGGTTCTATTTAGATGCCTGATCATGCCTTAGACTGTTAAAAATTTCACAAAGTTATAAAAAAAATTCTCAGACTATATACAAGATAAATGGGGTCTTTTTAATTGTTTGTGTAAATTGTATTTTGCAGATCAGGGGAGAAACTTGCTGTAACAGTGAAAAGCTCAGAGATGTTGTACACACCACCCTCCATGGAAGTTAACATTGTTGGAGGTAACTGAATTATCTATATTTATACCTGATAAAGCCAATACACTATTTTTATGTTCCTGCAAATTTTTGACATATAATGTTACGCACCTGCCTGGGTCATTATTGGCCTGTCCCGGGGTCACTTGATTTATATAAACTAATAGAGAAAAACACATTTAAGTCTAATTTTATGAAACTACCAAGCCCAGAGCTAAGATATTTGGCATGTGGTATTAATATGTAGATTTCTACAAAAATTGTATAAATCTTGACCCTCAGGTCAACATTAGTTAACATTTTAATCAAACAGACTGGATTTAAGGTCAAGATCAAAATGCAAAAGTTAACCAGTCAGAAATATAAAATCTTTGTTAGACTGCAATCCATTAAGTGGAGACTGGTTTTGCTCTATACTGATGGGACAGAAATTTTACTTTTGCTTTTGATGTTCAGTGAATTTCATACATATTTAAAAACAGTTAAGTATATTGAAAGAAATTTAGCGTCAGTATACAAAAAAATTTAATCAGTAGTATTAAATGACTTATCAAATGTTCCCTTTCTTCATATTTAGATTCCTGTCCAGGAGAAATGATAAAATTCAGTGGCGAACGAGGTTTGTTTATAATAGGTCACGTTGAGCCGGCGCTAGCTGATGTCACGATCACTGTTTACGATAGTGAGGAGAAAGTCGACCCTGTCACAACACTGACCGGTAGTAATGGAGGCTTCAAGTAAGTTGAAAATATTTAAACAATTGTGGTTTTACTTCCTGAAAAAAAACACACACCAAAAAACTGGAAAGTTTTTCCATTATTTCAAAAGTGTTGGTCCATAGGGAAGGGTCATATGTATTGTCTCAATACATATGACCCTTCCCTATAGTGCTGCAAATTCATAGGGTAAAATGACACCGAAGTGGTCTATGTCAGCCAACAGCAAGTTTTATATACCAAATTGTTCGTCTTGGTCTGTAGTTTCCGGAATGAATATTCATTTGGTTCAAGTCCGATGCGTAGCTTAAAAATCCAAGATGGCGTCAAAGATGGCCGCCAAATCCCTAAATATTCTAGAATATTAATATTTGCTCATATTTGTTTCCGCTTTTGTATTTCAAGTGAAATTTTTGCACGGAAGATATCATTTAAAGCGTTTTATACGAAGAGATTTAATTTTATTTGAGAAAACAGATTGCTTTTTGCTTTTTTATACGTAATAAAGCAAAATAATGCTAAACTTGTGGTTTTTTGTAGTGATGTTCCGATTGTCGCAAGTCGCTGATAATCAGTTACTGTTATGTAAAGCGACAATAATCGATTCACAAAAAATTGTTCCGCGACGTCGTCGAAAATGTTTAAAGTATCAAAACGAATTAATTCTGACGATAATTTTCTTTAAGGAACACCTCGCCGATGGCAAAAAAATTATCTCAGAGACAATTTGGAGTTGAATAGGATCAATACGTGATGTAAACAATAGTAATATAATGTGATGTGAATGTTATTATTTGACATCCATTGGAAAATTAAATCTATTTCGTAAACTAAATAGGGTTAAAACTGTGTTGAAAAGTGCTAAATGAAGTTCATATTACTGAATATAATCAAGTGCCTTGGGAGAAAATGTTTCTTCCCTATTTCTTTTTAACGCGACTTTAATCGGAAAGTAATCGATTATGTCCCATCCGATTGAACCGACGATCGATTGGGACAAATTTCATCCGATTTCCATCACTAGTTTTTTGCTATGATACTCTTGTCTTAGCTTAAACAGAGAAATATTTATCACTTATTTTGTTATTCCACTATTGTAATGTATTCATGAGAGTAATGCTTTAATGCATTCATATCATATCTGAAGAAATCTTTCTTTGTAATTATGCAGTAAGACATATAAAATGAGAGGCGGTACATTAAAATAGTTTTTCTAAGTAAGGTTGTAACTGGTACTTATTTGTTCTATCAATTATTTCCCCAAATTTTGTGTTTCTGTCAAATTATAGCTTCTTTAGTGCAGTCCATGTAACTGATTAACATAATAAACCAGGAATATGACAATTTGCTTCTGGTTATTTAATGAATTATTGTTCAAATCGTACCCCACCCACTATGAATAAAAATCTAAAGAAACTCTGACCCCTCGATTATACTGATTATATGGAATGACAATATTTACGTAAGTTAATAAACATAAGGTGATTTTCAAAGTGTGATACTATTACAGGTATCCTGTCAGATCTAAAAATCTGTTCAAAAATTTAATAAGCATGATTTTGTTGTAAGTTCATCTAAGGATTTGAAAAGTACTATGTATGCAAAACAACCTCTGCTCATTTATTTTTATATTACAGACCTTTTTATGTCAAATGAAATGTAATTTATTTTTTGAACTTTCTTAAATTGACAAAATAGCCATTTAAAAAGTTTGATATTTTATCTACATAGATCATTACTCTGTTGACCTTCGGTTACATGAAACATGCATAGTAGTCGGATAAAACATAAGGTTTATATGTTTTAAATAGTCTATAATATGCCTTTGAATATGTTACCTGCTTTTAAAGATTGTATTCTGACCTTTGATCCCGTTATATAAATCCATTTTATTTAGTTTCGCCCATTGTTCTCTATTTCTTGTGGACAATATGTTGTATGTTGTGAAATTGCACAAACATTTTACATTGAAGATACCATGATCACTTCGTATGTATACATTTAAAGACGTGTCTTCACTTCCTTTAAAAGTGTACCAGTTTATTTAAAATTGAGAATTCTGCTTAAGCCGGTGCTAGAGGGTGTGGATGGTAGGTAACTTGCAATTACCACTACCGGTGTGTTCCTATATGACATCACAGTGTAAATAAAATAAATCCCCGCCAAGCAAAATTCTAACAATTGTTATGGTTACATTAGACGAAACAAATTAAATACATACAATTGATCGTGTACAATTAAGGTACAGCCTAATTACCATAACTAAACTTCTCGATGCCTTAAAGGAAGGCAGAGCAACAAGAACATCACTTACCAAGATAGAAGATGAAATTAAAACAATAAAGAACGCACAAAAAACGAAAATGTTGCAGGCTCGGTTTGATTTAGCCTGTTCAAGAACAGCACTGTCAAGTGCAAACTACAGTACACGCCCCCTTGCACCGAATTAAGCAGAATTCAACATTCAAATCATGGTTATGGTGAACTTTTGGATTAAGAAACAACCACAGACGCGCTTATAATGTGGTTATCATGGAACACGTTAGTGTCATTCCATAAAAAGCGGCGTATGGTCCCCAAGTACAAGAATGTGAGTGCCCTAAACAAGAAAACAATGGGCGGAACTTAATAGCATGGAACTTTGAAAGGGGATCAGAGGTTATGAAGCCTTCATGCCACAGATAAGCTGTCATCTCCACATAAATCAGGCCTGCTTATACCTAGACGTAAAAGAGTTTTTAAAGTACAATTAAATTTTAAATATATCTGAATTACGACGACAGGACTTTGTAAAATATTTACGTAATTTATGATAGCGAAAGCCTTGTCAAAGAAGTTTGCCAGTAATAAATAAATTGCGTTCATTAGAATCATCCCAGGCAAATCTAATTAACTTAGAAATATATGTACCCAATATGATGTTGCATGAAGTACATGTGAACAGTTAACAACGTCATTTAAAAAAAACAATTATCATAGATTTTAGTTATGTACAATCTTATTGTTAATGATAGAAATGTTTAAATTTGAAAATATTAAGAGTTTGTATTATTCATTTTACGTTCACTTAGATATATTTAAGATTTCACTTGATCAAATTTGATTAATTATGTTAAGGATATTATCTAGGTAGCGGTAAGTGCTATTTAATGCAACGTATAGCTCCCGGTTGTGAAATAGTAGAGAGACTTAACATAAAATCCCTCAAGTAACAATATAAAAGTAAATAAAGTAAACTAACATGTCATTGACATTATGATTGTAAAAATCAGGAAAAGAGAAGATCCTTTGAGAGCAATTAAACATGGCAAAGTTGATAATTCAAACTCAGTTTGATGGGGTCTGTTCATGAGAGACCATATCTCACGTCTCTTAGTACCGACTAAGTAGTATCCAATCCTCAACTATAAAAGTTTTGCAATCAATGATTCCGAAAGACCAAGTCGTCCGGTGAGCTCAATAGGTAGAGCGTTGGACTATGAATCGGGCAACCCGTGTTTGGTTCCCGGACGGGGCAGGTCACTTTCGTTGTGATTGATAATGAAATAGTTTCTACGGTTATTCGCACTGTACCACTTCTCTGCTATGTACAGAAGTTTCAGTTCCTTGCGAAAGTGAAGGCAACCAGTACTGGTAAACTGCTTGACCGCCTGCCCAGGAACGATGCGTTGGTTGAACTGCTCTGGTAAATTCAATATGGTTACTGCTGTGATCCGGATTGAAAACTACCGACACAAACATCACCATCCCGAAGGACCTATTAATATAACGCTGTTTTGATATAGTAAAACAGAATCCCTAAAGAAAGTCCAACACGACAGTATTGAAAATGTTGCAGGCTCGGTTTGATTGAGCCTGTTCATGGACGGTACTGGAAAATGCAAGTTACCGTCCACGCCCCCTAGCACCGGCTTAAGCAGAATTCAACATTTAACACGAAAACGGTGAAATTTTGAATTTAGAAACATCCGCAGATGTGTTCATACGGCGGTTATCATGGAACCTTCAATGTGACACAGTAGTGCCATACCATGAAAAGCGGCGTATGGTCCCCAAGTAAAAGAATGCTTTTGCCCTAAACGAGAAAACAATGGGCGGAACTAAATAAAATGGAATTTTGGAAGGGGATCTGAGGTTATGAAGCCTGCATATCACAGATAAGACGTCAAAAGACAAATTTAAAAAGCAGGCAACATATCCTAAGGGTGATTATACAGTATTCAAGTAGGAATACTGGAACCACCCAAGTTGAAAAAGGCCAAATAGAAGAAACAAAAAGTACCACATTACATGTCATGATGTGTACACGACAATAATGTTGTGCTGAACGATCTTCAAGGATCGAAAATATAACATCATTGATTAAATGTACGGGGAACCTGTTAACCTGCTGTTGCAGACTCGGTTTGATTGAGCTTGTTCATGGACGGTACTGAAAAGTGCATGTTACTCTACGCTCCCCTAGCACATAGTATTACTATCAAGTACCCGCCAGGGAAAAGATTAGCTATTTTCGTCCAAGTGAAAGCTCTTCTTAATTCCTCCCATGAAGTTAACAACAAACTTGAAACAAAATGCTCAAACTCATACACAGGAGCTGTCATTAGGACAGCGTGCTCGACTATTCTCAGTGCTTGATAGTAAAAAAATGGGACATAATATTGTAAAAAAGCTTGATACAGTGACCTCCTCTGTACACAGGTTGAGATTATAATGGTGAACAAGTGTGCAAGGTCTCAAAGCGATATATCGATGGAATTTTGAAATTATCTGAGGTGGTAACGTAAATTCAAAGTTGAGAAAAGGGGCATAATTCTGTCAAAATGCTTGATAGACCTCCAGTGTTAAAGTGGAGGACATGGTGGTAAACAAGTGTGCAAGTTTCAATGACATATGTCAATGGACTTTGAGATGGTACGCAAACTTTAACGCCGACGCTCGGGCGACTAGGATAGTTGTCCTTAATCGTCGAATAGTTGAGCTAAAAAGAAAATAATATATATTTTCAATTCACTCAATATATATATATTTATATTTATATAATATTTTATTCATAATTCAGATCCAGTCTAGCAGAAAAAGACTGTAAACTGAATAACCTACCCGTTTTATGTTCTAGCAAATTGCATCTTACATTTTAATGTATATATTATATCCATTATCAATAATGACAAAACTCCAAATATGGTTCAATTGTAGATTATCATATGTTAAGCCAATGCCTTAAAACAAGAGCTACATGTCAGACAGCACACGCGATTATTTAAAATCAACAGCCTGCATAATAAAGAAATTCTCTTATTCATAAAGTAGTATAACTCTTTGAAATAAAAACATATTAGAGGGAAGTAACCTACAATAATGATGGTTGTGGAGATTAATCTTGTCCGAAAAATTCTGTAAGTTAATAAATAGATTATTATTATTTCCTAATAAATGCTTGGTAGCTTATGGGTCTTGAACAGTGACCTACAAGTATAATCAAAAATCATATTTGAAGACTAACAATGAATGTTTATGGCTAAGGAGGAACAAACTTGCAAACAAATCCTTAACAAAAGGCAAGCACAAGGTCAACGCAAATACCGAATTGCAGATCAGTAAATTAGTTCCTTATTGTGTGCATACAACAAATAAAAGAGATATTTCAACATTTAGACACACATGCAGGGCATTTTCTATGAAAGGTAAGATGTCTCATCACTAACCAATTAAATAAAATTGTTAATTATTTTAATATCACTATTATAATATAATACTAAAAAAGTATTTAATTTAAAGTTGACTCCCCGTTCGTAATACCCCACCCACTTTGTATATGAATTCAGATTAATAAAACACATTTATGGCATAGTTGGCTTATTCTAACTTATTTTAAATATGTGAAGATATAGTTTTAAAGCTGTATTAAACGAAATCATGAATGTAATTCAGTTTAAACAAGAATAAAACTAATAAGTTACACATATTCAGAAAGCACACCCAGTTTGCAACATATTTTTTCTTCTTTCGTTTAAATTAGGCTATGAAAACTAGAAAAAAAATCAATAAAGTCAAACTTTATAGCATGAGTAAGTTGAAAATAAGAAATTTTATGCAAAATTTCAATTGATTTGCAAAACTGAAAAAGAAAATAAGCCAACGTAAATATACTAGAATATTTATGGATTTGGCGGCCATCTTTGACGCCATCTTGGATCTCTAAACTACAGACCCAGACGAACATTTTGGTATATGAAACTTGCTGTTGGCTGACATAGACCAGTTACCCCTCTAAATAGGCTAGTAAAATGGGCTGATTTGCAGCACTACTATGGACCAAAAACACCAATTTATAGGCAGTATAAATCCCAAGGCAGTCTGACCATTTCTTTCTAAATGATATCCCTAAAACTGATACTGGACTGCTTCAACTTGTCCATTCATCAGATTTAGGGTTAAGGATTGAAATATTTTTATTGTGCCCCCACTATAGGGGGGGGGGGCATTTAGATTTACCCTTGTCCGTCTGTCCGTCCATCTGTCTGTTCTCTTTTTGTGTTGCATGTAGGTCAAAAAGTAATTGACCTAGTGACATGAAACCTTACAGAAATGTTGATCACCAAGTGAAGTTGTGCACCTTGGTATCTTCATGTGGATATATTTAGTATTTTTAGAGTTATTGCCCTTGAGTTATTAAAAATTTGCCATTTTTCAACTTTCGTCGCACATAACTAAAAAATTTGACCTAGAGTCATGAAACCTTACAAGAATATTGCTCAGCATGTGTAGTTGTGCACCTGGGTATTTTCCTGTGGATATTTGTAGTATTTTTAGAGTAACTGCCATTGACTTAGTAAAACATATTCAATACAATATTCAACTTGCGTTGCACGTAACTCAAAAAGTATTTGACCTGTAGACCTGAAAGTTTTCAAGAATGTTGGTCAGCATGTGTACTTATGGATTTATTCAGTATTTGTAGTACTTGTATGTAGCCAAAAAAAATTTGACCTACAGACATAAGATTGACAAATCTGTGGAGTGTGGGGGCACCCGTGTCCTATGGACACATTTCTAGTTTGACCTTTCTCTTTCGCATACTGTTGGTGGTACAAAGTCTCTGAATTTGCTTGTATTCAATATTTGATTAAGTTAAGAAATCATTTTTGTCAGAACATACATGTAATTTATAATTGCACATTTATTATTTCACTGAATTTGCTTGTTCATATTATAATTAAAGGTAGATAGTTCTCTGGTTTATAAACAATCTCATTTATTCCCTATTTATTATTTCTTCACAGAATTGGTCCCCTTCACAAGGGTTTTGATTACCAGGTAAGGGCCGAGAAAGATGGATATGTACTGGAGAAAGATGAGGAAGAAATGGCCGTATTTAAGGCTAGAAAACTCAGTAGAGTTGACGTCAAGGTAGGCTTATAGTAATATTATAAGTGTTAAAATGTGAAACCATCTTCTGTTTGAAAACCGTAAGGACTATAGTGAGTCTAATGAGTATGTATGCAAGCCGCCATATTGGAATTTTTTGAATAATTAGTCACAGTTGGAAAGACCTTCGCATATGGCACACATGTATTAAAAATTTTTATATACGAAAACTGTGTAAAAAGAAGACGAGAATGGCTTCATGGTATTATTATATTAACAGACATATTTAAGAATAAATCCTGTTGAATTATGTAGTTTTAAAGATGTTTTCTTAACTTTCCTTAAATTTGAATATTAACATTTTATTCATAAATTTGAGTAACTACAGTTATTGATAATTTATATCTGTTTTACCAACTGATTTATATGATAACACATGTCTGATGAAAAAGATTATAGTACTATGAAACAATTTGTTCTATTAATAGATAATTGATGAAGCAGATCAGCCACTATCGGAAGTGTTACTTTCGTTAAGTGGAGGTAAACAATACAGGAGTAATAATCTTACACATGAAGATGGAACTATGGTGTTTATGAATCTCGTAAGTCATAGCTATCTACATAAGTTAAAAGTTTCAATATAGGGTTAAAGCACGTTTTTCCGTGTTATAACGTCTGCAGAGTCCCGAGGAACGGTTGGTGCCCGAGCCCGGTAGGGCGAGGGCTCCAACAGTTCCGAGGGACTCTGCAGACTTTATAACACGAAATAAACGTGCGTTGACGCTATTATAGCATAAAATTTTCAAACAGATTCGTGATGTATAGTTTATACAAAACACAATTACATTAAATTCTTGTGCTTGGACGGTATTTATCCAATTCTATGTTTTACGTATGCGTTTCATTTTTCCGGGGCCAACAACTTGGAAAATTCTCGGAACCGAACGAAATTTTGAATTTTAATTGATTTAACAAAGCTTGGCCTTTGGAGATTTATTATCTCAAGAAAAAAAAAACGTTACATTACTCTACCCTCTACCCAAGACAAAACATGACCCTCAGAAATTCTTAGAATGATTTCAGATTGACGGTAGAAAAAGATCAGTGACATCAGAATCGGTTTTTTTTTCAAGCAAACAAGTTTACAAAAAAATCAGGCACTAAGCATTATTCTCTCAAAGAAATATAAAGAGCATTTATCAACATTAACATAAATAAAAAACATTTTCTCATATTAATTTTGTGTTATCTAGTTTTGTAAGTTAATCGGAGTGTTAAACTGAATGACAGGTAGATTCTACTGTATTTGTTTACATTGACAACTGTCCGTTTCTTAGAAAGGGCGACAACCAAGATTAGCACCGATGTCTATACGCCGTTTTTCCGGCATAGTTACTTGAATATGCGACTGAGGCCCTCGAATCAATAAATTTCAATATAACAAGAGCGCATGACTCTTTGGCAAACAGGCCAAATCGTCATTTTTTGTTTGTTTGTTTACTGGGCCCTGTATGTATTGCGCATAGGTGAAACCGGGCTATAACAAGAGCGCGTGACTATGTTAACACATGGTTTTGGTCCCGTTATAACATGGGCAAAAGAGGAAAAAATAGCCAATTTTATGCTATAATATCTTTTTAAGTTAGAAGTTTCAAACGGATCTTATGCATGACTATGGAAGGTTGATGGTTTAACTCGGGTGTCCAGAGATTTTAACTCAGATACCTGTTTGTTCTGGAAATACTGCGCAAAGGTTCATCTTAGGTCATCCTCCTCTAGTAAAGCTGGAAAGTTACAAAATGACCTTAAGTCCTTTACACGACTAAAAAAACCTAATTCAAAGCTTGAAATGTTGCATGAATTAAAGCATCAGTAGATATAGCAAACTCTATTGACCGTCAACCAGGTTGCTCATACATTCTTTCTCCATTAAGTGAGCAATTTTATACCATGACAAATATCCTTTTGTGAGATGGAATATTTCTTGACCTGGTAAAATAATTTGATTCTTGAAGAATGCTGCCCCATAATTTCATTGTATAATAATAATTATTTGACAGAGTCCTGGTCAATATTTTCTACGTCCTATGATGAAGGAGTACAAGTTTGAGCCCGTGTCACAAATGCTCGAAGTCCTTGAAGGTACCACTGTCGAGGTCAGCATTAGAGGTGTCAGGACAGCCTACAGGTAAGTCTATGCAGAAGTTTTGTAACCTGATTTTTAGAATAAATAAATAAAACACAGACTGAAATATTTGAGCTCATAAATATAACTAAAAATGTATCTATAGTATATAGGTGTTCACACATTTCACTGTATATCAATCTATGAAAGGACAATATGGTAGGAGTTCTAACAAGAAGACACTTATGTGGCTACTCCATTGTTGTGTCCATTGTTCTTTGTAGCCACGTAAAGGAAAATAGCCACAAAAATAGCTTACAACAATTAAAAAAGCTTAAACAATTTTATAAGCAGTAACATCTGAGGGATGTCATGATTGCTATTTGATGAATTTTTGCATCCTTTATGGTAATATTTGTTTTTGGTGCATATATTGGCTTATTGCTCAGTTTCCATGGCACTCTTATCTCTGAAGTTTTTTTAACAGTTAAGAACTTCAAACTGTATTCTATTTGGGTGTCTTGGAGTAGTCATAGGGTGTCTTGGGGTAATTAGACCGACCAATTCTATTCTATGTTTATTTCAGTTGTTACGGTCAGGTTACATCATTAAACGGGGAACCAGAGCCAGGTGTATTTGTGGAAGCGCTAGGTATTGATGATTGTTCTATGTATCAGGAAGAGAGTAAAACAGAAGCCAATGGTAACTACAGGATACGAGGTCTACAGGTAATAGATAAAATAATATATATTTATAATACTGCACGTTTGTAACGTCATTTTTCATTGGATAATCGTGACGTTTATATAGTTTTATATACACGGCTGCTGTCGATTCATGAAGAAATCTTAGTTTTTATCTCTAAAAATGATGCTTGCTGTATTATAAATTCGTTATAAAGATTGTTGACATGTTATATGGCCGTATATAAATGGCTATATACGGCTGTTTGCAATATAACCCTCGCCTGATGGCTCGGGTTATATTTATAAAAAAGCCGTTTATATAGGGCCATATAACCTGTCAACGATCTTTATAACTAATAATATAAAATAATATATATATATGATTACTCTGTACTAATTCTTTACATGGCCTGTGTTTGGTCATTTGGAAGATAGCTATATACTATATAGCAAGGGGCATCTGAAATCTTCTTTACCGGTAAAGCTGAAAAGTCGCATGTGACTTGAAACCCAAATTGACTTGATTTTAATAAGTTCCAGCTTTGCTCTGTAACACTATGCTATACTTCTTTAATAATATGTCAACTTATGTAATATCCTATGTAAAAGGCACTAATGCGTCAGAAATAAACTTTCTTTAGAACAAACATGAATTTTATTACTTTAAGAAAAACGGTTTTAGAGCATGTTAGATACTTGTTACCTGAAGAAAGTAGTGCTTAATGCAAAATAATTTGTCAAAAAAAGTAGCAAAATGTAAACAAGGTAGTATTTTGACTTTCTTAGAAATACAAATCACTATAACTGTACCATTTGCCGAAAAAGCAACAGAAATAAAAGATGGTTCAGATAATTATTCAATGTGTAACTTACTCGAAACTATTCAGTGCACCACAAAATAAAAAGATTTTCAAAGATAAAAATAAAAGCATTTCTTGGGCATAAGCACTTTGTGACAATAGTTTGATGAATGTTTTGTTCAGTTCCCTTCAGAATTGGAGGAGTTGCGCACAGAAGACATTGTTGAATATCAATGTAATAATGAATTTTTTCCTTTGGTAAAACCTATTTCAAAAAGCAATGTTGAGACATGTAAAAAGCATACAATCTTTGTTATAAACTAGTACAAGAATAATGCATCTGTTTTCTTGTTTGCAGCCAAAATGCAAGTATGAGATAAGACTGAAAATTGGAGACATGAACAAACATATTGAACGGGCGGCACCAAAGTCTAGAATTGTCTTGGTAGGTATAGTTTTATAACTTACAGAATCTTTGTAATTTTGTCAATGAATGTGAAAGGTTGAATATGCTGCCTGTTGTCAAAGACTTGTTCTTCTTCCACTATCAAATCGGAAAATATTTTCAGTGTTACTTGTCCTGCAGGATGAGTTGCTTCTAAATCCAAAGTACAGGCAACATTTTTTTACTCGTCCTGCATTGTTCTCTTAAATTCTACTCGTAATTATGAGGGGACAAGTGGAATTTTCGATCTCTGATATATTTGTATTCGCCTTATAGACATTTTTAGCTCACCTGTCACAAAGTGACAGGGTGAGCTTTTGTGATTGCTTTTCGTCCGTCGTCCGTCCGTAAACTTTTACTTAAAATGACATCTTCTCATAAACCACTGAGCCAATTTCATCCAAACTTCACAGGAATGTTCCTTTGGTGGTCACCTTTAAAAATTGTTCAAAGAATTTAATTCCATGCAGAACTCTGGTTGCCATGGCAACCGAAAGAAAAAACTTTAAATATCTTTTTTTAAAAACTCAAAGAGCTAGAGCTTAGATATTTGGCATGAAACATCTTCTAGTATGTGTCTACCAAGTTTGTTCAAATAAAAGCCCTGGGGTGAAAATTGGCCCCGCCCCAGGGGGTCATTGATTTTCCCTATATGCATATAGTAAAAACTTAAAAATCTTCTTTAAAGAACCCAAAGAGCTAGAGCTAAGATATTTAGCATGAAACATCTTCTAATGAGTGTCTACAAAGTTTGTTCAAATAAAAGCCCTGGGGTCAAAATTGGCCCCACCCCGGGGGGTCATTGATTTTCCCTATATGCATAAAGTAAAAACTTAAAAATCTTCTTTAAAGAACCCAAAGAGCTAGAGCTAAGATATTTAGCATGAAACATCTTCTAATGAGTGTCTACAAAGTTTGTTCAAATAAAAGCCCTGGGGTCAAAATTGGCCCCGCCCCAGGGGGTCATTGATTTTCCTTATGTGTGTATAGCAAAAACTTAAAAAAATCTTCTTTGAAAAACCCAAATAGCTAAAGATTAGATATTAAGCATGAAACATCTTCTAGTAAGTGTCTACAAAGTTTGTTCAAATAAAAGCCCTGGGGTCAAAACTGGCCCCGCCCCAGGGGTGTCATTGTTTTTAACTATATGTGTATAGTAAAAACTTAAAAATCTTCTTTTAAAAAACCCAATTAGTTAGAGGTTACATGTTAAGCATGAAACATCTTCTTGTGGGTATCTACCAAGTTTGTTCAAATAAAAGCCCTTGGGTTAAAATTTGCCCTGCCGGGGGGGGGGGGGGGGGGAAGGGGGGCAGCAGAGGTCATTGTTTTTCATTATATGTGTGTTGTAAAAACTTAACATCATGAAACATCTTCTAATTGGGTGTCTTCCAAGTTTGTTCAAATAAAAGCCCTGGGGTTTAAACTGGTACCGCTCCGGGGGCCTTTATACAGGTAAGCGACCTAAGGGCCATCATGGCCCGCTTGTTTATCTCTTGTGAATATTTTCCAACCGGATTGATTGAAAAGATAGTCTTTGTTGATGTGAACTTATTGCTAAATTAGGATTTTTGGTAAAAAAAAATTTTAAAATGTTACCAAAGCTGAATATGATTTTCTGTCGAACAGGTTGAAAAGACGGACTTTGTTGGTGTGAACATTATTGCATTCAGACGTATGAATCAGATGGACATCAGTGGAAATGTTGTAACAGAACCTGAATTCTTACCTTCTCTTAAAGTAAGCTTAGTTTTAAATCAGTATTGCTATGCTATGAATTGTGAGTAAATCATAAGTTACAAATTGTAATCTATGTTCTCTTTAATGAACATTTTTTTTTTTCATAAACTAATATGACTGAATGGTACAAATTGTAATTTAAACATAAATTTCATTAGATAAACACAATTACTTAGCTGCCAAATAATTTTTAGTGAAACAGATTTATATCTATATAATAAACTGGCCAGTTCCATTTTGAATAATGCACGGAGGGGCACTTGAGGTCTTCCTCCACCAGTTAAAGCTGGAAAGTCTCAATATGATCTCTTCTATGTCATTTTGATATGAAACCTAGTGAAAAAAACAACAACAAAAAAACAAACAACAAAAAAAACAAGCCCCATTTCATACAGTTTTAAAGTTAATAAGAGAAAAACCAATTCAGAGCAGCAACCTTAGAGATAATAAAACCAATTTAATTTAACTGTTAAAATTTTTTATTGAAATATTTCATAAAATATAGATTTAGACCCTTTAAGAAAGGTTGAATTTAATGTGAAATTGTACCTGGGGAACAAATAATACAATGTATAGAAACTATTTCAATCCATTATATAGGTAAGACTGTACAAGGAGGATAATCCAGGTGTACCAATGTTCACTGCTCCACTAGGTGTGGTCAGTTTCTTCTATCTACCATCTCTTCAAATGGACGATTCGGTAAGTTAACAAAACTATAAACTTTTGTTTTACTGATAGTACATAATTGTATATTTTGTGATTTAAACTATTTCAGCCCACTTTAAAGGGTGGGGGTTGGGGGCAGATATTGATTTGCCCATGTTTGTCTGTAGACTGACAAAACAATGCAATATGGGGGCATTCATGTCCTATAAACACATTAAATTTTATACTTCTCAGATCCAATAGGATGCTTGCCTATGGTATCTGTCACTCTTTAAAAGCTTAATTTGTGTAATGGCTTTGTCTGTTTTGAATTTGAAACTGTCTATCATTAGTGCAAGTTGTGATTTCAATAATATCAAAAAGCTAAAATTTAGCTACCAACACTTACAGTAGAGAGAGAAGCTGGCTTGATACTGGTGGTATCATTACCACCATTAGTATACTTGGGTGTTGATTTTAACCTTTTCACAGCCGATTTTATGAAATTGGATTATACAAAAAAGTTTTGTGATACAATTGTCAGTCACTGTGTAAGACTTAATTGTGGTAACTTTAGAACTTTCACCTAATCAGTTTAAATTTGATTGTATTTTACATGTTGATTCAATGTTTTACAGGTATATACTGTGCGTCTAGAAACCTCGCTGTCCAAGAATACTCATGACTTTGTACAGCCAGAGATAGAAATTAGGGCCAACCTATCATACAAGCATATTACATTTAGATTTGAACCAAAGGTAAATCAATACTGACGTTGTTTAAAAGAGTTAATACATATTGTCATATATTGCTCAGTATACCCATCTGTTATGTTGATTTGATTAAGCACATCTTTTGTTAGAAACTATGTGTCAATAAATCTTTTGTTGAAATATTAACCTATTGAGTGCATTTGTTATGCTAGACTTAAACATTAACTATCCACGGAAATTATCCCTTACAATGTGTCCAAAAAATAATTTATCAGGGTAAACCTTTCCTCAGTGAGTAACTATGTTGAAAAATTATGATAAAAATAGTAAATATAAATTTCACTTGGATTTTGAATAGTGCAACATTTCTTAAATTGTTATCATGGTTTTTCATAAAAAAATTTTTTTTTAAACTTATTGGTATCCATCTGAAAATGTACAGCTTTAAAACCCAGTATTTCAACTCTGTATTTCATAGATATAAGCATAAACTAAAAGTAATTCCATATTTCACTGAAATCAAATGTTATATTCTGTTTATGTTATAATGTGTATTTTGAATCTAGTGTTTGTTTAATTTAACAGAGGAAGTCGGTAGAACAAGAGTTGAGTCAGAGTTCTGTACTTGTGTTACCTCTCACCATCCTTATAGCAGTTGCTGTCTACCATTATCAAAAGGTAAAAAAAATATATGCCTCCTAATATGGTATACATATTTCAGTGCTTGATGCAAAATTGATGTCATTCTATCAAACAACTTGTATTAAATTGGGGACCTTTCTGTTAAAAATGTGTCAGAGTTAAATCGTAGACAGAGTGCAGGTTTTAATTACTGTCACTTCAAAGCATATTCATTGATTGGCTCATTTTTTTCTGGGGTTTACATATTGTGACGGCAGAGAAAGGGATAGTGGCCTTAGAAATATCATATTCAGATGCTAGTTCATTGGTTATTTTTTTCTGGGGTTTCATATTGCCTATGATACAAAGAGAAAGGACATCAAAATACTCTGTAATCTGATTTATACTCGGGAGCTATGCCCCTTCATACAAAACAGATAGCCTCTTGTTTGATGCTCTATTACTTAACAGACATGAAATATTGCATCAGTCCCATGTATTATAGACTATTTCAAACATTTATTGTTCTTTTACTTTGAGTTGGGAACTATTAGTTGTTTGTATTTTATTAAAAAGAAGCTATAGGTTACTAAAATGATGAGGGAAATAGTAACAATATGACCTTTTTAGCTTGATTCTTGTTTTGTTATGCTTTAATTCTGTCAGCCTTTGCAAAGAATTTAATGTAAATATTTGGTGAAAAAATATGTTGCTTCTTGTCAAACTTTTATGCCAAACTTTCTTAAAGACCTTTATTTTTTTTTCTTTAATAACTATACGGAAACAAGTTTTCTTGCATATTCAGGTGTAACCTTATAGTCATTGATTGTTATCCTTAGTCAATAAAAAAGCGTCACTAACTTAGTTAAGGAATATTTGATTAACTCATAAAATTTGTTGAATGCTGTAGACTTTTATTTAATGGGTTTTGTTGATTTCTGTTTTATTAAAGCAACTGTTAGATTCAGACCCTCTGCTGTACAGTACCACATAGAAGAGATTTTTATTTTTACCCATTTTATATACTTTTTTCTTACTCGTAAGTTTTGGTTATACTTATTCACCTTTACCGTATTTTATATACTGTTCCAGCTTTTACCATTTGGTCAGCAGTTGTTGAGCCAGGCACAGGCATTTGTACAGAAACGTCAAGCTGCGGTCAATGTTCACCAGCAACAACAACAACAACCCACCCAATACTCTCCCATACAAGATTTTGACTTACAAGACTCGCCTGTACTTAGAAAGAAAAATAAACCCAGGAAAACTTGATAGTAATGTTCAATGTCTAGGTTTATTCAATTCAGTTAACAAAATAATGTGTACAGTAGTGCAATTTGATATTGTGAGCATATGACATAATTATATGTTTGATTGAAAATCAAGAAAATTTTATGGTAGTTTAGTTTTCCTAAACTGCAGAAACATTCCAATAATTAGGCCTCAGTTTAACAAGCAAAGTCATAGAACAAATCAGGATTAGCTATTTTGCTGACAGAAATTGTATGATCTTACGTTATGTACAAATTTTACATTAATTATGCGTCAGTATTTTGATAGCAGTCTGTTCAAGTATTAAAGGACATTTTCAAATTCAGAAGAGGTTTTCAGGAATACAAATTTAGCAAGGTATCTATGGAAACAAAAATCATTATTTAAGTATTACTTTAAAACAAACATTTTGATTTATTCTGTAGTTATGGGAATTGATTCTATCACAGCCTAAATAGAAACACAGGTTTTTATTTACTTACTGCCGTTGTACTGCCATTATAATGATTTTATTGTCCATCTTTACCACTTGATCTTTGAATGTATTGTATATGAATAACCTCATTTGTTAACCCAGCATCTTTACCCATTGTTTATCTCAGAAGTTTCTTGTATCAAGATTATTATTTATCCATTTTATTTACATATGTCTAGATAGTGTGACTGATTTTATAATACTTGTAAATGTAATTTGTATTTTTTTGGTGGCGCATAATCATGTACATGTAGTTGCCAATTTGTGCTTTTGCTCCACCTTCTGTCACACTTGATTATCATTTCTCAGATCACCTTCAATTTTTGACTGATACATTACCTTTTTGTATTTGGTGTGTTGGTACATGGACATTTTCAGGTCAGTTTTTGTCAAGGTCATCTAGGCTAAAAATAGACTTCCATTAAAAGGTCATCTTTTTGGTTTTGTCAAAATAATTTTGGGAACCATACATTAGTGTAAGAAATATTCTTGTTTCAGTGTGAAAGTATTGAGTACATGTATACAATTTGTTATTTGTATTTCAATCATCAGTGTACAAATGAGCCGTGTCATGACAAAACCAACATAGTGCGTTTGCGACGAGCATGGATCCAGACCAGCCTGCGCATCGACCAGCCTGCGCATCCGCGCAGTCTGATCAGGATCCATGCTATTCGCTTACTAACTCTATTACAAGTAGAGAAACTGACAGCGAACAACATGGATCCTGATCAGACTGCGCGAACGCGCAGGCTGGTCTGGATCCATGCTGGTCGCAAACCCATTATGTTGGTTTTGTCGTGACGCGGCTCAAATAAGGTTTTTAGTGGATTTTTTGCATTTCACATTGGTATGTATGATTATTTCACAGTGACAGAGTTAAGTGATTGGTTTAATTTTCCTGTGCAAAAGTAAATTATATGTATTTTATTGTATTGATGTGTGTGTCAGAAAGTGTACATCAAGTTTGTCTGAGCTTTTTTATTTAAATTTTTTTTTATAACAGAAACAAAATAAAATCTGGAGCCAATCTATTTTTACAGCTTTCAGAAATTGTGGGTTATGTAAACTATTTAATATAATTATATATCTGTTACACAGTTATAAGAAAAAATACAAAATATCTGTATGTATGTATTTATTTAAAAAAGAAAATAATATTTTATACATGTACATAACAAACATTGCCTGAAACATAAAATAAACAGACAAAAAAATTGAAATACAAGTGGTTAGTTATCACTAAATCCAGTTAAAATGTAAATTATATTTTTTATATTGCAAAAAGAGTATAATCTCTGGATATGTCATGGTAAAAATAATAAATACCGATAAAGCAAATACATGTAAGTCTATATGAATATTACCTAACTAATGATGTACATGAGATTTATAAAATGTTTATAATTTCTGTTGTGGAATTAAAAGTTGGACCAGGCTTTATAAATGTAATATATTTAGGCAGACAGTCAGATCTCTTTATAAATGTAATATATTTAGGCAGACAGTCATATATCCTTATAAATCATAATGTAATATATATTAAGGCAGACAGTCAGATCTCTATAAATATAATATATTAAGGCAGACAGTCAGATCTCTTTATAAATGTAATATATATTTAGACAGACAGTCAGATCTCTTTATAAATGTAATATATTTAGGCAGACAGTCAGATCTCTTTATGAATGTAATATATATTAAGGCAGACAGTCAGATCTCTTTATAAATGTAATATTTTTAGGCAGACAGTCAGATCTCTTTATAAATGTAATACTTTTAGGCAGACAGTCAGATCTCTTTATAAATGTAATATATTTAGGCAGACAGATCTCTTTATAAATGTAATATATTTAGACAGACAGTCAGATCTCTTTATAAATGTAATATATTTAGGCAGACAGTCAGATCTCTTTATAAATGTAATATATATTTAGGCAGATAGTCAGATCTCTTTATAAATGTAATATATTAAGGCAGACAGTCAGATCTCTTTATAAATGTAATATAATTATGTAGGCAGACAGTCCGATCTCTTTATAAATGTGATATATATTTAGGCAGACAGTCAGATCTCTATAAATTTAATATATTTAGGCAGACAGTCCGATCTCTTTATAAATGTAATAAATATTTAGGCAGACAGTCAGATTTCTTTATAAATGTAATATATTTAGGCAGACAGTCAGATCTCTTTATAAATGTAATATATTTAGGCAGACAGATCTCTTTATAAATGTAATATAATTATGTAGGCAGACAGTCGGATCTCTTTATAAATGTAATATATTTAGGCAGACAGTCAGATCTCTTTAAAATGTAATATATTTAGGCAGACAGTCAGATCTCTTTATAAATGTAATATATTTAGACAGACAGTCAGATCTCTTTATAAATGAAATATATTTAGGCAGACAGTCAGATCTCTTTAAAATGTAATATATTTAGGCAGACAGTCAGATCTCTTTAAAATGTTATATATTTAGGCAGACAGTCAGATCTCTTTATAAATGTAATATATTTAGGCAGACAGTCAGATCTCTTTAAAATGTAATATATTAAGGCAGACAGTCAGATCCCTTTCTGAATGTAATATATATTTAGGCAGACAGTCAGGTCTCTTTATAAATGTAATATATTTAGGCAGACAGTCAGATCTCTTTATAAATGTAATATATTTAGGCAGACAGTCGGATCTCTTTATAAATGTAATATATATTTAGGCAGACAGTCAGATCTCTTTATAAATGTAATATATATTTAGGCAGACAGTCAGATCTCTTTATAAATGTAATATATATTTAGGCAGACAGTCACATTTCTTTATAAATGTAGTATATTTAGGCAGACAGGCAGATCTCTTTATAAATGTTATATATTTAGGCAGACAGTCAGATCTCTTTATAAATGTAATATATTTAGGCAGACAGTCAGATCTCTTTATAAATGTACATGTAATATATATTTAGGCAGACAGTCAGATTTCTTTATAAATGTAATATATTTAGGCAGACAGTCAGATCTCTTTAGGAAATGTAATATATTTAGGCAGACAGTCAGACCTCTTTATAAATGTAATATATTTAGGCAGACAGTCAGATCTCTTTATAAATGTAATATATATTTAGGCAGACAGTCAGATCTCTTTATAAATGTAATATATATTTAGGCAGACAGTCAGATCTCTTTATAAATGTAATATATATTTAGGCAGACAGTCAGATCTCTTTATAAATGTAATATATTTAGGCAGACAGTCAGATCTCTTTATAAATGTAATATATTTAGGCAGACAGATCTCTTTATAAATGTAATATAATTATGTAGGCAGACAGTCAGATCTCTTTTATAAATGTAATATATTTAGACAGACAGTCAGATCTCTTTATAAATGTAATATATTTAGGCAGACAGTCAGATCTCATATTAGGCAGACAGTCAGATCTTTTTATTTGTTCCCAGATCCAAATTTGAAACTCTAGGCTTTCATAAGACTTGGTAAATCATTTCAATTGGCACTGAACAGCCAGCATTTTCTTTATGCGGTACATTATTAATTTAATTCTTATCTGGATTTAATTTCTGTGTCAGATACTTTTTGTATAATCTCAAAAGGGAAAGTATGTAAAAAATTCAGATCTATGTATAAAATATTGATTTTTTTTAAACAAAGTTGGGGAAAATATAAGTTTGAGTGGTGCCCTATTTTGACTAAAATCGACCCCTAAAATATAAACAATGTGTAATTACTTACTAATTATAATAATGCAAGAGATAAAAAATATGACTTTTTCAGTTTGGTTAAGTACCATAGTCTGGTTTAAAAATCTTTGTTTTGAGTCAGGAAAACTCATGACAACAGTTTATTTAATCTCCTTTCCAACCAGTCTGCTTGTTCTTTCAATCCTTGCTCTGACCAGAATGTCTTCATGTCCATGTAGCGCTGTATAATATCAAATTTACACACATGCTGTAGTTTTCTAAGGCAAATGGGACACAGAAAGCTGGGCCGGGAATCAGATTCCGCTAAATGATTAGAACCATTCATTAGGCACATAAAGTGAATACAGTGACGCAGTCCAAACATGTGACACATCTCATGGCACATTGTCTTACATGCTCGCACTAATATGGTAGATATGGGATCACTGAAAATAAGAAAACAACAGAAAAACATAGTTTTACTAAAATGATGAAAGAATTTTTCTTGTGATAATTAGCAAGTTTTTACTTTGCAGGTCACAAACAAGAGAAAGTTAAAAGTGTTCCTTTTATTTGATCAGAACTGAAAATGGTTATACTGTGGTATAATTTGTACTAAAGAAGTTATTTGTTAAAAGAAGTACCAACAAAACAAAATACAAAATTTATATACCTTATTAAATTTTGAAGTTGAAATTCATTTGCATTGTTTGGTTACACCAGTAAAGCCATACAAAATCATGTTACCTGCTTGCCTAGCTGTGCCAAACACATTTGGTCTAAAAGTCTACATTATATCAGCACGCAATTGTAATAGCTGTGTGCCATAAGGTTTAACACTGGTTGCTATCAATGGTAAGGACTTTACTTTTAAACCATTTTAAAATCAAGCCTGACAAGACTATAATGTTTGTTAAAAATATTCAAGCACTTGAAATTATAATGAACAATCCCAAATTTAAAGCAGGCACCTGTATTGTACGAAGCTTAGAGTCATGTAAGGTTTTTTTGGTTCATAAATAAATCTTTACATTACACAAAAGACTACACAAAGCATTAATAGAAATTAGCTTTACTCACCAGTCTAGATCTATTTGAGTAGTTTCATTCTCTCCAAAATTTGAAAGGTACCTAGCTAATGAGTAAACACCTGTCCGGCCAGGTGAACGCGCCAATCCAAATACGAAATTCCATTCTTTCTTCGGATATAAATCGCACAATGTTATTCCGGCCACACAGAATGCATCTTTTGGCACTTTTTCATCAAGTCTGTCAAGTATTTTACCAGCCTGAGCTTGAAAAACACCATCGTTCAACCTATCTGTCACTTTACCTAGTAAGTTGCGTTGCTTTAAACATTCTACTTTTACTCCGAAGAAGATTTCCGCAAATCTTTTAAGAGGATCAATAACTTCATCAGGTATAGGTTCCTCTTTAAATGCAATTGGTGCAAGATAAATAGTGTTGTGAATCTTGTCAGGGCCTCGATACCCACCTGAATCATAATCAAAATCTTACCTAACAAGATTATAATGAAAACAAGTTAACATTTCTAAAATTAATTCTCAGCCGAAAAAAAATTGTTTCTTGTGTTATGTTGGTTAGACCTTTGATTTATGCTAAATTATCTATTTTTACAATTAAATTATTTGATCTTTTTAATAAATGGCTGTGCTACCATCAGGCTTTCAAAAGTTTAATCAATAACAGATCAACATCAACAGATCAGAGCCAGGCCAACTTGCACACCCATGGTGTCAGAGCAGACAATACTGTTGACTACTCAATTTAAACCTTACCACACTAAATATCTTAAATGGACTTGTCTAGTTATTAAACGGACAAAACAATTCATCATTTTAGGGAAAATTTCAAAAATTATTGATCATAGAGCACATGTGACATATGTGGCCTCTGCCAGATAGGAAAAAGATTTAATTTGAGCATTTTCTCTCCCGACATATTTCTTTTACAACACTTATGGATTAAACAACATAACCATGTGTAGCAGATTGACGAAAAACACCGTTCATATTGATTTATGCTCAAAATTAATATGGTACATTACCTGTCATAAACTGCTTGTAAGTTTGACCAGATTCCTTGTGTTCTGCTAGCCAGTCACCTCTCTTTGGCTTTCCCATTGGCGTAAAAAAATCTTTATCTGAAATACACAATTTTCAGTACTATTAAAATGCTTCTTAAAGCGCTTGATGGTACTTACTGTAGTTACATAAGTTTATAAGTCAAGAGATCAAACCAAACAAGACAGATATTAAAACTTAAGTTACTTTAAGCTGCTACTTTAAGCTGCTAAATATGTGTCAGAAATTTGCCTTTCATTGAACTTTTAGCACATAATGGATTTTATATCAAAATGCAAGAATTGTGCAACCAAGAGTATAGAACCTAGTCAGACTACATGTATATACACCAAAATTCAATAATTTGACCTTAATGGTCAAGGTCATTTAAAGTTCAAAGTCAAGGTCATTTCAATCCTTTAGAAAGTACTGTCCAAAGGGTTGTTTTGTCCAAGTATGAAGATAATCCATTTATTAATTACCATTGGTCTGTCTCTAAACAATTGTGCTGCAATTTAAAGGCTATTCATTATTGGTTCAGCAAGTTATGGGTTAAGTTCAGCATTTTATCATTAATACCTGGTATGAAAAGTCTGATGTCTTGACCTTTTGCTCCTTTACTAAATTTGTCATTATATTCCTCCAACACCTCTTCTTCACTCTTCCCTTTTACCTGTTATAATATTTAATATCAATTGATGTGCAACTTTGTTAATGAATTTAAGCGTTGAAACTTCTTAATTAACATCAGTATGCAGGCCTTTTTTCAACATTTTTCCAATAACAACATTGGAATTGGGAAAAAGTTTTTCATAATAATAAGACCAAAAAGTGAATTTATAGTCATAGAAACTAATAAATACATAATTAAGAAAAGAATAGTTCTATTTTTAGCCTTTGCAAATTCATAAGTAAGTTATTTCAAATGCTTCCCTTTTGAGGAAAACATAGAAAAACAACAATACTAATGCAGACTGAGAATTTTATGCTTCATATCTCCATAAACCTGTAGTAACTATATAATCCAAAAGAAGGCCTGCCTGGAGAAAATGAAGTATATACATGCATACATGCCTGCCCACATAATCAATTTAAGTTAAACCAAACATGCAATCAACTTACAGTAAATTTCTGTATTCCGATAGCTTCAAGAAGATTTTCATCAGTCATGGACATACGAAGCCGTCTTGTGCTGGCCACAGCAGCCATATTTCTTAATATGGTGTCACCTGGCAGGAAAGATAATACAAGTACTAGAGAATTTGTTTTAATAAATCTGCCTTTTGAGTCTGAATAGGTTTTTTTCACACAAAAATAATTTAGTAATTTTAGAATCTTTAATATTTTCTAGCTAAAAAACTGCGTTAATAAGATATCATAATACAACTTGCCTCAAACTAGTAATCTATGGATTGCGGGCCATGTGGGTTTAAACCCCATCAGAGGTATTAGAGTCATTGTTTCTGTGAGCAAGAAACTTTAATTACACTCAATGGTTGGTTCCAGGAATGGATTCAAGAGTGTTTCAATAAGCTTATAGCTTCCTTCTCTATCAAATTAAAATAAATTTGTATACACAAATCATTTTGTATAATTTTTAAATAGTGTATTTAATTTTGTACATTTGGTTTAACAATGGCTTTTATAGTCACTATTCTTATCGATCATTCAGCAATGAATTGGAAACTAACATCAGATTGATAATGTCAGTCTGCTTGTCCCCATAATATTACATTTTGTATGTCCAAGATAGATAAAGATCTTGTGAAGTTGTTATGGAAGCCAAAAATTCAATCAAATAAATCATTTGATTATTTATCTAAATGATATTCAATATCTCATATCATGTTATACTTGATACTTCAACTGTATATGTTTTATTTATTCATGAAAAGGTGGTAACTGAAGGCTATTTTCAATAAAGCAGAAATTTAAGGGTCAATTTTTTTATATCTTATAATTTTGTGAAATTCAAATTAAAGAAGTTTAAAGAACTCTGGTTATCAGAAGTGTATAGTAAATTATGTGAACCAATAATTAATTAATAGTATAGATATAGTTCAATATGACATAAACTATTTATCTACGTTTTAATTAAACTTTCATCATAGCACCCATCCTAAAACTCCAGTGTCCAATGTAAACAAATATACAATGAAGATGTCAAAAGGCAAACGAATAAAAATAACTGGTTCTCGGCTTTTTCTTTTTCTGTCTATATCTGAGCCTGGTACCAGCTATTTAAAGAATACTTCCGGACATGTGGAAAAATGGAAAATTTACCTGTAGAGATAAAATTTGCCCAAAACCTCGCTGGAAATGAAACAAAAACTCGAAACAAAGCTGTGAAAAAATTGAAAAAGTATTTGCGTGCAAAATCTGCATCGAAAAAAGGTAAGAACTCGCGTGTCGTCTTCGTACGAAGAGTTTCTCCCAAATGACATATTTTTTCGCGACCTTCTAAAAATAGCTTTACTTCTATATTTATCATAGATGAGAATCATTGTCAATTTATTGATTTCATTTCAGATAAATGGTATTCTTATACATAAAATTATGTATTTTAGTTTTATTTATTTATTTATTTATGCGTTCCATCTTCTGTACGGCCTTTACACTTGAAGTCCCGATGCAGTGATGAACTGCACCGTTCTTCTCAGGTCCTCTTTGCTGCCCCATAGCTTGTTGTTGTACGCTGTATCTGTAGGCCAATACGTCTGGCGGGCCTCTTCCAGGTTAGGGCAGTTCTGAAGGATGTGGAAGGGCGTCTGTTCTTCTGCTCCACACTGGCATGAAGCTGTATCGGCGAGACCAAGTCTTTTCATATGCTTTGGTAGACGGCAGTGTCCAGTTCTGAGCCTGAAGATGGTAACTTGGCTGGGTCTGTTTAGTTTGTTGATATTGTCGTTTTGGGATTTGTAGCCATCGTTTTTTTCTTTCCATGTGTTTCTGAATGAGCACTTTACTAAAGTCTTTGCTTCATTATAGGATATTGGGGGTTGGGGTTGCTCCTTCTTTGACCCTTCCTTGGCTAATTTGTCTGCAGCTTCGTTGCCGGCAATGCCAACATGGGCAGGAATCCATTGCAGTACCACGTTGTTGTGTTCTGACAGGCCGTCTAGTTGTGCCAGCAGCTGTCTCGTGGTGGTGTTTGATGGTCCTGCTGAGAGGGATTGTAGAGCTGACAGGGAGTCTGTCAGGAAGACAACGTTCCTTCGCTGTATCCCTTGCTCAATCAGGTGATGTGTTGCTGAGTGAAGGGCCTGTACCTTGGCTCTGTAGTTGGAGCTCTGTTTGCCCACTGCAGTAGCTAGGGTAAAGGGAGTCCCTTCAGGGTAGCTGATGTACACCCCGCTTCCAGCGTTTTTGACTGCTCTTTCAGCTGATCCATCGGTGTAGGCTTGGATCCATGAGTGTGGTGGATAGCGCTGATGGATCATGTCCAGTGTATGGGCTTTTTGTTGGACAGGATTTTGTGACTTGTTCTCAACTCCTGGGACATCAACTCTGATTGTTGGAGTGTGTTGTCTAGGGATCCATGTGTCTGGGGTGAGTGGTTCTATGTCTGTGTCAACTTCCACTCCCTTTTCACGATTCAGATCTCTGACAATGTGACTCAGGCTTTGTCTTTTTAAGTCTGCTTTAGGGTCTGCTCTGGAGTTTTGAGTGGAGCGGATGGGATGATAGTCTCCGTGCTTTCTCAGAATGTACTAGCACCTTGCACTGCCTCCTTGACTCTAGCGGTTTGAGGTTGGCTGTCTTTTCCATTTCTGCGACCGGTGTTGTCTTCATTGCCCCTAGGATGATACGTAGGCCTGAGTTCTGGACTTTGTCAAGTTTGCTCTTAGTGGTTTTCGAGGCTGTTGTCCATGATGTGGAGGCGTACTCTGCTATCGGTCTTACTGTGCCAGTGTAAATCTGTTTCAGGATTTTTCCATTTGCACCCCAGGTTGTGCCAGCAAGCTTTTTCATAATGGATAACTTTTTGATGGTTCTTTCTTGAAGTTTGTCTATGTGTGGGTTTCCAAGTTAGACGTGAGTCGAGTGTGACACCAAGGAATGTTGTTGTTTCCACTTGGGGTACTGAGATGTTGTCCAGGGTTAACTTGATTTTCTCCTTGGATCTTGATAGTGAGAAAAGCATGGTGACTGTCTTGGTTTTGTTGATGTTTAGGGCCCACCTGTCTGTCCACTCTGCTACCTTGTTCACAGCTGTTTGGATTCGAACTGTAGCAGTACCTACACTTGTTTCGGAGCTCCAGATAGAAAGGTCGTCAGCATGTAGGGTGTTCGACACGCATCTTGGCAGGTTGGACACAAGGTCGTTGATGTATACGAGGAACAATGTGGGGGATATTACTCCTCCTTGTGGCACCCCTTCTCTCATCTTTACTTGCTGACTGAGAGTGTTGTCGAGCTTGACTCTTGCTGTTCTGTTTGAAAAGGTAGCCCCTGATCCATTTGTGCAGCTTCCCAGACACCCCGTTCTGAAGCAGCTTCAAAAGCAGACCCTCCTTCCAGACTCTGTCAAACGCTTTAGAAAGGTCAAAGAAGACGGCAAGCACCTTCTTTTTCTCTTGGAAAGCATCTTCTATGTCTTGCGTGAAGTAGGCTAATTGGTCTTCCGTACTGTGATGTTGTCTGTATCCAGTCTGAGTTGGGACAAGCAGGTTGTTTGACTCAAGGTGCCAGACTAGCCTCTTGTTGATGATCCTCTCCAGGAGTTTACCAGTGCAGCTCAGTAGACTGATGGGTCTGTAGCTCTCTGGTTTGCTCTTGTCTTTACCCTTCTTGAAGATGGGTATGATGTGTGCTTCTTTCCATTTGGAAGGGAATTTACCAGAGTGCCAACTGAGGTTAAAGATGTAGAGAAGAGTAGTCTTGGCCTTGTAGCCTAGATGTTTTAGCATTTCATTGGTAATGCCATCTGCGCCTGGTGACTTCTTCTTCTTCAACTTCTTCAGTGCACCCTGTAACTCCTGCATGGTCAGACTGTCAGACATGTATGGGCTCACTTCACTTTCCCTATGGTTCTCAAGTGTTCTGGTCTCTTGTCTTACTTCTCTGACTCGTTCTTGTGGGAGGTTGACGCTACTCTCCGCCTCGTATACTCTGGCAAATGGTTTGCAGCGGCCTTTCCTGTGACAGGTTCGCTGTCAACTAGGAGGACTGTTTTCTTCTGCTGTCGGTTGTCGTTGTTCAGCAGATTGGTAAGATGCCAGAGCTTTGTGGTGTCTTTCTCGAGATTCAGAGATGCAGTTTTTTCATGCCAGCTTTTCCTTGTCTGTTCTGCCTTTTCTTCCTCAAAAAGTTCTTTTAGTTGATTATGTTTTAGGATGTTCTGTTCAGAGGGATTTTCTTCCATGATTTCTCTGGCTTCATTCATCTGATTTTGAAGTTTGTCCAGCTCTGAGGTCCAGAAGGGTTTGTAGTCCCGCCTTCTACCTCTGGGTATGGACTCTTGAGCGGCACTGAGAATCGCTTCAGTGAACAAACTTGCAGCCTTGTCCACATCTGATGTTTTAGTTTGGATGTTCTTACAGTTTCTGTCTGTCAGGATCTTAAAGACATTCCAGTCAGCTTTCTTGTAGTTCCAGCTTGGTGGTAGTTTGCCTTCTCTGTTGATACTTTTCTGGACAGTGATGATAACTGGTTTATGGTCACTGCCCCCGAGTTGTGATGACACTTCACGGTGCGAGATTTTCTGAATGTCGTCTGTGGCAATAGCTAGATCCGGGCTGCTTGTCGTGTGCCAGACTCTAGAATAGAATGTTGGTGTGTCATCTGGTTTGTTAAGGAGGACGAGACGATTGGACACAATCCAGTCTTCAACTTCCTCGCCTTTGGCATTAAGCTCCTTGTATCCCCAACTAGGAGAGTGGCTGTTGAAGTCGCCTACTGCTATCCAGTTGGTCTGGTTGTCATTTAGTTGGGGTAGCTTGATCTGCTTGTTTGGAGGGCTGTAGAGATTGAGGACAGTCAGGTTTCTGTCTGGCAGGATGACCTCTACACTGATGGACTCTGTGTCTGAATCAATGGAGCGTTCTTTCTCAACTGATGGTAAACTATTCTTCACTAGGGTGCAGACCCCACCCTTAGGTCTATTTTGTCTATCATGTCTGTAAAGTTCATAACCTCTGATGAAGAATCGGTGGTTTTCATTAAGATGGGTTTCCTGGATGCAGCAGATGTCGATGCTGTTAGTTTTCAGGAAATTTTGCAGCTCTAGCTTTTTGTGCTGCACACCCTCTGCGTTCCAATGCATGATGCGGAGGGGCTGGTTGTGACTAGTAGCTGTACTCTGTCCTCCCCTAGTCACTATAGGAGTACCAGAGCCGCAGTCAGTAGCTTTTGGTGGGCCCCTTCGAGGCTCGGGTCCCGGCGCCGCCCTACCCTCTCCATGGTTCAACAGGACGACACCACATCGATCCAACGTTAGTTGTACGGCCATACTGATGGGTTGTGCGTGAATGTCCGATTCGCTTCCCACGCCGATAAAGGCTGACATTCGCCGACTTCGGTGGTTGAGGTTTTTGCTCAGGGTGGCCTCCTCCCAAAGAATAGCTGCCTGTCAGGGCTATAGAACCTACTCCGTCCTTGGTTTTATATTGGTGATTTCCTTCACCTAGCACTTTCCCCGGAGGGGGTATAGCCGCAAGGCAGCGGAGGTTTGAAGTTAGAGTTTTCCTTCTCCTAGACAGACTGCCTTCCTAGGCTTACGAGTTCTGTCTACTCGAAGCAGTGGTTATGGCGCCAGAGAACCGCCTTCGCCCCTTCTCCTGTTAGTATAAGCAGGTCCGCCGGGCTAGTAACAAGCCATGCGTGCAGGCCAGGAGCTGGACTAGGTTGACAGAGGCTATATTTTCCGCACACCGTTGGAGCATTTTCTAAGTAATGGGAGCTTGTCCCCATTACCACCCCTGGTGATATCAACCACTGGACCCGTATTTTAGTTAATAAGTATCATTGAACATGAGGCATATTTAAAAGATTATCAGAACATTTTTGTACTGCAATCAATTTTTAGCAGTTTAGTTTCCTTTTCAGTTTTATTTTAAAATCATTTACAGTTTTATTCATCCAAAGCGGCTTGTATTGAATTAATTGATATATAGAGGGAAATAAGGAATCAATCGGGTATCAAAACACCAATGTCTTTGTCACAGTCTATTTTTTCTTTTTCAATGACCACAATCCAACTAATTAGACTTGACAATGAGACATCGAGATAATTTTTGACGGGGGATGGTTTGACAGGATTAAAAAAAAGTTTGTAAAATGGGTCAAACCGTTTCTGCCAAATTCATTAGGCTAAATGTCCACACGAATTTGAAAAATCCCAGAGCTTTGACATCATGCAAGTTCCAATAAAGTAAAGATCAAGGCTTCCAAAAATGACCAAGCAATTTGCAGAAATGGTCCCGCAGGGATTTTTTCCATGATTTTGGGAACACGACCCATACCAATGGAATTGAGAATTTCAGCAGTGTTTTGTTAAAAATTGGGGAAAATGCATGACTGAGTGAAATTTTGCAGTGATTAAATGGATGCAAACAATTACTGTCTATGATGGCATCTTATATTTAAGCACTATTACAGTGAAGAAGCCTTTATTTGCAAAGATTTTAGAATTTTTATTCAATATTTTTATATTGTAACTTTCAATTGCGAATTTTTTCTTATGGATTCGGAAAATAATATACTATTTTCAACCGGGAATATGACCCAATAACGGCTATAAAATAAGCAAAAAAAATTCCCTGTCCCGTTTCTTTGCAATGTCATTTATTTGGCATTTTGATCCTATATACCAGACATGGGGCGATTACTTGACAATTGTAATTGATTAAATTATGATTATTTGTCAAAATGCTTGATTAAATTAAATTACTGATTACTCTATTTTGACATTGTAATTGATTAAATTACTGATTACTGACAGGAGTAATCAGATTACATTTATGATTACTGATTACATGTACATAAGTTAAGAAATGCAATTTTTCAACACTATCGTTTTATTGAACATTTCTGGCAATATGAAGTATTTAAAAACAGCAGGCATATTTCCTGCCATGCTTGCGTATTGCTCTCTTTTCGATATGATGAAAATCTTTTTGTACTTTTTGCTTCTACATGGACTTAACAATACCAAAATGTAACTGAAAATATAACCATATCTCACTTTTGTCAGTAATTGCAGCTTATACTTGCTCTTTACTGAACCTGTAAAGTCTTCGCAATAAGTGATAATATACCTATCCAGGCCATTGTTATAATTTCACAGGTAAATTTAAGTGGTATAATTGTGACAATCATTTATGTATTGGGTCAATCTGTCAGTGATCTTTTCATCACCTTATTAAAACACAGGTGTCATCAAATCTGACCTGGGTGACTGCATTTAATTCACCTACACTACCTAAGACAATTAGTAGGCATTGACACTGGTACTTTTTTAACCTTTATATGTATGTTTGTTCAGCAATTTTTTTTAAGCTTATCTAACATGTATTGTAATCATACATGTAATCATTGTGATTACTGATTAATTGGTCATGTAATTGATTAAATTATGATTAAATTACAGGAAAAAAATTATGATTACTGATTACCGTGATTACTCAAAAAATTGTAATCGATTAAATTAAATTACCGATTACGATTACCCCATGTCTGCTATATACACCCTTCACACTGCCTGTATTCTAGCTAATAAACACACCATGATATGCCAGGAACTTTGCGGTAAAGGGTCAACTCTGCCCTATACCAACTCGGCAAAACATATAAACTTTTTCTGATTACTTCAACTTGCATGTTATCAAGGTAAGCTGTTTGAAATAAAAAATATGAGATATCTGGTATATTATTATATCCACAGAAAGTAAATTTAGGAGTAATTCGCTATGTTTATTCTTGCAGATTTGTTAAAGATTAATATAGATATAATACAAATGTGATTCCTTTGATGTTTTTTGTTTGTAAAGTAATCTTCAATAAAATATGAAATAAAAACATGTTGACTTGTTATTATAAGCTTCTAATTGTTGATTAGTTGCAGGTGGTCATTAATCAAATTTGAATGATTGCTTCAATCATAATTATTACCTGATTTATCGCTACCCTTAACAGAAACATGGTAATTGATTGGTAATACTTATAACTAGCAGGTGATAATAATTTAAGAAAACATCTTTCCACATTTGTGAATAAGTCCATATATTTTTTTTGTGGGTTCAACAATAAACAAATGCATTTTAGGACTGAGTTGACTATGCTATTACTTTTGGAAAAGATGCAAATATAATTTTCAGTTTGATATCAATAAAAATATATGTGAAAATGACGTTGAATACCTGTATAAATTAAAGTACAGGTTACCATAGGCACCATCATTCATTTTATTATTTTTACAATGTATGTAAAAAAAATTATTTTACAAAACATAATCAGATATAAAATATTTAAGTGTTTTTTATTTTGGATAATGAATAAAATTGTTGCTTATATACCCATGTAAAAAACAAACCTTAGGACTATATTTAAAAAAGGTTCTAAAGGACATATTTTATTTATATCATGACAAACATCATTGTTTCAGATGGCTTCAGTGAGGAAGATTTCCTCAAGCTATGGAAGGGTTTACACTATTGTATGTGGATGCAGGACAAACCTCTTTTACAGGTGAATACTCCTTTATATTATTTATTTATATCAATTTTTCAAACAATGAACTTTTAAATCAGGAAATTTTAGGATGCTTTATAAGAATATTGGGAAACTTGAAATGTACACATTACATATAAATAGTCACTCAGTTTGCTTAATAGGCAAAACACAAGTCATGTACTAATAGTAATAATAGATATTAAAGTCTAGACCTGCTGTTTCAGTTTAGTATGGCCTGTAATTATTTGCTAAATCTTCAAATATTCATAACAAAAATATTGTACACGAGATCTGAGTTTGATCTTGGGAACCAGAACTCTGACCAATAAAAAATGCTGAAGTTTGAGACAGACCTCAGAAAATATATTAACTTAGACAACAGCATTTTTTCAGAAGTCCCCACCCTCAGGAAATTCTTTAAAATGATGCAGTTTCCCCCTTTAAATTCAATATACAGTATATCATATTCATGACTTAAGCCATCATTATACTACAGTGGCAAAATTGACAAATATTATAACATGTTTTTATTGTTCTTTACTAGGAAGAGTTAAGTACCACATTGACACATTTTGGTACATGATTTGTCAACTGTTGAGGCCCAGCTGTTGTTTATCAAGGTGTTCTTTGTAACAGAGGCAAGGGAATGGCACAGTATTGATATATGGAGGCTGGATAAGTTCATGATGGTGAGTACATATATATCTGTAACCTATCTTAGAGTCTTATGAGAAGTTAGTTTGCTGACTTCGACTTGATTGCTCCTTCCATCAGGTCTTTTGAATGTAAAATAAATAATCCATTAACAAAGTACTGAAAGTAAAGGATAAAACAATGTTTTTTCATGTGTAAATGGTATCCAGGTAGCTTATGACAGGTTGTTGATTCTGACAGTGTCTTAAAATGCATGATGAGGTGTTTTCAACAATAAAGCTGGAATGTCGCCAGATGACCTTAACAGTCTCTGTGACTCGACTTTAAGCCCTTAATAGAAAAATTTTGCTACTCAATTATGGTAGTTTGATATTAAATTCCTGTACCAGTTTCAAAATTAATACAATTATTTTTATGCAAATTTGTAAGACATCTTAAATAAACCACACTTCTGTATATGATGATGTTGTTCTTTATTAGACGGTTAGGAATATGCTGAACCAGTCACTGGTGCTCGTGAAAAAATTAAAGTGGGACAAAAACAGACTGGATGGACTGACACAGGTTTTTTATGACACTATAATGAATCCTGACGCAGAAAACATACCGGATGGTCTAAAGATACATTTCTGTGACATTTACCTGGAGGAGGTGGAGAAAGTTGGCGATGGTCAGTTGACTGGTTCCCAGTTACTACAGTTATTGGTTCCCTTCATCAAGTTTATGCAGAAAGCGAAAAAGTAAGTGTAAAATACATATATCCTTTTTTGTAGGCTGTAATATACCTGATCATATTGCGGTCATTGTTTAGCTTTCTTGATCTGCCTGATGTTGGCCTTCAGTCTTGTATGTGCATCAACAAACAATTTTACTTCTTCAACATTTTTAACCCTTACATTTCTGAAGTTGTTTGCTTTGACTGTTGAAATGTTATATTTATTTAAGAGATTACAAAATGCTAATTGAAGCACAAAACTGTGGCAGTAGAAACATATTTCGTTAGACTGTATACTTAAAATTTTAAATTCCACACACTTATGCTGGTAGCATAGGCCCGTCATATTTGCTGGTTGTACTCTGTAGTGTTATAAACACTATTAAAATTTCAGTGGAACATTAATAAAGAGAATGATATCCTGTGTATTTGATCCAGTCATCACAAGACTTGCTGATGAAATAAAGTTAAAACAGAGTCAGAACATGGACACTGATGCCAGTGAAATGGAGGATATACCTTACCGTACTTTAAAGGTAATGTACAACACTGAATGTACTGGTACAAATAGATCATTTGTAAGGTGACCATTATTACAACAAACAAATACATTTGTTTTACATTGCAAAACAAAAAAATAAATAATATAGGTTTTACATGGTCAATTCTTTTTGAACTGAAGAAATAAGAAATTTTGAGGGGTGTAGATTTATTAGTTTGGCTGTCACACTGACTGTTTGAAGACTGACAAAACAAAACTGTGCAATTTTGGGTAGTCAATCATGGCCTATGGACACACAATCACACGATTTTAGTTTTTGAAGATTGGTTCCAAACAAGAGTTGGTGCTGGGGCCATGTGTCTTTACCAAACACAGGTTCTTGTATAAACTTACTTGCTTCCTATTCTTTGTTATACATGTATATGTGAACATTTATTTTCCAGTTTGATGGGAAGTTAATATCTGAATACATATTCCGTGTGAGCCAAGAAGATTGTGTACTATTGAGGAATAGACCTACAATGTATGGACTAGTTAAAAAGTTAGTATATTTTACATACGTGTGTATTGTATTTCGCAAGTGATATCATTTTTCTTGCAAATGAATGATTAGATTTATGATCATTCCAAGTGTCAAATGGACAAGTTATGAGATCAGAGCTTGAAAAATTCCACCCGTTCACTCTTAATTAAGAGTAGAATTTAAGAGAACTTGATGCAGGATGAGTACAGATATGTTACCTGCAGAGTGGATTTAGAAGCTAGTCGTTCTGCAGGACGAGTGACTGAAAATATTTCACAATGCCTGGAGGTCTTTAAGCTTTAAAACTGCTGGATTTGTGAAATGGATTTGCCCTGCTTTGAATTTGGAATAGTCCATTCAAAGATTAGGGGATTTCAATAACTAAGCTTCCATCAGTATAGAGCCTGTTTAAACGTAAACTTGAAATTAACGCTGGTCAACCTGTTAAGTGTTTATTGGCAAGTTTTTATAAAAGATAATTATAATGGGTATAAAGAATGTATTAACAGAAGTTTGACTGTTGCTAGGTTACAAGATGTGGAGCAAGGAGTGTTACCGGAGAAGAAAGAGATTGTTGTTACTGAAGGTGTTACAGGTCACGATGTGAGAGCAGCCGTAAATACGTTGATGAATTTGGAGACAAAGAAAGATGGGAAAAAGAAGTTCAAAAAGAAAAAGAACAAGAAAGAAAACCACAATGGTAATGCATATAGGTTTTTAGTCATTCATGCAGAAATAGACTTAAACTTCTCAAGGCAATTTAAAAAAAAAAAAAAAAGCTGATGTCATAATAATGGTTATGTTAACAAATTTGAGAAAATTGCTTAAATTTTCTCTAGCAAGCTGTCATTAAATTATACCCTTGCTTTTGATGATGATGATACGCTTCCTCACACAAAATGTCTGGAGTTTAAGATTTGCCAGCATTTCGACTACATATCCACTTATACAGTAAAACTTGAATTGTTTTAAACTATCATGTTGTATAATATTTACAAAAAAATAGTTGTTCTTAATTTTTAGCTCGACTATTCGATAAGAATAAGTAGAGCTATTGTAGTCACCCGAGCGTCGGCGTCAGCGTCGGCGTCGGCGTAACCACTTATGTTAAAGTTTTTGTAATAGTTCAAATATTTTCAAAGTCCATTGACATATGGCTTTGAAACTTTGCACACTTGTTCACCATCATTACCCCAACCTGTAGACAGGAGGAGGTAACTGTATCAAGCATTTTGACAGAATTATGCCCCTTTTTCGACTTAGAATTTACGTTAAAGTTTTTGTAATAGTTCAAATATTTTCAAAGTCCATTGACATATGGCTTTGAAACTTTGCACACTTGTTCACCATCATTACCCCAACCTGTAGACAGGAGGAGGTAACTGTATCAAGCATTTTGACAGAATTATGCCCCTTTTTCGACTTAGAATTTACGTTAAAGTTTTTGTAATAGTTTTAATATTTTCAAAGTCCATTGACATATGGCTTTGAAACTTTGCACACTTGTTCACCATCATTACCCCAACCTGTAGACAGGAGGAGGTAACTGTATCAAGCATTTTGACAGAATTATGCCCCTTTTTCGACTTAGAATTTACGTTAAAGTTTTTGTAATAGTTCAAATATTTTCAAAGTCCATTGACATATGGCTTTGAAACTTTGCACACTTGTTCACCATCATTACCCCAACCTGTAAACAGGAGGAAGTAATTGTATCAAGCATTTTTTTTTACTATCAAGCACTAAGAATAGTCGAGCGTTGCTGTCCTACAGACAGCTCTTGTTTATAAAGTATACAATATGAAGTCATTGTACAGAACTTTAAATGGTGCTTAAATTAAATTTTACATTTGATTCGTTGTTTTTGAAATTTGAGCATTTGTGGAAAAAATTTCTTCATTTCCATCTCGTAACGGTTTATATACAAGTAACAATTACAGTCAAAATTACATTTATGTAGTGCAATATATACCGTAATTCTTGATACAAATTACAGTAATTTGCGATGTATAGATATAGTTTTTTTTTTAAATACACAAATTCTTCACTTGGTAATATGTGATTGTAATGATTACAATATTTCTTGGTAATAAAAGCAGTAATTTGTGTTATAAATTCAAACATTCTAAGGTGATTATTTGTTAAAATTACACAAATGCTTGGAAATAAATACTGTGATTGTAATGAATTTCTTGGTAATAAATTCAGTTATTTGTGTTATAATAGTTAAATCCAAACATTGTAAGTACTAAATACAGAAATTCTCATCAAGTTTTACAGACTTCGATATTGTAGCTAATTTCTTATTATTGTTTTTACAAGATGTGGGTGTGAATGAAAACGCTGATCCAAATAACAACAGTGCTGGTGAGAATAATGGTCCAGAAAACCAGATGCCCTCGACATCCAATGCAGGGAGGAAACGTAAACATTCCCAAACAATGGATGGGGAACCATTTACTAAAATGAAGAAAGGAAAAATTGAGCAAGAAAGTAAATTAGAGGATAATGTTAATGAAAAGAAAACATTTCAAAAGTTGAAGAATAAATTTTCAAAGTTAGAAGTTATGAAAGGGAAGAAAGAGAAGAAGCTTCAAATAGAGAATAAGTCTAAGGAAGTGGCACAGTCTAAGAATGAAAAATCGAACAGTGTTACAAAACCTGTGTCGGAGAAAACTGGTAAGGATGTGGAAAAAAATTTAGACAAAAATAAAAAGGAACATAACGCTGTTACTAAGGATACGCCTAAAGTTGTGACTGTTAGTGCTGAGGTGCCAGCGTCTTTTAAGAAACAGGCAGACAAGAAATCTCCAGACACTCTGAAAAAGAAAGGTAAAAGAACGCATTCACAGTTGGCTAATGATGACACCAACTCGACAAATAATAAAATTTCAACACCGGTAGCTCAGAATTTGAGCACAGTACCTTCAATTACTGTACAAGAACCTACGCCAATTGTGAAATCTGGGACCCCTGCAACAAAGTCTCCTGCCGTTAGTAATGGTCTCCAAGATGGTGAAGTGGAGATTTGGATTCCTAATAAAAAATACAAAGGAAATAAAGATACAAACATTACTCCAAAGACGAACTTTGCATCATTTGATCAGTCTAGACCTCCTGTAGCATTTGTTAAGAGGTCTTTAAGTAAATCTTTAAAAAAGACGCCAAGTTCCCAGAAAACCCCAACAGCAAGTGGTGTGACAGGGTCTGCTAAACGTGTCAGTTTTGATATGAAGAAAAACAAAGCCCAAGGTAAGAAATTTTAAAGCATAAATCCATAACCTGCTGAAATTCTTAAATGGACTTCCCTAGTTTCCAATTTTGGGAATAAGTTCATTATCAATTTAGGGGAAATTAAAAATGAAATCAAAATGAAAATCTAAAAGTGTGGCGCCTGATCAGATTTTGGGCTAGCAAATTTAAGTATTGTTTAGAAATCTCTCATGCAAATCATACAGTTGCGGTTTTGGCAGCAAAATTTAAGGTTTTATCTGTCGAACAAACTCTTTAAGATCATAGTGAATGAAGAATTCCTTCTTGTCTTCTTGGGATTGACTTGTTATGAAGGACTTTGTTTGAACAATTGTGTAAGGAAACTATGCCCACATTGGATTTAGCTCAATACAGGATTAGAGCAGTACCTCTAGACGCTTGCAGAAATCATGATCACAAAATAGACAAATATCGTTTTTTTCCCCAATTTTTACATTTTTCCTTGATAATCGTACTTGATTCGGTGTGAAAAGATGATTTAGACCTGTTAAAGTTCATTTCGTTGGGTTAAAAGACAAGATTTTAGCATTTTATCATTCAAGCGCCTTGTCCGGTATATACCGGAATACGGTATTTAGTGTGGTGCTCCAATCCTTTTTTTAGTCACAGCCGCCCACATTAGGTCAGTAGTTTTATACAGGTGCCATTTTTCAGGTCTTTCCCTTCGTAAGCTTGATAGTCAATGCAAAACTTGCTCGTTTTATTTTAGTTTTTACCTATGCAATGCTTTACATAAACTTGCCCACACTATAAGTCTTACAATCTTAACAAAACTATTAATTATTTCATGGGAAAAGTTTGAAATAAGTGCTGACTAAATTCCAAACACTGCAGACCCTGATCAGAATGCATATTATGTGCAGGCTGATCTTAACAGTTGGTCTGCACTGGTCGCATAGGCAAAATCATTTGCCTCAAACATGAAAGCGTTGATGTTTCCTGCCTGTGAAAAAAAACTTTTTTAATTTGACTTCAAATGTACATGTAGCTGTATATAGACACGTGCACCATTGAATATAAAGTAATCTTATATTCATTAGGTGCTGATACTTTCAGTAAAGTATTGTATATTTAATATTTAATGGGATTTTTTTTTATCATTCAGGTTTTAAGGAGAGTTTAAACAGTCCATTGACGCCTTATAATCCAGCCAAGCAACCAGATACTGGAATCCTCAAATCACCGGGTTCTGCCCTGGCTAGTAAAGGGCCGAAAAAAGATATAGCTAAAAATAGTAACAGTACTCCTGAAACCCCGGTGACAAGACAAGCTTCTAATAAAGTTGTGGCTCAGAGAAAGAGCACAAGCACACCTGTGGTAACCATTGGTTTTGAGAAAAAGAAAGCCACGCCCAATCGTAGGAAAAAAGCAGCTGACTTTTTCTTGTGAAAATTCACTTCTTAGCACCTTGTTGTTTCAATTAACGCCGACACATGGGGAATTTCTATTCATAGACCATCTTCAGTTGGTACTGTGGTGTGTGTTGAAATGTCTTTCACAAGTTTTTGATAATTTCACGCCTATCTTTATGAAAATCGTGTTTTATTATTTTAGTCTTGATGGAACTGCTGCATTTACACACTCAAAAATCTTCATAATTCATCCTGTTACACTTGTAGTTTGGTCATTATCAGTGTATGTGAATATTTTCCAATTGCTCACATGAAAATGTTTATTAATAGCCTTAAATGACTCCACTTTCATTGAAGGCACTGAAGTTGTCTGCATCAAGAATCATGTGTAGCTCTGATTAGATTTACAACAAAAAGGATTGATTTTTTTAAAAATATTTTTGATCATCATGACATTTGGCCTTGCTTTTTCCCTACTGCTTTGTGCTTACAAGTTGGATAATGAGGAAAAATATTAAATAGATTTTAGTTTGTTTTTTAAGTAATAAACCATACTCTAAGAAGTCTTTTAATTGGACAATAATATGCTTCCCTACTTCTCACAGAGTTTACCAGTTGAATTGTTTGCTGGAAAGCATTATATAAATATAGTTAATATACTCTGTAGGTATATTGATTCCTTGCAGCTTGCTAGTATTTTCTATGGAATGTGATCAATTGTATTTCTTGTGCAACATATTCTTTGAATAAAATTTTTGTTAAAAGCATTTCTTTATGGTGCTACCATAAAAGTAATGAGGACCAATAAAGAGTAGGTCTGGAAGGACCTTTTGACAACACAAATTTGTTTCATAATGTATGCAAAATGTGAATGTTTCAGGGTTACAAATGTTGCTTAAAGTTTGAATTACATGTACTTCACAATTTATTTTTCGATAGGAAAATTGTCTGCAAGAGATTTCACTACAACACAACCGTATTAATCAATTGATGTGATTCTTATCAATCCCCATACTTTATAATGAATGTGTATAAGTTGAAGATATCTAGACGAGGATAGAGCAATTGGTGGTTCCGCTTTCATGGTCACTGTGTCAATGTAACATATAAAAGGACATAAGAAATTTAAGAAGTGTTTTAAACCTTGTATGTGAAATTAAAATTCTTATGTATATTTCAGTTTATAAAATTTATATAGTATGTATAAAATATTTGCAATGTTTCCTGTTAATAACATTATTTTGTTACCTTATGCATTTTGATTCATTTTTAAGGCACAAATTTCAATTGTTTATTGTTCAGTGCACTTTTAACCGACTATGAAATTCTATTAATAGTGTTATACTTCCACATGCTCGAATTTGTTGTTTCTGTTGTCATAACTTTAACCTACCTTTCTTATATAACATATTCATTGTAAGAAGCTGAAACCTTCATGATGGCAAAAACATATGTATCTCTTCATGAAAGCTTCATTTCCACATACTGTTGAACTTTACGCTAATGGCAAAATTTTCACAATTTTTGTATGTGATATACATGTTTAAGCATTGTTAATTTTGGAAACATTTTGTTTTAAGTGAAATAAACGTGTTTCAGTCAAAATATGTTTTAGTCGTTGAGAGAAAGTAGCAAAAAGTGCAGAGGAAGAAAAATAAAGAATAACTGGATTTTTTTTAAATGATAACCAACAGTATTTCTACCACATCATACTAGTAGTTCATTTACTCTGCAACATTTGCTTACCATTACATTCTGTAGACCATTTCAGGGCATGTGATTTCCAAGTCTATAGAAGTGGGAAAATTCGGTTTCATAAGTGAACATGTAAAAGTAATTACCACATTACTACAAAATATCATATTTGGTTGCTATGCCTAATATTCAGCGGGACAAGTATTCTATCGCTTTCAGTAATTTGAACCTTGGAAAACTTGCCTGGCAGGTATTTAAAAAGAACAAAATACTTATATTAGTCTTACGATTACAGATTATGTTAATATGCAGAATAGAACAGTTCCAATTGTGTTATAGAATACATGTATTTGTTTCCCTTATTTTCTTGAATAGTTTTGTCTATTTTTAGGTCTACAAAATTATTGAAACCTTTTGGAGTAGGCGATTATTCCAGTTGTATTGTAAGATATTTGTTTGCTGAATGGTTTTGTCTATTTTTAGGTCTCCCAAGTTTATTGAAACCTTTGACAGTATTAAAGAATATTTGTATGCCATATTCTTGAATGCTATTGTGTGCATGCATTTTTAGGTCTGACTGCGAGTGGATTTCCGAAAATTTGCTTATTTAATGTCTTTTTTTTCATGATGTGAAATAAAATTATATATCTTTCTCAAGTTGTTCATTCATTTACATAAAAAATTGCATCAAACTATACTTTTACAATCTACACTATGTATATAAATGGGGTTTCCAGTTGTATGGATAATACAAGACATGCCCAGGAGCAGAATATCGAGCCTGCTTGTCTTAATTCAAAACCTGAACCTATGAGCTTCTGATGAAGGACAGATGTAAACATTGGTGAGATGTGGGCAACACATCCTCTATACCCTTAACAAAATCTTAAAATTGCATCATCTAAAGTGACCTTGACCTGGTTCATGTGCATGACACAAAGTCTTATTCTAAACAAGAGGGCCATGATGGCCCTAGATCGCTCACCTGACCCATCAAACTCATCCAAACAATTATCTAGACAAGCATTCTGACCAAGTCTCATGACAGGTGAGTCAAAAATGTGACCACTACAGTTTAACAAGGATTATCCATATTTGAGCAGTGTGACCTAGTTTTTTTACCCAGGTGACCCATATTCAAACTTGACCTAAAAATCATCAAAACAAACTTTCAGACCAATTTCCAGGATACTTGGATCAAAACAGTAGCAACTAGAGTGTTAACAAGATTTTTCTATTTTTAGCTCCGGTGACTTAGTTTCACATGCGATTTCGAACTCATCCGAGCAATTACCTAGACAAGCATCCTGACCAAGTTTGATGATAATTGAGTCGAAAATGTGACCACTAGAATGTTAACAAGGTTTTTCAATATTTGGGCGGTGTGACCTAGTTTTTCATCCAAGATGACCCATGTTCGAACTTGACTTAGAAATCATCAGAACAAACTTTCAGACCAATACCTATGATATTTGGATCAAAACAGTAGCCACTAGAGTGCTAACACTATTTTTCTATTTTTAGTTCCTGTGACCTAGTTTTTCTTCCGATTTGACCAATGTTCAACTCATCCGAGCTATAACCTAGACAAGCATCATGTCAAAGTTTGATGATGATTGAGGCAAAACGTGACCACTTGAGTGTTAACAAGGTTTTTCTATTTTTAGCTCCTGTGACCTAGTGTTTCATCGGAGATGACCCATGTTCAAACTCATCCGAGCTATAACCTAGAGAAGCATCCTGTCAAAGTTTGATGATGATTGAGGCAAAAATGTGACCGCTAGAGTGTTAACAAGGTTTTTCTATTTTTAGCTCCGGTGACCTACTTTTTCATCCGAGATGACCCATGTTTGAACTCATCCAAGCTATCACCTAGACAAGCATCTTGACCAAGTTTGATGATGATTGATGCAAAAATGTGACCGCTAGAGTGTTAACAAGGTTTTTCTATTTTTAGCTCCACTGACCTACTTTTTCATCCGAGATGACCCATGTTCGAACTCATCCGAGCTATCACCTAGACAAGCTTCCTGACAAAGTTTGATGATGATTGATGCCAAAATGTGACCGCTAGAGTGTTAACAAGGTTTTTCTATTTTTAGCTCCGGTGACCTACTTTTTCATCCGAGATGACCCATGTTCGAACTCATCCAAGCTATCACCTAGACAAACATCCTGACCAAGTTTGATGATGATTGAGGCAAAATTGTGACCGCTAGAGTGTTAACAAGGTTTTTCTATATTTAGCTTTTGTGACCTAGTTTTTCATCCGAGATGACCCATGTTCGAACTCATCCTAGCTATCAACTAGATAAGCATCCTGACCAAGTTTGATGATGATTGAGGCAAAAATGTGATTGCTGGAGTGTTAACAAGGTTTTTCTATTTTTAGCTCCGGTGACCTACTTTTTCATCCGAGATGACCCATGTTTGAACTCATCCGAGCTATCACCTAGACAAACATCCTGACCAAGTTTGATGATGATTGAGGCAAAAATGTGACCTCTAGAGTGTTAACAAGGTTTTTCTATTTTTAGCTCTTGTGACCTAGTTTTTAGTCCCCTACCGGTTTACCGGAGGGGACTTTAGGTTTACCCTCCGTCCGTCTGTCCGTCCGTCAGTCCACAAAACTGGATCCCGCGATAACGCAAAAAGTACTGAAAATATTTTAATGAAACTTGATATATGGATAGATGGCAGTATGGAGATTATGCACGTCTTTTTCTTTTCTTCCTATGTTAAAAATTCTGGTTGCTATGGCAACAAATAGACTGAAAATATGGCAAATTTTACACAACCTGGATCCCGCGATAACGCAAATAGTACTGAAAATATTTTTTATGAAACTTGATATATGGATAGATGGCAGTATGGAGATTATGCACGTCTTTTTCTTTCCTTCCTATGTTGAAAATTCTGGTTGCTATGGCAACAAATAGACTGAAAATATGGCAAATTTTACACATAACCTGGATCGAGTGATAACACAAAAAGTACTGAAAATATGTTTATGAAACTTGACATATGGGTAGATGGCGGTATAGAAATTATGCACATTCTTTTCTTATCTTCCTATGTTGAAAATTCTTGTTGCTATGGCAACAAATAGACTGAATTTCAAGATTTCTGATTCTAGTTTTTAAGTTTTTTCACTATAAGTTCTTTATTTCTTAAGGTATTTTCTTCAAACTTTAAAAATATAAATTGCTTGTCATCAACCACATCATATGTGACAACGTTTACAACTCTAGCACAAAATTTTTCAGAATTACCTCCCTTGAAATTAAAATTTTCATGAAAAAAAAACATTGTTTTTTTAATAACTTCTTTTTCTGAATGTATCTACTTCAAACTTCATATAAATGTTTCTTATTATCACTCAACATTTGTGAGTGTTCAATACTCTAGCAAGACTATTTCCAGAATTATGCCCCTTTTGAACTTAGACTTTTTTTGAGAAATTGGTAAATTTTACTCCAACTTCTTCAATCATGATAGGATTTTAAAAATGTTATATTTTGATAACAGGGATGTTTAAAAAATAACTTTAGAGTGTCCTTCAGTCCGTCTGTCTGTACATAAAAACTGTTTCCTGTGATCACTTTTAAAGAACTTTTTCGACAAATTTAATTAAAATAGGAACCTAAGTGAATGGCCAATGGCCCTTCAGAATGTTGCTTGGGCTCTTACCGGTAGGGGACTTATGGATTGCTTGCAATACTATGATAATTGCTTGTTCATCCGAGATTACAATTGTTCGAACTCATCCGAGCCATCAACTAGATAAGCATCCTGACCAAGTTTGATGATGATTGAGGCAAAAATGCGACCGCTAGAGTGTTAACAACAAAATGTGAACGGACGGACGACGGACAATCATCTATCCTAAAAGCTCACCCTGAGCATGCTCAGGTGAGCTAAAAACTCAATTCACTGTTATGTGCAAATTCCTCCATGCACAAAGAAGTTATGGCATGGACAAGTTTGGATGCATGCACACACAACACTGAACATATTTTGACAACTTTGTCTAGGTCAGCCCAAGCGGGCTTGACAGAAAACCTCTGACCACTAAGCATAATACTTCAAAGCATAAGCAAGATACTGTGCTAACAACCAAATTTTGATGTTTTTAATTTGAACTGTGACCTTGACTTTCATTTTGCGCAAGTCAACGAAATCATCATGGAGAACATTTGTTCTCAGTTATATAACCCAAAGTTTATATCAGAAAAAAAAAAGACATTTTCGGGTAACAGCTACATGTATTTGATAAACCTGTGCAAGGAACATCCGAGGCAAGTTGGCCCTTCAGTTTCACGGGAAATGTCCTTTATTCAATTCTACATGAATAACAACAGACATCTGAGCTAAAAAGATTTAAAAAAAAAAACATTAAGAATTTTATTCTACAGAAAACATCATTGCAGACTTGTGAAAACCTTTAATAACTTTTATCAAAATTGGAATTTAACAACTGATTTTATATGAAAAACATGTTCAATAAAAAAAAACCTTGACATATATGATTTAAACCATATTTACATATTTAGAAGATAACAAACAAAGGTACATGAATATAACTTAAAAGTAACAAGTGTTAGAAATAAAATTCAGTATAATATTCCTAAATCATAAGCATGATTTATTCCAGCCATTAACGATATGGTTAAACCTGGAATTTCTGGACCCAAACACTTCATCGTGAAATATGAAGGTAAATATTCAACAAACAGAAGAAAGAAACCGCCACCTTTTCCCCAATACTGTACATGCTTTAAGACTCAACAATGTACAATGCATATTATATAAGCACGTAGTTACTTATTCTTTGTTCTGTGAAAGTTTACATCAATGCCATCACAATTTATTTTACACAAAATTGTTCTTCTTAGTTTTACATTATCTTCTGCAAATGTTCATAATCTAGAATCATACAGTTGTTTAACTAAGTGCTGTAGATAATTCTGACATGTCAACACTTTCTATATCTACAGTAGTATCCATGTTGGCTTGATCTTTGTTATACCAGTGCTTTTTCTTTGGCTGCTTGCCCCGCCCACGGCCACGCCCACCTAAGAATCCCCTTGACACTCCTTGACCAAAGCAAATGTTCTTAGGTACTCTAAAATGATAGAATGAAATTATAAATCTGTAAATTTTTGAAATAGTATTATAATGTATTTCATAAAGTTTTTAGTTTGAATCTTCTACAAAAATTTATAATAATGATAGCAATATCAGGCTCCGCGAAATTTGCTGGACTGTCGGACATGTCTAGCAAAAATCAGGTTGATCCGATACTTTTTTCCGAGTTCTGGTCCTTATGTCTAGTATGAATCTTGATACACTGGGTTCGAATTTAAGCTCGCAAAATGCCAGTTAAAATACAGTGAGCAGAAATTACTTGAGCTTGCAATTTTATTTTATAATGAATAAAGCAATGATGAATATTATTTAAGTATAAAATTGAAACTAAGATAATTACATATGACACAAGTGATATAAAATATATGTCCGGAAATTTTAAATTGGGTAATATTTAAAATCACACAAACACTATGCATGAAGATTATTATAACAGGAACATACAATAACATATTATGTTTTGAATATATGTCATCCCTGGTTATACAGAGACTTTCTAGCTGTATTGGTGGAGGAAACTACATATGCACCTTCATACACTATTTAACACACTAATTGATACCCAGGTAGAACCAGACATTCCTAACTAGCTGGATAGCTTCCTAAAGAGACAAGAGCGATCAGTGATCACGTGTCGCCTCATGATGGCCAATTTCATGTTGGGACAAGTTTTGTGACAGACAGACGGACAGTGCACAACTAGACTTGGTACTGATCATTCCTGTAAAGTTTGTATAAAATTGCCCCAGTAGTTTATGAGGAGTAGTCCGGACAAGCTTTTGTGTATCTGGCAACACACAGAAAAAAACACCTTTTTATCAAAGGGCCATAACTCGGCCAAAAATCATTCAACCGGAAAACCCGTGCAATATGAAAAATTGAAATTACATCAGAAAAAGGTTTTTCAACAATATGTTAAATGTTCATACTTGTGACTGAATATTCTTCCACTGGGTTTTTGATGAGATTCAGGCTGGTCTAGTTCACCAGTAACTGGTCTAACAACAGGAATCGGTTCTGTTTCCATGGCAATAGATTCCCCATTTTGACAAGAATCTTTCTTTTTCTGTGTACTGAAAATAAGATTTAAAATTGAAACAAACAGTCACTTAGTACATAAAGTCAATAAGTTAAGCATTTTAATATACATGTATTAAGGATTACGAACCCTGCAACACATGATTTTCTAAATAGAAAGGGCATCAGATCTATAAACCAGGGGTCACTGGTTGATCCTTAGGAAATCGAAATTTCTTCCTGACAACTGATCTCAAACATCGAGTTTAATGGTCAATTGTCTCTCACCACTGATTAAGAAATCATGTGGTATTACTGTAGTAGTTAGTCACTTACAAGTTGCAGAAAATTACTGGTTAAGTTATCCAGAAAAGACTGTTAAGTGAACCAACTGCCAAGATATGACCAAAGAATCTCATGGAATTTTTCCAAGCTGCCTGTATTTCTAGCTTTTACAAGTCAAAAATATTTGAGCTAGAAATAGCTAAACTAGATTTTAAGCTTTACTCAGCTTACTAGTTCTGCTACCATCTGGTGATTTATCTTAACCATACAATGATGTCTTACTAATAGATTTATTAAATTTAACCCATAACCTGCCGAATTTTTGTAATGGAATTTCCCTGCATTGAATTTGGAATGATTCTAATCAAAGTTTTAGTGGTGGCATGGCCGAGTGGTTAACACATCAGACTAGTAATCTAATGATCACTAGCAACAATATGGACCTGGTCACATAGGTTAGGCTCTATACACTGTTGGAAAAAGCTAATCACTTTAGGTTTCAGCAAGTTGTAGGCTAAGTTATTAACTTTTACCTTTTCTGTTTATGACGATCATATCTGTAGTTGCTAGGATATTTATGTACTTTCACCATATGGTTACGTCTAGCTGCTGTGTCCTTGAACTTTGTCTTACAATGCTCCAATAAACACTGGTACTGAAATGAATAATATTTTTAAGAAATAGCTATTGCAAAATTTCCTAGCATTATCATATATAAATGTACCCTCATATTACCACCTTTCGGGCAATGCATTTTGCAAACTTGCAGTAAAAAATTAAGTTTGAAAACTGTCCAATACTCTTTTAAATTAACCCCTGTTAAATTATTCAAAACACTTTAATACATTTCTGTCTCTATAAAGTAAATTAAGCATTCAAAACATGTACACATGTATCGAAGTGAGAAAGCATGTACTACCCACCATCAAATATGGCAAGACCCATTCAAAGCATGAAACTGTTCTTCACTTGCTTAAAAGACAGTCAACTAAAATAAATTTGTAATATTTCACAATTCGATATCAAATTAAAACAGCAATGCAAGGTCAAAACTAACTAACCATATCTTGCTTTTCTGCTTGCAGGGCAAACATGACATCGTGTGTTTCTAGGATATGGATCTCAAGTAGATGCCCTGATGGCAAGATCCGGTGACATGTCTTGCATACATTACGATGACAACTATTATAGTGAGCCTCGTACCTACAAAATAAACAAGATGTGTTAATATCATCACTTATGAAATAATAAATTCTCCCTCTATAAATATGGATTCTCCCATAATGAAAATAGTGTATTCTCCCATAATAAGAGCATGATTCAGCAAAAATAATAGAAATTTATGTAATATGCTAAACATGACTAATTGAAGCCCATAAAATAACTTTAGATCTAATCAGGATGAAAAGTTACTTATATTAAAATATACGCATTTATTACGGACAACTTATATGTTTCATTAACTTACATTCTAGTATCATAGCTATTCATAAAGATTTTGACATGTAATTTACTGTATATGAAGAATAATGTGTAATTACCCAGGGCTTAAAAACCCTTCTTTGTAGAGGCCGAATATAGGCTACTTCCCCAACCAAACTAGCCTCTTTTTTTCCCCAGTTTGGACCTCAAAATTCCCCAGTCTTTTGAAAATTCCCATAGAATTTAGAACAAAATTAAATGATGGTGTTGAATTAAGGATTTTTACTGCCTTATTTGTATTTCCCAGTGCTTTTGCTTTTCTATTTTGAAGAGCTTGTTAAAAGTTTTGTTAAATTTGAGACCCTTTTTCCCAAAGTATGCCAAAATCACGCATATTTTCCCCAAGAAAAAGGCTGAGGCCCCTTCCCCGAATATGGTGTTTTGGCCCTGTTACCCCGAACAATTTTCATTAAATATTGAAACCAAAAACTACTTACTTAGACACACTGTCAAATATTTGGGTACAATTAGCTATGCCACATGGAAACTCCTTTACTCTGAAAAATAAAGATCAATAAGCAATGCAAACTATTAACAAAATTACTATTTTATCAATGATAGACACTATATACAAGATAATATATGTAACATTGAAGTACACTCAATAGTGTCAATTTTACAAAGGTAAATACATGTCTTTACTGTATTTAGCCAAGGTGCCCTTGACATTGTTTGGTCAATTTTAAGTCGTAATTGTAATTGCTGGTGGAGGAAACCCTAAGGTGCACCTCTGTGCATTATTTTTAGACAAAAGTGCAAGTAGAACCAATAATATTCCGTAAGATAGTTGAATAGTTGCCTCATATTCAAAGTCCCTGATGTTTCAGAATAGGACCCACGGCAGTGAGGAGAAGTGGTCTGAAGGCAACAACCTCAACCACTCAGCCAAGACTTAGGCATGATCAACCTGAAAGGTCTATGTAAAAGCCAAGGTCCATGATGTATGGTATCAACATCCTAAATTTATATCAAAGATATCAGTCAATTCATAAAGAAGCTAAGAAAAACTGTACGAGGAAGGACAGCCAGACATTAAAATGCTCAACCAAAAAAAAAACATTCAAAATGCAGCATATTAATCTAGTACAAAGTAGACAAGAGCTGTCGGAAGGACAGCACGCTCGACTATTCTAAGTGCTTGATAGTAAAAGAGCCTCGAAAATGTTAAATTTTTTAAGTTTACAAATGGGCTAATTTTTTATAAATTCATGTTATAGGCCTTAGAGAGAGCCTAATAATACAGTATTGGCTTGACTATTTGGAAGGTAATGTCACAAGGGTGTTTTATTGAGTATAATAATACTAATTACCTATGAATACATAAATTTGACAGAAAAGGTACATAGGCTTGTTATTAAGATGTTTTATCAAGTAAATCACTGCTTTGTTATTATGAATGCATAAAATTGTCCCAAAAAAGGCACAAACCCTTCAGAAGTTATTGAGATAACAGCTTATAAGCAAAACTTTACCATGAATTTCTAAGTTGAAAAAGGGTTAAATGCAAGATAGAATTATGGATCTTTGTCAGTGACCTACAATTATGACCCTAAATGCATATGTGAAGTTTTAAATAAATATCTTTAATAGTTATTGAGATATGTAAAACTTGCATTAAAAATTTTAAACATTAACCAAGAGACTAAGTAGAAAAGGGGATATGAATCAGCCTTAATGCAAGATAGAGTTATGGTACTTGGTCAGTGACATACAATTATGACCCCAAGTGCATGTGTAAAGTTTCAAGTAAATATCTTTGAAGACCTTTAACCTTTAACCAAAATTTCTAAGTTTCAAAGGGGCAAATAATTTTTGCAAATATTGCAGGCAGAGTTATGCAATTTTGCAAACTGATGTACATTGTTACTATAAAAAAGTATTTTAAATTTCAATTGAATATCTCAAGCAATAATTGAGATATTTGACTTTACAAAAAAACTTAAACCAAAATTTCTAAGTTAAAAAGGGGCATAATTCTGTCAATATTGTAGGCAGAGTTATCAAACTTGTCAATCTGATGTACCTTGTTACTATAAATAAGTATTGTAAATTTCAATTGAATATCTCAAGTAATAATTGAGATATTTGACTTTACAAAAAACTTTAACCAACGCAGACGCCGACGCCGGGGCGACTACAATAGCTCTCATATTCTTCGAATAGTCGAGCTAATAAAACAATATTGTTAATGTTACCTTTTCGTTTGTACAGCTCTCTGAGCATCCAGTGGTACATATTTTGATGAAAGTCTCAAGAACATGTCTCCCTCTTCAAACAATGCTGCATCTGGTCCGAGCCGTCGTTTAACAATCGTCCAACACCATGTCAACACTTTATCAACAACTGATTCTTTTTCCATCTCTTCCATGATCATTTTACGTCAAATCTTTTCTTTTTTGAAACTAAGCAGTTTTTTTTATAAACTTGTTTTCTACGTATATATCATTCAATAGCACAAAAGTATAACATTAAGTCAGTCAATATGAACACAAATTTAAATATTGTCAATGTTAAAACACTTATTTACTTTTCACTGAGCGGGAAAGACAGTTTGTCCATAAGATCATCAATTCTGTCTCTAAGCACAGGTAGAATGTCCCCGGAGATGAATATATGAGTCTCGTCTAGATCTTGTATAACAAATTTTCTTCCTAGAGATTCGGTTTCATCTAGATGCAGCAGAAACTGTTTCATGGCAGGGTCACACTCGACCAATATACCTTTCATAACATTCACCATGATTGCAAAATTGTTTTCGTGTTTTTATTACAAATATTATTATTTAATTTAATAAAATTTAATAAAGGTATTAAAAAATCAGAACTGTGATTAGTTTGTTTGAAATTGTATCTGTTTTATTGTTCCTTATTAAAGTTAACTGAATCTTTTACACAAGTCAATGATATTTTTTCCAGAACAACCTGTTATCTGAAACATACAAAAAAACAAAAGCACTGAATGATTTGACATCAAAAAACAAGAATGTGTTCGTTAAACACAAGGTCAATGGAAAAAAGCATGATAATGAAACATAATGATTAACAACAACCTGTAAAGGACATACACAAACACCTTTATAATTTAATCAATACAAGAGCAACAATTTCTGGTGTAAACCAAAGAAATATATTCATCAAAGTGTGCATGCAGGAGATGGTTTGTAAGTTTGTAACTAGAACTCCGCGAGTCGGATGTGTGGCCTTGTGAACAATATAGTTTAGGAGAAATGGCCAAGACAAAAATGATATTTGAAAATCAAAAAAGGGCAATAGCTCAAAAAATAAGAAATGCAGAGCAGCAGTATCTGTGCATTGCACTTCTTATCAATAAGATCTATCATCCTACTAAGTTTAAAGCTTTTATAATTTATGAGAAATGGCCTGGACAAAAATAAAGTTTGAAAATTAACAAGGGCAATAACTCAAAAAATAAGAAATGCAGAGTACCAGTTCTTGGGCACTGCACTTCTTCTTAATGAGATCTATCATCCTATGAAGTTTCATGTCCATAGCTTTTATACTTAAGGTGAAATGGCCAGGACAAAAATAAAGTATGAAAATAAACAAAGGGCAACAAGAGCCATGTCAACATGGCCATCCCCCGCCGAATGTGTTTGCTCATTGGAAGAATGTATATGTAGTAGAGCAGAATAATTCCATTTTAAAAGGTCTTTTGGTAATGAAAACTGATGGCTGTAGTGATTACAGATTTTAAACCTATGTGAATACTGATGGCTGAAAATAACAAAGGGCAATAACTGAAAAATAATGCAGGGTAGGTTATCATCCTTGTGTGCTGCATCCCTCCTCAGTAAAATCTATCCACCTATGAAGTTTCAAGTTGATACCTCAAATACTTTTTGAGAAAAAAATTGAATTGAAAAATTAAGTTTGAAAAATAACAAAGGGCAATAGCTCAAAAATTATAAAAGGTACAGTTATTATTCTTGTGCAGTGCACACCTCCTGAGTGAGATCTATGCACCTGTGAAGTTTCATTTTGATATCTCAAAGGCTTTTTGAGTTATGCTCTGGACAAAAATTAATTTTGAAAAATAACAAAGGGCAATAACTCAAAAATAATGCAGGGTAGAGTTATCATTCTTTAGCACTGCACTCCTCCTCAATGAGATCCATCCACCTATGAAGTTTCAAGATGATACCTCAAATACTTTTTCAGATAAGCTCTGGACAAAATAGCATGAAAAAAACAACAAAGGGCAATAACTCAAAAAATTGTATAGGGAAGAGTTATCATTCTTGCTCACAACATTTTTCCTCAATAAGATCTATCCTTCTATGACATTTCATGTTGATATCTCAAACACTTTTTGAGTTATGCTCCACTCAGGGGAAAAATTAGGTATGAAAAATAACAAAGGGCAATAACTCAAAAATTATGAAAGGAAGAGTTATCATTCTTGTGCACTGCACACCTCCTGAGTGAGATCTATGCACCTATGAAGTTTCATGTTAATATCTCATAGGCTTTTGGAGTTATGCTCTGGACAAAAATCAATTTTGAAAAATAACAAAGGGCAATAACTCAAAAATCATCCTCAATGAGGTCTATCCACCTATGAAGTTTCCAGTTGATAACTCAAATACTTTTAGAGATATGCTCCGGACAAAAATTTCGGACGGAAGGACGGACGGAAGGACGGAAGGTCGGACGGACGGACGGAGACTATTACTATATCCTCCGCCGAAAATTTTCGGCGGGGGATAATAACTCAAAAAATAAGAAATGCAGAGTACCAGTTCTTGTGCACTGCAATTCTCCTTAATGAGATCTATCATCCTATGAAGTTTCAAGTCCATAGCTTTTATACTTGAGGAGAAATGGCCCGGACAAAAATAAAGTATGAAAATTAACAAAGGGCAATAACTCAAAAAATAAGAAATGCAGAGTACCAGTTATTGTGCACTGCACTTCTTCTTAACGAGATCTATCATCCTATGAAGTTTCAAGTCCATAGCTTTTATACTTTAGGAGAAATGGCCCGGACAAAAATAAAGTATGAAAATTAACAAAGGGCAATAACTCAAAAAATAAGAAATGCAGAGTACCAGTTATTGTGCACTGCACTTCTTCTTAATGAGATCTATCATCCTATGAAGTTTCAAGTCCATAGCTTTTATACTTTAGGAGAAATGGCACGGACAAAAATAAAGTATGAAAATTAACAAAGGGCAATAACTCAAACAAGAGCTGTCGGTAGGACAGCAACGCTCGACTATTCTTAGTGCTTGATAGTAAAAAAAATGCTTGATACAATTACCTCCTCCTGTTTACAGGTTGGGGTAATGATGGTGAACAAGTGTGCAAAGTTTCAAAGCCATTTGTCAATGGACTTTGAAAATATTTGAACTATTACAAAAACTTTAACGTAAATTCTAAGTCGAAAAAGGGGCATAATTCTGTCAAAATGCTTGATATAGTTACCTCCTCCTGTTTACAGGTTGGGGTAATGATGGTGAACAAGTGTGCAAAGTTTCAAAGCCATATGTCAATGGACTTTGAAAATATTTGAACTATTACAAAAACTTTAACGTAAATTCTAAGTCGAAAAAGGGGCATAATTCTGTCAAAATGCTTGATACAGTTACCTCCTCCTGTTTACAGGTTGGGGTAATGATGGTGAACCAGTGTGCAAAGTTTCAAAGCCATATGTCAATGGACTTTGAAAATATTTGAACTATTACAAAAACTTTAACATAAGTGGTTACGCCGACGCAGACGCCGACGCTCGGGTGACTACAATAGCTCTACTTATTCTTATCGAATAGTCGAGCTAAAAATAAGAAGTGCAGCGTACCGGTTCTTGTGCACTGCACTTCGGGTCATTGTAAGAAGCATGCATACTAAGTTTGAAGTCAATCTGACTTATAATGACTGACTTATGCTCCGGACAAACTTAAGGGGACGCCGACAACAACGCCGACACCGCCGACAAAAGTAACCCCTATATGTCGCCTTTTTCAAGGCGACACAAAAACTGAGGCCCGGCATGCAAGTTATGTTCAAATGCACATAAGTAATTAGTTGTTAGAATGACAAGGTGATAAATGGGAATGAAATTGGAATGATATAGCCTTTATTATAGGTCAGTGGATGCAGAGTAATATAACAAATAAATAACAGACAATTACAAAAGATATATATACAAATAATACTAGGACAAAATGATACATAAAACGATATTCTTAACGAATATTGACCACATGACAGTACTCAGTGTTTTTTTCTTCACTTTTGGGTGAAGGGGGTCGGTGCCCTTTGGAGAGGGAAAAATGCAATAGGAGTGGGAATTTCATTTCTTCACAAATGAGGACAAACAGAAAAGAATCCAATGCATATTTTATATACCATTTACCACTGTAAGATATACTGTTGTGCAACAGTTTTCTTTCCGGTAGCAACTCTTTCAACACAAGTTTTAAATATGTCACTTTTTCTTAATACATTTTTGTATACAGATCTAAAATATCTACAACAGAATTTAAAGGGTCACATGTTAAACTTGTTGGGACATGGGGAGTAGCTCCCCTTACCTACCCAGGAACAATTTGTAAACAACCTTACTTAACAGTAAGTCTTAAAGGCATAAATTAGATATTTGCAAGAAACGATATTCATTGCCGGCAAATTCTGGCTGCAGTATGGGGATAATTTAGGCTTTGAGGAGGGTAGAAAACAAACCATTTTGACAGGGAATGGGGCCGAATTTGGCAAATACTTTGGTGAAAAAATAAACACTATTCAGACAGAATCCGGGTCAGCTCGGCCCTAAAACATACTCGGCCCCCGAGTCAGCTCGGCCCTATTCCAACTCGGCACGGGTCAACTCGGCCCACTTTTAAAAATGGGTAAAGGACATCAAAGGACTCCTATTGTCACGGGCTATTATTATCAATTAATGTGTATGTTAAAGATATGGATATAGTTGAATAGGGATATAGTTGAAAAATTTATATAATGAAAATTAAATGCATATAACAAGTGTAAATTCATTACATGCAAATGCTTTGTATGTTAAAAGTACCCAAGGTACTCTCCCTTTTCATGTATTATATATGCTTATATTTCTGTATGCATTCTATTGAGCCTCGAAACTTTGTTAATATTTATTTACCTCATGTTGTCAATGTCTTGACCTGAGAGAAATAAAGATATTTGTATATTTGTATAAAGATACCGATTAATTAGGTGATAATTATGATTGACTCATTCATTCAAATTTGATTAGTAACCACTTGCAATTAATTAGAAGCTTATGCTATTAAGTAAACACGTTTTTGTTTCATATTTTTTTGAAAATTTCTTTACAAACAAAATGCATCTAAGGAAACACATTTTTATTATATCTATATTCACAGGCACAAGTATCGGACCTGGGAAGAAAACATATGAATTAAGTTATTTTATCAATCTGTTCATATTTTTTCTTCCCAGGTTCGATAATCGTGCCTGTGTCTATATTAATTTATCGAATCTGCAAGACAAATAAATAACTTTTTTTTTCTAAATATACTTTATTTCAGCAGAGGTACAATGTATAATTATATAATAATAATAAGATATTTCTTATTATTCATTTACCTTAACAACATGCAAAGCAAATTAAATACGTTATAGGTCTATATATTTTTGTAAAGTGGGCCGAGTTGACCCGTGCCGAGTTGACCCGTGCCGAGTTGGTATAGGGCCGAGTTGACTCTTTTCCTTCAGACATATAAATCACACACTTTATACAGCATTGTCAGGCACATTACAGTCACATCCATATCCAATTAACTTTATAAAGTGAGAGATTTATGCATTTATAACCTAAATTACAAGCTTTGTTTCCGGTTTATCAGCGAATTTCAACTTGTTCTCAAATTTTGTATTTTGATACTTGTCCTGCCTAGATCACAAGCAGACGACCAGAACATTGGATCCCTGACAAAGGGACCAGGCACAGTGTCTGGATAGTGTAAAAAGTAATTTTAGAAAAAAAAATATAGTTTATTATAAAATTATATATAATATACAGTCTATATAGTCTATATCTATTACATATAAACTTCTTTTTTTTCTAAAATTACTTGTTTACACTATCCCAACACTGTGCTGGGTCCCTATGATCCCTGAATTCTGGGATGTATCGTATGTTCCAGCTGAATTCTAGAAAATATATTTCAAAGAACATCATCATCATACTTATTTCTGGATTTTTCCTTTTGTTTAAATGATGTGTAACAGTTTTTGAAATCTGTAACTTGACCTTGGCACTGTCTCCAATCCTTTTTTTCAGCCATACAATCAAGAACAGAATAATGAAGTTCAAGACAACCGGCCTCCTTCAATCTTTGCTCTACAGCTTCTAAATGATTCATTTCGCCATCTCCTTGAGCTTGATTTTTACGGTTGTGAGTATTAGATGCCATCTAAATCATTAATTACTTAAGAAGCACGAGTAAAATATAGAACAAACAGTAAAAGCATTCGGAACACTTCGCGATAAATTCACATGTAACGATTTGTCAAAAATCACGGCACACCGTGAAGAAAATTTATTTCTTAACATTGTCATATAAATACTCATATTTATGTGACCTATAGATAGAAATGTCAATAGTTCAAAATGCCTTACTCTCGTAATAAATGATCTCGTAATAAAATTGTTAATTACCTTTTCAGATCTGATAATCCGGATTTCCCGGAGCCCATGTTATTTTTTCAATGCATTGAGATTTCCGGAAGTGACGTATTTTAAAAAATATTTTAAGTTCAAAGTTTTTATCTAAAATAATTTGATATTAAGAGCTATTGATAGAATGATATAAAGAATGCAAATTTCACAATTTTAGAAGGAGAAGTGATGGGTGTTTGTCCTTGTCATTTAGAAATAATCTTTAGGAAACCCCATTTCTTTTTTGACAGCCTCATTTGTAAACGAAAGTAGATCAGTAACTTCCGGGTTCAAAACGTGGCTGATCGAGGACTGTTGTTGTTATCATTAAACACTTTAATGCGTTGACCGAACTCTACACTTGCTTGATACGTGCTGTCTACCTGTTAATAAATATGGATAACACAACAAAGTTATTTAAAGTTGGATCAAGAAAGAGTCAGGTAAAGTCTGAAGATACAATATTTAATTTATTTGACTTTGGCTTTTCAGTTATCAGTGTTTGTTTATTTTTTACACCTATTTTATATATTTTGGTTAAATTTTGACAGTCCACTTAAGCCACTTTTTCTAGATAGCTCACCAGTTATTATTATACAAATTTCGTCGCAAGTGACTGACAACTATACCAATCAGCAATATGAGAGATTATCATTAGTGAGGTACAACATGTATCTATCTGCCTTTTCTGTTAAATCTCTTTCAAGGACATATTTAGACAGTTGGCGTGTTAGTTCTGACTTAAATTAACGCAAATTAACCTGTAAAGGTCAATCTCATTATCACAGGTTTTTTGGCAATATGGGGGCCAAGTGCTGAATTTTTATTATTGTCGTAAACTACACATGTATTCAGTAGTTTAATTATGTTTGTAATAAGTTTTTTTATATGTCCATCCTTGACTTATAAACAGATAATACATAGTTTTATCAAGGTATGCTTCGCTTTAATTTATGGCATGTTCAATGAATGAATATGAGTGTGTCAGATTCCTGGCATGATTATTGGTGGACTTTCCCTACCGGTCTGTCATGTCAGTTAGTATATAAACGGGTATGCTGAAGACCTTAAGCTGTTTGCATGTGCCTTCAATCCACTAAGAAATGTTTAAAAAATGACAATAAAAGAATAGGTATTTAAAATCTTTAAAATATTACATACATAGTCATTTAACATAAACAGTGGGAAATGTTTCTTTAATAATAGTAAAAACAATCTGGGATATGTGTTAAAGTGAAATATGTTAAACACTGCTTAAAGCGGTACACTACTTTTGTTTTGATCTGTTTAAGTATGGGCAGTGAAATGACATTAGGTGGTGAACTGTTCCAACTTCTTGGAAAGAAAGAGAATTTGTAATACATGTAGTATGTTTGGCCTGGGGTTAACCTATAGCTCATCTAAAGGCATGTCAAGACCGAGGGTCTCCCTAATGGGGTGAGATAACTTTTATTGGATGGCAACTACATGTATATCATTCCTGATTTGTACATCATGGAGAGCCTTATACTTAAGTCAATACAATGAATATATAGTCTGACAGTGCCATTTAAGTTACCATGGTTACGATGATGTGGGTAACAGTGTATGTGCGTCCATTGTCAGATTTGACCCATTGTTCACACAGATCTTCTTTGGACAGATTCTATCTGATCAGTGATGGTTTGACTATGGGGACAAGCCTTCAGATGGTGTTATATCAATATATACCATGACCTTAAGGATCTAAGTGCTTCAGGTTGATATTTAATTTATATTAATAAATTTTATCATTTATGTACATGTATTAGTTTTAGTTTATATAACATTGTACGTACAATTCTTGTGTATTTTTAAGTTTATATTTTGTACAATTCTTGTGTATTTTTGTTTCTTTTTAGATTCTTTTCAAATTAAATCCAAATGTCTGGGTATTCCTTAAATTACAACTTAACTGAAGCCATGATTTTGAAATCATAGGTGTATGAAAATCAGTATTGTGTTAGAATTCTTATCATATTGCCCTAATTAAAGTCATGCGACTGACCGTTGGCAGATCTCTATGTGTAATTGATAAGATTTAAGCAGACCATAGTGACAGATTTCTTAGTGCCATATGAAAGAATGAAAAATATTTCTATGACTCTTGATTCTATTCACTTCAAAAACCCTTACCCACTCCCCCTATCAATTGTTATATAAAATATATTCTCTAAAAAATAACACTAACAGCCCTGATTTTTTGACAAAGAATAATTAAGAAATACCAAGACAATGGCACTTTATTTTACATAAAAAAAATGTACTTGAATTAACACCCATGATCCCCCCAAAAACAAGAACACCCATGATCCCCCAAAAACTATAACACCCACATAATATTATACACAGGGGTGTTTATTAAAGGACATACTATAGTAATTAAAATGATAATGGAAAGTGCTAATGTTTTGACAGATCATACATTTTCAAAAGTTGTTTTTGTTTCCTTGATGTTGAACATTATACATTTCTGTCATATGAAATGTTGTTGTTTTTCTTTGATGTAGACAGTGTTTTTCAGCCTAAGGCCATAGCTATACCACCATGTATGTACATGTATAACTATTTCCCTTTGTTGTACTGTAATAAAGTTCCATGTTTTTACTTCCTTCATATGTGTCAAATTTTATCATATTATTTAAAGTAACAAATTTCAATTAATATGGTAATAACTGTCCAATTATGGGTTCCCCAGTAACTTTGTAAATTCAAGATAACTTCAGATAATTATAAAAAAAATGGAAAGAAAACCAGCAAAAATTTGAAGTAAAAAATGATTGATTAGAAAATTTTCCCTCTATAGCATGAAATTAAATTTTTGTACTGAAATTGATAGGTAACTGAAATTGATAGGTTATCAAAATGTAAGGAACAAAAGCAGTGTATGGTTGTGTTGTGTGGTTCTCCTATTCCCATGTGTATTTATCTAGTTTTATAAAAAAAAAATATTTAAATATGTAATAAATTATAAATGTTAATATGATATATAACTTGTACACTTTATCTCACAAAACTTCTACAGTGTATGCTGTTATTTACAGTATATACTCTAAACCATCAGCCCTCCTTCAGTCTTAACTAATTGTTACCATTGACACAGATCATTGTAATGGCAATAAAGCAATATAATAATTATACTTCTCAAGTTGATTACTAACCGCAGTAATCATGTTACAATTTGTCTCATTTGTCTGGGTTTTTTTTACCTTAACCTACTGGAGATTTACCATGCTTTGAGTTTGAGTTTAGAATACTCAAAAGTCAATTTGGGGAAATGGACAAAAGCCCTCCCGGACAAAAGCCTTCCTATGCACAAAAGACCTACAATACTCATGGGAGGGCTTTTGTCTGCCTTGTCATTTTTGAACAGGAGGGCTTTTGTCTGCCTTGTCATTTTTGGATGGGATGGCTTTTTTGCCCTTCATTGCATTTGAAGTGGGATTTCATTATCAAAATACAAATTTTGAGCTACCAACATTATATAGAGCCTGGTCTGACTGCAGTCTGTCCAGACTTAACTATGAAATACAATGTACTTAAAATTTTCATCTTAATATCTTCAAAATTAACAATGAAAAGAAATTCAGCAGGTTGAACCTAAATGGTTGAAGATTACCTCGTAAGATTTCAGAATAGCTCAACTTTTTTTTTACTCCAGTAAAGCTGGAGTAGTGCTGTACAACTTTACAGTGTTAATGTGATGTAAAACAAAACAAAAACAAAATGAGCCGCGTCATGACAAAACCAACATAATGGGTTTGCGACCAGCATGGATCCAGACCAGCCTGCACATCCGCGCAGTCTGATCAGGATCCATGCTGTTCGCTTACAAACCCTATTACAAGTAGAGAAACTGATAGCGAACAGCATGGATCCTGATCAGACTGCGTGGATGCAAACGCACTATGTTGGTTTTGTCGTGACACGGCTCAAATGTATATTGAAAGTTATTGAAAAGTTTGCTTGATTTATTTCAGCTGGCACTGATTCAGACCAATACCATCATAGACAAACTGAAGGAAATAAATCCTGACCATGACTTTGAAATAAGTAAGTGTTCTATATATTTATCCCCTACATTTGTGTAATGGACTTGCCCTGCTTTTAATTAAGAACTGTTTCTACCGGAAATTCCAAAGTTAAGCAAGGATGGAGTCTTTCCAGACTGACAATTTTTCAACTGGCCTAGACTCAATAATACTGGCAATTGGTTAATGATAAGTTTAATCAATTTTAGTTATCTATGTTGTATAATTATTATAAATTGACGTAAACACGATTCTACATGATTCTGCATGTTTTATTTGAAAATAGTTGACATTAAATTTTCCTCTCTTTTTTCATTTATTAAAATATTTCCTTTATTATTCATATGGTGTGATGTGGTCATATTTCATTTATTTTATGCCATATTTTCTAATTTTCAGTTACCATGACTACAACTGGTGACAAGATTTTAGACTCCGCCCTATCCAAGGTAAATAATTTATATATCTAAGTAATTACATGTACTGGTATTTTTTTTGCCAGCATTTCTTTTTCTTCTTTTTTGAAAATAAATGTCAAACCCCAATTTGGTTTGTTTATTTCATCTAATGACTTCTGAATGTAAGTAATGTTAAGTAATTTTACTGCATTTATATATACAAAATATTACCTGTATTAGTCAGTTTAAACTAATTACATATCATCGTGTGTCATTAAAATAATATTTCATACACTGTCACTTAAAGGGATAAAACTTGGAGTAAAGGTGTTGTCAAGTACATTTATAATGCATACGCCTAATTTTTGTTGTCATAAAAAATGAAGAAGTTATTAAGAGCAGTCTGTTGCCATAGTAACAAGGCAAAGAAATATTTACCTATAACACATAGGAAACTGTTGAAATAGCCCTTGTACTGTTATGATTAGTAATTAAAAATAATGCTAAAAAACCAAATAAATATGCATAAAAAACATAACAAAGTGTCAGGCACTTGGGTAATAAATATTTATACAAGTCTTTTCGCTGTAGTATTTCATGCCCGTCTGATCTTTACATATGGGAGGATGTACTGTTTTTGGTCACAAAACTTTAACCTTGACTCTTACATACAGAAAGTCCTTCCATGAACAGGCCTCCAAGTTTCACAGATCCATGCACATTGATTATCTATACCTACCAAACCAACTTTCAGATCATGGGATCAAATGTCAAGGCCACCATGGTCAAGACCCAAAGAGGCATCGCATTTATTCAAATGTAGTGCTTGATTAAAATTGTGAACTCATCTGGAGTAATGCAGCTTTAAAAGTACTAGTAATAATCTTATGGGAAGTTTAAACATCTCTTCAATGTGTTTATCTCTTCAATAAAATGTTTCTCATTATTCCTGGTGCATCATCAAGTTTAAGAATACATTTCTTCACAGATTGGCGCTAAAGATCTGTTCACACGTGAGTTAGAGTTGGCCTTGGAGAATGGTGAGGTTGATTTTGTTGTCCACTCTCTAAAAGATTTGCCAACAAGAATAGCAGAAAACCTGGTGATAGGATGTGTGTATAAGTAAGTTTTCCATAGATTTAAAAAGAAGTTGTTCATAGATTTATAAGAATAAAAGGTTTTTCATAGAGTTAGGAATAAATTATCAAGTGATTTTTTAGATGTCCTTAGATTTATGAATAAATTGTTGCTAGATTTATAGTTTTCCTTATATTTATAAGTAAATTTTTTATAGGTTTATATACAAATTATCCATATATTCATAAAATAAGCTGTCCATAGATTTATAAATAGATTGTCCATAGATTTATAAATAAGCTGTCCATAGATTTATAAACAAGTCATCAAGAAAATTTTCAGTTGTTGTTAGAATCAGAATAAATTGTTGATTAAATTTTGAGTCAGGTGTCCTTATATTTACATTCTACAAGTGAGTTTTCCATAGATTTTTAAATAAGTTGTCCATAGATTTTAATATAAATAAGTTTTTCATAATTTGTAAATAAGTTGCCAAGATATTTGTGAGATTGTCTTTCTAGTTATAAATTAATTCTCTAGGATTTATTAATAAGATAACTGTTGATTTGTAAATGAGTTGTTCATAGATTTGCCCATATAATAGCCTTTATTTAAAAGTATTTAAAGATGTTCATACTTATAGATTTATACATGTATACAGTTGTATTAGTTTTCCTTGTGCTTTTACATTACTTGCCTTTAGATTTAGAAACAAATTGTCAAATGAATTGTTAGTACTATATTGTCCTATGAGTATGATTTATGAATAAGTTGTCCATATATTTAGAGGAATGGTGATCTTGGATATTTGAATTTTACCATAGATACAGAAACAAGTTAAGTTAACCATAGATCAAATGGGCCATTAGATTTTTTTTGAAGTCATTAAAGGGACTCCACTGAGGTTTTTTACATGACTGGACTGGAAATAATTTTTTGAGATTTAATTGTTCAATTGAATGTAGGTCTAGACAAATAACTTGTATGCAAAATTTCAGATCATTTGCTCTCTCTTTTTTTTTCAAAATAATTATTTAATTTTATTAGAAACCTGAAAATTTTTGCAAAATTAAATAACTTTGCAATGCTTGAAGGATAACATAAAAATACAATTTTCAATTTATTTCAAAATGTATTTCTAAAATATCTTTTGCATATCTTTCTTTTGAGTGTGCCAGCTGATCTATGTAAGAAATTCTAAATTTTCGAGTTCACACTGTTAGACCTCAGTGGAGTTCCTTTAATTAAAAAATAAGTTTTATAAATTATAGCCTATATTTGTATGTTGTGAACTTTATAATTTTGAAGGAGAGTATATTATGAAAAGGTCAGAGTGTAATGATTATGCTATATATTACAATTCTTTTGTTTAGTTTAATATGATTGATTTATTTGTTTAAACTTCAAACCAGTACAAATTATATAAACAGATATCACTCATAAAATCTAGACAGGAGTACACTGAAGTAGGGCTGTAAATGATAAAAGCAAATAATCCATACATTATATTAGTCTATATAAAATTTATAAATTGAAGATAAGTGCATAGCGTACTATCTTTGGACACAGTAACTGTTGTGGATAAAATAAAATTCTAGTACATGTACATGTACAATAAACTTATGTTGCAATAATTTGAAATGGCTGAGGGTAATTTTCCATAAGAAATTTTTTTTTATTTGGAGTCTGGAATCTTACACTGATTTTCAAATTTTTTTTTAAAATTCTTTTTAAATGTTCTTAATTTTTTAACTTAATATTCTGAAAAACTCTTTATGTAACCAGGGTTAGAATTTAGCAATATTTTCTACTTGCAGATTTTTGCAAGTGATCAAATGTTTAACTTGCAATATGAGGTAGTCAACTGGCATTTCCATGATCACGTATCTTATTATTATCATAATACACAATGACAAATTATCTTTTGTATAACAAATGATAATAAGATTGAATGTCTATTGAATGTCAGAAACATCTTTATCACTAGTAAACACAGAGCGAGATCTCTTCTTGTAATGAAACAAAAACATTTCAACACATTATATCATAAATGATAAACAATTGTTTTAGGGATCAGATTAAATATATCAGAGGAACATCCACTGATGACAATGTAGCCTACAGTTATAAACTTGTTCATGTCATGTAATTTTTTGGGACCTTCATTAATTTTTCCATATTTTGTAAAGATTACACCAACATCCTGAAAGCTCAGAGGTACTTATCAACTTAAATAAATATTTCAGCTTAAAAGTTAACACTTTACAGACAAGAGCTACGCATTTACATTGGACCCAGATAAAGCATTGTATGGATGCTCTAACCAATAGTGTTTGGCTGTTATAAATAGTCCATCAAATTATAGTCGCAGAAAAAATAAGTATGGCAACCAAAAATTGATTTTTAAGTTTCTTTGGTAAATGTCATCAGTTACTGCACCCGGCACAGTAAACATCCATCAGGTTCTGCAGCGAGCAATTGCCAAGCATCATCCTCAGCTCTGATGATATCAATTAGGTAAACGTCCAAAATCAACAGTCACTTGCAAATCAATGCCAGCTAGAATAATTTTTACTGGCATTATTAGATTTTAACTGGCATTATCCCAGTATGCCAGCTTAAATTCGAACCCTGGTTATAACAAAGGTCAATCTTCATTGCAGTTCATTTTATATCTAAATTAAGCTCTACACAACCTGTTATTTTTAAAAGAAGAAAAAGTATTTTTGAATGGTTTTCATAAATTGCATAAGAATGTATCCAGTAATATTTTTACCTGGAGATAAAAGTATTGTTTATTAGTATAGGTTATATACAGAGTTTTAAGAAATTTATTTTTGAGCGAGAAAATTAGTTGCTTAAAACTTTGCATATACATGTACCGGGGTAAGCTATAACCAACTTACAGTTAGCCTCGCCTATTTAAATAGAGTGCATTTTGTAAATAGGCGGATTCCATTAGATTGGCTCATTTAACATATAAATTTAATACATACAGTTGAGTTACAGCACTGTATTTCGGCAAAATTTAAATGAAACAGAGCAATATTTTTGGCAGTCAAACTGTAATGGTATATAAAGTCCATGACTGCAATTACATGTACATCACTTTTAATCCATTTCTAATTAATTTGGGACTCCACTGAGATCCAAAAGTCTGAAACATAGAATTCTAATTTCTCACATAGATCAGCTGCGGCACTTCAAACAGAAAGATATCCACAGGATAATTACTAGTAACTAAAATACACGAAAAATATATTGAAAATCATATTTTGCGCTTTTCTCATCCCAAATTGAGTGAAAAGCATTACAATTTTGAGTGATTTTTGCATAATAAGAAGAATTATTCTGGAAAAAAATGAGTGAGCAAATGACGTAAAATTTTGTACCCAAGTTTTTGGTCTAGATCTATAACAGATTGTTCATTTATCTCAAAAAATTATTTTCAATTGTACAGAGTAAACCCTTGATGTTATTCCAGCAAACTGTAAAATGAGATCTTTCAAAAAGCTCAAATTTCACCAATCCCCGCCCCCCCCCCCCCACAAGGGAAAACCAATTACAATTTCTATATTAAATTTATATGAAACTGAAACATTTAATTTCATGAAAATTGTGACATTAACACAACTTGATTGTTGGTGAAAATTTCTGATTTTGACTTTAGTTATAAAATCGTATTAATGGATATTTATGTTATATTTCAGGAGAGACAGTGAGTTTGATGCTGTAGTTATGCACCCTAAACATAAAGGAAAGAAATTAGCCGACCTTCCTGATGCAAGGTGATATATATTTATACCCCCGCACAACAAAGTTGTAAGGGGGGTATACTGGAATCAGCTTGTCCGTCCGGCCGTCCGTCCGGCCGTCCGTCGGTTTTTTCTTGTCCGCCCAATAACTTAAGATTCCTTTGACCTACAGTCGTCATATTTGGCATGGAGGTTAGTCATAATTAGTAGATGACCCCTATTGATTTTGAGGTCACTAGGTCAAAGGTCAAGGTCACAGGGGCCTTGACTTCAAAAAGTTTGTCCGCCCAATAACTTAAGATTCCTTTGACCTACAGTCGTCATATTTGGCATGGAGGTTAGTCATGATTAGTAGATGACTCCTATTGATTTTGAGGTCACCAGGTCAAAGGTCAAGGTCACAGGGGCCTTGACTTCAAAAAGCTTGTCCGCCCAATAACTTAAGATTCCTTTGACCTACAGTCGTCATATTTGGCATGGAGGTTAGTCATGATTAGTAGATGACCCCTATTGAATTTGAGGTCACCGGGTCAAAGGTCAAGGTCACAGGGGCCTTGACTTCAAAAAGCTTGTCCGCCCAATAACTTAAGATTCCTTTGACCTACAGTCGTCATATTTGGCATGGAGGTGAGTCATGATAAGTAGATGACCCCTATTGATTTTGAGGTCACCAGGTCAAAGGTCAAGGTCACAGGGACTTTGACTTCAAAAAGTTTGTCCGCCCAATAACTTAAGATTCCTATGACCCACAGTCTTCATATTTGGCATGGATGTTGATCATGACTATAAGGTGACCCCTATTGATTTTGAGGTCACTGGGTCAAAGTTCAAGGTCACAGGGACCTTGACAAAAAAAGCTTTTCTTCTCAATTTGCTTAAGAATGTCCTGTCTGCAATGTATTGATTTTGACATTTTCACATTTGAAGCATGTAGAATACATAACTTAGCAATGCACTGGCTTAGTAACCTCAGATTTGGCAGGGAGGTTGTCCTTGCGCTCTAAATGGCCACTGTTGATTCTGACAAAGTGGTATGCGGGGGTATTCACGCCAAGATAGTGGCAGTTCTAGTTAATTTTATATTTTTATGCCCCCGGGCATATAGTAATTGAACCGTCCGTCCGTTAACCTAGAATGGCAAGTTGGATTTTTCTTAAGTTCTACCTGTACCGATGGCTTCATAATTTACACACTTACTAATCTGTGTAAAGTATTTGATCTTGGCAAGTTACATAACCATGGCTTCCATTTGCACCAAGTTATGGCCCTTTTCAGCACTTAGAAAATGAATAATGGTTAACCTAAACCGGCAAGTTGGAAATATCTTATGTTCTATCTGAACTAATGGCTTAATAATTTTCACACTTACTTATCAATACAATGTACCTGATATTGCCAAGTTATATAAATGTGCCATCCATTTTTCTAGTAGTTTCCCTTTTTATCACTTTGAAAATAGGGCCTTGTATGGTTAATCTATTCCGCCAAGTTGGATTTATAAAAAAATTTCACCTAATTACTTAATTATCCCCCGCCGAAAAATTTCGGCGGAGGATATAGAAATAGTCTCCGTCCGTCCGACCTTCCGTCCTTCCGTCCGTCCGTCCGTCCTTCCGTCCGACATTTTTGTCCGGAGCATATCTCTAAAAGTATTTGAGGTATCAACTTGAAACTTCATAGGTGGATAGACCTCATTGAGGAGGAGTGCAGTGCACAAGAATGATAACTCTACCTTGCATGATTTTTGAGTTATTGCCCTTTGTTATTTTTCAAAATTGATTTTTGTCCAGAGCATAACTCCAAAAGCTTATGAGATATTAACATGAAACTTCATAGGTGCATAGATCTCACTCAGGAGGTGTGCAGTGCACAAGAATGATAACTCTACCTTTCATAATTTTTGAGTTATTGCCCTTTGTTATTTTTCATACCTAATTTTTCACCTGAGTGGAGCATAACTCGAAAAGTGTTTGAGATATCAACATGAAATGTCATAGGTGGATAGATCTTATTGAGGAGGAGTGTTGTGTGCAAGAATGATAACTCTTCCCTATACAATTTTTGAGTTATTGCCCTTTGTTATTTTTCATACCTAATTTTTCACCTGAGTGGAGCATAACTCGAAAAGTGTTTGAGATATCAACATGAAATGTCATAGGTGGATAGGTCTTATTGAGGAGGAGTGCAGTGCTTAAGAATGATAACTCTACCCTGCATTATTTTTGAGTTATTGCCCTTTGTTATTTTTCAAAATTAATTTTTGTCCAGAGCATAACTCAAAAAGCCTTTGAGATATCAAAATGAAACTTCATAGGTGCATAGATCTCACTCAGGAGGTGTGCACTGCACAAGAATGATAACTCTACCTTTTATAATTTTTGAGTTATTGCCCTTTGTTCTTTTTCATACTTAATTTTTCAATATCTTTCATATTTGGTAGGTGGATACTTTTAAAGGTCCTTTAATTTTTTGTGGCGTTAGGCGTCTCTAGGTCAAGGTCAAGGTCACTTGTGTAAAAAAATAAATCTAAACATTTCTGCTCATACAGCCTTTATATTTAAGTTAATGTCTTTCATGTTTATAATAGTCATACCAAGGGAGGTCCTCTTCCTTTTCCTTTAGTAAGGAGTCATTTTGGTCAAGGTCACCAATGTCAAAAATAGATTTTTTACACTTTTACAAGTGAATTAACCTTATTCTATCGACAGATGTCTTGTATATTTTGATGGAACATAAAATTGAGGTATTATCATTTAGATGGAGGTAGGGGTCAGTTGGGTCAAGGTCACCAGTGCTAAAAATAGATTTTTACACTTTTGCTCATACAGCCTTTATTTATTGACAGATTTGTATTAAAATTTGTAGGAAGATAACTTACATGGTATTCTTCCTTTGGATGGAGTTAGGGGTCAGTTGGGTCAAGGTCAACAGTGCTAAAAATAGATTTTTACACTTTTGCCCATACAGCCTGTGGATATTGACAGATTTATTTCATATTTGGTAGGAAAATAAGTTGCATGATATTCTTCCTTTGGATGGAGTTAGGGGTCAGTTGGGTCAAGGTCACCAGTGCTAAAAATAGAATTTTGACACTTTTGCCCATACAGCCTTTATTATGCTCCCCGAAAAATTTCGGGGGAGCATATAGTCGTCGGGTTTTCCGTCTGTCCGTCAGTACGTACGTATGTACATACGTCCCGAATTCGCGTCAGGCCCATAACTTTGTTACTTGAAGTCGGATTTTAAAACTATTTCACAGAAATGATCACAATATTGAGAAGACGTGTCGCACGCAACATTTAGGTTGCTACCTTGAAGGTCAAGGTCACAGCATGACTTTGCTGCAAAATCATGTCCGGTCCATAACTTCATTATTTTAAGTCTGATTTGAAAACTATTTCACAGAAATGATCACCATAATAAGACGACATGTCACGCGCAAAATTTGGGTCACTACCTTTAAGGTCAAGGTCACAGCATGACCTTGCAGCAAAATCGTGTCCAGCCCATAACTTCGTTATTTGAAGTCAGATTTAAAACTATTTCACAGAAATGATCACCATATTGAGACAACGTGTCGCGCTCAACATTTGGGTCACTACCTTGAAGGTCAAGGTCACAGCATGACCTTGTAGCAAAATCGTGTCCGGCCCATAACTTCGTTATTTGAAGTCGGATTTTTAAACTAATTCCCAGAAATGATCACCATATTGAGACGATGTGTTGTGTGCATCATTTGGGTCGCTACCTTGAAGGTCAAGGTCACAGCATGACCTTGCAGCAAAATCCTGTCCGGCCCATAACTTTGTTATTTGAAGTCAGATTTTAAAACTATTTCACAGAAATGATCACCATATTGAGACGATGTGTCCCGCATAACATTTGGGTCGCTACCTTGAAGGTCAAGGTCACGGCATGACCTTTGAGCAAAAAAAATGTCCGGCCTATAACTTCGTTGTTTGAAATTGGATTTTACAACTATTTCACTGAAATGATCACCATATTGAGACGATGTGTCGCATGCATCATTTAGGTAGCTACCTTGAAGGTTAAGGTCACATCATAACCTTGCAGCAAAAATGTGTTCGACCCATAACTTCGTTATTTGAAGTCGGATTTTACAACTTTTTCATAGAAATGATCACCATATTGAGACAATGTGTCATGCACAACATTTGGGTTGTTTTTACACTTTGAACTTTGTCTGTGACATAACTCTGACAATACAAGAGGTATACCTTCCTGTGTCCAAAACCTATTTGGGGAGCATCACCCGGTTCAACCGGCTCTTGTTTTAAATATTGTAACTGACAAGAATCTGAGCCGGGGGCATTTGTGTTTAACAACACGTTCTTTTTTTTCTTGTTTTTTGGTTGTGTTTAAAGCCCATGACACTTGAAAGTCATTACCATGTTGTGGCAATGTTAGCTGTACTGTTTGTAGAATACCTCAGGTGCCTAGCTGTGCATTATTTAATTAAGGCTCAAGCAGGTACCTCAATAGAACAAGGGACCTTCTGTTGACAAGCTTTATAAGTTACCCAGTTAACTAGCTGCAAAAGTTACTCAAATGAAAGAATCCAAAATTCCAAAGAGATTTCAATATTAAAATACTAAAATTAAGCTTAAAACAGTATAGAGAGTGGTCAGACTGCATGGATATGTAGGCTTGCCTGGACCTATACTGGTGGCAAATAACAATTACTATTGATTCAAGCAGGTTAAAGGGTATTAATTTGTTTTGTTTTTTTAAATAATGAAATATTTTTTATAAAATTCATTAGCTGTTAAACTATTTAGTTTCCATAATCATATGGTGGGCTCTAAAAAGAGTGATTACATTGAGTGTCTCTTTTATTTAACACACATGAATGTTGTATGTAAACAGGATAAAATGTTTTGGATAAAAGTATTATGTATCAAAATGTATTTTAAGTAGGTTTTTAACCACTTAGCAATGACTTTTTGCATGCACCATTTGGTTTTAAGGAAATAGTCCTTACATATTTTTTTCATACAGGCATTTTGGAGGTACTAGTTTTCTTTTTTTCAAAATGTTAACAAAATTTTTGTTGCAGAAATATAGCTTTATACACTTTTAACAGTTTACGGTATGGCATTTTACATGTATGATATTTTGTATGTTTTTCAGTGTGATTGGTACCAGTTCCTTGAGACGAGCAGCACAGCTACAGAGAAAATTTCCAACTTTTAAATTTGAAAGTATCGTATCCTTTTTAAAACATCGAGCTTCCATGAGTGGAAGTTTGGAGTGTTTACTCCAAGACTTTGGCTTGTGACTTCAAACTATAATGCTTTTCCTTCTTGCCGATATATTGTTACTAAAACAATCTTATCAAATTAAATAGTTTTATGATTTTAAATCCCTAAAAGTACAAGTAGTCATTTTATAAAACAAAGAATGTACAATTAATTACTTGACTGTTTTATGTATATATCGTGCATAATAAATCCTTAACAATGTTTTAAGAGAGGTAACTTGAATACCCGATTCAAGAAACTGGACGAGGACACCAAGTATGATGCCATCGTACTGGCGGAGGCTGGTCTACGTAGAATGGGCTGGGATGACAGGATTGCACAGGTTGGACAATTCTCTGAATACAAGCAGCAATAATGATTTGTCACAAATATACTTGCATGCTCATGCTAGCCTGCTTTGCCCTGCAGCCTGACCAGTTTCAATTCTGTTGACTTCTTTATTTTAGCAGCATTTTGATATTGAAAAACCCTTGGTATTATAGTGGACTGTTTCAAATTCAAAGGAGGGCTTGTCAATTATATGAATTAAGTGTAGTTATAGGTTAAGCATGTTAACTATGTTCAATAGTACATTTTAATCAACAAGACAAAAAGGAAATATGATGCCAGACACACCTTTATCAATAAAATCTTTTGTATACAACAACTTTACAACAAATGAAAAAGCTAATTAATTTATGATGATTATAAAGTATGGGACAGCTTTATAATCTTTATATTTTTAACAGCAGTCTATTAATTTATATCTTATTATGCCCCCAATTCAAAGAGGGGGTATATTGCTTTGCATTTGTCTGTCTGTCGGTCCGTAGACCAAATGGTTTCCGAGTGATATCTAAAGAACCCTTAGGCCTAGGAACTTCAAACTTGGTATGGTGATTGGTCATGACCAGTAGATGACCCCTATTGATTTTGGGGTCAAGGGGTTAAAGGTCAAGGTCATATTGACCTGTAAGTAAAAACAGTTTCCGATCAATAACTAAAGAACCCTTAGGCCTAGGAACTTCAAACTTGGTATCATGATTGATCATGACCAGCAGATGACCCCTATTGATTTTTGGGTCAAAGGGGTCAAAGGTCAAGATCACATTGTCCTTGTAAGTAAAAATGGTTTCCGATCAATAACCTTCACCACCAATTTGACACTAGACTCAACTGCATTGATAGATTCCTACTCTGATCTTTTATTTGAATAACAATAGATTAAACACTAATCTAATAATAAGAATTAGATAGGTCAGTGATCTATGCATGATGGCAATCTTCATTTGTATAGAAACAAAAAAAATCTGTTCCTACATTACTATTTAGTGTTGTATTAATGCGGTGGCATAGCATTTTTCACAAAAGCAATCTTGTTCATTATAAAAATTCATCACTATAATCCTTTTGCAATTTAAAAAAATATGAAATGAAATTATATATATAATATTTTTTCAAGTCTTTTCTGCAGGCTATTCAGATAGAAACAGTTTTATTCCAGTGTTAAATCATACACTTTAATGTTACCATTGTGCACATACAATCTGTTTTTATCCTGGCAGTATGCCACACCTTCTGGTCCATATATTCCTTGTTCTATATCCAGTAGAATCTTCACCTTGGTCAGGTCAGATGATAATTGATGTATATTGTTTGACAAATGTCCACATACAAACACTGCCCCAGACCTATCAACAGTCACTTGATATGGCAAATTCAGCTGGTCATCATTGTAAATGGCCTTGACTTTCCCATCAAAGGTTAAACCTAACACACAGTTTTTCCTCAAGTCAGATACATATATAACTGTGTTGTCTGCACTGATTGTTAAGTAAAAAGGATCAGAAAACAGACGATTCTCATGCTGATCTTATCAAATATTTTCAATACTTTACAGACATGTCTAATATCTTCACTGTTGCTAGTTTATCTGTGTATGATACTATAAGCTTGTTTGTTACTATAGGCAACACCACGACAACATTCTCCTATTTTTATATCTTCAGTGTTGGTTACTGTCATAGACTTAGAGAATGTTATCAGTCTTATAATTCCAAGTTCAGGAAATGTGATAACAGCTTTGTAATTGTCAATTTTAGCAACACCCCAAGGTTCTGGCGGCAGGTCTATTGTATCATATGATGAAGTGCTGACTGACATATCCTTGAATATAATTAGTTTTGAATATGCTTTGTTACATAGAAGCAGACAGTCTCTTTTTAACAAGCATAAAGATGGCACAAAGTCATTTGTGAATTTAATATCTGTGTGATTAATTGCAGTTCTTTGTACTTCAGATTCATGTATTTCTTGATAGGTGAAAAATTTGTCACAGTCTTGTAAATTGGTTATATTTTGTTCAAAAGCTTTGCATTCAACTTTGTAATAATGAATGGAATTGTTTTTACATTGTTTATCTGCATCTGGTTTTAAATGATCAATGATTTCCTGCCCTTTCTTCATGGCAACAAACATTTGACATCTTTGATCTATACCTTGATGATGCACCAACTCTGTTGATATACTGTTTAGTTTTGTTTTCATTTTTGAGGTTTCTTCAATGATTGTCTGCAAAATTTTCTTGTCATTCTTTTTTATGATTATGCCCCCATTTTGAAAAAAAGGGGGTATATTGCTTTGCACTTGTCGGTCCGTCGGTCCGTAGACCAAATGGTTTCCGAGTGATAACTAAAGAACCCTTAGGCCTAGGAACTTCAAACTTGGTATGGTGATTGGTCATGACCAGTAGATGACCCCTATTGATTTTGGGGTCAAGGGGTCAAAGGTCAAGGTCACATTGACCTTGAAAGCAAAAACGGTTTCCGATCAATAACTAAAGAACCTTAAGGCCTAGGAACTTCAAACTTGGTATGGTGATTGGTCATGACCAGTAGATGACCCCTATTGATTTTGGGGTCAAGGGGTCAAAGGTCAAGGTCACATTGACCTTGAAAGCAAAAACGGTTTCCGATCAATAACTAAAGAACCTTAAGGCCTAGGAACTTCAAACTTGGTATGGTGATTGGTCATGACCAGTAGATGACCCCTATTGATTTTGGAGTCAAGGGGTCAAAGGTCAAGGTCACATTGACCTTGAAAGCAAAAACAGTTTCCGATCAATAACTAAAGAACCTTAATGCCTAGGAACTTCAAACTTGGTATGGTGATTAGTCATGACCAGTAGATGACCCCTATTGATTTTGGGGTCAAGGGGTCAAAGGTCAAGGTCACATTGACCTTAAAAGCAAAAACGGTTTCCGATCAATAACTAAAGAACCTTAAGGCCTAGGAACTTCAAACTTGGTATGGTGATTGGTCATGATCAGTAGATGACCCCTATGATTTTGGGGTCAAGGGGTCAAAGGTCAAGGTCACATTGACCTTGTAGGTAAAAATGGTTTCCGATCAATACCTAAAGAACCTTAAGGCTTAGGAACATTAAACTTGGTATGGTGATTGGTCATGATCAGTAGATGACCCCTATTGATTTTGGGGTCAAGGGGTCAAAGGTCAAGGTCACATTGACCTTGTAGGTAAAAACGGTTTCCGATCAATAACTAAAGAACCTTAAGGCCTAGGAACTTCAAACTTGGTATGGTGATTGGTCATGATCAGTAGATGACCCGTATAGATTTTGGGGTCAAGGGGTCAAAGGTCAAGGTCACATTGACCTTTTAATTAAAAACGGTTTCTGATCAATAACAAAAGAACCCTTAGGCCTAGGAACTTCAAACTTGGTATGGTGATTGGTTATGACCAATCAGATGACCCCTATTGATTTTGGCGTTAAGGGGTCAAAGGTCAAGGTCACATTGACCTTGTAGGTAAAAACGGTTTCCGATCAATAATGAAAGAACCCTTAGGCCTAGGGACTTCAAACTTGAGATGGTGATTGGTCATGATCAGTAGATGACCCCTATTGATTTTGGGGTCTAGGGGTCAAAGGTCAAGGTCACATTGACCTTGTAGGTAAAAATGCTTTCGGATCAATAACTTAAGAACCCTTATGCCTAGGAACTTCAAACTTGGTATGGTGATTGGTCATGACCAGCAGATGACCTATTGATTTTGGGGTCAAGGGGTCAAAGGTCAAGGTCACATTGACCTTGTAGGTAAAAACGGTTTCCGATCAATTAACTAAAAACGCTTAGGCCTAGGAACTTCAAACTTTGTGTGATGATTGGTCATGACCAGCAGATGACCCCTATTAAGTTTTAGGTGAAGGGTCAAAGGTCAAGGTCACATTGACCTTTTAAGTAAAAACGGTTTCTGATCAATAACTCAAGAACGCTTAGGCCTAGGAACTTCAAACTTGGTATGGTGATTTGTCATGACCAGCAGATTACTCCTATTGATTTTGGGATCAAGGGGTCAAAGGTCAAGGTCACAATGACCTTGTAAGTAAAAACGGTTTCTGATCAATAACTAAAGAACGCTTCGGCCTAGAAACTTCAAACTTGGCATGGTGATTGGTCATGACCAGCAGATGACCCCTATTGATTTTGGGGTCAAAGGTCAAGGTCACATTGACCTTTTAAGTTAAAATGCTTTCTGATCAATAACTCAAGAACGCTTAGGCCTAGGAACTTCAAACTTGGTATGGTGATTTGTCATGACCAGCAGATTACTCCTATTGATTTTGGGATCAAGGGGTCAAAGCTCAAGGTCACAATGACCTTGTAAGTAAAAACGGTTTCTGATCAATAACTAAAGAACGCTTCGGCCTAGAAACTTCAAACTTGGCATGGTGATTGGTCATGACCAGCAGATGACCCCTATTGATTTTGGGGTCAAAGGTCAAGGTCACATTGACCTTGTATGTTAAAAACGGTTTCCGATCAATAATAAGAGAACCCTTAGGCCTAAGAACTTCAAACTTGGCATGGTGATTGGTCATGACCAGCAGATGACCCCTATTGATTTTGGGGTCAAGGGGTCAAAGGTCAAGGTCACATTGACCTTGTAGGTAAAAACGGTTTCTGATCAATTTACTAAAAACGCCTAGGCCTAGGAACTTCAAACTTTGTATGATGATTGGTCGTGACCAGCAGATGACCCCTATTGAGTTTTGGTTTAAGGGGTCAAAGGTCAAGGTCATGACCAGTAGATACTTTATAACCCTTATTAATTGTTTGATCACTGGGTCAGACGTCATGCATAATAACCTTATCACATGACTAATTGGCTGCTGATAGGGGGCATACATGTTTTACAAACATATCTTGTTTCAATTTTCCTCTTAATTTCATTTTGCTCATCATTTAATAACTTTTCTAATTTTCTTTGATTTTCTTGTAATTTGTCAATTTGTTCATTTTTCTTTTCTTTGAGTCTTTGTATGGTTTCTTCAATTTTTTTCTCAAAGTTTTGAATTATATCTGTCTGATGTTTTTCAAACACTGACATTATTTCTTTCTTTTTTTTCTTGACTGTATCTAAAATCTTTGTTTCTTGTGAAGCAACATATTTCATGTTTATGTTCACATGTTTTTCTGTAATTTCCAAATCTTTCATTAACATATCAAGATTTTCAGTGAGTTCTTTAATTTCTTGGCTGTTTTCAATCCCTGGAACAAGAGCTGGCAAATGATTGACCATACTACAGGTCCCATGGTCTTGAGTCTTGCATTCAGGACAGGCAAATTTCTTACAAGCTTGACAATAGAACTTGACTAATTCATCTTGATGAACAAAACATTTCTCAAGACAGAAATCCTGTGGCATGTTATTCTTATCCTTGATAGTATGAGAGACCATATATCTTTTATGAAATTTAAGGCAAGTACCACACAAGTACTCAAAACAGTCCTCACAAAATCCTTCAGCAGGAACATATTGCTTGTCATGTTTATCACAATGTTCACAAAACATTTCCTGAACTTCATCAGAGTCCTGTGTTAATGAAGCACTGAAGTCTAACCTTGAATGTGCCATGATTTTTTTTTCTCTAAAACATGAATTAACTTTCTAGACTGTCTATCACAAAGTTGTGTTTAAAATTGTTCAAATGAGGAAGTATAAATCTTTACATTGACAGATTTATTATTCTTGTTTAAAATGAGATTATAAATGCCTGTGAAAATATTAAACATCTGATTTAAAGCTGCATGCCTCCAGATGAGCCAAAATAGTTCAGGAAAATCAATATTGATAAAAATGTACTATATTTTAAGAAAGGTAAAAACATTCAAGATCCAAGTTATATTTAGATGTTTTGTGGGGTTAAAGACTGATTTTTGTGGGGGCATTGTCCATCCGTCGGATCTCTTTTGTGTCGCTTATAGCTCAAAAAGTATTTGACCTAGAGTCATGAAACTTTACAGAAATGTTGATCAGCATGTGTAGTTGTGCACCTGGGTATTTTCGTGTGGATTTCTTAAGAAGTTTTAGAGTTATTGCTCTTGACTTAGTAAAAATTTACAATTTTCAACTTGTGTCGCACATATCTCAAAAGTATTTGACCTAGAGTCATGAAACTTAAAGGAATGTTGCTCAGCATGTGTAGTTGTGCACCTGGGGTTTTGCTTGTGGATTTATTCTGTTTTGTCAGATTTATTGCCCTTGACTTAGTTGTGAAAATTTGCAAATTTCAATTTGTGTCATGTGAAGCTCATGCATAGTTAACCTAAAGTCATGAAACTGGTCAGCATGTGTATTTATGCACCTAGGGTTTCGTTTGTCGATTAATCCAGTATTTGTAAAGTTATTGCCCTTGACTTAGTAAAAACCATTCCATTATGTTGTGTTATTTGTTCCTCGAGTGCTTGAGTTAGAATCCACCAATTTAACAGGAATAATGATCAACATCACTGTGAAGCTATGCAACTGGGATTTTGCATGTGAATTTTTTTTTCAGTTTTGTTAGAGTTATTGCCCTTGACTTAGTATGAATTTCATTAAACTTGGCATGTTGTTTAGAATTAATAATAGAAACATTTTAAAGCGAAAAGAAATTCGTGGTCACTGTTTATATATTTTAATGTTATCTGCCCTTGAATAAGAATTGTTTACTTATTTGGGGTCCTTAAGTAAGAATAGATATCTTACTTGCCAAACCAGTATCTATATATCTTAAACATGTACTTCTGTTCTTGAAATTGCTATGCAGGTCTCCCTCAAGTATCTTGTGACATTCTTTATGTAAGGATTTATTTTGATATCTGAAGTAGCATGTTTTGAGTACAAAGTTGTTTATTGCAGGTGTTAGATCCATCAGAGTGTATGTATGCAGTAAGTCAAGGTGCGATGGCAGTCGAGTGCCGCACAGGTGACGAGAAAACACTGGCACTATTGTCTTCTATACATGACCAAGATACAGCAGTGAGCTGTATAGCTGAACGAGCATTCCTGAAACAACTGGTATGTTGCCATTAGCCTTGATTAATTTGTTAGAAAAATATTTTCACCATTGTTAATCATCTTTCCATAAAGTCTATTGTTCTGAGATGCCCTTAATGATCATTTATTGTTGTGAAAATCTTAAATTCGCAAAATTAGGGAAATTTCACCCCTTGCAAATATTATTAGTCTACAGCAATACAAAACAAAAACAAAAACACCTTGGTAATTAAACAACTCTATTTTGATTATGTTATCAATAATGTTGATTATGATTATTTTCATGGAAGTCATTTTGAAACAATTTTGTTGTGAAAGATTGTTTAAATACATGTAAATAACAGAGCTTTAGAGAAATGACTTAGTGGATAAGGAGTCTGCCTCCTACCTAGAGAGTTTGGGTTCAAGTCTTACATTAGAGTCATAGCCACATTTCCTCAAATGGCCCAATCATTGGTAACTAGGTAAGTTGTAGAAGTGGAACTGAAAAGTTTGAACCTTCATCACAATCTTGCTATAATCATATGAATTTTAAACATGAATATGCTTAAATTTAACCAAGCTGTTCTAATTATGACTGATATGTTTACAGGAAGGAGGATGTAGTGTACCAGTATGTGTTCATTCAACTCTCACTGACTCCCAGGTAAATAACTTATTTGACATCTTACAAATGAAATGAGTGTGTGTGCGTGTGTGTGTGTGTGTGGTTTGTTTACCCTCACCACCAGAAAATACCATATGGGCGAGCATATACTTCATTTATAACCTTAAGACAAGGAGGGGGGTCTGTTATTAATTAACTTATAGTTAATCTGTACATGTGATTGATTATATGCATACAATATGTCACAGTTGTCTCTATGAACAATCAGTGGTATGGGAAATTGATGAGATTACTCCCATTCTAGGGTTTACTGCTATAATTATTGGCCTGATACTGTAACAAGTACAATAATGATAAAAGTATACTCACTTATTAAAGACCCTGGGGTGTTACATTTCCAAAGGAGAGGTGGGGAGTGGCAGGCATTAAATAAATAACAACAAAAAAGTTACATAAAAAGAGGGATTATTTAAGGAAAACAGACTCTGCAAATGGTCTGAAATTTTGCGCGCAATTTATTGATATAGACAGACATGAAAAAATATTTTTTTTAAAAAATCAACAAATTTCTTTTTAAATTATTATAAACGGTATGTTTGACATTTAAGTTTTTGGAAATCAATTTATTTGTAGATAACACTAAAAGGAGGTGTATTCAGTATAGATGGTACCCAGTGCGTAATTGATTCTGTAACAAAAGATATATCAGGGGAACCAGCCAAGAAAAAGGTAGGAATGCTTTAAATGATATTTATGTATGTTTTTATATTCAGTGCTCTTCACAAATGATTGAATGTTTCTGCTTTTTCAACAAACATAAACATAATTACAAGACTTACCGGTACCAAATTTTAGAAACATAGTAGTTTTTTTGTGCCCAAAAATCAATTTATGAATCTGTGGTTACATTGCATTTACATTTATTGATCACACTGGAAGAAAGAATAGAAAATTTAAAGGTGGGTTTATGTCAGCCTTTGTAAAATACACAGGGTGGGTTTTGTATGATGCAGCTTTGTCCTACAATCAGTCATACTTCCTGTATAAATGAATTTAACTACAGTTGAATTCAGAGGTCACACTACATTGATTTCCGGGATAAAACTGTACATGTATATGACTTTACCGTCTAAGCTATTTACCATAGATTAAAATGAAATCCCGCATCATTGATACTTTTGTCATTTCTTAGTTCTTAAGGCATGGTTTATAAGTTTGATTGATAACTTCAATTTCAGTCTTCTACCAATGGGGTCACCTTCTCCGCTATTGTACATGGTAGCATAGACCTGTCACTATGTGAGACAGCAGAGAATGCTGGGATTGACCTTGCCAACCGTCTCCTAGCAACAGAGGCAGCTACCATTCTAAAGGAAGCTAAAGAGCAGACGGCAAAGGCTGTAATTGAGGAAAAAGAAAGAAAGGAAAGAGAAGCAGCTCAAAATCAGAAATAGTCTGGACCTATTTTAGTTCTTTTTATTTTTAATTTTAGTTAAAAAGGTGCTAATCAAAAATATGAAGAGAAAAGATATTTGTTTTTATTGTACCTGAAATAATGTATGGAAATGCACTTTGGGTTCTTTTTCCATAAGTCAAGTCAGTATGTTTTTTAAAATTTAAGAATGTTATATAGATATTTATGGTTATCTTAGTTTGAAAGTATCTGTTTTGGGATACTAAGTTTTGTTTTGTCAGGATATATAATTTGTTTGAATACCCAGTTTGATTAAGTACCTGATTAAAAGATCAGTTATTTATATATTTTCAAAATTAAACATTCAAGTTCTGTTATTTATTTATTTAACATGAATTCAGAACATTTTTGATATATCAATATTTATTTATAACTCTTAAAATACCGGGTAATCAGGGGGGACATACCTAATGGCAAAGTAGCACCAACATGCCATTGAGTTTGTCCCCCTGTTATTATGTAAGGCATTATGACATTTTTGATCACTTGCATTTTGATTATTCATTGAGTTTTTTCTTAATTTTATTTATCAAGTTCAACTTTTAATGCATAAATGGCATTGATTTATTATATTATGCCTTAAAAGAGTTTTATATTTTTCATACCTTTTCAACATAGAAATACTATACAAGTCCACAAGTATTGATCAAGAACTAAATTATGATTGTATTTTTTTAGCTCATCTGTCACAAAGTGACAGGGTGAGCTTTTGTGATCGCTTTTCGTCCGTCGTCCGTCCGTCGTCCGTCCGTCGTCTGACCGTCGTCCGTCCGTTGTCCGTCCGTAAACTTTTACTTTAAATGACATCTCCTCATAAACCACTAAGCCAATTTCATCCAAACTTCACAGGAATGTTCCTGTGGTGGTCACCTTTAAAAATTGTTCAAAGAATTTAATTCCATGCAGAACTCTGGTTGCCATGGCAACCGAAAGAAAAAACTTTAAAAATCTTCTTTTAAAGAACCATGAGAGCTAGAGCTTAGATATTTGGCATGAAACATCTTCTAGTGAGTGTCTACCAAGTTTGTTCAAATAAAAGCCCTGGGGTCAAAATTGGCCCCGCCCCGGGGGGTCATTGATTTTCCCTATATGCATATAGTAAAAACTTAATAAATCTTCTTTTAAAGAACCCAAAGAGCTAGAGCTAAGATATTTAGCATGAAACATGTTCTAATGGGTGTCTACCAAGTTTGTTCAAATAAAAGCCCTGGGGTCAAAATTGGCCCCGCCCCGGGGGGTCATTGATTTTCCCTATATGCATATAGTAAAAACTTAAAAAATCTTCTTTTAAAGAACTCAAAGAGCTATGGCTAAGATATTGAGCATCAAACATGTTCTAATAGGTTTCTACCAAGTTTGTTCAAATAAAAGCTCTGGGGTCAAAATTGGCCCCGCCCCAGGGGGTCATTGATTTTCCCTATATGCATATAGTCAAAACTTAAAAAATCTTCTTTTAAAGACCCAAAAGAGTTAGAGCTAAGATATTTAGGGGGGTTGGGGGGGGCTATATACAGGTGAGCGACCTCAGGGCCATCATGGCCCTCTTGTTTAAATAAGTCTTCTTGCAAGAAACTATCATACAATGCACTTATTATTTTATCACAAGACTTCATCATTTAAGATTAGTAGATTAAGTAAAATTAGAACCAAGCTTATTAACTTAAAAATCAGTTTTTTATAATTTATGGTTCTTTAAAATCTATCAATTTTAACAGAGTGACTATTTGTGATTATTTGTATGTCAGCTCTCTTGAAATCTTTGTCTTAGAATTTGCCTATTTAAACAATGCTTAAATCTCTTTTGTAAATTTGAAAATTGCATTTAGTGGTTTATCTCAATATTAAACAGCTGTTAAATTCATTTTTGTGATCTGGTTTATTTTGTATACATATTTTTATTCATTACATCATCAAAATATTTCATGTCTTCCAAACAAAAGTTTGTTTAATTTAGTTTGTCAGCTTCTGCAATTTGCTTTTAATACTCAATACTTTTGATGTGTTATTTTGTTGGAATATTAATTTGAATGATGATGGCCATGTACAGAAAAAATGACTCTTCTGTCATAATATCTCAATGGATTCAGTAAATGACAATTACTTATATTATAACAATTATTTGGGAAATATTTTGGAAAGTCTGAGAGACTTTACACAAAGTTTGTAACATCTTAGGAATGAGCTTTTGATGTAGCACTTTATATGTTTGTACTCTATTGGAAAAAAATACATTCTCTTAGTTTAAACAAATTTTTTCTCAGTTTGATCGTTTTGGAAGGTTATTGAAACACTCGCGAATCTGCTCCTTGAACCATCTAGCACTGAGCAATGAGTGTAAAGTTTCTTGCTTTTGGAAACAACAGCTTGCCCATGATGGGGTTTGAATCAACACGGCCAACAATCCTTAGGTTACTAGTCTGACATGTTCACAAAGCAGTCATACTACCACTCAATACATTCTCTTCTAAAACAAAATAATCACAAAAGCATACCTGCATGAGGGTTACTTTTTTAGAATTTTCTGCCATGCACTTCATCCACAAGTCACTACATGTACAGTATGTCATTAGGTTAGAGGTTAATGTCTCTGTCATATCATACTTCTCCTTTATTTTACTGATATTTGTTTAATTATGAGTATTTTAGCATTCCAGTTGATGTATCATATGTTGTCATAAAAGCTACATAATTTTTATGAAATCACATTTTAAATAACTTTTCTTACACTTTATAAGTATTAAGTGTTTATTTATTATTAGGAAATGGTGATTTTACATGTGCTTTGTTGTATATAATGATTTTGTTTCCATGGAAAATGGAGACTACTTGTGCATCCATTTTGTCGATATTTAATAAACAGATTTGTAATGTCTTCAGATGAAATGGCTATCTAGTTATCTGGTATCTAAATACATATTGTATTATATTACTTGTTGTTAACTAAATCAGATGCATTTATTTCAATGCATTGTGGTTTATATGAAACTACACTTATGCCATAATATATGAATAGAAAGATAATTTTTGCCACCTTTAAGTGTTATTTTATAAAGACAGTGAAGGCAATTGCATTAGACACTAGTCGATGTTAGATCGTCCTCTTAGTGAAGTATCAGGTTAACTCCTTTCAAATTTAATAGGAGTTAATCTATTGCTGCACCAAGGTGACGAATTATGTGTTATTGTTAATCAGAGTATTGTTTATATGAATAAGAAATAAAATTATTTTTTAACACTATTCCTGCATTGTTTAATGATCTTTTACTTTATATGTCATTTATACAGAAAAATATTGTCACAATATATAAAGGGTTTGGACTAAAAGTTTTGCTACATTATCCCCTTACCTGAACCTTATCCGCTATATATGTGTTGTTTTTACCAACATTTTTTACATTTTTGCATGTTTTCTGATTCATTGTTCTAAATGGTATTGTATTTTAATGTGAACAGTTCAGAAGTTATTGCTGCATACTTGTGTTCCAGCAGGGGTATGCAAGAACTGCCCTGTAGACAATATATTCACACTGTGAGCGCCGAGTATATTGTTGTCATGAAAACAAATTAAAAGAACGGAATATAGGTAAGTTTCTAATAAAACAAACTTAAAGAATAGGAAAGATACAACGAAAATAAATTAAAAGGATAGAATAGGGGAAATATTCATGGCAATAAACTGATAGTAGAGCATAGGAAAGTTGTCAAAGAGTAGAATATATAAAAGTTACTAAAATATAGAATATAGGAAAGTTGCAATGAGAATAAACTAAAATGATTGAGAGTAGGAAAGTTGCAAGATAGGAAATTTTGTCACAGAATGAGGTTCGAAAGAGTTCTGAGATTAATACAAAACTAGAGAAGATAAAGAACATGAAGAAGCATTGCTTAAAAAAAAAAAAAAACTAAAGAAAAAAGTATGGAAGCATTACTATTAGCATTGCCATAAGAGTAGAATATATTAGAACAAACTATATAAAGAGTAAAATATATGAAAGTTGTCATGGCAACAAGGTATGAAAGAGTTGTCATGATACTAACGTTTAATTAAGAACAAGCTATGAATTTCAAGGAAAACTTTTGTAAAAATGAGATGTAAAGGTTTTGCCATTATATATAGTTGTTATATATATTGGTCTAAAATTAAATCTTATTTGTTTCTTAATCTTAATTTGTCAGCTTATCTCTTGCCAATAGTTAAACATCTGGAGCAAGGTCAGAAATATATAACTGTTGGAAAATAAGTGTATAGTATACAATAATCTGTTGAAATATGTACATATGACGTATCTGGAACTGGAAGTCATATATGAAAGTCCAGACATGAAAATTGATAACAATTATATTTAGGTAATAACGCTAATGTACTACAGTACTATCATTGTAAAAATAATATACACATATGCATCGTCGGGTGCCCTAAATTCGTCCCTGTCCTAGAGTCAACACCCGTTAGTAAGTACTGTGTATGTTAGAAAGTCTCAACAAACGTTCGTTAAGAAAGAAAACGGTTGATATTTTTAAAGATCAAAGTAAATTTAATGTATCTACCAAATTTCTTTAACATTGAACGCTTGGATCATTAGAAAATAGTGTGTCAAACTAAGCACTGTAAAATGCTTAGGACCACCCTTGGATACATAGTTATTTGTAGATATATTCATAGACCGAGTTTGAACTTAATAAAATGAAATATGCAAGAAAGAATCATTCAGTTTCCCGTATTTAATATATTGGACATTTAATGGCACAATAAGCTCAGAAGTTTCAATTCTAAACCTGCTAAATTACTGTAACTGGGGACATGAAGCACGTGACCGGAACTGGAAGCAAGCTGGTATAGTTGCGTAATTTCCGGTGAATCTTGTCCTGATCCAACGACAACGATAACAACATCGCGACTGACTCCATTCAATTTATGCTGCTCATTAAGAATGGCATCTCTAAGACGTACATGTGAGTTCTGATTTACGAATATTACAACTGAGTCCGAAAAGAGATTGCGGTTGCCATTTATGTGAGTAAAGGCATGGTCAGTAAGGAAATCAACAACGCGGTGAATGTCCGCTGTGTTTTTGTTGTGGTCATTGAATGTTAGCCGACCCAGGGCAGCTTTCAGTTCAGCATTTGTAAGGTGTTTATCCAGGTCCCATTTATGATCAATGTTCGTGTCGTACGTAGATAAACCCATCTGAAAATGTTTTAGGAGGAATATCAGTCAAAACGTTAAATTCAAATACTTGCAATTTTCTCAAATAGTATATATATACACATACAAAATGTCATAATTATCCACAACTGGGATAACCTTTATATCTGCTAGCAGAGAAGTCTCCTGGTACTAGTTATACAGAGTGAAAATGCAAAATTATCTTAGTTTAAATGATTAGATACAGTTTTGTATTACCGTATAACACTTGATCAATATTTGATTGAGACATCCATTGGTGCCGCTTTCGTAGAATTATAGCAAGTTTGCATATTTTAGTTACAATTTATTAACTATACTAGTAGTACTAAGACTGGGCAAACTTGTCACGCCTTCTCTTCAAACTTTTCAACCGGATTGCTTGAGCCAACTTGCTTGAAGTTGCTTCAGAGTTGGCTCCGATATTGTTGGTTGCATTTTAAGCAACAACAACACTGTAATTACGGTCATAAGGTGAATAGCAACTTCAACCCCCTAGATGACTCTTTAATAATTAAGTCAACAACACACTCATTGAATGATGGCAAATGTGTTATGAACTAATATGAAAGAGAATAGTTTCGCTACCTGATTGTTTTGAGCGCCTATGTTCATATGATCGACCATGGACTGGAGGAACTGTTTCAGAATTTGGTGGTCGGTAACGGCAGCCCCGGTAGAGTCTTCCAACATTACCTCAATATCACGATTACATGTACTCGCTGAAAATGTCACATTTCTTAAATACTATATCTCATTATGTATTAAAATGCCATTTACATCTTCTTCGTTCTTTTTTAAGAAAGAAAATTGAGTCAATAAGTTACTGAACTAAATGCACATATTTGCATACGACTTGAATGAATAATACAATTATTGATGCCTAACATATATGTCTAAAGTATGCATTGAAATAATTGTAGGCCTATTTCTAATTTTGACTATAACTGTATCAAGCAGTAATAAAACTGTTTGATAATTATATGTGATGTGAAATTATTCTTATAACCAGGGAAAGTTGACCGTATATGCCAATGCACGTGCATATATGCTGAAAATAGTGGTTTACCAGAAGGGTCCACATGACCACTGGAGGCAACACCATTACACAAGTCAGTTGTACAACATTGTACTGTTAAACTACGAGTTTGCACTGCACGTTTTCCAACAGGCAAAAGTTCCACTCCATCACACTCCTGAAATATTTTGGAGGGTATAATTTTCCAAAGTTTTTCTAGCTGTATTTCGCGTATTTTTGTAATATTTCTGTGACCCTTTATAATGAAGGAAGAATATTTACTTCACGAATCTTTCCGTTATACTTCAGTGAGTTACGGCCTCTGAACGAATCAGCAGATACTAGTGGTTCTTTATATGAGAGGAAAGGTAAGAAGCAATAGAACTTTTTTATTCTATCAATATACGGTTCACTGTAATATAGGTTATAAGCTAAATATATAGCCACAAGGGTTATTGAGCCGGGTCACCTGACCTGGCTCACTATTGTATATTTCCACTTGATTTCAATATGGGCTATTAAAGATACTTACCTCAAGATTTCCACATCTCATTTGGAACCGTTTGTGCCCGTCTGTAGATGACACCAAAGTCTGTAACAAGCATCTCTGTAAAATAATATAACAGGTAATTTCTTTTCATTTTCACGATTTACATCTCCAAATTTGAAAAATAATTAAGAAACTTGCCCATGCGCCATCTGCTACGGAATACCGTTAGGGTCATCGTGGTTATTCTTTACAATCCAGATCGCGACAATGCGACAGTGCGTTAGTGTGATGATGACAATACGACAGCGTAATGACGACAATGCGATAGTGTGATGGCGACAGTGCGATGACGACAGTACGATAATGCGATAGCGACAATGCGTTAATGCGATGACGACAGTGCGATGGCGACAATACGGTAGTGCAATAGTGCTATCGCGTTGTCGCCATCGCGTTATCGCAATGTCGCCATCGCACAATCACATTGTCGTCATCGCACTGTCGTATTGTCGTCATCTTGATATCTATCGTACTGTCGCATTGTCGCCCTCTGGATTATAAAGTGTAGCCAGGATGGCCCTAACAGTATTCTGTAATCTGCCCTTCACACTATCTTCTCCGCTTGATCAAAAACGGGTTTCTTTTTCTGGAATAATATATACTGAAGATGATCGAAAGTAAATTCTACATGTATAACATTTTTTTTTCTCATTATTACCTGGCCTTGAGGACACGTAGTTGTAGCGTTACATTTCACCTGTTGATTCACAGTGTCTCTTCCACAATCGTAGCACACCAGACCTGATATGCATTAAAATCACATGTAAATACATTTCAATCCTTGTTATGTGTATTAAAATTTTATTTTTATTGTTGTTATTGCTGTTAATCAATATAAAAAGAGTAGTACGCGTACAACTTCTACTTTAGTTTACTGGTAATTCTCCTTAGAAATAATATGATGTTTGTCTTAATGGGTTGAAGACGTGACTTATCATGAACCCTTAACTTGCAAGAACATAAAATGGTATAAGCTTTTGACACCAGTTTAGAGCCAGGTCAGCTTGCAATTCTGTTGGCTGGGTAACTTTAATTTTTCAACTTGGAATCACCATACTTGATATTGGACAGTTTCGAAAATAGGAGCTGGGCAAATTATTTTAAGAAATTCAGCAGGTTTGGTTTAGGTATCTGCAGTTCAGAATAAAGAATCAATGATGGTCTTACCGAAAACTGAATTTCGTACACACAAGAAAACCAAAAGTGTTCCTGAAAAAGAATAAGAAAGAGGCAAATACTTAGGGTGAAAATTAAACATTATCATATACTTATAGAAAATTGTGCTGCCAATATGCTTTGATATCTGAGATATTTTGTTAACTTCTTAGACTTGTTGCAATTGCTACTTTATGATGGTGTTTGAACATGTAGTATATGGATGCGCTATAAAATAACATTATTGGCAGATATGAGAAATACATAAAAATTGTACTTTAGTATAAACATTAAAGAAGTATACGAAAGAGGAAACATTGAAATATTCACCCACAGCCAACCTCCACCCACATGAAAAGGGCGAGGATTTTAAGATGTGGAAATGGGCCGATGTAATTTTTTGCTTATCCCCGTATAGCTGGGTCATTGCGGTGGTTTTGTTTTGGCACCAGAATGCCCAGATGGTGGGGCCTTTAGCGAGGACTGTCTCCTCAGACCACAAACAGAGGTTTGAAAATACTATGGTCAGAGCCCTAGATATTCCCCGGGGGAAGGTTGTTGATTTGTGCATTTTACAATTTGGAAGTTATAATACGTACGAACAATTCTTTGTAAATTGGAACATAAATATTACTGACATGGATCAATTAAGATTGAAAAACAGTAGTGCAAAGCTGTCGCTTCAGTCGGTTGAATGAAAGAGCGGGTGAGCTTTTACTTCATCTATTTTAAAGGGCAATGGAACATATATACCAAAAACAAAATCAACAAAATACCAATTTCTAAAAGTGAGCTATTAGGTGGTCAAGATGTTATATAACTTTTGACGTTATTATTCCGTCTATCATATGAAGACCTTAATTTGTATTTATATATTAAGTAGAATTATACAATAAATTAAATCAAATATTATTACTATTTTGACTAGAATAAAAAAATCTTAATATAACATTTAATAGAAACTAAATGCCTGCCAATGAACATACGAGTATGTGTAAAGTATCCTGCAATTGATAATTTAGAAACTATCTTTTATAGTGTTAACATTTTTGTTCATATTAAACCTAATTAAACAATACTTGTATTATCAAATGTTACCGATTTGTTTTGCGACTTCCATTATTGACTTCTTTTTACTATGTAAAGGTACTTGTAGAAAGATTACAATAAAGATAAGAGAAAGTAGAGCAACTATTCCCATTTTCTAACCTTCAATTTAAAGCTGTTGTTTCCAAGGCCATTGTAACACGCAGCCCTAAATTCAATGAACTCACCGAATTAAATAATGTTGAAAACGGTCATAAAATTACCTTCACCGGCCCATCTGACCCTTTTTTCTATTAAAATTTATTGAGTTTATATACAAATAAATGGCCTCGCGGACTAACGGTAATGCGATACGACCATGGTTTGTTTATATCGCTATAAAAGTAACCTGCAAGCTTCTGAGTATTGCAAAAGACGGTTAGCTCAATAAGAAGAGCGTTGGACTGTGAATCGGGCGACCCGGGTTCGATTCCCGGACCGTCCGGTTAGCTCAATTCGGCTGTGAATCGGGCGACCCGGGTTCGATTCCCCGACGGCGCAGGTCATTTTCGTTGTGATTGATCATGAAATCCTTTCTACGCACTGTACCTCTGCTCTGGTAAGTACAGAAATTTTAGTTCCTTGCGAAAGTGAAGGCAACTAGTACTGGTATACTGCTTTACAACCTGCCCATAAGCGATGCAGTGGTTAAACTGTGATCTGGTGAATTCAAAGTGGCTTACTGCCGTGATCTGGAGTGACAACAACCACCACCACTGAATATCGCAGCAACAAATCCACACTGAAATCAGTAGTAGAGGAAGGGAAAGGTGGGCTCCGGATATAATGTTTTACTTATGATACATCATTATCATTGCTATTTACAGATGACCAGATGAACTTTTCTAAATATTTCGACATATACATGATCATTTTCCTATTTGAACATACACTGTATTGAAAAAAATACAATGCTAAACAGGGCTTTCTTCATCTTAGAGCAAGCTCTTTGGTTTCAAAAGGCGAGAACATCTGGTTTGAAAAAAAATCGGCGAGCATAGCATTATTTTTATATTGCCATATGGATTAATGGCCGGCCCTTCAAAGAGTTGTTGTTGTTGTTGGGTATTAACCATTTCCCTGCAAAATGTGTTCAATACATTTGTACTGTTTTGCATTTTGAGCTGTACATTGAACAGAAGTCCAACATTTTAGCGGTATACCCTTCTTATAGCGCCAAGAAGTAAAACTTAAAACTATCAGAAATAATGTCCATAATATGGCATTTTTAAATGACTAATTGAACCAAATATTTTCTGCTATTTGATATCAAAACAATAAGCAGCATGTGCCTGTCCTACAGGGCGGGAAAAAAGCCTTAGAAGAATAAATGCGCTAATGCAATGCTAGATCCTGACATTTGCACTTTTTGGACATCATTTCAGATAGGAGCAGACAACCATGGTAGAACTACCAATAACGCTAGGAGAATTGTAACGTGATAATGGTTTGCCTTAACTTAAAACAAGCCTGTACAAAGTAAGCCTTGGCAAGCCAGTCTGATAACATACGTGCAGTCTGACCAAACACACTACGGTTGTCTTCTAAATTATAACTTTTGATAGTTTAATGAAGCACATAAAAGGATAATGGACCGTTCGGAATTCAAAATGAGACGAAGTCTATCACATGCATATGAAGGTTGAACAACGTAGTCCATTGATCATCGAGATGAGATCTCATTAAGGCTTGAACATAAAGGCAAAAATACTTTTTATTCTTTATTTTTGCGTTCCAAACGAAAAATATAAAAATAAAAAAAAAACATTCACATGAAAATGGTAAAAATAACAAGACATATCGCTCAAGGTAATGTATTCTCACCGAACCTGTAAATTGTTTATGTTTACCAATGCACATCGGCCAATAATTAAAATGCTATGGTGACCTTGACCTAGTGACCTCAACCTAAGGTAAGAGGACCACCAAGGTTATGTTGCTATCAACAGGTTAAGTTCCTATTAAATATGAAAGAAATGGGTCAATAAATAAAAGTTGTATAAGCTCAATTGTGAAAATCTATATCTAGAATCGGTGACCTTGACCTTAGCGGACAAAATTACACCCGCATCCAAGGTTATTAAAATCGGTATCATTGACCCTAGCGGCCAAATTACACCCAAAACCAAGGTATCAACCTACCAATAATGGAAGCTGTCGGTAAATATATCTATATCTGGCATAAGGAAACTGTTAAGAAGCGCAAAGTATCTGCGGAACCATGTTAGGAAAAGGCGAAGGTTTCAAACTTATTTCCGGGAAGGCATAAAACAACGCTTTAGCAACATTTACAAATTTGAGCATTTACGACAGACAACAAAGCAAGGAAAGGTGGAAATCCACGCAATCTAATGTGTCTCTCTAGGGTTTTCATTTACCGTTCTAACCCCTAGAACATGTCAAGATATTAGAAATAACAAGTCAATTATACAGTACAAAATCAGTATTACATAAGTTTTTTTTTACAAATGCAGTAAATATTACAAAAACGTAATAATCATAACTAAATAATCATTAGTGAACGAACACATCAATTATAAACATACAAAAATAAATAAGGAATATTCATTACATAAAGATCATTGTCATTGCTACTAGAATTCATTCATTCATTCATTCATATTTATTTTTGTAAATGAATGGAATAAAATGGTGAAGCAAATCGGATTTCAAAAGTACATAAGTAACGCTAACGTAGCATTGAAAGCAATATCTTAGAAATAACATAAAAATGACTACAGTTCTTCTTGATGCAATGAATCTTGAAATCAAATAGCCAAATTAATTTTTATGTCATCATAAACAACTTTATTCATACTTTCGGAATTATTCTATTCCACTGCTTTAATAACAATGGTATAAACATTCTAATCTTTATTTTAAATTGTGAAGTTTAACCTTCAGCCTAGTGGCGCCGACTGAATGTTCACGCGCGAGCAGTGCAGACGAAGATCAGCAAGAACATCCGTGCCGTCTGATCTTGGTCTAAACTGTTCGCTATTCAGTCAGTACGTACCGGTATTTTGAAGTTTTTCAAAACATTGATGAATTGATTTATTTTTATTGAAAGATGGACAAGTCCATTTATGACATCAAGTTAGGTAAGGTTAGAAGTCAAATCTAGCTAGAGAATCTATGTAGTAATTTTTCTGCACTGGACAATACCCAGTGTCCTAGACATGTGTGGTGACTTAGTGTGCAATGCATGTTTTGTTTCGACTAGCTTATCACGGACACAAAATGTTGATAAATGCGATGATAAAACTGTAATTTCAGTAACTGGTATGTAAAACCCGTTAAATGGAATGATAATCCAACAATTTGAACAACTAACATATAAATTCAATAACTCGTATGTAAATCCAATAACATATAAATTCAATAACTTATACATGTATGTCAATTCAATTAACTAACATATAAATTCCATAACTGGTATGCAAATTCGGCAAATGTACATCTAACAAGCAAATTCGTTGAATTTATATCCCCCGCCGAGTACTGGTTATTATTAATTCAACAACTGAAGACATAAGGCTTTATTTATATATTAATCATGGCATAAACTGTAATATTCTTTGAACTTGAAGCCTTGTACCTTCAAACAAGAAGAATTTTTAAGTTTTCACTATATACATATAAGGAAAATCTATGACCCCCTGGAGTGGGGCCAATTTTGACCCCAGGGCTAAAATTTGAACAATTTTGGTAGAGGACCTATAGGTTATATCATATACCAAATATCAAAGCTCTAGGCCTTGTACTTTCAGACAAGATTTTTTAATTTTGCATTTTTGAAACTCCTTTTCTGGCCCTGTGACCTACTTATGCAACAGACCGGAACCATTTGATCAACTTTGGCAGGGGACCACCCTAGGATCATTCCTGTAAAGTTTGGTTGCTGTGTGTCAAATACTTTTTGAGTTACATGCGACACAAGTTGAAAATTGCAAAATTTTACTAAGTCAAGGGCAATAACTCTAAAAATACTAAAAATATCCAGACGAAAATACCCAGGTGCACAACTACACATACTGATCAACATTCCTGTAAAGTATCATGACTCTAGGTCAAATACTTTTTGAGTTACATGCGACACAAGTTGAAAATTACAAAATTTTACTAAGTCAAGGGCAATAACTCTAAAAATACTAAAAATATCCAGACGAAAATACCCAGGTGCACAACTACACATACTGATCAACATTCCTGTAAAGTTTCATGACTCTAGGTCAAATACTTTTTGAGTTACATGCGACACAAGTTGAAAATTACAAAATTTTACTAAGTCAAGGGCAATAACTCTTTAGATATTAAAAATATCCAGACGAAAATACCCAGGTGCACAACTTCACATGCTGATCAACATTCCCATAAAGTTTCGTCGAATTCCAGCCATTAGTTGCAGAGAACTACTCCGGAAACGAAATTCGGACGGACGGATGGACGGACGGATGGACAACGCCATAACTATATCCCCCTCCCGATTCCATCGGCGGGAGATAATAATAAACTTTTGTAAACTATTGAAATAATACCATTTGAAAATAAGTCACTAACCTACGCCATTTTCATAATTTTTTGGGAAATTTACAACACTACATATATGAGTATAGAACAGATAATATTGAGGTACATTAGTTCTACTATTGCAAACACGCTGTGCAGATTAAATGCTATAGAGTGTAAGGATCTTTCACCGGCTGCCGGTACAGACCGGAATATCTAGCTCGAGGGTAACTGTTTACGGCGCTACTGAGGCTCTGTCGAGTTTCCGCTAAACAGTTACCCGACAGCTAGATAGGTTTTACTAGTACCGGAGTAAACAGTTGATAATCCTGTCTGACATGCAAGAAATTAAATTGTATAACCAGAGATATAGATAATCTATGTTTCTGGTATAACAGGAAAAATAAATTAAGATATAACAAATACTAAATAGACATTAATAGATACAAATGTAAAATTAAAATAAAGACAAGTTATCGGCAGACTAATATGCACACATAGGGCATTGCTTGAATACTCAAATATAAACTTTTAAATTGCACTTGTCATAAATAAAGCTCAAATACCAAAAAACAATTTTAAAAAGACCTTCAAATAATTATTAAATTAGGGCACCAAATGCTCTGTATACAAAAACAACATAAAAAGCACATGTACATTTTTTGTGTATATAAGTTAACAATTTCTATATATACATGTAGGTTTTGATAATATCAGATCATTATAATTCATTTGATACTAGTATGACATCACCTAGTGACATCATAAGTTAACAAAATTTGCTCATACAAGTAAAACCGAACTTTCCTTGGTTTGATTTTAAATGTAACAGTTTTGTGGCGACTTAAAACCCTCGAGTTTTTATTTGGCGACCTGAACGCAAAACAAACGGCGAATGAAGACCAGGTCTCTTTTCTGTGTATAGTTTCTGGCATAAGCGGACACCTTTACATAGCCACCATCTTTACATAGTGAGGTAGATAACAAGTTAATTTACCTTTTTCACTTGTGATTCAAACTTAAAAACCGTTCCCTGCATAACGGATACAACCTGTGTTTACAAATACATATAAAATGTACAATAAATATCACCTGCTTTTTGTCAAACGATGATTATAAATCACCAAAACACACTAATCCACAAAATATGGAGTATCATTTATTGGAAAGTTCAAAAGTGGTTTTGGAGTACATATAATGTACCGTTTTCTTCTAGTGTCCTGAGTTTGTGTTATATTTCGACCCATGTTACTTAAAGGTCTAAGTTAGTGACGTCATTACATAAACAATACTGTCTCAAAGTTGTATCAGTTAGGCAATGTGATTGGTTCCCGTACTTATTGGCCCTCACTGGTTCCCCTATTACCGTCATTTTGTTATGGATGCCGTCGGCGGCGCGCTTTTGATAATCTATCATCACATCTATAAGGCCATTGTTTGGTTTTGTATACAACATCAAAACATACCGACCGCTATAATCAGTTTCTGTGTTACCTAGCAACCGTTTAAAGAACCCTGGTTCCCTTTCAATATGGTCGTTGTCTCTATCACCTTCAGCCGTATACATTACTTTAGCGTCTGTTACATTGAGCAGCGTTAATTCCCGGCATACATCTTTATGTTTATCTAGCACAAAATTCAAATGCTGCACTGCAAATTTAGCTAAACTCACAACTAAAGGATTTGAAACGCTGACAGTATTAGAATCAAAACATGTACAATACTGAGGAGGTATTCCCGCGTCTGCGCATGTGCGGTCTTTTGGAATTTTCGAAAGTAAACTTCGGCCGGTTCTCCAGGTGTTAACAGTTTCTAATTTTTGATCAGAAAATTTGCCCTCTATAACATCCACCATGGTTTGATGGATATCAAAAGGAGAAATAAGTTTGTCTGTATTGTACTCTAAGTTCTTTTGTAACCATGGATATTTTGACTTCAACACTTCCGGTATGTAGACCATAAGAAAAGGCATATTGTTCTCAATTCTGCCAATATAGGTCGTACTTGCCCCACCTAACCTAAACCCATGGTCACTTCCCACAATAACAATTGACCTTTCAAGATGACCATTCGCTTTCATCCACTGAAGTAACTCCAACAGAGGCTGGTCACCACGACCTAAGGAAATGAAATCCTCGTGGCCTACTTGATTGTTCCAGAGGAAAGAAAATTTCAATCGTTTCGTGTATTTCGCTATATACCTTTTAAGATAATCTAATTGTAACAAGTAATGATTTTTATTTCCATAACACCACCAAGTTGATTTTCCGAGAGGTTCAATAATCACTGGTTTATGAGTGTGCATTGCCAAACCAAAAGGCCTAAAATAATAATCCACAGGGGCCTTATTGAAACCAGATTGTAAAAAGTTCATTGTAGATATATCCGGGCGATCTTCAGAAAAGAATGTCACATAGTTTCCTTTTGTTTGTTCTTTCCATATGAAGGGCATTTTATCCAAATAAGCTTTGAGGATATTTTCTACCCTATATTTATAGTGTTCCACGCCCGTTAACATTGGAATAACATTTGGAAAGGAATTCAGTCCAACTTTCATATAACCACGAAAATCGAAAGCACCTAATGTTTCCTTCATATATTTGTATGATTTCGGAAGTTTTCTAAGCGCGTGTGATCTGGAGGCGGAGTCTAATCCGAAAAACAGTACACTTAGTTTATCATCCGTCTCATACCCGATGTTCTTCAGCCGGGTGTTAGAATCGTTTGTCATTACATTGAAATGAATAAAGTCGTACACAGTTTCAGAGTCTGTATTACGGCATAAAACACGAAATACTCGGTTGTTGATAAAGATTGGAGGCACAAAGGGGATTTCGTCGTCTTGTTTGATTTCTTGATCTCCATCAATACGGTGAATAGGCATGTACACACATTTCAATGACGTCAGTGAATATTGCAAAATGGCGGATTTATTTAATTGCAAAATTCCTTTCTCATCAACGTAAAGTAATGAAAATTTTGTCGGTGCACATTGAATTGGTGGTGGGGTTTTAAGGTATTGGCTCAGCGTTTTATCCCATGGGTCTAATTCATGAAGTTTGCATGGTTGTCCTTGCGTTCTCCCTGAGAAATGAAAACTTATGTAAGGGTCATATAAATACACTAGTAATGGGACAAATAAAAGGAGAGCTAACAAAATATATTTTCGTCTTGTACCCCTAACTAAAATCAGCCTTTTACAATTGGATGCATGCTCTTCTGTTGTCATTTTAAAACTCTGAAACATTATTTTTTCTGCTGAACCCACTTTATACCTTTTTATCCAAGTCGTTGAAATAAGTTTTATATTTTGCATATATATGGACGAATAATTAAACAGTCATCTCATATTTTAACCCGTGCATATTGTGTTTAATGTTTATTGTCTCGAATTTGCTGGCTGTCTATGTCGCATGCACTTTTGTAATTCGTTTCTTGTGGCCCAAACCTGGGACCTCACAGTCCAAACCAAAGTGTCTTCCTCGTTCTTAAGGAGTTCCAACGTAAATGATAGGCAATCTGTGACATAAGATGGCGACACTTACAACCAATGATGTCTTTTCAATTAAACCTGAAATAATAAAGTGAAAATGGCTAAAAATACAAAATTACAATTTTTATGGTAATAAGACCTCTGAAATACAAAGGATTATTCTTATTGCTAAATTATAGTATCTCATATGAAAAGCAGACGACATAAAGTGGACGATAAGACCGTTTCGTTTAAAGACCTCCGAAGGTTCACTTTTGATTCAAATATCATTTATCAATTATAACTATCAATTTATCACGTGATTTCAACATAAAAAACATACCCCACGATCTATGCCCTTTATACATATAAGTAAAGAACTTCTAATAGTTTATGTGCTTGAAGGTTTCTGTTTTTGAAACGTATCTAGACCACATTATTTGTATTAGTAACCTTTACTTTTATCACGGTACTACGGTGTAAGAGTACTTGAAAATTCCAAACACATACTCGGGTATCTTATGTATATTTGTTTGTTGAAATACATTCTGCTTATACTGAAACAAAAAGTGACAACCAATCAGAGTGTCTTCTGACATTGATTACTGATTAATTTGAGCTCTTCAATGAGGCCCGCATTTCTCTGTATATTGTATATTTTAATTTTGCATACTTGTTAAAATATGTTTCCGATTTATAACCCACCACCCCATTACGTCTCGCCTAATGACGGACGTCCTTTTTATATTAGTTATACTCAAAACAACTATTGCTAAAACCTTTCCAAACATTGAAATAATTATCAAAATGAAATGTTTATATATATTGTTCTTCATGCTTATAATGTCATCATGGGCTTAGTATAGTCCTATAAATATGTTGTCGCTTGGAGATATTTTTGCTTCTGTGCAAACAAACTATAACAAGTCTGTAACGTCTGATATATTGGACTAGGACTTCGCCTTGTCCAAAATAACGATTTTCTTGCTTTCTTTAGTTTCTTTTCTCTTTCATTCATTAAACATTTAAGAATTTTTACATTTACAATCAAAAGACACAATCAAAATACAAATGTACTGTACATTAAGAAAGATTGAGTTTTAGTATAAAATATTCACGCTGAGAAAAAACAAAAAGCAACAACACTTCCCTCATTCAAAGTTCTCCCTCTCAATTAATACAATTTAACATATGTGTAAGTAATTATCAATATAAAAACCATGATATAGCCCATTAAGAATTAATGAGTATATTTAGAGGTATCTACAGAAAAAAGAACGCTATCAACGTACAAAAAACGTATCCACTCTGCAGAACCTCATCGGTAACGGGCCAATAAACGCATAAACATTACATTCGAAGTAAGTGCCACGAAAACACCTTTTTGTTATAAACACGTGACATTCCAAAAAGAATTCCACATTTTTTGAAGAAGACGGTGTTATAAAAACTATCCACACCAAGTTAATGTACCAAAAATTACGTGACTTTTTCTAAGCGTGAAGGAATGTAGAGAAGATATTTTTCTGCAAGTGACGTCACAATAAAAACAGTTTGATTTAATATAGATAAATTGAAATTATAATAAAATTATTGATACAAATGGAACTAACGTTCAGAACTATGGTGGTGTTATTTTACAAATTACTGTTTCTATCGCAGATTTTAAAATGCGGTTACTGTTTCATGCCGACACGGAGCTCGGCGATTTTGGAATCCGACTTTACCATGGAAGACATTATAAGGACAGGACTGTCCGATCTGACAAGTGAATACTTTGGCGCGGAAGGTAATTAAAATTAATAAATCAAAAATTAACCAAAATCATTTATCCCGTAAAAATATGTCATATAATCTTACTTTAATTCATAGTTTGTCTATATCGAACTCTGGTTAATACGAAGAAAAATATATTCGTGACCGCAGACATTTTCTGTCTCATTGAGTTTTTATAAAATATTTGTTGATAATTTCCGACATTCGTTTCTACTCAAATGTTTTCATAAGTTTCATTTCGTTTCCACTATATCAAGTAAGACTTGCGGTACATTAAGATTTATTCAATAATATTTCAAGATAAAAAAGACTTTTTTTTACTCGTAAATTTATTGTTTTAATTTTCTGTTTGTGTTTATTAATATTAAAAACATTTCCAATCGAAAAAAAAGCTTTAGAATAGCGATTTCAAATTGTCACTAAAATCATTTTAACGCAGGTTGGAGGGTAAAATACATGTACAAAAATATTTTGAACAACAGAGCGTTTATATTTGAAAACGTTACAATGCTTTTATTGAGAATGTTACAATACATGTATTTCCATTGAAAACGTTACAATATCTTCATTGAATATGCTACAATATTTCCATTTCCATTGAAAATGTTACAATATTTCCATTGAAAACGTTACAATATTTTCATTGAAAATGCTATAATATTTCCGCTGAAAATGTAACAATATTTCCATTGAAAACGTTACAATATCTTCATTGAAAGCGTAACAATTATCTATATTGAAAATGTTATAAAATCTCCATTGAAAATATTAAATATTTCCACTGAAAATGCTATACTATTTCCACTGAATTTCCATTGAAAACGTTACAATATTTCCACTGAAAATGTTACAATATTTCCACTGAAAATGTAACATTATTTCCACTGAACACTGAAAATGTCACAATAAATGTATTTCCATTGGAAACGTTATAATATTTTCATTGAAAAAGTGAAAATATCTTCATTGACAGCGTCGTTAAAATATCTTCATTGAAAACGTTACAAAATTTCTACTGAAAATGTGACAATATTTCCACTAAAAATGTTGAAAATGTCACAATATTTCCATTTAAAATTGTACAATATTTCCAATAAAACTGTCACAATAGATGTATTCCATTGAAAATGTTACAATAATTCCATTGAAAATGTTACAATTTTCCATTGAAAATGTAACACTATTTCCACTGAAAATGTTACAATATTTCCATTGAAAACATTACAATATTTCAACTGAAACGTTACAATATTTCCATGAAAAATTTCCATTGAAAATGTTACAATATCTCCAAGACGATCACAAAGAATTTGGCCAAGAGTAAAAGATATAATGTAATATACCGTAATAATTGTTAATATAATAATAATATAATATACCGGTATAATGCAAGCAACACAATTTCTAAACGTCCATTTTGTCATTCTTAAGAAATACGTTTAAAATTTCTACTTAAACTCTGAAACGTAAAGGAATTATACATTTGGAATTTTTCTGTACACTGGGATGCATTCCCTCTGTCAATGCACTAGTCATGCAGTGCGGCGGTTTTAGGAAGGCTATTTATATAATATTATTTTCGCAAATTATGTTCCAACTGGGTCGCAAAATACAAAATCCATTATAAATTTCGTACCGGTTAAATAATATGTAGCTTAGAAATTTAGAATACATACGACACCCGTACCAAATTGTTTCCCGCCGTTAAAAAAGTCGGTGTATTATATTTTATTAAACTTTTTCCTCCAACTTGTAAACGGGCCCGGACGAGAATGATTTTGTTCTTGTAATTGTGAAGTTTTCGCGTTATTTTCCTTTGAATTATAAAAGAATAACACTTTATGAAATGATTTGTGATTGAGCTTTTTTCTGTTACTTTTTTATTAGCATTGTTTTTTTATAAGAACAAATCTTTTATTGAACTATTTTAACGCATCTGCTTTTTAACATGAAATGTTTAAGGTAAGAAGTGACCCTCCCAGTTTCCAAAATGAAGCTTTGAAGTTTTTCTGCAGTAATAAAAGAACAAAGGAAGTTTTAATTTTGAAGTGATGTTTTTATACGCTCGAATAACTTCGGTATTGTGTTGTCCGTCCGTCTGACCGTATTCAATTGGTTTCCGCAGCGTAAAGTTTGAAGGATTCCAATGATTGTGATTATGATTTGGTATGTAAGTATGTAATATCAAAACACTGGTCTGACAAGTTCAATTTTTTTTTTTGCAATCAACTTATCATTAATGGTTATGCTCCATTTAATTTTCAGCAGAATAATGTTTTGAAGGATTTTAATTAATCTATATTTGGCATACACATTTGTTATATTTCATGTTCATTTTACTTTTTTCTTGTTCTTTTTCATACAAGATGGAGAGTCTCGGGAAGAAGCAATATCAGGAATAGTTCAGGCATGTAACATGGTCGGTTACACCCAACGTGAAAATCCTATTTGGTCATTCTCCGACGAAAAAATATCAGAAGGTACGTTATCATTTAACATTTATAAAGACTGCATTTGGTGTCAGAAAATAAACCGAACGCTGTATAAAGACTGCATTTGGTGTCAGAAAAAATCGAAGGCTGAATAAAGACTGCATTAGGTGTCAGAAAAACCAAAGCTGTATAAGTATGTATTTGGTGTCAGAAAATAAACCGAACGCTATATAAAGATTGCATTTGGTGTAAGAAAAAAAAACGAAAGCTGACCTTTTTCCGTTACTTAATTACAAGTGCGCACCTTTGCGAACCTCTCAAAATGATGATAGTCAATGTTTCACAAAGCAACAGACATTATCTTTTAATTGCTCAGCAATACAAACAAAACCAATGTCTGATGCTGACGTTGGTCCCGGAACCCGGATAAAAATGGGTTCCGGAGCCCGAATGAACACGGTAATTCTCCCGTTAAAACATGCATGCATAGGCGAGCTAATGACAAGTTATCATCTAATAGATTTAAACCATAATATTCAATTAAAGAAAATCTTCAGCTTAACTATTAATGCTGGGTCAATATGTAGAGGATTAAGTACACGAATGTATACGGAGATCGTATTTGCGATTTCAAGAACAGAAGATTATCTTAAGATTTAAACACTTGATGATTTTAAGATATTTTTAAGCCAATTTCACAAATCAACTCTTAGGAACAAAATCAAATCTTAATATAACATCTTTGCAAAAGTCAAGTTTTAATGCGCATGCGCCATACGGAGTTCAGGTGTGACAATCGCCTGCAATGATTCGATACAATGGCGTAAGATTGCGCTATATTAAATTTTAGCCACAATAACCAAACTTTATCAGAACGAGTGGGCAACTTTTGGTATCAACACAATTCGAACGGAAAGTCTTTTTCACGTTCTACTTCACTGTCAACCAGTGCTAGAGCTAGGGAAAAGGGGACGTGGACGGAAGCATGCACTTACATTCGTCCACGACCATGCTCAATCAAACCGGCCTTCATGGCAGACATTTTATGCTTCCATTTTTGACCATTTTTATTGCATAAGCACCGATTTTGTTTAGTACAAATTACTTCATACACTTGAAAAATAGCTTAAGACCAAAGGGAAGGGAAAAGCATGAGATGGGGTCGTGTGGTGCCATGTTATATAAATTGACTTTTAAGGGTGCCAATATAAAAGTTCAAAATACTGTTTTATATTTTACAAAATGCCACTTGAAGATTATTAAATGGTCTAACTATAAACTGATAAAAGGTGTTTGTAGATTTCTCGAGTAGTTTTCTTTGAAAAGATAAAATAAAATACGAAATTCTTTATTCGTGGTATATACTATATACCTACACAAAAGCACTTCATAAACTTAACAGACATTAAGAAAAACAAACAGGTAAATTACCTAAACTAGACGGAATTTATCAAATCCGGATGGCACCTGTGACATGTCAATGGGATATCGGATTTATTTGATTTAGTTTGTATCTTGTCAATTCCATTGCTGTATTAAATGAAGTGTTTTGATACCTCTTAATGCTTATGTTTATTGGGAAAAAATGAAAGTCAAGTTTGTGTATAGTTATTATAGTTTCTATAAATTGACAGTTAAGATAAATTGCCCGAGTAAAATGGCTATTTAATGAAAAGTTTGAACGTTATAGGATTTGTTTGAAATATTTTTGTTGAGTCTTAACTGCTTACGTCACAGCGACACTATTGAAGACATATGGCCACTTTCCAGCTGCTTTACTGGTAATGTCAGTTAAAACTGCAGGACAGGTTCACCGCTTATTATCCTGGGCTTATTTCCAGCTTAAAATGGTGGACAAAAATCATTTTAGTATAACAACGTTTAATAAGATGACTTCAAAAGTACTATATCATTCTTTTATATCGTTTTCTTTTTTCTTCTTAAATGTAACTGGTCCGCAATCATTAATCTGTTAATCATCATCAATGGCGACTTTTGTTTTGTTTGGGTTTTACGTCGCACCAACATAGTACTTAAGAGGTTACATGGCGGCTTGCCAGCTTTAATGTGGAAGAAGACATCTCAAGCACGAACGGGCATCTCAGTAAAACCACCGATGTTCCGGTAGGATAGCTTCCTCACATGAAAAGAATCCAAAGTCCTTGACAGGATTCGATTCCACAGCTGTGAGGGATAAGTGGTTTGAAGTCAAAGACCTTAACCATTCGACAAAGGACGCCCCAAATAACGTTTTAACGTAGCTTCTTCATAACTACTTTTTATTCATTTCCGCCCAGTGTGCATATACATATTTTATTTTACTTGGGACCACACGCCGTTTTTCAAGAAATGGCCCTAAAGTGTCACATCCAACCGCGGTATGAGCAATCTGCTGATGTTTCAAAATTCAAAAGTTTGCCATTTTCGTGTTTAAATGTTAAACTCTGCTAAAACCGGTGCTACGGGCGTGGACGGTAGCTTGCACTTTCCATTTTCATCAGTGAACAGGCTTAATCAAACTATGCCTGCAACATTTTCAATTTTGCCGTTTAAGGTGTGCTTTTAGGGACTCCTTTTTTTCTCGCTATTTTAGATGAACTTTTCGCCAATGAAAACAATCTATTCTAATATTCTTGAATCAGCAGATTAGTTCCAATGAAGAGAAACAAAAGACAAAAGCCACATCATTAATTTATTCATTTGAAAACGCCGGAGCCTGAATATTGCTAAGAGCAACAAATGTACATCTTAAAAGAACGCAGGCCCAACACATTAAAACTGAAAATGTTGTAAGCTTGCTTATTTAGCCGATGAGGGATGTCACATATTTCTTAGTCTCCCAGGAACAGGCTCGAACCAAAGACCAGCAAGGAATAGCCACGTTCACAGAATGCAGTCCCCGACATCAAGCTGCAATAGTGAAGACAGGCTACCGAAAAAGCACCGAACCGGCCATCGAACAGAAACGGGGAACCCCGGCAGAGGACATTAAAGTGTATATCTGCTGCAAAAACCATTGTTTCAATTTAAAAATACTTATATGAAATATATATGGTAGTATATTGGATTATATTATATTGCTCATGTACGAAATCATTGCTTAACGGTTACGGCCCTTCTTAACATAGCAGCATAACATTTTGTTCTGGAACATTTTGTTCAGGTTACGTTCATGTATAACTACATGTATATGGCATTTTATGTTACAACTTCTTCCAGAGTCGACCATATGATTATGGCAACAATTTATATTTTCTGTTGATTGATATTATAAAAAAATTTCATAAGATATACGGTAGCTTTTACTCTGTAAGGGTGTAGGAGGGATTGTGAACCAAATAACAACTTTTTTCAACCGACAACACAGACAACCTTACGAGATTACATTTTAGCCATAAAATGCGCAAACAAAAACGAACAGGATACCAAAGGGACTGGAAGTAAAAGAACGGGACTGGCCAAGCACGAAAAACCACTAACCGTAGACAACAAATAATATCTATTAAAGAGACATACAAATAAAACATCTGAAAATGTCATCTCATAAAAAACTGTGAAGAAGAAATACATGACGGAACAAGGAAGGGCACCGCCTTGGAATACGTAGCAAAAACAGATTATTTGATGAAAACTACATGAGCAATGCTTTCAACCAACTTTTTATAGAGAAAACACAACCTTTTAAGGAAGTGTAAACAAGAGCGATCAGTGATCATATGTGTCGCCTCATGATGGCCAATTTCATGTTTTGTGACAGACGGACAGACAGATGGACAGTGCACACCTAGACTTGGTACTGATCATCCCTGTAAAGTTGGATAAAATTGCACCAGTAGTTTATGAGGAGTAGTTCGGACAAGCTTTTGTGTATCTGGCAACACACAGAAAAAAACACCTTTTTATCAAAGGGCCATAACTCGGTAAAAAATCATTCAACTGGAAAACATGGCAACATATGCAAGGACTTCAGCTACAGATCAATCTTGTAAAGTTTTATTGAAATTGCATTAGTGGTATTAGAGAAGTAGTCCTGACAAACTTAAAAATAAAAATTATTAAAGGGCCATTACTCTTACAAAAATCATTGAACCGGATATGCACAACTAGACTTGGTACTAATCATTCCTGTAAAGTTTGGATGAAATTGCACCAGTAGTTTATGAGGGGTAGTCCGGACAAGATTTGTGACGGATGGATAGACAGACGACGGAAAATTGATCCCTATATGTGGCCACTAATCCATAGAGGCGACACAAAAATGACAATAATACTATTAACATGAAAGTTCTAAAGGGAGATAATTCTAGAAAATATAGGGACCAGTCATAAAAACCAAGTAATACATCATATGGTTCAGACAGGTTGAAATTCAAACTTTTTTAGTAGTGCAACTTGCACAAACTGTGATATTTTCAATGAAAACAAGAGCTATCACACATATGATTAATAACCCCCCCCCCCCTGTGAGCAATTAAAGATAGTTGTGGTTCTTGTACTTGCATTTTCTTTCACTGTGGTTGACCATTGATAAAGTTTTATTGAATTATCCTGTAATAAGTCAAGATAGAGTTAAGGTTCTTGAGCACTGCAAAATTGCATTGAATTCCAAGCATTAGTTTTTAAGTAATGCTCTGCAACAAGGAAAAGTAACAAAGGGCAATCACTCTATAATTACTCTGGTTAGCGTTATGGTTCTTGTGCACTGTACTTTCTCTTATTGTGCTTGACCATTGTATGAAGTTGTTTTGAATTCCAACCAGTACTTTTCAAATCATGCTCTGGACAAAGGAAAGTATCAAATGGCAATAACTCTGTAATTTGTGAAATGAAGTACTGATTCTTGTGCACTGCACTTCCTCTTAATGTGCTTGACCATTGTATGAAGTTGTATTAAATTCTGACTTGTAGTTTTCAAGTTATGCTCCGGACAAGGAAAAGTAACAAAGGGTAATAACTTTATAATTAGGCAAGATGGAGTTATGGTTCTTGTGTAAATGCGCTTGATTATTGTATTAAGTTGTATTGAATTCCAACCATTAGTCTTCAAGTTATGCTTGGGACTAATATAGCAATGAAAAAGGAACAAAGGGCAATAACTCTGTAATAAGTCAAGATGGAGTTATGGTTCTTGTGCCCTGCACTTCCTCTCAATATGCTTTACCATTGTATGAAGTTGTATTGAATTCCTACCATTAGTCTTCAAGTTATGCTCCGACAAAAGAAAGCAATGGTACAGTAAGAAAGGCCAATAACTCTGTAATTACTTTTGATAGAGTTATGATTCTTGTGCACTGCACTTCACCTTTTCGTGCTTGACCATTGTATGAAGTTGTTTTGAATTCCAAGCAGTAATTTTCAAGTTGTGCTCCGGACAAGGAAAAGTTACAAAGGGCAATAACTCTGTATTTAGGGAAGATGGAATTATGGTTCTTGTGACTCCTATATACCCCCTCCCCCAAACTACGTTTTGGGGGTTTAAAAATATGTTGCATTGTAATTGCAATGAGAAATATACTTTTTATTTTTTTGACCAAAATTTATTATTATAGGTCATGATCTTCTAGTGTCAATACGAGATCGTATAGTTCAACAGTTATCACAGCTAACCCCTGATTATAGTGCAGCACGAGAAACTTTGGGGCAGATTTATTATCCCCTGTTGAAATTTTACAGTAACACAAACTGGGTGGAGCTTGGAGATAAAGGAATATACAAGAGTCTGGGTATGTTGAATATTTTTATATTTAGTATATACTTGTATATAACTGTTTTTTTTTATGTTGTTCTTTTTTTTAACTTAGAATTTTTTAAATTAAATTATCTTAGATGAATAAATTGAATCATTAAGCAGCATTTGACCTGTGTGTTAATTTTTTTTACTTAAATTAAGCTAGCTTTATACATGTATATAACTCACTGTGCTTGGCACTCGTGAGTCTAAAAGGGTATATATTTTACTTAATGAGTAATCAATATAGACCTATATAACTAGATGAAGACAAACTAATCCCACGTTAGAGCAAATAGACATGTTAATTTTGAACATTATTTTACACATAGAAAACATGGGTTTTGAATTTATACACATATATATACATGCATTTTGAACTTATACACATATTTATTTAAACACATATTTTGAACTAATACCCACACACAAACATGGGTTTTGAACGTATTAACATTAAAGGAACTAAAATATAGATAAAATGAACTTATACACATATACCTTATGCATAAACACAAATATTGAACTTATAGGATAATTATACACAAAATAATCACTAATTTTGAACTTATATACACATATATAAACATGGATTTTGAACTTATTAACATTTGGGACTTGTATGTGAACATTTCACAAACTTGGACTTTTTACATTTACACATGTCTGTTGTCAAATGTATTAAATGTCTGTAGAAGGTTAATATACATACTATGGAATCGGAACTGTTGAATTAATAGCATTACATTGAAATGAAACAAACCATTCCTGTTTACCCTATATATTCTTTGCTTTTTATTACTCAGGTATCCCTGGAAGACACATGATTCCTGTCGCACCCAGTAATATAGACATGTGCATTGCATGTGGGTAAGTAACCTGCCCTTCAATATTTTTAATATAAAATGTATATGTGCATCTGGATAAGTACTAATGGCCCTTTAATATTTTTAATATAAAATGTATAAAGTATTTTATAGCATAATATAGTTATAGTAATATATTAACATAGCTGACTTATGTCAATAAACTTTAAAGATTCCATTAAGATTGAAAAAGATAAAATAATACCTTAAGCTAATTTAAACATTAAATAACTTGCAAACTATTTTGTTTCCTAGGGAACTGGTCAAACAATCGTGCAGAAATAATTTATTTACAGACAAGTTTTTAACAAGTGGATATTTTGGGCAGACACAAAAAGGTTGGTGTTTAAAACAAAATACACTAACCTTACTGCACTTGTATTCTTATAATATTCAGCCCTTTCCATGCTTATAAAATAAATCATGCATCGTCCATATTAAATGGACTTGTCCATATTCTAATCTAGATAAATACCATTAATCATTATAGGGGAAAACTTCAAAAGAAGAACTGACCTGAAAGTGAACACTGTGCATATCATGATCATCTGATCACTAAGGATAAGCCAGCTGATCTTGGTCTGCACTGATAAGTTAAAGGACATCCACTGAGGTTAATATACCTAAAAACATAAAATTTCAATTTTTCACATAGATCAACACAAGCTATTAAAACAGAAATATAAATAAAATATAAATAAGAAACATGCAGGAAATACATTGAAAATCGTATGTTTGTGCTATTCTCTGTCTGATTCGAGTTTTTTCAATTTTGGGTCATTTTTCACTATTACAATTATTATTTTGGAAAAACGGAACGAGCTGATGATCTGAAATTTTGCACATAAGTTATTAGTATAGATCTACATAAAATAGAGTAATAATCTCAGAAAAATATTTCCAGTCCCATCATGTCAAAAAAACCTCAGTGGAATCCCTTTAAAACTGATGGATATACACATATGATATGTATATAGATTTAGCCACTGACAGTAGGCTAAACATTTATAATTAAACTTTATAAACCAAACTTTCAATAATTAATAAACTATTCAATCCAGATAAAGAAATAAAATGAAACCAGTGACATATGGGATTCACTCATGCATGACTTTGTATTAAATATTAATGGATAATTGTTTGAATCAATATTTCTCAATCAAACGCAAAGCTTCTTTAACCTGCGTGTATAGTGAGACTGGTGCTTTTATAACTATCAGTTAATTTGTGTTCCCTTAAACTTAAAAATAAAAATCTATTTTTAGTCCCAGGTGTTATGCAGTTTGTAATTAACAGTAGGAACTTTACAAATATAATTATTTACTTTTACCAAAAACAACTCTGTAGCCCTGATGGTAAGATGATTAAAAGCTTGTAATGGTTCCAACCACTTCCAACAACCTTTTTTGTAATATCCTAGTTAAAGACTGTTAGAGAGATATTTATAATAAAATGTTGAATAGGATATACATATAACCACATACATGTTACATAATGTACAATATACTACATATATGCATAATGTACATGTTTGTATAATTTGCAAACTTAGGTAAACAGATAAACACATCATATATTACAACAGAGACACTTACATGTATGTATATAAATATACAAGTCATGTACCTTATTAAATGTTTCTGATTACAATAAGTACATGTAATTTTATCTAAGCTACATGTACATGTACCTAAGTTTCCTAACACAAAAACTTTTGTAGAACTGACCCTGTATAGATATATCAAAATAAAACTTCAGATACATGTATCTACTATTTTCAACATATCAGGAATGCTGTACATGTACCTATCTTTCTTTTTATCTGTTTATAAAGACATATATAATGATATAAGTTACATGTACACCAATAGCCTACAACTCATGTAGATTGTAGTAAAGATACAATGACAGTTGATTATTATAACATAATTTTATGACATAAAATTTTATTACCCGTTTAAATCAAGAAATCATGTGTAAACAGTGACAAATAAAGCAATATATCAACTTACTTTTCAGCCAATAATACACCCGGCGACAATGATGTACAAAAGTATGGAAAGTGTCGGTTTGGTGGAGTTATCGACCGTGCCAGTGCATCAGGAGCCGTTCCCGGAGGAATAAATAAACTATCTGAAAATCTAGAATACTCCCCTCACTATTTCCTTCACAAAAATGCAGCAACATTAGCTATTGAACACACACGATTTTACTTGTTTGATAAAGGTATACAGCTATACAAACAAAGGTTTTAGTTTATAGCACACATTTTAAGCTGTTAATACCGTTCAAATCGGATTACGGATCTCTCTCTAAAATGCTAAATTTAGATTCAGTATGACTGCTAAAAATAGAAAGTACATGGCTTGCTGTGTGTAATACATGTTATCCGGAACTCGGCAAAATATATTTTCCTCAGGTTCTCCCGCGGATTTTAAATAATGTGCACGCATGGTTTATGATTATCTGAACAGTCGCTATTTTAATTAATTATTTAAATCTGTTAACATATATCACGGCTTCAATTAAAGAGGCGCGCAGTGCGTGTACAGCTATATTTAGAGCTAAGTACAATACACATTTAGGTGACTGACAAAATGAATTGTCATTTTCCTCTGATATCCAGACGAGAGTGCGGTCGTTTTGTAAATTTGTTTACAATGTTACGCGTGTTATTCGGATATGTTGTACTCGATTTAGTTGTGAGAAATTTTCTGTTTCGCATGATGTATCGTTTGTCTTTTTATGCTACTGTAATCTTGCTCTTAATCTTACTCTTTTTTGTTAAATGCAACTCCCTTTTTAATTCAAAAGTATTCATATAGGCATACGTACATACATAGTTTCTCGTGCGCACCACCTAATTATCTCGTGCGCGCGACTTAGTAACTCGTAACCACGACGTAGTATCTCGTGCGCACCACTTAATTACCTCGTGCGCACGATTTAGTTACTCGTGGCCACGACATAGTATCTCGTGCCTTCGACTTAATTATTTCGTGCGCACGACTTAGTAACTCGTGACCACGATATAGTTTCTCGTGCGTACCACATAATTATTTCGTGCGCACGGCGTACTTAAGGAGGTTATCCGTCGATGATTGTATCCTGAAGGTCTCACTGTCATGTAAAAATAAGATACCGGTAGATCTATTGCTGTTTTTTATCCTTGCAGATCATGGACTATGCAATATTTTCGGACATGAAAAATGCAACAAACTCTTAACAACTGTCACGGAACCAGCGTCGATTTTTGTCGACGTAGAAAATGGAGATGTCCGGCACGAGCTCGTGCAAAAATTGAAAGACTCAGACATGCACGTGCTGAATAAAATCTCGTTAGGAGATGGTAGATATGGACAACTTTTCTTTCTATAATTTCATGTCGCAGGTCGAAGTAATGCTGGAAAGTATCAGAAAATGCATTGCAGCGCGTTTAAAGCATATATATTATACATAATACAATACAAACATTTTTATGGAATTGAAAGCAATGAAATAAATGACATTTTTAGAATGAGTCACGGACCCTTAAAACCTTTCGAGCATAGACATTTACCCATAACACGCAAAATGTCTTTAATTCATCTTTCAATATATACTAAATCATTCATCATATTTTGTTTTTATAAAATTCAAAATATGTACAGAAAAGTATGGCAAACACTGCACGAAAAGGGTGATTTTTGTATGTACTCGTCGAAAACGTAGACCAGGCAATTCGTTTAACAGCATGTAACGGATGGGTTATTTTAGATATAATTATTAAGGTTTTCGCTATTTTTAAAAATATCGTGCTGTTTTTTCGGAATTTGGTTCCATCCAGATATCTAATGCAACAATTTATGTATAATACAAATGTTTCCATAATGGCGTCGTTTTATTGCAGTATGTGGGCACACAGACGATGCAATTGTTGTGGTACGATATAACACCAGTTCATCACAAACACAGGGTCAAGAACCTTGGCAATGTGATAATAAAAATATTCGTGTATATGACATAAAAATTGTCGGTGAGGACACTCAAGGTATTTTTTCCTCGATATTATCCTCTTTAATACTTTTTCGGTCTAATTAAAAAATTAAATTTAAATAAAAAAAATCTACTGGATTACTGATAATTTATGAAAAATAAACGTTTTCTAATGGATAATTCTTAAAATCTTTTATCATCTACATTTTGTATATAAATCACGCGTGTCTGTCGTAGAATGATTTGTAAAATAACTATGAAGTTATTTATTAAACCAATTGATATGTTGATGAATAGAGATTTTAGTATTTAACTTTTGTACTTCACTTTTCTTGTTAGTACTATGCTAATTACTTACTTCTTTTCCTCTGTGTACGAAGAATAAGATATATTTTAGTTTTTATCAGTTTTGCACATTTATACGTTCTGGTATTTGTCTTTTTTTCCCCTCGCTTCTTACAAGAATAAAAATTTATATCAGACGGTAACCAGTCAATATCTGTACATGTATATTGGAAAGTTTTAGTAATATTCAGAAATAATTTGGTTGTGTCTTCTTTAAAATATTAAGGCAGATAGGTGGGCGTGACTTGTATTCATCACCTTAGTATAGATTGCAATAACCACTTGATTCAGTGGCGTTTATAAAGATGAATTTCTTTACATCGCAACTTCTCTCCTCCCCTGAGTCTCGTTACGTAGGCTTACACTACGTGGGCTTACGCGTCGTTCAGAAGGCACAGCACAAATGCGTAAGACCACAATTTCACATTCTACCTACATCACGAGGTAACGTTTAAGGCGGAACGACTTGGTTTATATATGAAGATAGCTGTAAACTGAAAGATTACTAAAACCTTTTAATTTTACATTTTTTTTTGTAGAATCGAGACAGAGGAGAGCTCTAGGTGGCCTTGACTTTTATCACTTGATTGCGGACACTTCTGGTGGTACTGTCTACGAAACAACGAAAAGTAACATCGCTGCTGTTGTTGATATCATTAAAGTAAGTATCTGCCTCCCCTGATTTTATTAAGTGGACCTACATGTCTGCTTTATATTTTGGAAATTTCCATTGCTAATTAAAGGGATTTCAATCTTCAAATAATACTTAAAATTAAGAAAACTTACATGAAAAGTAATTAGATTGCACGAATATAAATCTGTGTGCTGGTCATGATTCACGCTGGCAAATTAGTTTTGCCGTTACTACATTACTTAAGTATTATATATGCAGAATTGACGTTGAATACAGCAAACGGGCTATTTCAATTTCTATTTTTATCGTAAACGATTGTAAATGAAAAAATAAATTATATGTTTAATTTTGATGTTAAATAGATCCTACTTTGCTTATCCGTGCATTCTCCAGGCACGGATAACAATATGTCTTAACTTTGCGAAGCAGAGTCCTTATAAAAATATATCAGCTTCCCTTGAGGGACAGAGGAGGGGAATAAGTAATCTGAATTGAACTCTAACTATCAGGTTTTATATGCATATATCCTCTTTTGCAGGAATCTGTCACAACGAAACCTCCATTGACGATTTTGAAATTTAAATTGTTGACTTCAAGCAATAACTCGTTTGAGATCCCAGTTGACAATCTGATTCAAAACCTAACCATCAAGGTACAAGGCTCCACATCATCTGTACCCACAATGCACCTATACAGACCGTCAGGTAACGTTAATATGTTGCTAAAATAAATCAAAGTTTTTATTATAGGCCTAATTGCCATCATTAATCAAAATTTAAAGATCAGTTGTGGTGCCGCCATTTGTTGTATATCTGACGTAAAAGGAACTCCGTGGAGGTCTAAAAGTATAAATAAAATTCTTACATTAAATCAACTGAAGCACTTTAAACAGAAAGATATATGTGAAAGATAATTAATAAAAAAATAAAAATAGACGCAGAAATAAATTGAAGTCGCATTGGTCCGATTTGAGTGAAAAGCGTTGCAACGATTTACTATTTCGGTCATATTTCACAATTGGAATAATCATTCTGGAAAAACAGAGCGAGCGAATGATCTGAAGTTTTGCACAAAAGTTACTTTTCTAGACCTACATGAAATGGAACATTAATCTCAAAAAATGTTTCCAGACCTATCATTTCAAAAAATCTCAATGGAAACCCTTTAAAGTTGGAATATCCTAGACAATGTTTGTATAACCTTTGGTCTAATCTGTTTTAATACACATTATAATTATGCTAGGATACTTATGCTAAGTTAGGATATTCAGTCGTGTTGATACATCAGTTTATTATATACTTATATATGAAATATTGAGACTTCTTTTTTTTAAATTCTGCCAGTACACAAAATTTAAGGGAAAGTCTTTCAAATTTTATCGCAAAAAAGAGAAAAATGTATATAATAAACAGAAAATTCAAATTTTTTTCTATAAATACATGATTTATTTTCATCGAGTGGTATGAAAATAAATATTTCATGAGTGAATTTTTCGAATTCTGACTGGCGTAACACTATACCAGCCGTGTATACCGTGAAAAAACAGAGCACGGACACATATGCATCGTAGACGGTTAACTACGTGTGAGCATAAAGTTTATTAGTCATCTTTATAGCATTTTTCTCGATTCAGTTGTTAATACTTTTAAGTAATAGTTAAAAGTTACTTAATTTCCTTTTTATTGCGCATAACAAAACGTCTCAAATTGATTGTAAGATATTTGAAAATTCCTGTTTGTTATTACTGTTTGGTCCCGGTTTATCAGAATCTGTATACATTGTATATTGTAACATAATTTATTAAAAATTGACGTATACTATATTTTTACAATGTAATTTTATTTACTTAAAACTTTGTGTAAAATTCTTTTTGTATGCAGGTACGCAAGAAACATTCAGTAACGCTTCAGTTAGTAAACAGCAAATTCTTGGCACAAAGTTAAGGGTCATTCATATATACGTAAGTATGTTTATTTTTACTTAAAACATTACACATTATGTACACAATACGTACACTGCGCGTATACAAGTAATATATCGCATTTATTACAACTTTCCTAATCTCACTAAAATCAGATTCATCGTTTTCGCTCCATAACTAATCTAGGGTAGTGGAGCGACAGTTAGCATATGATTTTAATGAGATTGCAACATTCTGGGGTAGTGCAATGCCACAGAATTGAGTACGAAAACACATAAGAACACCCCTTAAGATTCACACACAAAACATGTTTAATGATGTTACTCAAACAATCCAACTACATGTAGTATGTGTTCCCATAAGATATACATTTTGTACTCAGTAGATAGTTAAAACTGTTTCAACATTTTTTTATTGTTGGTTTTTTCCAGAATCCCGCCCCAGGTATATGGAGAATGGAACGCGTATCAACGTCATTAATTGACGTTGACGTCACAGGAAGTACCGACCTTCAATTTTCGTACCAATTTATGCAGCCAGGTCCGGGTGGTTACGGAGACTATCCTCTGATAGGAAGACCGATTGCAGGTTATAAAAACTACTTTATTCTAGAATAGTTATGACGTAAAAAAAACGTTTGTATTCAGAAATAGCATATATTGTACCTTCATTTCGGCAAGTTGAACCTGGTTTGCATTGATAATCAAGTCAAATTTGAAAAATTCAGAAAATATTTTCCATCAACAAATTTGAGAACTCCAACATTTTTGTTTAACGACCCTGAGGTGGTTGTATGTACCGTTTAATTTTTTTCCGCAAAATTATGACCGAACACTATACTTCTTATAATAGCTAAATCCCTTCATTTCAGGTGAAAATATGACAATTCAGGTGTCGGTACCTCTTGTAGACAAAGTTGGCTCCATAGACAGTCTATTGCTGGTAGACAGAAATGGAAAAGTTGTTGCTAATAGTACCCTGAGAAATGTCGGCGGAAGACGCGGGAAATCTTTGTTTAAGACGCACGTTGTCATTCCGGCAAAGGTATATACAAGTTCTTCCTTTAATTAATACTTATTAATAATTATCTAGCAAACTTATTTAATAGTACCTTATTATGTGCTGACACGAAACTATGCTGTGTCATTTATGTGTTATCAATCTACATCATACACTTCTTTTGTTTTGAGCACTTAAGGCTCATTGGAGAAGCAGTCATTACTGCCGATATGGCGAAAATATACATTTTTAGTGTCGTCTGTGCGTTCGTTTATGTTGTAACACCAATGAGAAATTTTTTCTGAAAAGGCCGGATAAGATTTTTTTAGATTTTAAATTCTTGTGCATGTTCATTGCAATAGGAAATCTAGTTAATTTTACTGAGAATGTTTGTCCTTGGCATGTAAATTTTCCTAGGAGTTTTCATCCCTTCACTGTCACTTTTGTGGAGTACTAATTGTCCCCGAACTGTTGGTCTCTTCGAGATTTTTCGTCCTCATAATGTTGTTTCGAGGAGTAAGCGTCCTTGTACTTTTTGTTTTACCCATGATCCTTGTACTTTTAGTTTTACCCAAGCTCTATCGTCTCTAAACTGATATTTAACACAAACATGTCTGGAGCTACCACGTGCATTGTCATCTAAATATTTTCAGGAGTTTGAAATAGCACTAGAAGGAAAGGATAAAGCTGGAAATGTATTTCGACGTCTTGATCCAAAAATAATTACTGCTCTGGCAATACAGCTGGAAGTGTTGCCATCTAATGGTTTGTAGTATAAATGTATAGATACATACTGTTTACATACTAAAGATTTTTTAACTGCTTCTTTTTATTCAAATAAAAATACGAATATATCATCGGATGTACAAGGTTTTACTCCTCCAGTAAATCTAGAAATTCGCCATTTCACCACCGACTTGAAACCAACCTCAAATTGTAATTACAATGTATATACATATGTACATAACATATAACTGTTCGTGTTCTTTTATTTACATCTCGTACATATTAGTTGTTTACTATAATTCTAGCTACGTTTGATGTTTTTATAAGCATTGACAGTCCCGTAATTTAAGTCCTGGAAAAATCATGATTATATGATATGTTGGCGATTCATGAATAAATATTTTAATTGTGCAGTATATGTAATCATTTTGTAAATGTTTTATTAACACTATAGAGTATCGCTATTCACATATACATGTACTTTGTTTTGCATTCATTTTTGCTATAGGAACGTTGTATCTTAAACAATCGATCACTATACCATACCGTGTGAAAAACGTCGGCGCCGGCACAGCTACGATAACGGTCTCTATTACCGACGACAAAGGGTTTGCGCAGTCACCGACCAGTAACACGTATACGGTCAGCAGTATGGCGTCTAACAATGGGTCGTTCACATTAAAGGCAGGATCCATAAAAGGCGAAACAACGTATGTCATGACTGTAATAAATTTACGGTTACAAGCCAGACTCACTTCTTCTGGAGCGCTGTAATTTCTGTATCTAGATACAATAATTAGAATAAAAAACAGTCCGCAGAAGTGAGTCGCCCATTGGTGACTTTGTCTTAACGTACATCATAAAAACTTGTCGAAATGGCAGATTAACTTAACAAGTCCTTACTGAGTGAAAATACGGAACTTATTTATGTTCATATATATGGGAAGTTATATCATTTATATAGATACGCTCGAGTACGTTCCTGGAACAAACCAATACTAAGCAAAGAGTTAAGTTTCTTGCACGACGAAACAATGGCTTGCCCTTGACTGGGACTAAACCCTACGTGGTCAGCAATCCTTAGATTAGTCCGATGCACACGGCCACTGCAGTTCTTTATTGTTCCGAGCAATCGTTGAGTTATGTCATTATAAGCATCGAGTGACAAATGATTTTACTTTCCTAACTTTTAAAACGCTTTGAATATACTCAAGATTTATTAAATATAGGTCCAGCGTATGTATGATATATAATACAAAATCTACTTTGACTTTTGGCCTTTCAAGAGTACTCGGCAAGCTCTTAAGTGATGGCTGTGTTACTAGGCAACTTTATGTAATATTATAACTAGTAGTTACACTACCAAAGATTACAATTATATAATTTTATGTTTCTATTGTGTTTTTTGTGATTTCAGCACGGTGACTATATCGGCGAAAGCATCAGGGTCATCAAACAATAAGGTCCAATATAACGTGCAAAGAATCACAGTTGAGGAGAAAATAATCCGGGTAATTATATGATACGTTATAACAATATATTTGATCTTGGTGCCTTTCAAATTGACCCCGCATGGCTTGCTATTATTATTAACATCAGTTGGTATCCCATGCTATTTCATCGTCAGCGGCTTTGTCATCAATTGATTTATACATTTAATAGTCATGATTTCAGGTTATTGATACAAAAGCGCCTACATGTAATATTACAAGCATGACAGGAAAATGTGATTTCGGGGCAGATATTTGCCAATGTTCCAAACAAACTTGGGAGATGAAAGCAAATGTTGGCGACGATGGCGATGGTCTGCTGTCCGTGTTCTCTTCTGGTGCTGGTCCAAAGTCAACCTTCAAGAATGACTCGTTCAGTATTGGACACAAACTGTCCAGCGGCGTTATCCATACAACTCTAAGGTATCCATGTTTTTTGTTAAGTTTTGATAAAAATATTTTCAAAATTATTTTACATCTCGGGCCTTCAGTTACAGTAAATATTGGTAATAAATTTTCTGTGTCTAGCAATTTTAGTCCGTATGGTAAAACGTATCTATGGTAAAACATATCGAAGAACTTTTCGAATATTGTAGTATCACTTTGCTCGATACATATTGTATTTTAAATTTTATTCATAACAAGCTAGAAATTTGTTAGGTTACAGGACAATAATTATATTTTGTTTAAGACCATCTCTGAATAAAGATTACACTGTAAACAAAAGTCACTTTTTGATGCCTCTTTATAATGATAAAATTGAATAAATAACCTCATAACAAAGATCACATGTATATATAGTCCATGTTTTGTCTCTCCATTGAGTAGCCTTTGTTCACAGGTTTGTTTGTATGAACATTCTATTGTACGGTACACTTTTTTCATAATGAATCATAAATGGCGTTTTAAGATGTTCACCTTTTACTAATGCAGCTCAAGTACTTGTTATTTATTTAAATAATAACGCATAAAGATACAATTATTGATAAAAAAAGTTCATGTAATACCTCAGTAAATTGTATTCCGCTCTACCCTCGGGGAATATTGGGAACTACCAAATCTGCTGCGGACACTGTCACATCGTAAAAAAATGCATGCTAAATGCCACTATAAGCCACTACTTTATTTGGAGCAAAAACTAAATTTGATCATTTCCCCAAGATATCTCCCACTGTCCCGGGGGTAGAGGGTTTAGCTGCAATCGACGGGTGCATATTAACATGTCTTATTTGTTGCAGCGCTGATTGCTGTCACCAGCAAGCGAAGATAACCGTGGTAGATCTGGCCGGAAATGTTGGATTATGCGATGTGAATATTACAGCTGGATTTGTCGCCCCTGATCCCAAACTCTGTATACATCCAAACAATGCTGTAAGTTATCTGCATTTAGCTTCTTATGTCGTTTTCGTTGACCTCAACGTAATAATTGAGTCATTTAGAATAAAACTGCAATCTATAATTTGTATTTATTATAATTAAATAGTCAGAAGCCGAGTTAAACTTTTTTGCAACGAAATACCGTATACATGTTCGCACCCAAGTGTCTCCATTCCATTATATTTTTATACCATACTTAGTCTTGATGTAAACTTGAATACTTAATTTCTTGCTGTTGAATGAGTATAAATGGTTCTGTCAAAACGTAGTGGTTAGTTTTTTTACAAAACCGAATAGTTAAATAATTACCATGCACGAGCTATGATATGTTCATTGATAATGTTACCTTTACTTATCAATTGATTTATATGCACAATTATATTAATTCCATGTCTATTGTATTTTGCTCTTCAACTTCGTAACATGAACACTCAAACTGTATTATTTTGAATTATATGAGTGTTCATGGCGAAAATGCAAAGGATCTAAAATATCGATACATTCCCCGTTTGTTGAATTTTCGATTCGACCCATTGCCGGGCCAAACATATAGCAGAACAGGAAATTTATTTGCGCCATTTCATTCTCTCAGAAACCAGTTACGACCAATGCCAACGTCACCACTATTTCGTGCAACATCACTAACATAGTTGACACGTGCAACGGAAATGCCTCTGGAAACCGGAAGCCGTGTGAGAATACGTTCTGGTCTGCTGAAGCCCAGCTTGGCAATGAAGGTTTTGGGCGTATTCAAGTGGCCGCAGTGAATGCCGGGAGACATGCAAATCTTACTAAACTTAATCATACAGTTAAATTAAGGTAATGTGTTTTCCTTGAGGATTTATATGCCAAAGGTAACGTATATTAACCTGGGTTGTCTTCTGCTGTTGAGACATCTTTACATTCAATTTAATTATGTTAACAGAACGCCGTTTACAATGGAAAACCATAATTACAGACTTTTATATAGATATTTGCGCAATAAACTATGTATAATTGAAACCTGTTCGAATGTATTATAATTTGACAAGCCAACCTGTGCACATGCAATAAGACCAGATACCGAATTCCTTTTGAAATGCTTGTTTTCGATATATAAATTTTAAATTATGAGTGACCCACAGCATAATTTACAGAGCCATACATTATATCGTACACTACAACAATTTGTAATGTTGTTGTTTAATTTATTTCAGCACGGATTGTTGTCATCCGGATGTTTATATCAATGTGGTAGATGTTGCTGGCAATACCGGCCAGTGTCACACACAGATAACCGCCAGCACTAATAAACCGGTGAGATAAAGAGGACCTGCGTCCTTGACCTTTGACCTCAAACTTGATAGCAGTCGTCTACCATGAGCAATGTTCCAATGCGCATTTTACAAATATAGTCTTATCCCTTTTCAAGCTATTGATCTATTTTTTAAACTAATATAATTTTTATATAGGCAACATGTTCACAATTTTCAAATGGGCAAAACGATTCACAATTTTCAAATGGGCAACATGTTCACAATTTTCATATAGACAAATGATTCACAATTTTCATAAGAGCGAAAATGTTCAGTTTTCATAATGGCAGGTAGGATGAATAAATGCACACAGTGCCCCTTCACATAGTGTTTTATTTAATATATATATATATGCTAACAATAACTTTTTGATGATGCTGAAAACAAAACAAAATATATTTAAAAACTTAACAAATACCAATGATTTAACTTTTAGTCAAATTACGTTTAAAAAAGAGGCAACAAGAAAAATGGTAAAACTTAATAAATATCACCTTAGTAACTTGTATGTAATTTCATGTCCTCTAACAGTCCATGTAAAAAAAATTAAGTAGAAATAAAGGCTTGGCAAATATCACATTTTAAATTCATATAATACTCTTAAACAGACATGAACTTTTCTTGTACACACGTGAAAACCCCTGGCAACAACAACCCCAAATGAAATACAGTTTTAAAGTGGATTGGTCTGCAATGGGCACATTTTCCAGAATTATTTCAAATATTGATAAAAACAATAAAAATGTATCATTTGGATATTCTTTTGAAATGTAGCTTGAAATAAAGTTCTTAGTGATGTTGAATGAAAATTTATATGATGAATAATATTTTGCTCTATATCATTTTATTATATATGAAATATGGGATCACATATTTCACAATTGGCAACAAATTCCATGTGTATAATTCTTTCGTGATTTGTTGTTATGTTTAATACTAAGTTTTATCAAGTAATTATTCGTTGTATTACAGACAACCAATTATAGACCAATTCACTTTAAACAAAAAAGTAATACTGTAAAATGTTAACTGAGAAATAGATTTCTACTATAATACAGCTTAAGCCATTTATATGTCTAAATAAAACTTAGAATATAATGCATGGAGACAATTGATAAATTCAGTTAACTTCTTGGAAAAAAAATATGTTATACACACAGTATCATTGTTATATGATTTATCAGTTTAAATTGTTCAATTTACTCAGAATGCAACCCTCGCATCACTGTAGGGAAATTAATGAAGTTTTTACTCATTGTCTATTTACAGTCTGTTTAATGCAGATGCTTTCACTAAAAAATCCAAATGGAAGTGTGAAAAAAAAAATTAGCAGGAATTTTATCATCTAACTTCACAGCATGCAAAGCCTTTATTTACTGGGTGGCTAAATAGTTCAAATAAAAAAGTCTGCACTATTTGTCACGATTGTTTGGGGTTACAATTTACTGATGCAATGATGGTTTAGATTTATTCATTTAGCAGTTTAGCACTTAGCATTTGCTATTAAAACATAAATTGTTATAAAATATGCATAGTTTGACAGACAAACTATCATTTACTGTTTGATAAATATATTTTCAGGGGACTGGTGCCAGTAGTGCGGCTAGTAAAGCGCCCCCTATTGGTATTATAGCTGGAGCTGCAGCAGGAGGCGTGGTCGTACTGAGTGCTGTCGCTGGATTGGTCTATTACCTAAAGACAAGGGCGGGCAAAATCGGCCCGGACACAAATGCAGTGACACCTTTGTCTTAAGTTTGGCAACAAAACTGTAGATACTGAATCTAAATTATTTCTGTCTCTCAATTTGTGATAACTTTTAATATAAGTGTACATGGAAATAAAGTAAAGCATTTGGAGACAAATAATAAAATTCAAGATGTGAAATGTTAACTGTCAAACCACAAATAAAACAAGGAAAGAAAATGAATTCCAGTAACTACACTTCAACTCATTGACTTCTTATATGTGTATATATTACAATTATCAATAATTTCAAAAATTTTATTATATTCACTGAAAAAGTTGCCATTGAAGCTTGTATAAATTTGTACATAATACATTAATTTAATTTCAAAATTTTAAATTATTTTCATGCATTATTCCTTAGCCTACTGAATGATTATGTAACCTTTAAAAACAGGTACCTTCCATATTTTATTTTCAATTTTGAAAAAAATTGAATACTATAGTAAAAGAACAAAAATATTTTTGCAGACAACATTTTTAGCAGACGTCAATTTTTCCAATCATGCAAAGGGTTAAAAGCTTTTTTATTTTTCCAGTATTTGCAAGATATGTTAAGAAGATGTTCCACAAGTTATCAAGTTGAACAAATCAATCTGTTGCTAGATAAATACACATGTATGATCCTGTTTTGAAAATTAAAACTTGTTTCCATGGTATTTTGTGATCAATTTTCCTTTTTATTTATCCCCATAAACTCTCATTTTTCCTTTTTTTTATTCAAAAATTGACAATATGATATTTTTAAGCACTTTGTTGTGTTTATTTTTTTAACAATTGCATAATATAGGAAAAAAAATTCTATTTGTATTGACCATATGTGTTTTTTTTAGTCAAGGAAAAATTCTATGTTCTACATAAATGATGAAACTATAGTAAGAAGTATAAACAGAGGTTGTGAAGATAATTTTTTTCAAGCATTGAGCATTTCCGCTTATTAAATGAAAAGAAAAATACTATAAAAGGTCTTATAATATTTGTGTTAAAAAAAATAAATGTTTGTTTATGAATGCATTGGATATTTCATGCGTATCACTTAACCACAAATCAAATTTGTAACTTGATCTCTAAATCACAGGATTCTAAAAGTAATATTTAAAGTGTGGTGTGTTTTCATAGATATAAAGTAAGAAAATCTGTGAATGAGGCTTCGGAAACTAAGTTGAAAGATAAAGAGTAATGTTTAAATGATTAAACTGCTTGGATGTTCACTACTTGACTGCATCTTGCTACATCAGCGGTCAAGCATTACCCGCCAATCAACTCCTTACATGAGCAAGATTCCACTACGTCCACCTGAAGACAAAAAAAAACCAACATCAAATATTATATAATTTATAAAAATGACCAAAATTTATAAAAATGACCATGCATTAAATAATCAAAATCCATCCAATAATAACAAATATATAATTAGATCATATGTAGGGGTTGTTTAAGGACAGCATCCCCCTCAGGAAAATTCTTTGAAATCAATAAATCATTCCATTTTCCCTAAAATTCAATTCACATCAAGTTCTTTTCTTCACCTTTTACAGAAGTATTGTTTTATTTTTCTAAAATTTTAGGGAAGGTCCCCTCCCCCTCCTGTGATACAGGCACTGAATACTGTAATGCAGATACAAACGAGAGTATGGCATGAGGTGGGGAAAGAAACAACTTTCAATTCAAGAGTCTTAATTATTGCTCTTATGTACCTCACTTCTTTTCAGTAAGATAAATTACTTTGTATATTGAATGAGTGTCGTCACTAAGGTTCAATACTGAATTTATTGAACCAGTTAAACAAAAAAATATAATGCGAGCCCCTGGAGACACAAATTATTTTATTCAACTGGTTCAGTAAATACAGTTATGTACTTTCACAAATATAATGATCTTTTTATCACATACCCAAAAGTGACTGTTTAAATTGAAAAAAAACAAACTTTTTTCATTGAAGTGCATGCAGCTTAAAGAGTTATTTTGATATATATTTTCTTTCAACTTACATCTAATTCTATAGCAGGTACTGTAGAATTCCCTATCTTTCTTAAAACAACAGTTTTCTTCACAAGATGTGGTTCGCAACAATAGTCGATGCCTTCGTCACATTCCCCACTACAGGCGCCATAATCTATTTTTAGCTCACTCTTGTACTCCTTTTCATCATCAAATGCGTGCCTGACATCAGGAACCATTGCACATTCCACGGGTTCAACTGTAGTTATAATTTTGTAATCAATAATTTTCAAGTTTTAGACAAAAATACATGTTATATTGTTTACAACAAAATAATTCCTCTAAAAAACAAGATTGTTGTTATTTTAGTACCAGAACACTTCAGACTACCACATACATTGTTCACCAGAATTTAAAAAAAAAAATCAACTTATTTAAGATAATCACATTTGTACATTTTTATGAACTTATCTTAATCCTTTTATTAAATTAGACTTCTGGTTTTGTGGTCAATATGAGCTATGTCATGACAAAACCAACATAATGGGTTTGCGACCAGCTTGGATCCAGACCAGCCTGCGCATCCGCTGATCCATACTGTTCGCTATCAGTTTCTCTACTTGTTATAGGTTTTGTAAGTGAACAGCATGGATCCTGATCAGACTGCGCGGATGTGCTAAGTGTGGCTAAGTGTCGTGATCCAGAGTGAAAACTACCACCACCAACACCACCAGCTAGTTAGAATGGTGTAATACCCATTGATCAATAGTTAGACCTCTTTTTTTCAATTTTTAACTAGAAATGTGTCCATAGGACACGGTTGCCCCCACACGATTTGTCAATCTTGTGTGTCTAGGTCAAATTTTTTTTTTGGCTACATGTGCCCAAGTTGAAAACTAAAAATCTTTAATTAAGTAAAAGGAAAATACTACAAATACTGAATAAATCCACAAGAAAACTCCAGGGTGCATAAGTACACATGCTGACCAACATTCTTGTAAACTTTCAAAGCCTACAGGTCAAATACTTTATGATTTATGTGCAACACACTAAAAAAAACTTTTACTAAGTCAAGGGCAATAACTCTAAGAATACTAAAAATATCCACACAAAAATACTACACATGCTGAGCAACATTCTAGTAAGGTTTCATGACTCTAGGTAAAATATTTTTTGAGTTACAAGCGACACAAGTTGAAAATTGCGAATTTTTTCTAAGTCAAGGGCAATTACTCTAAAAATACTAAATATATCCACATGAAAATACCCAGGTGCACAACTTTACATGCTGATCAACATTCCTGTAAGATTTCATGACTCTAGGTCAATTACTTTTTGAGCTACGTGCGACACAAAAAGAGAACAGACGGACGGATGGATGGACGGACGGACAGACAGATTGACAAGGGTGCCCCCTAAAGTGGGGGCAATAATTGAGAAAAACTTAATGTTAAACATTTTTAACTGTGGATAAAGAGTATTGTATTTCTCTTGCTTCAAAATCATTGCATACTCAGTTCATATGCATATTCAAAATCATATAACTGTCGCATGGCCAATTATATGCATATTCAAAATCATATCTTAGGCTCACTGTCACATGGCCAATTATATGCATATTCAAAATCATATCTTACCGTCACATGGTCCATGGTTGTACACCACATGGTCTCGTCTTTGGTTACATGCTTTCTTTTGAAGATGGCACGCAGACATGTATGTTTCTGGTTTGGGGTCCTCACCCTCTTTGATCAAATATCCACAAACTTCGTCCAATTCTATATCCTTGCAAGTGGGGCATTCACATTTAGCTAGGCCGTTCTCGTCAACGACACATTCAGCTGACCTGTTCTTACATGATTCATATACTTCACCATCACATGGATCTACAATAAACAACATTTATTGATGCAAAACATACCATCCTCACAAGGCATTACATAAACAATATTTTTTTCCCCTGGCATATGTACACAAATGCATTTTAAACAATTTAACTGTTATCATAATTACATCCCAAGTCATTTTTGGAAATGGTTATCCAGCTATCCTATCAGCCAATTCATTTTCATGATTAATGACAATTTTTCATAGAAAACTGAGGTACAGCAGTATTTTTTCTATTTTAAAAAATTCTACCCGTCTTAGCAAAAAGTGCCATTTTTGAGACAAAATTAGGACCTTATAGTTTGATAAGTGATAAGTCTTATAGGCCAATACGGTAGTTAACACGGTATATTGAGTAGGGAAATTATCAAAATTCCTGTAGGCAGGTTATTAAAATTCAACATATTGAAATATGAAAAACAAGATCAACAAGGAACTGGGCAGCAATGAATGCATCCCCCAACACAGAACCACTGGCAAGGAGCCCAGCAGGACACAAAACAGGACAGGGCACACGGGCAAAAAACTGACGAGATGTCATTTAAACTAACCTCCAGGGCAAGGTCCTTCATAACAAGCAGCTTCGGCCGACAATGGATACTTGTGGATGAAATCTTGACTCACATGACCTGTACGTGTTCTCGTCATCGTTCCTTTACCACATGACACACTGCAAGGAGACCAGTCTGTCCACAACGAGACTGGTATACCTGGGAAAAAACCAAACAATGTTGATGGTTATTGAATAGTGACATTTAAATTGTATATATATATATATATATATATATATATATATATATATATATATATGTATATGTACACAAAATGTACATATATGGCTGCTTCAAATCTATAACTGATTTTATTATAATTTTAGTAAAAAGACCTAGTTGTTCAGTACTGTAAAAATCATTTGAAAAGTATTTGACAGATTGTTCGGCCATATAAACTGTATTAGTACAGGGTATTCTCTAAATCAATGACTTTTTTTGAGCAGGTCTTCATCCTTCAAAAAATATTTTACCAAAAGGGGTTTTATCATACACTTTCTGTACAACATTTGAGCAAATACATTAAAGACAACTGCAGAAGACAGATTTTATCCATGCAACCAGTGCAGACCAAGATAAACAGGCATATCCATGCCATTTGATTATGGTCTGCACTGTACACTATTTAGTCAATACATATTTTCAAATTTCCCAACCAGTCATGAATGGTTTTGTCCAGATTGAAATATGGACAAGTTGATTCATTATATTTAGTATGGAAGGCATCAGTTACCGGTAATTATAGGCAATTTCACACAAACTTGTACAAGAAGTTATGACTTATTTTACTCATATCTTCACAGATATATCTTCCCAGATATCCAGTAATGTTAATTAATTGCTTACCTCCATTTCGATCTACACAATAGTCCATATTGATAATAATTTCAGGTTCACTGTCCATTTTGCATGCGATCTCTTTAAATCTACATAAGTTCGTATATATCACAAAGGTACTTGAACATACACTTCCTGAAAAGATTTTTTAAGAATTGTCATTCTCTGAAGTAGAATAATTTAAAATGATTTTCTATTCATACAGTATGTTAATTATATAGGCTAGATATATGTTAAAGACAAGTTTCATTCCATTTAATTTTGTTCCTTTTTGTTTTTGAATGATTTTGAATGTTTTTAAAATCTTGGGTCCCTTGTACATGTACGTCATGTTCACCACAATCTTGAATCTTTTATTCATTTGTTCTTGAATTGTATTATAGAGGAAGACCAGGTGCTCCTCTGTGCATAAGCTGGCACCTGAGTAGATCCACTAACATTTCCAAAGGCTAGTTTTCTCACATGAAAGACCCAATATCAGAACTTGGACCCAAAGAAAAAGAATTTGAGGGTATTGCAAGCACTTCTAATCCAGTTGTCATGAACACTCTTCTACATAACCTATCTAGATGCAGTAAATAAAGTGTTTCACAAAGAAACCTATATAACTAAACTTGATATTTTTAATAAATTTAATGGATTATTAATTTGATTTGCCATAACTAGGAAAAACACTTGATCAACATGTATTTCTATACTGTATAATTTCTCTCAATATATACAGCCAACTGATTTATTTTAGCATTTAGAGATTGAAAATCCCCAAAAAAAACGACTGGATGATTTGCTTTTAATTAAAGTAGTTTGTTTTTTACGCCAATTTTAGCACATTTACTTTAACATATTTTTTTTCCAGTCATATCTTGGCACTGTATGTCTTATAATAAACCTAACTGACTTTTGGCTGCATAAATAATAGTAATTACCAATTTCTCTATAAATGGCATGAACTACCAATCATACATGATATCTGAAATGGCCATTTTAGACTAAATGTCCAAACTCAATTGTCATAGAGAAATTTGGCCTCGCCTCAGATCCAACTAGCTACTGCTAGATCACAAATCCTATGCTCTCCCTATTCAGCTAAGTGGGCAGACTTAAGTATAAATATAAAATTAAAGTGTGGTGAAGGTTATATAAAAAAGTCATGAAAAATTGTCAGTGTCCAACTTTTTTCACACATACCACTTGTTATATCCGATTCTGTGCATTCTTCACATTCACATTTTGGTTTTGCTGTTCCTTCCTCATCGTTGCAAGTTTGATATTCTGGACATAGTTTTGGCTGACCTTCACCTGGACATCTACCTGCAATAATGTATGTCATATAATAAAAAGTATGCTCCTTTATCAACACTAAATTTTCAGTGTATCATATTGTTATTTTGTTATCATAATCTTTATATCCATTAGCATTTGTTAAAATTATTACAAAGTCTATAAATAGGTCATAGCCAAGTGGTTAACATGTTGGACTAGTAATCTTGTGATTGCTGGCTGCATGAGTTCAAACCCCATCAGGGGCAAGCCCTTGTTTCCATGCACAAGAAAATTTTCACCCATTGCTCAGTACTAATGTTAATTCCAGGAATGGCTTTGAAAGTGTGTCTATAAGCTTACTGCTTCCCACAAAAACAAACTAAAATAAATTCTGTATAAACTAAACCAACATATTTCTTATAATGTTTTCTTGTTCTGTTGTTAACAGTCAAATCAGCTAACCTAACAAGCTTAAACTGCCAGATTATTAATATAGAACACAATGCTTTGTAGTAATGACATAAGTCATATTTCAAATAATCATAAATACGCCAACAACATGTTATTTTTATTCAAGCATTTCGACAATAAACAAGCTCTGAAGTCTTCAGAATAAAACCATCAAAGTCAACATTGGCATCCAAATCATAATGTCATGTTCTCTGGCATCATGATAAAACATAAATGAGCTGCGCCATGACAAACCAACATAGTGCGACCAGCATGTATCCAGACCAGCCTGTATATCTGCACAGTCTGATTCAGGATCCTTCATGTTCCCTATCAGTTTCTCTACTTGTAATAGGCGAACAACATGGATTCTGATCAGACTTTGTGGATGAGCAGACTAGTCTTGAACCATGTTAGTCCCAAACGCACTATGTTAGTTTTGTCATGTCATGGCGCAACCATGTTAGTAATGGCTATACTTATTTGTAGTAAAAAATGTAAACATTAGTCAAGGTAATGGATATCAAATACATTTGTTAACAGGTAAGATTTTTTTTTTCATATTTGGAAACCCAGGTATTTGGTATACCGGTATTTCAGAATGGAACTGTCACACAGTAAAATATCCTTAAATTATTAGACCTTGGGGATTTCCTTACTTTGAGATAGGAGATATACAGTGAATATGCTCTAATAATTTTATAGCGTGTTATTTTCTACAAAAGTTATATTTAAATAAATCAGAAAAAGGAAATTCAAAGTTATTAGATTATATAGTAAATCAATATATAAAATGTAAAGTTTTAGATTTTTTTTACCATATTTGGCAACTAAGAGCTTTAAAATATGCACTTTTTCACTGAACCTGCAGGAACCAAAGGTGTTAGCCACCATTATACAGCCAGGTAAGACCCGTTTGTCCATGCAGTCTGACAAAAGTCTACTGCAAAATCATTATTATTCGTTGAGAATAAATTTTTGTGGTTTTCGTGGAAAGGTCAATCCACACATATAAAATCCAACAAAATTTCTTTTAATCTGCTGTAAGATTATTTTGCATCACAGGATTTACATTTTACCTTTGGAAAAATAGACAGTCCAGCAATTTTAGAAGCCACAAAAATGTTCTTTGTGACAAAACCACAAAACCAAGAAATTAAAAAATGAATTCACAGTATACCATTATAGTAGTTTTGAAATTATGGAAGTCCTTTAAACATAAAATGGACAGTTCCTAATGAAAACCTGGGCAAATCTGTACACAGATTCTGCAGGTACAGGTTTTCAAAAGGAAGGGAAAAAGTTTAAATATTTTTACTTTTGCATTTTCCGTAGTAATTAACTGTAACTCCTCTTAGATTGTTTTGACATATGGCTATCACCATAGCAGCATAGTTTGGGTAATTCACATGATCTGTACCACAAACCTGTAACAAAAATACATTGTATGTAATAAATAAATTGATAGCGGCCTCTGTCAGGCCTCTGATATTATAGTCACTTGCTACTCACCACTGACTGACATTCAATAAATGTTGCTCAGGGAGGGTTAAAATCACTTAAAAGTCTTACTTTTGAAAGAATCTTGATTGTTATATAAAGAGGTTTTCCCTCCATATTTGGTCTGCTTTGCAAAGATTTGCTAAGAGTGCAAAAGAATCATTTTTCATTTACATGCCATAGTGTAATGCTATCAATAAGCGCGTCTTTATACTATATTCCTATAACGCAAATGAAATCACATCAAATTATATGCAGGGCTGTGCAAAATCGGCATTTGTGATAATGCTTGTTTATTCTTTTCAAGTCTTGTATGTCCTATAAAACATAAGTCCAGATGTGAAAGTATATGTAAAATACCTTTCTGGGATCGTTGCATCTACCACCAACACATACGCAGCATTTTTCACCTCCTGTTGCAGCCCCCATTGCTGATTTATGACAAAAAATAAAAAATTATCATTGAAATTTACATATTTTCAAATATGATGTAAGTTAAATAACTTTTTTCCTCTGATTATATTGATAATATTATAATTATAATGTAAAATATCCAACAACATTTAATAAATGAATGAAAAACGCTTGACAATTTCAATATTTCAATATTATAACAATTGTATATGTAATCATTTTAAATGTCTATCATCATAAGAATTTTTCATGATAAGAAATGAAAGACTGGAGCTGTCACTATATAATATATTCATACACATATATTCCATTATGATGCTTAGAGTAATTCTTTTTTTACTCAAAATTTACAAAATAAGGCGATTCATTAAAACGTTTAAAAATTGAGAATATCAAAATTAATTCACTCCTGATTATGTATGTTGATTATTATCTTACATATAATAATGATATAAATTCATTGGAAAATTGTTTTAAAACAGTTTAGAATTAATGGAATATAGTAGAATATGCAAGAAAAAATATCTGACATTGCAGTTTCGGATGGGTACCAAGAAGATGGACATAACCCTACATGTCAAAACCCACACCTTAAAATTTTATTAGGTGTGGGGATATGTCCACTATATAAAATTGAAGGTGTGGAGTTTTGTCTAAGGCCCCCACGATTACACGTTTAAACGGATTTGTTTCGATTTTCATTCATAAACGTTTACGATATTGTTTACCGTTTAATCGAAATGACCATATTGTCTTACAAAATTTCTTAATCAATGCCTGTAACCATGGATTTTATCAATTCTAGTGGTTTATTCCAAAGTAAACAAACAGAAAATGGGTGTTTACAACCCTCCACACAGCATAACCGTGCAAAATTGCTCGTGACATAATACATTTTTGGTAAAAAATGAGGTTACAATGCAAAAAATGTGTGCTGACTCAATCGTGATGAGCCTTGCACATTCTTTATTTGTACATGTATTAAAAATAGAAAGAACTACATCATTTGGCGACTCAAATACATGGTGTGTATAGTACATAGAGGTACCACCGTTTAAACGGTATCGTTTCGGTTCTTAGCAGTCGTGTAAACGTTTACAAAAAATTGTAAACGTGGGAGCCTTAGTTTTGTCTACTCTATGAAATTCAGATGTGAGATTCTGTCCATTATAACATTTTGAGGTGTGGGGTTTTGAGGTGAGGGGTTTTGTCCTACATTTCTGGGGACAGATATTCTGATCTGAACCGCAACATATGACAGATATTATTAAACTACAACATAGAATCTATCATCCATCTTTAATTACCTGATTTTTTTTTGAAAATTCAAAAAAGCTAATTATATATTTAACTAAACTTACGTATACAGACATTGTCAGCATTCTTCTCGTAACCATCACAACATTTACATTCATATGTTCCGATCCGGTTTACACATACGCTATTGTTGGTGCATAATTCTATTCCTCGTACTTTGGCTATGTCACATTCATTCAGGTCTAAAATATACCAATGTGAAGATCAATATAAACAAGTTAGGGAGGTTTGTTCTTTTGTCAAATTAAGATAATATGTTTTTTTGTGTAGTAGATTTTATTAAGTCATTTATGGCATTTCAATAAATTCCATATTTCACTTGCCCCAAGTGTGATTATATTTTTCTATGCAAAAGCTGTGGTCAAGATTCTTTTGTCTCATGCATAAATTCCAAGAAGGGAAGCATAGAGATGATGACTTTATATTGTTCCTTGGTCTAAGAAGCCTCAGATTATAAGTTTTGATTAGACTTATGACTGTTAATAAAGTAATATGGCCAAGAATAAAAGGTTGTAAGAATATATGACCTGACATGCCAGGTAAGAGGGTTATATTGCAACCAAACAAGGTCATATAACCTATCAAAAGTCTTTATAACTGATCAATTATACTGAATGATTGCTTCTTTTGATACAATTTTTTGTAGAGAAGCACAGAAGAGTTCCATGAACACAAACAAATCTTCTCTGTTCTTTATTTAAATGTAGATCTATATATAATTTAAATGAATCAATCTCAACCAAACATATCAAGTAAGGGCCACAAAATAATGTCGACACCTACAGTACTATATTGTACAAATATTAGCAGAGCAACCTTGTGTGCCTAGACATTACCAATTTTCTTACAGTCAAAATCAATCGAGACTTACCGTCACATTTACCACCGGACATGACGTAGCCCCGTTTACATTTACATTCGAACGACCCATCTGTGTTAACACAGTCTGATCTTACTGGGCATGTATTGAGTTCTGTCTCACACTCATCCAATTCTAAAAACAAAATGAAGAAAATGATAGAAAATTATCCTTCTAGTTACAGTACCTCTGCAGAGAGATCCTTTATATGGAGCATATAATGAACCAGTCATCACGACATTCCCAAGATAATGGGTTTGCAACAAGCATGGATCCAGACCAGCCTGGGCATCTGTGCAGTCTGATCAGGATCTATGCTGTTCGCTTACAAACCCTATAACAAGTAGGATACTGGTAGCTAACAGCATGAATCCTGATCAGACTGCATGGCTGAGCAGGCTGGTCTGGATCCATGCTGGTCGCAACCTGATATGTTGGTTTTGTCATGGCGCTGCTCATATTACTTCTTTACAACAACCGTAATATTTCTTCCCAAAGTTATATTTCACATTCTTACATGATTTATATTTGACTATTCTTCCATCAAAGAGATAGGGCAATTAAGTGCATTATCATATGATATAAGCACAGCATAAAAAAAAGAACAATTATACATCATAATTTTTGATGTCCGAATGATGTGATGTCCATAAACCAAATAACATCCAGAAAATTACCTCTAAGCTCAATGTAGTTTAACATATTTTTTTATCAAATCTCTTTTTATCAGCATGTTAGAATGGAAATAGATATCAATTTTTCATGCATTATAGTCTAATATTATGTACTTTGCTTTGTAATTAATAAGAAATATATGAATCTTAAATTCTCAGTTGAAATTTAATACATTGTAATAACAAAAAAAATCCTGATCTTGACGTAAATTGTGGTATATGTAATGTACAAACTACTGTAAACACAATTTTGTACCTCCAAGCATTATACAGACCTCCAAAATATCGACATTGCAGTCAGCTTAAGCCACTGACTGGGGGTCTTTTAAAGATTTTGGGCTTACAAATTTGTCCTCACAATGCTAGGAGGTCCTTAATGATGTGTATAATTTCTAACATGGTCATTGCAAACACAAAAACACTACAAAAAAAAACGGTTTTCAAATGAAAAATTTACTATACTGACCTTTACAGATACCGCAATCTGTAACATATCCTGGATTACACTCACACTGATAGTAACCTACTGCGTTCATGTTGTTTACACACGTCTCGTTCTCCCTACACGGGCTCGTTGGTAGGCATGGATTTTCTAGTAAATAAATAATTATATTTATAAAATAATTATCATTACACTCAACAATTTAATGCATGATATCCTAATATAAAGAAAGAAGTGAAGCTTTGTTTAAAATCTTCAGAATTTGGATTCAGACAGAACAGTAAAAGTCCAGTAAAACAGGTCCTGATAACTCTGGATGGTTCAAGAACCAGTACTCTTGTTTGCCCTTTGTTATTAATTTGCATCAGAACATTTTAATTGAATTTTCAGTCGTATTGTCTTATATAGGGCAGAGTTTCCATTTCTGAAAGTAATAACTCGTCCATTTAATTATGTAAAGCACAAATAAGAAAGATTTAAAACAAGAATGGAAAATATTATCTGTAACACTCATATTACTTTACATTATGTATAGACTGTACTTCAGTACCTGGATTTGTAGTAATTTTAAGACCTAAATTTGTATTCAAATCATTTTTTAACTGGCCAACTGTGACTACTTAATATATATTATATAATCTATATTTGATGAGGGTCACCTAACCATTAGGCACATAAATAAGCATTTGCTGTTAAGTATGGACCCCAGTACCCTTTAATCGTTGTCCCTGCTAACCTTGTATGGCAACTCCCCTCAGCTTCAGTCAGGAGATCAGTGGCTAGTTCACAGGAAACAAATTTTGGTTATCTTTATTGATCACCACCCCAAGTTGTTCAAATCTTGTGCTGAAGCCCTGCAGCTCTCAACAACATGCATATACCATGGAGAAGAGACAGAATTCATTGATTTTGGGATCCATGTACATGTATTTAAAGCTTTCAAGGTTGGTCCTTACTCATACAAAGCACTTACCAACACAGACTGTTCCATTTCCATAGTAACCCTCCTTACAATGGCAGCCATATTTTCCTTCATATATAGTACATGTAGCATGCTCATGACATTCTATATCATCTACATTTGACAACATATTGTCTCCCTCGCATGTGACAACACGTTGACAATTGTCTGTTGTTATAACTTCACCTTTCTGAAAGCAACCAAATAATCATTTACATAGGGAAAGTGGTGGGATTTTAGCTACAATATAAAAGAAAGAGAGCATCAAAACATTCAATGGCACTTTGCACACATATCTTGAATTTAGATGAATGTGATAAAACATAGCAGAAATATTTTATTAACTACATTGTAATGTAAAATAAATGTTCTACCATTTCAGTATTTAACTTTTAAACAATATTTATTTATAATCTAAACATTTACATAATAAAACATAAAACATACATAAAATATAATTCATGGATTGTAAAAGGCAAAAGGTCAAAACATCTTGAACACCCTCCCCCATCCTCCACCTAAATACACATCAAAGCAGTAATGTATACTTGTAATGACTTTGAATCATGGGAATCCTAAATGTTACAGGGGTTTAACCATATAATGTTATTTGGAAAACGGTTTGAAGATTTATTAAAAAAATGTAAATTAAAGATTTTAAGATATCATCTGATAAAATGTATTTTAAGACATATTTCCATAAGACTAAAATAGACAATTGGTGTCCTTAGTAAAACAGTTTCTGAGTTTCACTGTATAATGTTGTTTAAAGGGACTCCACTGAGGTTTTTTAACATAACGGGAATGGAAATAATTTTTTGACATTAATGCTCCAAGGTCAAGACCATTAACATATATGCAAAATTTCAGATCATTCACTTACTCCATTTTTCCATGATATTTATTCTCATTGTAAAAAATGACCCAAAATTACTCAAATTGGGCTAAGAATAGCATAGAAATACGATTTTCAATTTATTTCTGTGTATATCTCTTAATTATCTTTTGCAATTTTTTCGTTTTAAATGAGCCGTGTCATGACAAAACCAACATAATGGGTTTGTGACCAGCATGGATCCAGACCAGCCTGCGCATCTGCGCAGTCTGATCAGGATCCATGCTGTTCGCTTATCAACTCTATTACAAGTAGAGAAACTGATAGCGAACAGCATGGATCCTGATCAGACTGCGCGGATGCGCAGGCTGGTCTGGATCCATGCTGGTCACAAACCCATTATGTTGGTTTTGTCATGACACGGCTCAAATGCTTTAGCTGTTCTATGTAAGAAATTCAAATTTTATCTTTTTAGGTTTTTGAACCTCAGTTGAGTTCCTTTAAAATATCAAACATTAGATATTTTTAAACTAGAAATATGTCCATAGGACACGGGTGCCCCCACACTCCACTGTTCTGTCAATCTTATGACTCTAGGTAAAATATTTTTCGGACTACATATGCCACAAGTTGAAAACTGAAAATCTTTTACTAAATAAAAGGCAAGAACATTACAAATACTGAATAAATCCACAAGCAATTCCCAAGTGCATAAGTACACATGCTGACCAACATTCTTGTAACCTTTCAGGCCTACAAATCAAATACTTTTTGAGCTATGCATGAACAAGTTGAAAATTGCAAATCTATACAACTGTAAGTCAAGGGCAATAACTCTAACGAAACTGAAACAATCCACATGCAAAGTCCCAGGTGCATAGCTTCACAGCGATGTTGATCATTATTCCTTTTAAAGTTGGTTGATTCTAACTTAAGTACTCAAAGAACAAATAACACAACATAATGAACTGGTTTTTACTAAGTCAAGGGCAATAACTCTACAAATACTGCATAAATCCACAAGCCAAACCCCTGGTGCACAACTTCACATGCTGAGCAACATTCCCGTAAGGTTTCATGACTCTAGGTCAAATACTTTTTGAGTTACGTGCGACATAAGTTGAAAATTGCAAATTGCAAGTCAAGGGCAATAACTCTAAAAAATACTAAATAAATCCACATGAAAATACTCAGGTGCACAATTATACATGCTGATCAACATTCCTGTAAAGTTTCATGGCTCTAGGTTAAATCCTTTTTGAGTTACGTGCAAAACAAAAGAGAACGGAAGGACGCACGGACGGACAAGGGTAAATCTAAATGCTCCCCCTAAAGTGGGGGCACAAAAATTAACAGTTTTAAATAATTTTACAATGTAAAAATAAAAAAAATTGAAATTGAAACCTGGTAATAGTCGTCATTGTAAATACAACCACAATCCTCAGGCTCGACACACTCCTGGTCATCTAACACGTAGCCTGGTTTACATATACAACCTTCTCGGCATTCTGTGTTCAGTGTTGAAGGAGCCGTTACGTTACGCAGGTAGTCAGCGCATGTTCTCGGTGGACCTCTCACACAAGGATTGTAGTCTTTAGTCTCACCACATTCTATCCCTATATAACCATATATAACCATATAATATAACCATATATATAACCATATAAACAACCATATATATACAACCATATGTACATGTGTTAATATCATAAACAAGTTACCAATTTAGATCCAGTTTAATCTAAATCACCAGGCCTCGTGCTCACTTAGATTTAAGGATCAGGATCAAAATCAGGATCAAAATAAAAATCTCAAATTTTTTTCCATTACCTATCTTCATATATAAAATATTCAAATTTAACTTCATATATATTTGGCAGAAGTATTAAATTTTGACTTTGACCTTTGAAAATATCAATTTGTTTTCTTTCTGAATGCATAATGTCTTAATGTGACATAAATAGAAATGGTGATGACTCTAGGAGAGGGACCAATTTAGGGTACCAAATGGTATATCTTTTTTATATCAATTTGTTTTCACTTGTAAAAATTAAAAGATCTATGGCACAAAGTGAGAAAAATTTCCATAACTGGGACTCAAACCCAGGACACTGGGATTTCTGTTCCTCAATATTACCATGCCTGACTTTCACAATTTGCAACTATTGTGTTTTTTTAACAGTTGTAACAATGTATGATGTGATACTAGGGACACACAAGATTGCTTACTGCATATAATTTTGTTTGGGGAAAAAATTACAATGTATGATTTATTTCTTTGAATTATATAATGAAATAAATGATCCATTAGTAAGATTGCTGGGTACATAACTGTATCAGATGCTTATTACTTATATACTGCATTTCAAAATTGATGTTTATTTACAAATGAAAACAGAAAATATTTCGATAGGATAATATACTCACAGCAGAATTGTTTTGTTCTGAAAGTCTTCACCTCAACATCTACAGCAGCCGAACATACAGCAACAAGATGACGGGCATGTGCACATATAGCTATAATAACATTCATAAAATTAGAATAACCATCTTTTATCGTAAGTTATCAGTCTTAAAACTATTAGGAAAGGCAATTTATGTTTGCATTTATCAAGGCTTTTTAGTTCTTGGTTTAACAATTCATGTAATGTATTTGTCCATTTTTTTTCACAGTCTTATCATAGATTTCAATAAACTACAATACAAAACAATACAAGACAAGGCAAGACCAGACAAGATCGGACCGGACCGGATCAGATCAGACCATACAATACAATACAATACAATACAATACAATAAAAGCTCTATGTGATGCGATGTCATGCAATGCAAAGCAAACAATACAGTTACCACATAATACATAGACATAATATTATTATAAGCTTTATTTCAATCATATAAGCCCATGATGACATGCTAATTAATAGCATATTACAAGACAACAAACAGTGCAATACAAAACAAACAGTGCAATGCAATACACTGCACTGCAATAAAGAACAGAATATATTTACACAGGATGTCAATTACATCAGGAAACAAAGACACTCATACTTACCAAACTTAAGTAGATACCAAATAAATAACAAGAAAAAAAATTAATTTAGATTGAAAGCCATATGACATTAGAATAATTATGTTTTTTTAAGGGTATAAAGCTATATCTTATGAAATATTTTTATAAAATTTATCAACAGTAAAATTATATTGTTGCCATAATCTTTTGGCGGATTCTCAAAATATTTTTGACACAAAATGTCTCTAATTTTTATCACACATAGCTTGAATATTGTATGTAAACAGAATAAAATGTTCCTGAACAAAATATTATGCTGCAGTTTTAAATAGGACTTTAACTGTTAAGCGATGATTTTGTGTGCAAGCCATTCACTTTAACGACAATATAGTACAATATTTCTTTCATACAAGCATTTTGGATATATTCCTTGATAAAACTTAAAGCTGCACGCCTCCAGATGAGCCAAAATATTTCAAGAAAATGAAAATTGAGAAAAATGTACTAATATTTCAAGAAAGGTAAAAAACAATAAAGATCAATGTTAAAGTTTATAGTTATTTGCGATTTAAGATTGATTTTGCAGTATTTTATCACCATATTTCTACTGCATTACTAAAGCAGTAAGGGCTTTTTTGCATAATTATTTTGACCACTTTTTGGTTATTTGCATGGATTGTAAGTGCCAGTTGCAATATGTAATTAACTTTATTTGTTCACCTTACAATATTTCACTGTCAAATACATTATCAAAATTTTCATGAAATTTAACATGAATCTGGAGGCTTGCTGCTTTAAACAATCATATTTGCAGCAGATAAAGCTTTATACACTTCAAGAATTAATCTCACATTAAATTGATCAGAGGCTGACCTTATAATGCTTACTATTTACATTAGACTGTGAAACTACTTATTATGCTTTCTAAACAAACATTTGGCAGCTTAACACTGTTAAAACTTCAGATGATCTATATAAAGAGTCCAAAGCGCTCTCAAAACTATCTTGGAGACCAAAACTCTCTCAAAACTATCTATCCTATCATTATCTTAGTGGCAAAAATGCATTAAAATATCTTGGAGTCCAAAATGCTCCCAAATATCTTGGAGTCCAAAATTCTCTCAAAACTATCTCTGGAAACTATCTTGGTGTCTAAAAAGCTCTCAAAACTTAATTATGTTGAAGTCCAAAATCTCTCAAAACTGTCTTGGAGTTCAAAATTCTCTGAAGCCTATTGAAAACTATCTTGGAGTCCAAAAAGCTGAGTCAAAACTATCTTTGAGTCCGAAATTCTCTGAAAATTATCTTGGAGTCCAAAATGCTTATTCAAAACTATTTTATAGTCCAAATTTAGCTCTCAAAATTATCTTAGAGTCCAAAAATTTTCAAAACCAGCTTGGAGTTCAATACCTCTCAAACCTATCTTAAAGTCTAAAAACTCTCAAAATTATCTTGGAGTCAAAAATACTCTTTCACAACTATCAAAATGACCATTAAGTACAAATTAAACAAAAACTAACACACCTTGTTCTAGATCTCCTTCTATACGACACATGTCATATATACATCTGCTGTGATAATTTTCTCTCAATGTGTCATCCATGGCATCAAGGCATTCCTAGTAGAAACAAAACCCATTGAATTGAATTGCAGTTTAGAATATTGCTAGATTGATTCATTGTGATCCTAATAAAACATTAACAATTATATCAACCTGGCCCCCTGCATTATAATTTGTTGAATGGAATTTGTATGCTTTAAATTGAGATCTATCCATATTGTTCAGCAATTTTGTTAAAAATACAATCATTTTAAAGAGAGGAGGTGCATACAAAATGTATTTTGGGGGTGCCTCAGTGTATACCGGTACATTAAAATGTCAGACATCTGACAAGTTCAGCTGACCTCATTCATAACTAAAATCATATCGGAGTCATTTTTCATCATTTTTTCATGTAAAATTTACACACAATAAAAAAAGTTATAAATTGATTACTCCTGTTTGGTTATACATGTACCTTGAAATGTTTGTGTTTGCCATAAATCCTATTACACTGAACTTCAGCCATGGCTTTCATTTCACCCTCACATGGATCAGTTACTTCAGCAGAACAGTTGGCTGAACAATCTTCAGCTTCTGGATTTACCCAGGATTCAACAAATTCGGCAACATTACCTGTCTGTTAAATAAGAAATAGAAATAATGAGACTTTTTCCCTATAAAACATATAATTAATGATATATTATAATAGATCTAGATATTATATAATCTGGCTCATGAAAAATTATAAATTATAAACGCACTTTGTTGGTTTTGTCATGGTGCGGCTCATTTTTTTGTAAAATTCTACTTACAACATTCCCCTCGGTGATACATGCTGGCCCAACTGTTGGATCGTCATTGGGGTCATTATTATAATTGCCACAAATTCCACAAGTTTTTCCGGCATAATTGCCTGGCACTAATATCGTGACGGCACCATCTATGTCATAAACCACTTCAATTCCATGACTTAGTGATTTTATTTCCTGTACAATTTAAAATTACATTATAAACTTACATTTTTATTTTAATACAGGATGAAAACTCTTTTTCTAAACTACATAGTATTTAAAGCAATCCCTATACTGCACATATACTAATTTTAAAAGATTTAAAGATATACAATACAACAAAAACTTTTATGTTTGGAAGTATTTTCTCTAACAAATAATTCAATAATATGGTAATGTAAAACAAGTCTTTCTTTTTATTACTAACCATCATTTCAAGCTCTTTTCAAAAAGTAAACTAAAATTACCACTAAGGCTCCCACATTTACAATTTTTCACAATTGCTAAGAACCGAAACGATACTGTTTAAACGGAGGTACAACACCATGTATTTGAGTCGCCAAAAGATGACTTACTTTCTATTTTAAATACAAGTACAAGTAAATAATGTTCAGGGCTCATTACAATTGAGTCGGCACACATTTTCTGCATTATATCCAAATTTCGCTATTTGAAAGATCAAAGGAAAATCAACTTTACCAAAAATGCATTATGTCACGAGCAATTATTGCACGGTGATACTGTGTGGAGGGTTGTAAACACCCATTTTCCATTTTTTTACTTTGGAATAAACCAATTAGAAAAGATAAAATCCATTATAACAGGCAATTATTAAGATACTGTTAGACAATATGGTCATTCCTATTAAAGGGTAAAACATATTGTAACCGTTAACAAATGAAAATCGAAAAGAATCCGTTTAAACGTGTAACCGTGAGGGCCTTTATTACCACTCTGAATTATGACTGGTAAATAATCATAAATCATAAAGGGAAAGGCATCCTTCAATGCATCGTTTTAATTGTAATTGTAATTATAAAGCATTTGCATGATGGGGTGATTGGCTACCAGACTCAATTGAAAAAGAACACTTGTTACTCCTATTACAAGTTCCCTGGTTATCACTTTCAATTATGCAAATGAATTATTAATCTGTAAATAAATCAATCCATTGTTAACTTTATGTGATAAATTAAACATAAAGCACTTACGATAAGGTCACCATAGCTAATAATTTGTAGTTCCGGTGTCAGGAATGTTGGGATGACTGTCAGGCCGTTAACCCGGACCTCGTTTCCAGGCAGAACTTCAATTTTCTGAAAACATGAAACGGACCCATCGGAAATCAACTTTGATAAGGAAGACACAATATTAACCATTTACATACTGGATTCGTATAATCGATTTACCCCTACTTTAAATTTAGGACAGTCCATTTAAATTTCTAAGGGATTTCGATCATTACCAAAATACAAAAATTGATCTGGCCTGGGTATATACTTGTGATAAAGGATAAAATTAATTTCGGTTCATGCAAGATAAGGGTCATGAAAAGTTGCTTGTATATCATTGATGTCTCCTTTCTTTGTTGGTAAATAAATATGCTTTCACATCATCATTTTGGATTCAGTCATTAACTCTAGCAAATGATTTTTCGTGTTTCTTTTCATTTATCAGTAAGCTGTATTTGTTTTATAAAAAGAATAGAAAAATGTCCATACAACACAATTGGCAATGTGCCACCGAAATGGAATAAGGAGCCATTTCTTCTGTTATTTTGTTTGTTTAATAGAGGGCCATTGACCGTTCTCTTTTGTCCTGTTTACAGTTAGATGGCCTGCCTATTTAATTTTTGGTATATCGCTCCAACAGTCCGCTGTTTTGTCAGTCTACTGATGAACAGAATGACAACAGAACTGCTATTATTATACAACAACAAGGAAAAATGTATATGCACCCCCCACCCCCCAGCTCTAAATACTTGTGGGCATAAAAAAATGTTAAAGATGAAAGATGTGTAAATTCAACAATTCAACTTACATCACCATTGATTGTTAATGCTATCCATTTTATCCAAGAAGCATCGAAAGATGTCTTATACTTCTGATAGAACTTGGCTGTTAGCTGGAATGTAGGAGTTCCTCCTCCGCAATTATCTCGAGACAACACATATTCGCACAAACCCTGATAGCTGCCCCAATATCCGTCAATTGTTGCAAAATGTGGGTCGCCAAATACGGAACACTCTCCCATAGCTGGATTATAAGTTATTTAGTTATTTAATAGAACTAATTAGCTTATTCTATCTTTAAGTGACATGATGTTATATCATTTAATATCATATATTTACTATATCAAACCATTTTCACTGATTTTGTTTGTATATTAACATTTAAATTGATACACTATCATTAATGTGTAAATTTACCTCTAGATCTGTAACTAACAGCTTAAATAGAACTATCTGTCTACAGAGCAAAGTTGAAAAATCTTAAAGGACGCTTGCCACAGTTTTCATGTAGACAGTATAAAAACTTTTTCATAATTAAAACAGGGTATTATCTGAAGATGAAATAATTATAACACCTGGAATTGTCTAACAAGAACTGCTACATCATTAGGTTGTTTAAAAGGGTTAGTTGATGCACAGCATCAATTAATGAAATTACTTTATCTTATGTGTTTTAAACTAAGTGGGTTAGTTGATCTAAGGGGGTAAAATGTTTACATCTAAATTACATGATCTAAGAATATGACAAAAAGAAACATTTTAAAAGAATCAAATCAAGGCTGGCAATATGCTTTTTTAAAATATCTGCATTCCCTTTAATTTGATCTATTCCATTATTTAAGGTAATTTAACTGTATAAAGTATTGACAAACCTGTGCAATTGGTTCCGTTCCATCTGAAATTTTTTTTACATCGACAGTCAAATGTACCTGGTCTATTAATACAGTCCGCATTGACATCACAATTGTGTATGTTCAACGCACACTCATCAATGTCTGTAACAAACAACATTATATAATTAAAAAATAATATTCATGTTTGTTCTGAACCAATATAAACAATAAATAGTTACAGCTGAAAGTCCCATTACAAGTCATTCATAGAACAATGTTATCTTTTGTTAATTAAAGAATGAAGCAAATTTGCAAAGAATGATACTACTTTCAACCTAAAGTTAATTACAATTATGTACGTACCAATACATTTTCGTTTGGCACTTCCTTTAGGTACGAAACCTTCCTGGCATTCACAGTTAAATGAACCATCGGTGTCAATACAGTCAGCGTAAAGTGGGCATGAATTCATTCCTTCGGCGCATTCATTGTCGTCTGCAAACAAAATCAGTCTCGATCATCATTCACTTCATACTAATTACATACTTTTGTTTGTTTGTTTGTTTGCTTCATTTTACGCCTTTTTCAACAGTATTTCAGTCATATAGGCGGGTAGTTTCCTAACCATCGTTCCTGGACAGTTACACCAGTACTAGACTACCTTCCTCCGCGCTAAACTACCAAAGCATCTCCCGGGGATCGAACCCACGCCAGAGAGGTAACTGGATTAGAAGTCATCGACTCTAACCCCTCGACCACGGAGGCGGAATTACATACAATATACATGTATATTTCAAAATTTATATCAGACAAAAAAAGATTTCATCAAGTTTGAACATTATTCATTTAAGCTTGTCTGTGTAGAAAGCTTGAAATCCGCTTATAAGAACTACTTGCAAGTTTGCTACCTGGAACTAACTAGTACTGGACATGGTCATGACCAATGTAGTGCTTAAACCCACAGACCTCGATCCAAGGGATCTTATATAAAGCAGTTTACTAGTAAAATATTCTTTGACTGACAACATAAGATTGTTGCTTGTTTATAACATTAATATTTATGTAAAATAAAGTTCATTTATATTTAAAAAAAAGGGTTTAAGAGATATATGTTTATAAAATGCAAAATAAGTATCAAGATACAGCAATTATCTTTTAGTTTGATCCGCATAGAAAATCTAAAATATATGCATTGTACATTAAAAGAATATTTTCTAAAATATTTTTAAATAATTATTTACTCAAGCAATTCCGTCCATTTGCCCATCCCTCCCGACCGATACCTTCCCAGCCCTTTTTACATTCACATTTGAAGCCGACATTATTCTGGGTATTATCCAGGTTAATACATCTGGCTTGCTCGTGACAGTCGTGGAAACCCAATTTACACTCGTCAATATCTTCAGAAAAAGAATATGTCAAATATAACAAATACAAAAACATATAATATGTACATCAAAACAGAACATGTGCATGATTATAACAGTCATATAAAAATAAATATATACAGTTAAACTTTGTTCGCTCGAACTTGGATGACGCTAGAATACCTTTTTTAGCTCGAACTCATCATCCAGTTGTTGCAAATTCCTAAATAATATATATTGTTCTACATAGGATCTCTCGAACCTGATCTCTGGTCCCATCAGCAGAAATAATATGAAGGGCAAACAAAGTTGCGAGTCGCCATGTTCTGTATTAGTGACAGTCAGCGTCACATGTTTTAGTAAACATGTAAATTTATTGATAAACATAAATAGCAAGGTGCTGAGTTTACAATTACAAAAAATCAAATCATGTCCTTTTATACAGTACTGGTACACAGTTTCATTTTTTTTTGTTCGGTAAGAAAAAATAGAGTGAAATTATGCACAAACCAAGGCTTAAATTAAAGCTGTGCACAAACTATTATCTATCATGATTATTTGAAAATATATTTTCTTCACATTGCCTGTTGTTATTTTAAAACTATAGTGACAATTATATAACCTGAAAGACATTTCATAAAAGAAAAGAATTTAACGAATTAACATGAAACATAATTTAAAGTACCAAATGGTTCTTGCCCGCACATAACTGGGCCAACAGATAGTATCCCGGAAGGGTTTGGTGTGCCTGGATTATCAAAGTGCATTCTTTGTACTGGCAGATGATCCTTCTTTGTAAATGTTCCGGCGTCTGCTCTTGATTCATTGTCCGCAGCATCACAGTTACACGCTCTGTCGACAAGCAAATAATCAGTAATTTTACATTTTATTTGAACCGATGGCACTAGAAAACAGCACTTAACATCATTTTATAAAATATTGTCAAAATATTTTCAGTTGATAATAAAAATAAGAATGTGAATTACCCTTGAAATGTCACAAGGAAAACAATAATAACACTGATTTCTTTATATTCTGATATTTAATAGGCCTCATGAATACTTGTGATAGTTGTAACATCCGTTAGTTATCATCATCCTTCCTCAGTAAAAACAATATATACGGTAATAGGTAGGGAAAAATAGATTTACAAAGTTTTTTATTTATTATTTCAAAAGTTTGAAAACTGAATATCTTTATAAAAATAATAAATAATAGTGATAAAAACTAAGATTTCCAACAAGTTGAGAATGCAACTTAAATACCTTTGGAAATGGGAAAAATAGAAACTGATGAACAAATAATGAAGAAAAGAATAGCTTCTATCAATAACCTTTTGTATATTTTCTTGAATAAGCAATTTCAATATAAAGTCTTTATATTTGCAAGCACAGAACAAAATGAATGTTTGCATAGTTCTTTCTTTTAATTAAAGCATTACCTCTTTAAATTGTAATGTATATTCTTTGGTTCACTTCCACCACATCTGTTTTCTCTACCACAAGTACATTCTCCACCGATGTGATCTCTGCCAAAACCAAAATAGTCTCTTTCCACGGCTTGATTTTTACCTCCGTACATTGAATAGTAACCTCCATCAACGACCATCTTTGACAGGTCATGAAATATATCGGACATTTTTTTATTGAATGTTGGCACTATTTTTAATGTGCCACTTAAATGCACTTTGTTGTTTGGTTTGTTTTTTTGTTATATCTGCATTACAATTTTTTTATCTCTAGACATAAAATACCAAAATCCTATACTGGTATCTTGCTTTTTTGTGAAACTATAATAATACAGGTATCAGCAATTTTTAAATAATGAAATTATAATTCTTAAAAATATGTTAATTTTTGTCAGTCATTCTTAATTTTCTAACTGGATAAATACATGTTTACCATATTATGATAATATCTATTTTGTTGCTTTTTATAACAATATGTTGCACTAATTTCTCACCTTGGTTTGGGTACATTCATATTTGGCTGGCTGGTAACAGTGACTAGAGACCCTAACCAATTCCACTATCTGTTCAAAAGTTGGGCCGTAATATGTTACGTTAACATTGCCACCATACTCTATAGTTGTTCCTTCCTCTACATCCGTTTTTATCACCGCTACACCTGAAAAAATACGTAATATTTATGCTAAAAGAATAGGGAGAGATTATTAAAATATAAATCTTCAGAATCATTTAAAGTACAACATAATTATTATCATTTTATATGCAAAACAAAACAAGAAACAATAATGACTATAACTTGAAAAAATAAGTATGTATCGTCACCCTAATGAAGTGACTATGGGATAACTCGTATTGAAAAATTATTAAGGAGTTAACCCGTTACTGCACTAATGTGACGGTATGTACAAAAGTCAAACAAAGGGACCTGCATCAAATCACTGTACTTTTAAGCGAAATGTGATTAAACTAACCCCCACTTGGAAGATATTCCATGTCACAATGGACCAAAAATGGCGGAACATTAGTTGATGGTCGTATCATATATGTCCCGGACCTTTTCTCTCCACGTTTGAATGCATCATTGCAATCTATTGGTAGATCTGTTTGGATTAAAGATAAACATTTTGTTAGTGAATATTTTGCTTACTATATAAATGATTTGAATGTTTTAAAATGTGATTTTCAGACTTAATATGATGATAATAATAATAATAATAATAATAATAATAATAATATCTTTATCTACACTATTGTATCATGGATATTAACACAAAATAGACAGCTTAAATAATGAAAATGTCTATTTTTAAAATATCTGTAAAAACAGTTCTACACAGTACATACATGCAGTGTGAATCTAAGTACTGAAGTTTTAAAAAATGTGTACCATAATAGTTCATTGTAAAAATGCTGACTGCCAAAACATTTCTTTAGATTTTAAATTATATTAATATTTGTAAAAATGAAGACAATGTAAGAATCTTTCTGAAATTCTAAAATATTTAAAGCCATATTGTTTTGTAAAAATGCTAACATTTCAAGGAAATTTACTTTTAGCAAAAGAGCATTTGTAAATATTCATCAATATTTGCAAGAGCATTCATTCTAGAGTTTGAAAAATATTTGTAGCCATTGTCTGTTTGTATAAATAGCTGATATGTTGTAAGAACATTTTAGAAGAATTATAACATATTTGTAGAAGTAGATCATTTGTAAATAAGTTGACATTGCAAGAATATTCCTAGAGTTTTATGTATTTGTAGCCATTGTTCAATTTGTATAATTGGCTGGCAGATTTACAAAATCATTTATAAGTTTTAACATATTTGTAGAAATAAATCATTTGTAAATAAGTTGACATTGCAAGAACATTTCTAATATTAGTAACATAAATGCTGACATCGCAAGAAACATTCCAGAGGTTTAAAATAATTCATTTGAATAAAAGCAAACATTGCTAGAACATTTACAGAGTTTTAATATATTTGTAGCCATAGTTTATTTTTATAAATACAATTGGCTGACATTGCAAGAACTGTTCCACTGGTTTAAAATTGTTCATTTAAATAAAAAGCCAACATCGCAAGAACATTCCGAGAATTTTGAAATAACTGTTGCTGTAATGCTACCATTTAAAGTCTGGATAGAGTTTTAAAATATTTTTAAACTACAGTTTATTAGAGTTAAATACCAATTTTATAGAGACAATTTTAACTTTTAGACATTTGAAGCCATAAAAACCAATACCAATCTTAACGTCTACAATAACTGTACATATAGTGTATTTGTTTTCATGTTAATGTTATGGAAGCCAAACTTACCAAATGGTTTAGGAGCACATCTCACATCAGACACATCATATATGGCATATGAATCATCTCCTTGCCCTCCAAATGCCAGTAATGTGATAGGAAGGTCTTCTGTTACAAACCCAAAGTCGGCACTAAAATGAATAATCAATTTTCCAACTTAAAAAACTATTCTGAATATAAAATGATTTACAGATTGTGCCAATAATGACAAGCTGAAAACATCAAACAAGACCCAGTCCAGTTAAGTGTCGTCTGCTTAGACTAAACTAATGATTTCTATATTCAAGTACTTTTTGCACTTTGAATTTCTGTGAAATTAGCAAAATTTGAGAGTACCAAGTTTGTAGTAAAGTAAGTCAGTTTATATGAAATCAATCTAGAAGGCAAGGACACAAATACTAATATTGTTAACTTTGTTTATAGAGGTATTGTTTGCCGATTAATTAACTCCTCAGCCACCTGCCCCACCCCCAACTTCCAATCAAAACCCCTCAAAAAAGGCATTGAGACCAATAAGAATAATGAATAGCTGGAGAGGGCTGAATCATAGAAATCAGTTTCAAAATATTTAGATATTCTATACAGAATTTATAGATACATGTATTATACATGTACATTATCATAAGATTGTACAGTATAACCTCTGCAGAGAGACACCCTATATAGAGCAATTACCTCTTTGCAACAACAGTCTTTTTTTCTTCACAATGTAAACATTTACAACTTAACCTCCCTAGAGCAGACAACCCTCAGCAGCAACCAAAATCTTTGTGTCCTTTAGAGTGTTGCTATCTAGAGGTTGTACTGTATTATATCATGTTCACTTACTTCATAGATCCTTCTGAATCACAATTACAGTTGAGATCGTCCTGTTTACAGGTATCTAAAACATGGCATGCACATCCTTTCACATTTGTAAAGCCAGCAGTTCCCCAACTTTGTGAAACACCACTGTACGTCTCGTAGTAACTCTTCGGTGCATTCACATTACTGCCATAAATTGGAGTATTTTTACATGTGAGGTCTATTCTCTATAAAAAAAAAAAAAAATTATTTTGATCAGAACAGAACAGAACAGAACTAAATGTATGGTATACAGCAAATAGACATAAACAAACAATATATACAATACAAACAATAATATTACAATCAAACATTGACAATCACAACACCACCAAGTAAATGATATCATGTATTACATGTAAACATAGTTTAAAATGGAAACACCATTATTGTTTGCCTAAAAATACAGAAATATAAACTAGAAATGTATCAATATGACATAGATGCCCCTAAATTTCTTTTAGGGAGGCATATATTTTAAAAGAATATCCAAATGATGCATTTCTATTGTTTTTTGTGAAAATGGGAAACTCTCATGGAAAAATATTTGATGTACTTATGGAAAATGTGCCCATTGTAGATCATTCCACTCTTAGAATCAGTATGATATATTACTGATCTTTTACCTGCAAGCAGAAGTCTGATGTCTTTTGTAAGCCATGAATTTGTTCCGGTGTTGCCCCAACATACTCCTGTGTCACTGTATAACTCCCAGGCTCCGTGTTATTCTTCACATTTTTGTTATTTGGTGGAATGGTCTTGATCTTTGATAAGAAATAAATTATGTGTTAGACATTATGTAAGATAATTACTACATTGAAACTTAAGTTGGGAAAGTTAGAAATATAACATGTGAATGACATTATTTAAAATAATTGCTTGGTTAAAAGATGTTATCAGGAACTCAGCAAATGTGGGATTTTCCAAGCTAATACCCTGATACAAAAAAACTTTTATCATTATAGCATCACGGTGCACCTGTTGCACTTATTTTCAATGTTGTTACTGTAAAATTTGTTTGTACCTACAGATTAACTGGGAAAAATCCAAAAATATTCTTAATTCTGGAGTAGGTCCATTTGGTATAGTCTTGACCTGTGTTCAGAACTCATGTGTTTGATATTACATTTATATTAAATAAATACAAAGCTACATTTCACCCATAAACTGCTGGAAACAAAAGTTTGTCAACAGGATAGAGCCAGGCTAGCCTGCACATTCTTGCAGTCTGACTGTAGGCTCTATTCTGTTGGCTGACTTACTTGAAATTTTCATCTCATTATCCCCAAAAATTGACAATGTACAGTTCCAAAATTGGAAATTGGTTAAGTTTGTTTTAAATATTTTGCAGGTAAAGAGTTAAATGATAACTCAAAAACTGATAAAGGAATACATAAAATGTGATAAAAAAGCTTTGTTGTTGTGAACAGATATTGTTAACTTTTATCATACAGTATTTTTTGTAATGTCTGTTTTCATTGGATAATAATTGTTATGTTCATAATAATTGTCCATAAACATTATATATTAGTTTATTATATTGCAAAGAGTGTTATTGCTCAATTAATATTTATCTACTGAAAACTAGAACAAAAAATATTTTGATAAAAATATATTCACTTTTGAGTATAAAGAAATAAAAAACAGAAAACAGACAATTTAAATTATTAACGCAATTAAAACAAAAGAATTATAGTATTAATGAGTATGGTAATTATTATATTTATAAGCATAGAAATATCTAATGATCAGATAAAGTATATGTTTGAAATGAGGCATTTTTTTTAGATAATCGTGACCTTTTTATATTATCATAGAAATACCTGTTGTCAATTTATGAAATAATTTTTGTTTTCCTCATATAAATTTATTCTGCTTTATTAAAGATTTGTTATTAAGATGTCAATACATTTTATATGGCCATATATAAACTGTTGTTTTCAATATAACCCATCTGGCTATATATTTAACTTACAACCTCTATTTAAAGGCACTCCACTGAGGTACATTGTATAAAAGACTAAAAACATAACATTTGAATTTCTTACATAAATGAGCTGGGGCACTTTAAACAGAAATATATATGGAAAGATAGGTAAGAAATATACTTTGAAATAAATTGTAAATCGTATTTTTAGCCCGATTTGAGTGAAAAGCGTTTAAACACTTTTCATTTTGGGTCATTTTTTTACAATTTGAATAATTATTCTGGTAAAACAAAATGCGCGAATGATCTGAAATTTTGCACAAAGATTAGTGGTCTAAACCTACATTAAATGGTACATTTCTCTGAAAAAAAAATTTTTCAGTCCCATTATGTCAAAAAAACCCCTCATTTGGAGTCCCCAAAATTTAAATTTAAAAGAAAAACCCATGTTATTTTTTCCCTGTTACACATTTTTAAAATTAATATTATTAAGGGCCCGGATCGAATGAGTTTTAGGTTTAAATTTAAAAAAATTTTTTTTTGGGCAATTTGTAAAATAAAATCATTTTTTGGGAGCCTTTTTGGGACCCAAATATAAATATTTTTTTTCATTGAGTTCAATAAAATTTTGGTTTTGGAATCTTAAAATTAAATACTTTTTCCCATTTTTTTTACTTTATTATAAAAAAAAAGGTATGGTTTTAAAACTGTTTTAAAAAAACCCAAATTTTCAATTAAACGGGGCCCTAATGTACGCTAACATAAGCACGCTTTAATTATAATTCGTGGGCTTAGCGCAAAACGGTTGTAACTCACTTTTTTCCACAAAAAACATTTTTAAACATTTTCAATGTATTTTGTGGTTATGCATATCCTCAGTAAGTATTTTAAATGGATTCTGAAAATTAACAAGTTAAAAATCAATAATTTTGTCAAAAAGGTTGTATCTCAAATTGCTCTTAATTTTCAGTGCAAAATGGTTGTATCTCAAGTTACAACCTTTTTGCGCTGAAAATTCCTGATAGTGCAATGGAAGTAAATTAGCACTCCTTTGTCTTATTTGAATCATCACATGAAAAAAGGAGGATATAAAGACACTAGAAAAGGTTTTTGTTTTGATATATCTAAAAAACCTGAAATATTGGGATAAAAAACCCAACTAAATTGTGATTTTATATTACTCTTGCATTTGGAAATTTTTTTAAATGTTATTTTTCCCCTTTAATATTTTTCAATTTTCCAAAAAAATTAATTCCAATAAATGAAAAAAGACCCCACTAGCTGCCAAAAATTTTAGCAATTGTTTGTTTTTTCAAGTAAATGAAAAAAAACTTTAAATATTGAAGGAAAACAAAATGTCCATTTTCCCCCCCCCTATTTTCCCCCTCCCCCAATTTTAAACAAAATTTTTAAAATGACAAGGTGGACAAAAATTTACCCCCTTTGGATCAAAAAATTTAGCGCCACCTTATTTTTAGGGGCAGACAAACTTTTCCTATTTTGAAAAAAATACAAGTACATGTAGATCAAATCAAATTATCTTCAGTTTTTTGTTTGTAGTAGCAAACTTAAAATTGTTGTGGGGGAAAGTTGTTAGGGAAGGGATGTAAAGGGCCCACCTAGCTCAGACCCATAATGGCCTTAAAGAAATGCTTTTATTTTTTTTTTTCAAAAGTTTCTAAAATTTTATGTTTTTTTTCAAGAAAGTTTTCCATGGCAAATTACCCTGAACAATCTTTTTAAATCTTATAAAAATTTTGGAAAAGGGGAACAGTTCCCCTTGTTACAATGAATTAGTATTTTTTGTTGGAAGTCAATTGGTAAAAGTGTTTGGGATTACATTTTGGCTACTTTTTATGAAAAAATTTATATTTACTTTAAATTTTATAAACCATTTTTCTTAGGTAAAAAGAAATCTTACATTCTAAAAAAAAGGATTTATTTTTGGGTTAAAATGGCTTAAAAAAACTACGTATAAAAAATTTCAAAAAAGGTAAAAATTTAAAAGATAAAAAAAACAAAGGGAAAGGGGGAAAACCAAATTTTAAAAAAGGGGGGGAAAAAGGGGGGGGTTGTAAATCCCCAACATCAGATAAAACCCACCTTTGAAAAATCCCCAATAAGGAAAAAAAACCTGGAAGGGAATGGAAAAAAAGTTGCAGGAAAAAAGCCCATTTTTAAAAATTTCCCCAAAAAAAACCATTAAAGCTAAATTTGAAAAATTTTTAAAAAGGGAAAACCTTTAGAATGAACTCCCTTTGGGAAAAACATGAAAATAGAAAAACTTTTTTAAGAGTTTAAATAATATAAAGCCTTTTAAAAGTTTCTTTCCCATACATGTAGAATTTCCCAAAAAGGAAGTCCATATTAAACTCTATTTTACAAATTAGGGTAAGACCAAATTTGGGAGGCCCATGTTTAAATATTATAAACATCCATTTTTAAATTTCCCGTAATTGGGTTTGTTTTGACAATCTTTTAAAAACTTTTTAACCTTTAAACATTTTGGGAAAAGGAAAAAAAAAATAAAGTTTTTGCCCTTTCCCCCCAAGCCTAAAAAACCTGTGCATTTCCAGTTCAGGTTCTGTCTGGGGAAACGGGCTCCAAATTTTTCCTTTTGGGTTTGTTTTTGATTTGGTTATTCCAAATAAAAAAAACCCGGGGTTTTTAACCCTTTTTTTTACAACTTTTCCAGCATTTTTAATTTTTTTTAAAAAAATTTTTGTTAAACAACGGGAAAAAGGGGTATTTTTTTTCCCCAACCCAATTTTATTAAACCAGGCACTCTTCTATTGCCCCATAAAAGCCATTAAAAATTCCCGTAAAACTTTTGTTTTTTATATTTTTAAATTTTTTAATAAAATGGTTTATAATCCCTAAATTTTTAAAAACATCACTTTTCAATTGGATAATTGAAAGGTTTTATTTTAGTTTTTTTTATACATAAGCTGCTTTTCGGTTTATAAAAAAAATTCTTACCTTTTTCTCTAAAAACTAATGCTTTACTGTATTATTAAATTTGTAAAAAAGATTGTTGACGGTTATATGGCCCTATATAAACCGTTGTTTTTTTTTAAAATTAACCCCGCGCCATTTAAAAACAATCTTTAAAATTTAAAAATTTATAACCAGTTTTTAATGATTTTAATTAAGAACCCCTTTTTAAACGAAAAGAAAATTAAATTAAAAAATTGTTTTCAAAGACTTATTGGGACATTTATAAACTTGTAGGTTCGAATCCCGGGGTTCCCAACCCCTTTTATTTTTTTTTTTTAAATTTTTTAAAAATTGCCCTTTCTTTTAATAATCTTTGAAAATTTTTTTTTTTGTGTTTTTTTATTCTGTGACTTTTTTTTTAATTTACTTTCCTTTAGTTTTGAAAATGCGCAAAAACCTTTAACGTTTGAAATGTCCCCAAGAAACCATTTGAAAACATGGGTTTTCTGAAAAGAAAATTTCCCCGATTTTCCAAAGCCCTTTATGTCTAAAGGTTTATTTAAAACGAAAACTTTTCTTGTAAAAAAAAAGGAAACCCAAAACAAATTTTAAAAGTTTTCCCAAAAAAGTAGATATTTTTAAAAAATTTTCCAAATTTAAATTTCCCAATTTTGCAAAAATTTAAAAGTAAAAAAAACAAAAAAAAAAAAGGTGACTTATAACCCCCAAGTTTTTGGTTGGAATAAAAACCAAAACCCTTGCAGATCAGATCCCCCCATTGGAAAATTCTTTTTAAAAAATATCCCACCTTCCCTGAATGTGAAAGATAAAAAAATTTTACCCAATTATATTCGTTTTTTTTAAAAAGTGTTTATTAAAATGCCTTTTAAATGAAATTTTTAAATTTGAAGACCCGGCCAAAAAATTTATTTTTTGGGCAAATATTCCCAACCAAAATATGCCCAGAAGTAAAAAAAAATTTTTTTTGGGAAAGGGAATGTTACAACTTTTTGAAAATTTTTAATGTGAACTGGTCGTGGGTTGGAAATTTTAAAATGTTTTTAAGTTTTTTAAACCTTTCCCCCGGGAAGGACAAAGTACCTTTTAATTGATATTTAAACTAAAAACAAGTAAAAAATTTGATTTTCCCCCAACCCCTAAATTTTTAAAGCTGGGGTCTCCCTTACCCCGGCAGAGCCCAGGCCAAAACCCCGGTTTAATTTTTTCCGGGAAATGCCCCGGGAAAATTTCCCGGGTAAAATTTTGTTCCTGGGGTCAAAATTTAAACCGGCGAGCATTTTACCGGACTTTTCCCAACCAAACCCAACCAAGAATGTTTCCCCGGGGAACCCCCCCAGGCAGAGCCCTTTAAAACTACGGTTAATATTATCAGGTGCTTTTCTTTCCGACACCGGGCCAGCCCTCCCTGGTAGATTAAAAACTTTGCAAAATGAAAAACTTTTGATAATAATTTTTTTTTAAATTTGAAATTTTCCCTTTTTCCCAAAAGAACGTAACCCCATGTTTTGCAAAATACTGGTTTAAAGGGAAAGGGGAAAGGGGGTTTTTTAAAAAACAAAAAAAGGGGGCAATCAAAAGAAAAAATTTTGTGTTTTTTGAAATGTCCCGGGGTTTTTTGGCCGGGGTTTCTCCCCTTTGATAAACCCGTGCCCCTCTTAAACCTCCCGGGTGCTCTCCGGCTCCCCCGGGGGGCCTTCCCGGGCATTTGGGGCTCTCCCCAGCTTCACCGGGGGCCCCCATGCTTTATAACCCCGGAATTCCCGGTTTTTTGCCGGCGGGAGCAACAGTGCCCCCCCGGGTTTTAAACCCTGGTCTTTTTCCCCCGGAAAAAGCGGGATGACCCTGAAAAGCTTTATTTTTCCCGGACCCCGTGGGGGGTATTAAAAAAATTTTATTCCCATCCAGTAAATCCCTTAACCCAAAAATTTTGGGGCGGAGGTTTGGGAATGTCCCCCAGTTGTTCCCTAAGGGTTCCCAAACCCCCGGACTTGCCAACCCCTTCCCGGGATGTTAGTGAGTAAAGCTTTAAGCCTTTAAAAAAGACACATCATTTTTGAAAAACCTTTTGGTTTTTCACGGGTTGTTTTTGGAAATTTCTCTGTTATTTTTTCCCTTTTTACAAATATTACGGGCTTAAACTCAAAAACCTGCAAATTTGGGGGCAAAAATTTTATTTTGCAAACCAAGTAAAGTCAGAAGAACCCGGAATTATCCTTTAATTTTAAAAGATTTTGATGATTTCGTTTAAAATTAAAGTCAATAATTTTTAATATCAATTTGGGGCGGGTTAAGGCCGGGGCCCCGGAAGGGGTTTATTTTTTTTTGAAATACAGGGTCATTTTGTCAAAGATAGCATTTTTTACCATTTATAAAATAGATAAAAATTTTAATTACCATAAATTTTTTTTTTAAAGGCCTCATATTAAAAATTTATATTTTTAAATAAAAAGTTGGTTTTAAGGCTATATTTATTAATTCTCTATTGGGGACATTCTTCCTCTTTAAAAAATTTTTTACTGATTATTTTTACTTTCATTTTTTTTATCATTCAAAACACGAGGGCATTATTAAAATTCTTATTTTATAAAGGGCCTTTTATATTTTGTGTAAATTTAGAAGTTATGTTTTATTTACCCCAATTTTTAAAAATCCAAAAAAAAAAATGATATGAGTTTGAGATACTTCCGTTTTCACAAAGAAAAATTAAATTTGCTCAAATTTGGGGGAAAAAACAGTTGTTTGAGTACTCCCCTTTTGCAAAAAAAAATATTAAAAATTTAAAATTTTTTTGTAAAGGTTGAAATTGAACTTATCAAATATCTTTTTAAAAAAATAAGTTCTTTTTTCTTATTTTTTTTCAAATTTCCCTTAATAAAATGTATATATTTTCCTAAAAAAAAATTTTTATTCTTAACAAAATTTTTTAAAGTTTTTTCATGCCCCTGTAAAATTTGCTTAAATTGAGTTCAACCTTTTTTGCGTCCCGCGTATTAGAAAAAATGACGTAACCCTAAAGTGTTATAAACTCCTGCGCCGCATTTTAGTGATAAACAGTTGAATTATTTCCAAAAGAATTTTTTTTTTTTTGATATAGTTTTGTGATTTTCTGAGATGTAAAGCATTTTTTAAAAAATTAAATTTGATAAAACTTTTAAAAATATAAACAAGAGAAAACGTTTTCTTGTTTTTTAGTAACTACCACTGTTATCCTTTACCTTAGATGTTAAAAAATCACACGTTATTTGAAAGGTTTAGGGCCCTGGACATCTAATCAAGGTGTATAAGTTATTTCCAAAGGATTTTTTTCTTTTTATTTTAGTTTTCTCACAAATTTTCGAAAACTTGAAAAAAAAATTTTTATATTTAAAATTTCAAAATAACTTTGGCAGGGCACGAAAAAACCCAAAATAATGGCTTTGCGACAGCATGGGTTTCCAGACCAGCCTGTGTATCCGGGAGTCTGTCGGATCAAACTTGTCGCTATCAGTTTTTTACTTTTATAGATTTTTTTAACAAACAATGATCCTGATCACTCCGATGGGAGGCTGGTCGGGATCCATGTGGTGAAAGGTTTTATGGATTTTTTTACCGGTATTTGTTTTGTAAATTTTACATTAAAAAAAGATTTTTTAAATTTTTCGAAAAATTATTCATTTACAAAATTTAAAAAAATTTTTTAAAAAACATTTTAAAAAAATTTAGTTGTAATTTTTTTTTCCCCACTTGTAAAGTATTGTTTTTTTTATAAATGGGTAATGTTTTTTTAAAAATTAAAATGAAAATAAAAGGGGCTTTTTTTAAAAAAAGAAAAAAAAAAAAAAACCCCTTATTTTTGGAAAAAAACCCAATCTCCACCAGGGTTTTATGCCTATACAATTTAAAGGATATTCTTTCGAAAAATTCAGTTTGGCAGATGTCCGGGGTTAAATTCAGACTAAAAATCTAAAGACTCACTGCTTTGGTTCAAACCCCTTCGGGGGTTTTTTTTTAAAAATTTTTTCAATCTAAAATTTTTTTTTTTCCCCTAAACAATTAAAATTTAAAATTAAATTCCTAAAACTAAAAAAATTTTATTATTTAAAAGTTTCCCACTACAAACAACTGGACCAACTTTTACTGTCCTTGTTCCGTCAGAAGATCCAAATTTCACTTTTTGTACTGGAAGTTTCCACGACTCAATGATAATCCCACCATCTTCCTGATTTCCTCCGAGATTACATTTACATACACCATCTTTACATCCACCTAATTCTACACATGTAATGAAAAATTCAATATCAAACCATGGTAAATCTCTAAAATGGACTTGTCCATCGTTCAATCTGGACAAAACCATTCATTATTTTTAGGGAAAATTTCAAAATACAATGTAATATGTACTGACTGAATAGCGATCAGTGTAGACCATAATTGTGACTAGACGTAATTTAAAACTAAAGAAAACAAAAATATTCATCAGTTTTCAAAAATTTGAATTTATATAACATGTTGACATTTTGATTGAAAAATAAAATAAAAACTTTTAATTGTTACCAATATCTCCACCAGGCCAATATTTTTCAAGGACGCCATCCCTTGAGTACCAGCCATCAACTGCTATGTCAAAAGTAGCATTGTTGCACTCAATGTAAAGTTCCTGGGTGCAGAAATATGATTGGTCGATCAACTTCGGGATAATATCGAACTTGTTTATCAAATATTCTATAACAACAGTGCCACCGTCTGGAGGAATGGGAATCGTTGAATTTTTTGGTTTGATCACCTGTCAATAAAAAATGATAAGAATATACTTTATACACTGATATATAATAAATATATTTAACATATAAACATTGTGATTGGAGCAGTTTTGGTCATTCAGTATTTTGTTTTATGTGAAGTCAGCAAATGAAATTACAAACTGAGTGACATAGAGTGAAATAAGAATCCCTAAAGAAAGCCCCAATGCGGCAAAATTGAAAATGTTGCAGGCTCGGTTTGATTAAGCCTGCTTCTTGGACGCAGTACTGTCAAGAGCAAACACCGTCGCCCACCTAGCACCGGAAAAAAAGCAGAATTTTACATTAAAACATGAACTGGGTAAAATTTTAGGAATTTTGAAACATCTGCAGATGTGTTCATATGGTCGGTTATCCAATGGAGCCTTCAATGTGACACGTTAGCTGGCCATTCAATAAAAGCAGCAAATGGCTCCCCAAGTAAAAAAGCGTGTGTCCTAAACCCGAAGAAACAATGGGCGGAACTAAATAAAATGGAATTTTTTAAAGGGGGATCTGGGTTTATGAAGCCTAGCTGCAGTTCATCAAGATATAACGTTCCCCAAAAAAAAGGAAAAAAAAAAAAATTAAAAGGCCAAGGCCCTCAATATCCTAAGGTGATTCACAGTATTCAAAGTGAGGAAACTGGAACCCACACCAAAAAGAAAAGATGCCCGAATAGATAGAACTAAAATAACCTACAAGCAATTTATAAACAATAATTCATGCTGAAACGAATCTTTGTAAGGATCGGAAAATATAACATCCCGGCTTGAAAATGTAACGGGGCGATTTTTTACAGGCTTCCACAAACACAAACAACGTTTGATGTGGCGATAAAATAGAAGGGAATAAGAATCCCTAAAAGAAAGCCAACCGGAAAGTATACCTTTTTTTAAAAAAAAAAGGATTTTTGGTTTTTTTTCCCCCAGTTATGAAATTGGGTCTGCTAATTAGGAAAAAAATGCAAACTCTCCAGTAAACAAAAGATAATTTAAAGACCCCATTAAGAACATTTATAAATTTTAAAGCCAGGGACCTATATGTCATTGTAGTACAGTAAATGAAATTACAAACACTGATGCTATTTGTAAAAGAAATAATCAAATCTTTATCCATAGGACTTGTTTGTGTCCTAAAAAAGAGGATTGTTTTAAATTAATCAGAAAGAAAAAGGTCAAAACAACAGGCATTTGTAACTATCCAGCACCCGTTTAGTATATATAACCATTCACTATATATAATATATAATAAAATTACTATCCAGTACCCGTTACTGTATATTATATGTAAATAGGTGCTCAGGACAGTAATTTTGTTCATGATGATCAAGGGGAGATTAATTTATAATAATAATCTGACCATTATTCACGCTGAACACCTGTGGTAAAAACTTACAAGTTCACCAAAGGGAGGTTCCACTGAGTATCTACATATAACCGTGGCAACATCATCAACACCACCACTGACAATGTGGACACTTTCTGCCTGAGACTTTGTTCTTCCTCGTCTTCTCCATTCTTGACAAGATTTAGTCGATCCTATATAAATATATTACATTGGCATTATATATTATAAAAAATGTGTGTGTGTATTCTATGCTTTAGTAATGAGGGTTCATTCTCCCTTTCAGGCACTGAGAGTACGGACCCTATATATGTCAAAATTCTTGTTCTTTGACATCATTATAGAAGTACAGCCATGCAGTCTGACCTGAAGCTCAACACTGCTGGTAGCTCAATTTTTGTACTTTGATTTCACTTAAACCCCTACTTTGAAAGAACCGAACTTCCAAATTCAAAACAGGGAAAATCTATTACACAAATACAGCAGGTTAAGTGTTAAATACAAACACTATTTAAGTATCACAAGAGATGAACTTACCTGGAAAAGGCAATACATGTAGTGAGCGGTTTCTATAAATATTGATCCTAATGTGGCATATGAATCAAAATTTTGTTTTACACTAAATTATTTTGATCAACTGTTTTATTAACAGTGGCGTTCATTACATCATTAGTTCAAATTTTACATCAACAATTCCTTTAAAATAGAAAATTAGATACATGTATAAATAAATGGTGTGCAATTAAATAATGACATCATTTATGACATCATTTTCCGAACATTTATTCAAACTTTATTTAAACAGACCAAAGACCAAATAAGCTAGACGCAGTTCAAATATAGTCATTGACTACACATACGTACCAGTTCTTAGTCTGTCGCAAAACAAATTGAAAAATGTCGTAATAAGAAAGCAAAAATGGTGATCACTAGTGGGCCCGTGAAACTTAAATGGAAACCAGATCAAAAACACAAATTTACATATAGCTAACTGCGTCGTATTTACGACTGTGCCACCATCTTTACGTTTGTCACCATCTACGACATCACAATTGCACTTAGCGTCGGTACCGCCATCACAGTCACCCACAACTCCGCATTTACACATATCTGCACCATCGCTTCCAAACCATCCTAAAATTGTTATACAATGTAAAAGTAAGGAAATGAACATCATACATCAAAAATGTAAACAAGAGGGTTCTCCCTTGTTTTTCAACAATTGTTATTCAAGTAAGAGATATAACACTTAAGGTTAAAAATACTCCCAGAAATTGCATTTTTGCCTATGTTAATAGTTCACTTTACCAAAAGAAAGAGGACTATCTGAGATGTAATTTTTCTTATATGAAAGTCAGTGGTAAAAAAAACAAAACAAGAATGTATGAGCAAAAATGTATAAATATATTTTTAGTGCTTATGACCTTGACCCCAGTGACCCCTCACTCCATCTAAACTAGAGGCCCACCTGAGGTATTTACCTACCAAATAAATTAACAAAGGTTCTATAAGAAAATAAGTAAAACAACTACCAAACTGTGAAAGACACTGGTCAATGAATTAAAACTATGTATTTTCAAATCTGTTTTTAACACCACTGACCCCATTGGCCATTTTACTCCACTCAAAGTGGAAATGTTCGATTACTAAATATAAAATACATTTATCTAGAAAAACAGGCTGTATGAGCACAAGTATGCAATTTATTATATACTTATAAATGAAATATTGAGAAATATTGATGAAATAAAAATGCATATTTTTCATTTTCCGTATTTTCACTGTAAAAATTTATTTTCACTGCAGTGAAACATATTTTCCGTATTTTCACTGGTGTCTCGCCGGACTACTTTCTTTTAATTCTGCCAGTACACAAAATTTAAGGGAAAGTCTTTCATATTTTTATCGCAAAAAAAGAGAAAAATGTATATAATAAACAGAAAATTCAAGTTTTTTTCTATTAAATACATGATTTATTTTCATCTTGTGGCATGAAAATTACCATATTTCACTCGTGGCTACCGCCACTCATGAAATATTTATTTTCATACCACTCGATGAAATAAATCATGTATTTATAGAAAAAACTTGAATATCCTCTATTTATTTTAAGCTCTAGTGACCTTGACTCCAATTTAACCGACCTCTACTTAAATATTGTGGACCATAATAAGGTATCAGTCTGACAAATATTAAAGTTATTGCCCAGGTCAATATATGAAGTTTCTATGAGAAGCTGCAGAAAAAACATGTGGGAAGTACTTAAGTTCTACAGTACAGAAGAACAAAGTGGTGACTACATGCTTCCTGGACCGGGTTTTTCGAAATATTGGTTAAAATTAACCAATTGATAGCTTATCCACTGGTTAAATCCTTAACCAGTGGCCAGCTATCCAGTGGTAAAAATTTTATTGTTCGACAGTTTGATAGTACCCTGGCTACCTAACCAGTGGATTGCGTATTTATCCACTGGTTAAGTACCACAATACTACGGAAGCGTCCTAGTGCCACTTTAACATGTTCTATAAAAAAAGATAACTCCTACGTAGGACTTTAAAACTACTTATCCTACGTTGGATAAGTTTTGAGCAACAGAATTTATCCAACCGAGCGGATAATGAATTTAACCACTGGTTAACACTAACCAATGTTTTGAACAACCGGATCCAAAACTTTTCCTGAAAGTATAAAAATATACTTTATAATGTATCTACCTGTCTGTGGATCACCACCACATGTTGAAAAAGATGTCATTTCAGTTGCTGGAGCATTTACACATTGGTGGTTGGCTGTCTGACTACAAAATCTGCTCACTGAAACCAAGGCCTTGAAATAAAAGAAATAAAAAATATCAAAACTAGGGCATGAGGTAACAGCTTGAAAATAAAAAGCAGGTCCTGAAATTATTTATGGCAAGTTTTAAAAGTAAACTTGCTGGTGGCAACAGATTCTATCAATGTGACCAAACCTAAAAGATCAACCAGCACATCCACGCCATCTGATATTATGGTATGCACTGTTCATATTCAGTGAGTACAATAATATTTTAATGATTTTCACAAAAAATGATGAGTGGTTTGAAAGATTTTTACTAAAAATTATGAATGTTTTTAAAGATTTTCACATAAAATCATTAATGTTTTTAAAGATTTTCACTTAAAATCATGAATGTTTTTAAAGATTTTCACTTAAAATCATGAATGTTTTTAAAGATTTTCACTTAAAATCTTGAATGTTTTTAAAAATTTCACTTAAAGTCATAAATGTTTTTAAAGATTTTCACTTAAAAGTATGAATGTTTTTAAAGATTTTCACTTAAAATCAGGAATGGTTTTAAAGATTTTCACTAAAAATCATGAATGGCCTTAAAAAATTTTCACTAAAATTCATGAATGGTTTTAAAGACTTTCACTAAATTGATGAATGCATGGTTTAAAAGATTTTCACAAAGAATCATGAATGCAAGTGAAAATTTTTCACTAAAAATCATACTGATTTTAAAGATTTCTCTAAAAATCATAATGATTTTAAAGATTTTCACTTAAAGTCATGAATGGTTTGAAAGATTTCAATTTTTGTTTTACAATTCCATGGTAAAAGGTAAATAATGTGTTAACAAACAAGGCACTGCAGATATGCTTTTTTGGAAAACAAGAAAGTTTGTTTCAGGTTACCTGGACTTGTTCTGTGGTTACTTCAGATACTCTATCAGCAGATTTATATTGAACATTATAACATTTACTGACTCCTTCATCTGGCTTGCCTCCTGTCGGATCACCATCATCTAAAGATAGAATATAGATTTTATAATAAAGTTATAAACAATGTCAGATGTAGTTTATTTCAATAAAACATGTAATTTTCTTTGTATAAATTGTGTAACAAGATTTGAAGATACTAATTAAGTGCATAATAGTATAGAATAAAAAATTGTTTCAGAAGATAGCATTAAAAAGGTAGACCATTATCTTGTGAAAAATTTTGATAAAGAAATGTTTTCATAATGTATCAAGAATAGACAGAAACATATTTTTTTTCCTTTCATAATTTGTGTTGTAAGATTATAAGATGTTTTGTTATGTTGTAGGGATAATATAACAAGATTCTAGCTTTTTTTATTTATTTTTGAATATGTTAACATATGTTAATTGTAATGAACACTGATCTCAGGTGAGAATGCTGTTATCAGATAGGGCCACATGTATAATGTACCACATAGCAATTTAGATAATAAATATATAATAAGTAAAGGGAAGTAACACAATTGCCAGTTTGAAATATTACTTTAAGAGTTATCTTTTCTTGATACCATGACAGTGACCTACCTATATCTGTAAGGCTGGTTGTTAGTGAGTAAAGGGAAGTAACACAATTACCAGTTTGAAATATAACTTAAAGAGTTATCTTTCTTGATACCATAACAGTATGGATATGACCTACCTATATCTGTTGGAACAGTTGTTAGTGTCCCTGTACATATTACAGTAAATGGCTTGTTAGGTAAAGGCTCTATCACATATTCTCCATCTTGCATCTTTTGTTCATGAACCAGTTTGTAATTACTTTTATGTGTCACCAGATCAGCACAAGACGGATTCAGTTCTGCAAAACAATCAGTTTATATTTATTCTTTCAATTCAAGACATTGTCAAATAGAGATATTATATTTCTAATAAGAATTGTTACCTACTGGCGATATACATGTATGTTAAAAGTTGTCTAGTAAATCACTTGTTTAAACTGTTGATTTTTGGATCAGCATTTGGAACTTGATTGAAGTTCACAAAATTAGGCCCAGGCCTTAATCAATTAGTGCTCTCTCATTTTCGTCCATAATTAAAGGCCTTTCCTCCTGAATAGTGAATACACTATTTATTTCATCTTGATAAAAAAAAGAAAGAAAAAAAAAGAAACACACATATAGTTCCAAAACAGCCAAGCTACAACATTTTGTTGTGGATCAGACAGAAATACAAATATTTGTAGACTCAAAATAAAATTGGTAATAGCATAAAAACTGGAACTATCTTTTATATATAGTAAGTTAAATTATTAAAACAAACCTCTACATTCCAATGGTCCTACTAATAGATTTCCCTCTCCATTTCCTTGGTTGTTATAATCAGTTACAGCAACCGGCAAGTGGTCTTTGTTTTTAAACATCCAGTTATCCGTCCTATATGTGTAAATGAAACTTATGATATAGATATATGAGCCACGTCATGACAAAACCAACATAATGGGTTTGCGACCAGCATGGATCCAGACCAGCCTGCACATCCGTGGAGTCTGATCAGGATCCATGCTGTTCGCTATCAGTTTCTCTACTTGTAATAGAGTTGGTAAGTGAACAGCATGGAACCTGATCAGACTGCACGGATGTGCAGGCTGGTCTGGATCCATGCTGGTCGCAAACCAACTATGTTGGTTTTGTCGTGACATGGCTCATATGTACTTAAGCTGTTATACACATATGTAAAGCTCTTGCATGCTGGGAAAATTGTCGTCTGCTAAAACTATTGTATGTTTAATTTTCTAATTACATCTGTTTTTCTCAGAATAATAAAACAAATTGCTTAAATTCGCTTTTCATCCAGTACAATTATTTTGAGTCACAAAGTCTATTTATGATATTTAGTGTTTAAACCAAAATTCTTGATTATTCAACTAAAATCTTTAATTTTGTATCTACTTAGTCAATGCATTGCCTATTTGTTGTGAGTCTTCAGTGTAATTTTAAAACACCATCTGGACGCAGACACAAAAAACCCACTCCAGCTTTGAAAAATTGAAAAACATAGAAGTGAAAAACAAAGGAGTATATAATACCTGTTTGTATTGTCCGCAATATCACAGTTACAGTTAAAACTGTCATCAGCACATGAGTTAGGCACATCAAGACCACATGCACATGAAGGGTTTTGTTCAACCTCACCCTGGAGATAGGCTAGAGCATCATTTGATTGTGAATAAAACTCCAATAATGCTTCACCATTATCAGGATCTGTCAAAATACCAACAACAAATTAATAACACATTTCATATCATAAAAGCTTTGAGCGAACAAAGCCACATAAAGTTGAACTGAAGTAAACTACATAAAATGTGAAAGGAATGTGTGCGTTTAATCAATGTCAGTCACAACTCACACAGTAAAACTTGAAAAAGTCATACTAGTGGTGGAAGAAATCAGGTGACCTATGGTGCATTACATCAGGCATGAGTGGGAACCAGAGTAGAATCACCAATCTTTCTCAATTATAAAAGGGCAATAACTCTTGCTAATGCATTTATAGGCCCCTATAGTTTACATCTGTTGGCCGTTTCCTGAAAAATAAATCTCCATAGTGGGCGTAAAGTAATGTATTACTTATTTCTGTGTCCATGGTTACATTAAATGTTCATTTACAAATCATTAGACCACAATGTTATTTGTGCATGTCTTTCATCGGCAATAATGAATATTTGTAAAAAACTTACTGTGAATTGGTGCGCTTTTGCAGCTGTACTCGACTCGTTGAACACATGTTGTTGACCGGTCTGTTAAAGCCTTAAGTTGTATGCTGTTAGCCCAAAGGTAGAAAAGTTCAAGTCTTCCAGAAATTGCGAACTAAAAATAAAGTTTTATGCCAACACTGAAAATAGTATACATTGCTTGCATGTACCATTTACCTTTACAATAGCAAAGTAATTAAATTTTTCTCAAAATGAAATTAGCAGTGTCTTTCAAAACGATTAAAATCAGTGACCTTTATCGGAGCCCAAGTGAATCTACCACACTGCGCTCTACAACAACATTGAAAGTGATATATGCCATTGCTACCTGACCTTGGACATAAAATGATGTTATCGTTTGTCCAAGATCTGACACATTTAACAGAGCCACTTTTTTCATAAAGAGACAAACTGCATTTTTCCGTTTCGCAAGAAAATGTATGTTTGTAAAACAGATTTCAAATCTATATTTTCAAATTAATGTGATAGCCCTATTGTAGTGTAAAATCAGAAAAAATATAGTTACCTCGGTCCTTTCTGAGTGGTATACAATTGTAACACCGTACCGTGGCCCCTCTTTAACCTCGCAGTATACTGGGAAAGGTGGTTGATTATCTGTGCAAATGTTCAAAAAATCAATTTAGTAATCAGATCATGAACCTGACTCTTTACCAAACTCCTACGCAGTGGCAGTCCCCTAGTGGCTCCACTTTGCTTTGCCAGAACAATTAACTCCTACGCGATGGTACCCTTTGCTTTGCATGAACAAACTCCTACGCAATGGTACCCTTTGCTTTGCTAGGACAAACTCCAACGCAATGGTACCATTTGCTTTGCTAGAACAAACTCCTACGCGATGGTACCCTTTGTTTTGCTAGAACAAACTCCTACACAATGGTACCCTTTGCTTTGCTAGAACAAACTCCTACGCGATGGTACCCTTTGTTTTGCTAGAACAAACTCCTACGCAATGGTATAAAAACACCTACGCAAAATGTTAACCTTTGCTTTGTACGAAATACTTTAGAACAAACTCCTACGCGATGATACCCTTTGTTTTGCTAGAACAAACTCCTACGCAATGGTACCCTTTGCTTTGCTAGAACAAACTCATAACAATGGTACTCTTTGCTTTGCTAGAACAAACTCCTATGAAATGGTATAGAACAATCTCCTATGCAATGGTACCCTTTGCTTTGCTATCCACACCGAAGCATGGTGAGTTTGACTACTAGTAATCGGTCACGTTTTACAATCAGCGTGAAAGGGCACGAAAAACTAAATTAACAAAGCCTGCTTTTATCAAAGATATTATTTTTATTTAATAGATCTACATTGAATCTGAACCCCACTTGTTAACACTGATTTAATTTACATGTTTATAAACTTGACATTATACCTATAAAAAGTCGTTTTAAATAAGATGTGGGCCTTATAACATATGGTGTGAAATAATCATAAAAAGCACACTTGTTTGAATCTTGGTTTTAGATATATTTATTTTGAAACAGTTTCGTTCAAATTGTCAGAAATTATTGAGATTACATTGTAGTTTTAAAAGCCTATCATGTGACTTTTAAACTAAGCAAATTAACTTTAAAAAAACACAACAAACCTCTATGTGAACTTTGAGGCCAGAATAACGTACATTTCTTGCAGTCAAAATATTCCGACATCCAATGCTAGATTTTGTGAAATTTGTTTTTGTTCTGGGTCAGAGTAGAGGGAAGATATTGCCAATACATAAAATAGCAACTCATACAATAAGTTAGACTATTAACTTACCTTTTGGGTTGTCGTAGTTAATGGCACCATCTGGATCAATCAAGTAAACATCGGACACCGCTGTTTCATCGTCCTCTACAAGATTTTGACACGTGCCTGGAATTCCTGTTGTTATAAAAATTAGTTATTTATAAATGGACTTAAACGTTCATAACAATGTAAGTTATAAATTTACATAAGCATATTTATTTAAGCATAACCACTGACAGTTAGGCCTATTTTTCTATCACCTTTTGTAATTTCTATCACCTTTTGTAAACCAGAAAGTATGAAAAAATATCAAATTTTTACATAATTCCCCCACTAAGAAAAATGGAAACTTTAAAGAACGACCAAAACAGCGAAATTTAAATGTTGCAGACTCCGTTTGCTTTCAGGTTGTGGTAATTGCAATTAAAATAGTATTTTAACTATCATACAAAAAAAAATATTGCCAAAAAAGCAATAGAATCAAAAGAAAGATCAGGTATTTGTCCATCGAGAAGCTTTTGGAACTATATCAAGACACCAAAAATAAAAAAAAAATCTTTGAAAAATAAGAATAAAAGCATTTTTATGACATAATGGGTCTTTCAATAACAGACGATGTTTTCCAGTTATCAAACCGCCGCCTGTTCAAAATATCAAGGAACTTTAAGTCTCTTTTGATCTAACAAGTTGTAATATACATTATATTTATACACGTATTGTGTATTGAATGATAATCATAAATCTTTGAAATCGAAAATGGAAATATCTACCACCCTGACTAATGTGATGAAAATCAGCTCCTTAATAAGGCTATGATACATGATCTGACCTTTGAAATTATTCATGATATTTAACCCTTGACCTGCTGGAACCAAAAGTGATAAACATTAAATTTTGCCACCAGTATAAAGCTAGGTCAGCCTGGTCATTGATGAAGTCTGACCATGCTCTATACTGTTGGCAGCTCAATTTTTGTATTTTAATATTGAAATCCCTTGAACTTGTTATGGATTGTTCCAAATTCAAAGCTGGACATTATAGAAATATGGTAGGTTAAGGGTTAAGGAAAAGTCGGTGAAAGGATTTTCTTACCGAACTCTCTTTGACTGCACATCAAGGCGCCTACGCTAAACTTTCCGGTGCTACCAGCGCCTACGTCATTCAGTGTTACTTTGGCAAATGGGAGGAAATCTTTGTTGGTTTCTTTCCCGCGATCTGTTCTGTTCTGTCCATCTTTTAAATCACAGTTGCACTTGTCGGCTTCTAGATAGAAATATAGAAAGATTTTTTGAGGGTTTGTTTTTACGTGGCATCAACACTGTGAAGGGCATATTGCGACCTTTCAGCTTTACTGATAGAGGAAAACCTCAAATGTCCCTGCGTGCAATATTTCAGGCACGCACGGGTCAATTCATGCCATTGCGGGGATTCAAGACCACAGCGGACAGGGACATGTGGTATGAAGTCAAGAACCTTACCACAAGGCCACGGACGCCCCAAATATAGAAAGTATATATGTACGTCTTTGTTTGAATCAGAGTATAATCCTGTGCATTATTGTTAATTTTCCTATAAACTTAGCTTTGGGTACATTATTCTATAACATATCATTTTCCTATTTAAAACCTTTTCAACTAGGCACAGCCCCTTTCTAAAAGTAATACTACAGTGGATATTGATATAGACTTACCGTTGGCACATACACTTAAAACACCACAGCCACATGATCCTGAAATGCCCATACCGCCTGGACCATGTTCCAGCCTTTGATCACGTAAATCAGTTACGTAACCTTTCCATTCACCGTCACGGAACAGGAATTGAGAATTCTGTATGAAAAACATAATTTTAGAATTAGCAAATCTTCTAGACAATTTCATATTTATATGAAAGACATTATAAAGGAAACAAAGAAAGCCTTGTAAAAAAACATTATGTGTAGCCAATAAAAATGTTATACAATCAAATGATATATATTTTTTTTATTTAAAACTGATTTTCAATTGATCTACTGTACTCTTCACTGCGCTACCTCTACTCTACCCCACTCCCTTTCCTTCTCCCACCTCACTCCACTTCACTTCACTCTACACCCACTTCACTCCATTTCACTCTACTCCCACTTTACTCTGTTTTCACTCTACTCTACTCCATCCAACTCCACTTCACTCTACTCCACTCCCACTCCACTCCACTTGTTATTTTCCGATATTACTATACTCCTCTCACCTACATACTCTTACCCTACCCATCCTACTCTACATAAATGCATTACATAGGAAAAGGAAATACTATGGTGAACATAAAAATACGATGACGAGGACTTTGAAAAAATTGCGTAGGTAGAAATATGCATCAGCTGTGCTCCAATAAAGATAAATTTAGAAAATGTGGCTTCATTTCCAAGAAACAACTCAATATGAAAACATCTGTCACCAAAAACATGCTTTTGGTGTTATGCTAGGACTTGACTGATTGCATCATCTGATTATTTTGATTGACAAATTTTTGTTTTGATTGGGTTTTACGTCTAACCGACACATATAGGTCATATGGCGACGTTCCAGCTTTACTGGTGTAGGAAGACCTCAGGTGCCCTTCCGTAAATTATGTCAGGCACGAACAGGCACCTGAGTAAACCCACCGACGTTCCGTAAGCTAGCTGGATAGTTTCCTCACATAAAAAAATAAATCCAAAGTCCCTGTCTGGATTCGAACCCACAGCGGTGAGGGTCAAGTGGTTTGAAGTCAACAACCTTAACCACTCGGCCCCGGACGCCCCATTTATTGTCAAGGAATGTTGATTGATTGTGTGGATCACGCGGCACTATCTATGCCGCTATCGCATTGGTTACACATGACAAACACTAGCAACTGTGCTTTACAGTATCTTACATGTACCTTACATACGGATACCTACATACGAAAAAACTGACCCATACATCATAAGACTAAGTGGGTTCAATCCGTCAGTATACATACATCTCAAAATTAAATAATTCAGAATAAAACGATGAACCTCTTGCCTTTCATATTAATGACAAATTCTTTGATGATATGTCAACATATATGGTGTATACAATAGAAAAACTGAACACCTTAAAGAATGCCCCCAAATTTGCCCAATTGCAATTGTTGCAGGATCAGTTTGACTTAGTCTGTTCGTTGACGGATGTGATAAGTGCAATTAAGTTACCCCCACCTTAGCACCGGCTTAAGCAGTAAACATTCAGCTCAACATTAAAACAGGAAAATGATGAAATGTTTAATATTCCTATAAATCTGCAAGCTTCAAAATATTCATGAATGATATAAATAATTCCGACTGAAAACAAACATTTATTTTTAACAGCATCCTTTTACTAATATCACTTGCGCTAAATCTCGTAATTTTGTTAAAAGATTTTGTGCTTTACAAACTTTTAATACCTTGCAGTCATACTGGCTGTCCTGGGAGCAAAATTTCGAATTTTCGATCAAAGCCATAATATGTTCATCGCTAGAAGTATATTTCAACTGGTGTGTCCCCTGCCCACTGAACGAGCTTGACCTAAAATAAAATTATGAACGATTAGAAAAAAAGAAGTATGGTCAACCTGTCATGCTTTTATATGGCCGACCTGAGGTATAAGTTTGTTTGGCCTGAAATAAGTTTGACCGGCCTGAAATATCAATATGGTCACTTTGTTTACTTTTTTTAAATCCCTGATTCAGTTGTTTTCTTTAAGCATTTAATTCATCAGGTTGTACTTGTTAAACCATTTTGCACATTACCCTGTCACGAAATTTGTTGTAAAAATATAAACAGATTATGTTTATACATTTTACATAACCCTATCAAGTCTACATTCCCATACATGTAACTTTGTTAAAACAGTTTGGTTAAGAATGCTACAAAAATGATACTGTCAAGTCACTCTAGGCATATCTACAATAAAATGTAGATAAAGTGATCAATCAGAAGCATTAAAATCAGCACAAATACGTGGAAATTGCAGACTCGGTTTGATTTACCCTTTAACTTTTATCACTGTCACGCCCACGTGTTTGTACGTTTCCATGTCACATAAAACGGGATACGGTTCAAGTCCACCATCTGGCCCATCAAAATCAACGAGAACAACCCCATCTTTATTGATTCTGTAGTTCCATTTGGCATCATTACAATCCAGTGGAATATCTAAACGAATTCAAAAGAACGAGAATTAGTGTGTATATCAATTTTGTATTTTATTTTCACACGCCTACACTTGTCTTATCTGTGATTTTGTCAATGCTTTTTTAAGTGATCTTGTGAGTTAATTGACAGATACTTACGGTAAAAGTTTTACTATAGCATTAGAATTTCTTTATTTTCCAATGATGTAACTATAATGGGACAATGATAATGCGTGTCACGACAAAACCAACATAATGGTTTGCGACCAGCATGGATCCAGACCAGCCTGCGCATCCGCGCAGTCTGATCAGGATCCATGCTGTTCGCTATCAGTTTCTCTACTTGCTATAGGGTTTGTAAGCGAACAACATGGATCCTGATCAGACTGCGCGGATGCGCAGGCTTGTCTGAATCCATGCTGGTCGCAAACCCATTATGTTGGTTTTGTCGTGACGCGGCTCATTTGTTACATAAGTTTCCCCATATTTCAGAGACTTATATCATATATAGTCTATCGAAATATTCCAATTCAACTGAAAATGCGTGAGTGGTTTTAATTGTAAAAGTATTTTCTCCCCATGGATATATACAAAAATGTCAAATTAAAAAATAACACTAAAACAAGAGTACACATGCGCGCGTTAGTTTATAACTATTTAGGGAAGAATAGAAGGAATGAAAGGTCTTTCTTGTTGACCCTTATTGCATTAAATATCTTAAACAAACTCGTTCATCTTTCAATTTGGAAAAACAACATTGATCATTTTAAGAGGAAAAAATAAAAAAAATGTCAAAACATCAGTATTGGCCGAGTAGCGGACAGTATAGACCATGATCAGACGGAATATCCCAGCTTGACTAGTCTCCTGGGTAAAATTTGCTGCCGCCGTTGAAGAGATATTGGTCGGAGGGCGTATACGTATGATCATCCGTCGCTTATAACTTAAATTTATTTTCATAACATGATTAAATCTATATTTACTTATTGTTTATTTTTTATTTATATACTTTATTTTTTATTCATATACGGGGATGATGTATGTAAAATAATTGTACATACCAAATGTTCTGTTGGCGCAAAAAATATCTCCTAGTTTTACAAGACTTCGACCTACTCCGGGTTCTGAGTGCACGTGCTGTATAGGCAGTAATGTTTTATTAGTTACTTTTCCCTCATCCTGTTTTGTTAAAGTGGTGCCGTCACAGTTACAGTTAGAACTCGCTGTATCACATACATCAAACTGTCCGCATAGACACTGAAGATAGAATATATGAGCCGCGTCACGACAAAACCAACAAAGTGTGTTTGCGACCAGCATGGATCCAGACCAGCCTGCGCATCCGCGCAGTCTGATCAGGATCCATGCTGTTCGCTTACAGACCCTATAACAAGTAATCAACTGATGGCGAACAGCATGGATCCTGATCAGACTGCACGGATGCACAGGCTGGTCTGGATCTATGTTGGTCGCATACCCACTATGTTGGTTTTGTCATGACGGCTCATAGGTAAAATGTACTAAAGGCATCTGACATCTTCTACCTTAACACGTTAACACAAGTAAACAGTGTCAATGTGAAATTAAAAAATCACAGCATAAAATAGTCAAAGTCAATCGGTATCTGATTCTACATTTTCATGTAATGATACATATACGCATTTGTTTGACTATTCAGTTAATATTGGAATATATCACTCTTGGAAATGTGACATCTCTGAAACAATATCAAATGAAAAAGGGTAATACATTATTTCTTCAAAATAAGATATGTTCAATAAATACAAGAAACAAACAGAATTTCTTACGTTGTTAGTTTCGGTTGAACCACCCCAGTTGTACTGAATATCCCCGTTCCCATCTTCCCACCAATCATTGAAGGCGTCCATAAACGGTGCGCCTTTGTAGCATTTGTTACTGTAAAATAAATGACAATAATACTTAAAGATAAAAAAAAACAACAACAAAAAAACAACAAAAAAAACAAAAAACAATTTTTTAGGCTGACACGTCAATAACGTTGCATATTTAAAATTTTATACAATATAGCATAGTAAGTTTTTCCTTTTATCCTTCAACAAATTAAAATCATACTTCTATATGATAATTACATGTACAACACTTAGTGTCATTACACGATTAACACAATTGATATATATATCCATACTCTGATCTTTTATTCAAATAACAATAGATTTAACATCAAACATTGACATGACTGTGCTCTTTTTTTAACAAAATGTTATCGTAAAATTCCCATTGTAATAGTAAGAATAACAGGTCAGGTATTTATGCATAAAGTGAGAGATGTTCACGAAGTAAGAATTAAAGTGCTCAGTGAGTAATGTTCAGGGTGTGATAAGTGTTCAGTGAGTAATTTTCATGGTATGAGAAGTGTAATGTTCATGGTATGAGAAGTGCTATGTGAGTAATGTTCAGTGAGTAATGTTCATGATGTGAGTAGTGAGTAATGCTCAGAGTGTGAGTAGCGCTCAGTGAGTAATGTTCAGGGTGTGAGAAGTGTTCAGGGAGTAATGTTCATGGTGTTCAGTGAGTAATGTTCAGGGTGTGAGAAGTGTTCAGGGAGTAATGTTCATGGTGTGAGTGGTGTTCAGTGAGTAATGTTCAGGGTGTGAGAAGTGTTCAGTGAGTAATGTTCATGGTGTGAGTAGTGTTCAGTGAGTAATATTCTGGTGTGAGTGGTGTTCATGGAGTAATGTTCAGGGTGTGAGTAGAGCTCAGTGAGTAATGTTCAGGGTGTGAGTAGTGCTAGTGAGTAATGTTCAGGGTGTGAAAAGTGCTTAATGAGTACTGCTCATGGTGTGAGAAGTGCTCAGTGAGTAATGTTCATGGTGTGAGAAGTGTTCTGGGAATATTGTTCAAGATGGGCTTAAGTGAGTAATGTACATGCACTGAGTAAAGTTACAATATTTGACCGTGCGACCTCATACACGCATCAAGGGCAATGTAAAGCAAGTGACCGCACGACCATATGTACGCATCACAATTGTCCCCTTTGGTTTAAGAGGATAAAAAAAGCCATTTCATAAAACCCCTTATATAATTAAGGGGTGTATATGAAAAATGACAATAAAATAATTAATCTGTCATTCCAAATACGGGCGAATTGCCGAAGAGGAAGACAGACTGTTTTAGCACAAACTTTAACACACGTTTTTCAGGGATTATATATATTGCTTAATTTATACCAAAATAATGACTTATAAATTTGAATATTAAATACTTGACGTGTTTCCATCTTTAACTGGCAAATGTTTAAAATAAACATTAAAAAGAACTGTATAATCACCTTGATATCATATTCCAACAATTATATCTGGAGGTTGTTAGAGTAAAAAGTCTATCTATCATTTATCACACATGGATACTTCATAAAATTAGAATAACATTTTCCGGAACTAAATGGAAACTAGCTATATTTAGCTGGTTAAGTTATACGCCACACAGTTAAAAGTATAAAGCTATATCTTATGAAATGCTTTTATGAAAATATTCAACAGTGAATTTATATTGCTTACATAATGTAATGGTCGGCTCTTGAATGATTTATTACATAGAATGGTTATATAAATAGATATGAGCCGTGTCATGACAAAACCAACGTATTGCGTTTGCGACCAGCATGGATCCAGACCAGCCTGCGCATCCGCGCAGTCTGATCAGGATCCATGCTGTTCGCTTACCAACTCTATACAAGTGGAGAAACTGACAGCGAACAGCATGGATCCTGATCAGACTGCGAGGATGCGCAGGCTGGTCTGGATCCATGCTGATCGCAAACGCATTATGTTGGTTTATTCATGGCGCGGCTCATATTGTAAATAGAAAAAAAAATGTTTTCGAACAAAATATTATGCTGGATTTTAAAAGTGTTAAGACAAGATACTACCATATTTCTTTTACACAACATTTTTGAATTATTTTATTTTTAATTCAAACAATATGTATTTGTAACAGATATTTACATAACTTTATACACTTTAACGAATTTTTGGTGAGTAAAGGCTTGCAAGTCAAAAGACAGTCACAATCTAAAAATCTTTTTCCACTCTAACGACATTCGCCTAGATTTTAAATTTAACTTCCAATAATTGTTTGTCTTTTAATTTGTGTCAATTTTCATATAACATGTACGAGTATATATGTCGTTTTTCGATTTCTAAGAAAGGCACATCTCCCGAAAATAATGCAATTTAATCTTAATAATTCTGAGGATTATTGTTAAGAGTTTATACACTAGTTAATTGTAAACATAGCATTTTAACCCCGAATTGATCAGGCAGCGAAGGGACAGACGAGAGGTAAATCCTTAGTTGATCGTCCCAACTGCTCCCCGCCCTTGCCCAGGGATTGGTCGGCCGAAGTTTCAGAAAAAGGGAAACTGTCAAACTTATGGCATATGTATATATATAGATATCGCCCAAAATACGAAGACGTATTGGCAATTATGCAATCGTATAAGTGGACCAGTTCATAAAATCTCCGGCCTTGATCGAATTGCCCTGCTTTGAGTATGGAACAATCTATTCGAGGTTTAAATGAGTTCAATATTATAATACTAAATTTGAGCTGCCAATTATATTGAGCAAGACCAGATAACTCGCTTGCGACGGCTGGCTTGGGTCTATATTGACTGTAAAAGCTCATAGCCTAGGAACGTTCAGTTCTGGCAGGTTTAGGGTTAATGTAATATCAAGGTTTGTCGGCTTACCTCTGTTTCTGGAAACAATACTGAGATGATTCTATAACAGCCTTAATTTCCTCAAGAGTTTGTTCATATCTGTATGTAATGTCCTTTGTGTTTCCTTTGATCCAGTTGTTGGGGTTTAAAATTTTCAGTTTCGTTATCCCAAAGTCAACTCTTAGTTCACAGTACACCTATTAAAAGCAAGAAAAAAGCGCTCAAGATAATGTTGTAAATTTGCATGGTATACACTAAAAACAAATGTTACTCAAGCACGTTTTCTCGTATATTTTCGTTGCGAATCTTTATCTTGAAATCAATTAATATATAAGGTATAACCAATTTTATTTTTAAAGTTCAAAATTAGACTTTAGAGTGGACACAAATAATAAGTAAAATTTTGGGAAAAGGGGCAATCTAGAGCAATAAGATAACAGACTCTGTTTGATTATGATCATGGCAATTGAAAGCACAGCACCCATTTTCACAAATAAGCACGGGCTCATGACTGGATTATATAAACGTCACAAATATCCAATAAAAAAACGACGTCACAAAAGTGCAAATAAAAACGCCGTGATTTCCGAATGGAAATCGATGTTACTTACGTACAGTGAAAGTGTTACACACTACTAATTTTTTTAGAATGATGCAGATTATTTTAGGAACATATTCAACACAAACTTACATTGATTGGTCCAAGAACGTCCGTACCATCAGGATCTATTGTATACCGGCCAGATGAGGCTTTCGGAAACATGATACGAACTTCGTGGCAGTTTATTGGTAATTCTATAATAGATAAATAGGCTAATAATACGGTGATTTTTAAAAGTACATTTGTTTTTTTATACTTTTGTTTATAATGAATTGTTAGATATTCCGCGGTATTTTGTATCTAGATGTGTTCAAACTTTTTATAAGTGTCTTCATAAACAGTTCTTAACTACATGATCGGTATTTTAACAAGTGTTTTAATTGTCGTCTGCATTTACTCGTATATGACGTCATCTATTGTAAACCCTCGATGTTTTTGAAGTTGAAAGTGATGTATATTTCAATCTTAATCCGAAATATGTTTTGTTTGTTTTATTTTATTCTGGTCATAAATAGACTTGTACTTCCATTTCCAAACAACGAAAGACCGATGGGAACGGAGATGAAATCGGGAATCGATGAAGTTAAAATGTCCCCAACGGTCTTTTGTTCTGAACAGCATTTACAATTCTCCGCTGCACGAAAACGTGACAATCTTTGAATATGTAGCGGAAATCATTTCAACTCTTGCCGAAAAACGATATATATGAAAACTGTCTTTACACAGAGTTGTGGAAATTTGAGACGATTTGATCTATTTTCACTTTAAGGGAATAAAAAGGTCATAATATAGAGCAGAATAATACCAAATAGTGCTTACTTTCACAAGATTTGCCGTCTCCCTTGTAGCCATTGAAACACGTGCAAACATATCCTCCAGGAGTATCCGTGCATTCCGCATATTCAGAACAATCATGTGTTCCGTCCTCACATTCATTTATGTCTACAAAGAAAACAATAAAATTTTATCGCCCTGTTAAAACAAACATTTTAAAGCAATGTTTGAAACAAAACCGACCGGACAAAAATTCATGTCAGAGAAATATTTTTTGACAGAACAAAAATTCATTTAAATTAAATATTAAAAAAAGATGAGCAAAAACATATTGTTTTAAGTATATTGTACGTGGAAGTTTATGACCTGTTTTAGATCGCTGACAACCAAACAGACGGCGACAAAGGTTTACCAGTTACTTTAGCGGCTTTCCTAATATTATAACAATTAAGTATATAGTTAAAATCCTAGGAAAGGCAAACTAATTCATGACACTTTAACAATTTACTATTAAAGTTATCAGCTAATTATAACAACAGGCCATAAAAGAGAGAAAAGCAAGCAAATGAGCAAAACTCAAGCCTTTTATAATCACAGCTTTCACGAAGAGAGGAATCTACATCTTGAGAAAAAGATAAAATAAAACATCAAACTTTTTTTTCAGTAATATGACTTACTTTGACAATTCTGTGGTGTATCAATGAAACCCGGTTTACATTTACAAAGCCCTGTAGGGATATCACAGACTTCAGTTCTTGTCTCGCAATGGTTGTCGTTTTCACATGAATCTGTTAAAAACAAAACAAAATATTAGGTTATACTCTTCTCGTTGGATTTTACGATAAATCGATAAATAAGAATAAAAGTAATTGGCATTTCTATTTGAAAGGCCCTGTTCGCCAGGAAAAAAGAATATCCGGTTTCATTCTTCGACTTAAATGGTAGATTTAACATAATTGGTTTCTTACTTTGCTAGACTACGACTATTCGGTTTCATACTTCAAATTTGTAAATTCAACATACTTGCTATAATACGAATATTCGGTTTCACACTTCGACAAAGTCCGAATAATCGGTTTAATTCTTCGATAAAACTCAGCAATACAGTGCGGCTGATAGAATACAATAACTTATAGAGACACGTATATACTAAGGACAAAATCAAAAGACCCGTGAAAACTTAGGACAAAATCAAAAGACCCGTGAAAACTTAGGAAAAAATCAAAATCAAAAGACCCGTGTAAACTTAGAACAAAATCAAAAGACCCGTGTAAACTTAGAACAAAATCAAAAGACCCGTGTAAACTGAGAACAAAATCAAAAGACCCGTGTAAACTTAAGACAAAGTCAAAAGACCCGTGTTAACTTAGAACAAAATCAAAAGACCCGTGTAAATTTAGGATAAAATCAAATAGGCCCGTGTAAACTTAGGACAAAATTAAAAGGTCCGCGTTTTTGCCGATTACCAAGAGATTGAAAATATATAAATATTGACATATTTTGACAATAAGTAAAAGCAGTAACTCACGACTACAGTGTGTCCCGTTTCCATAGAAATGTAGGTCAGTCCTGCATCTGCACACAAATGACCCCTCTGTGTTATTACAAGTTGCATTTTGATGACACAAGTTCATTAAACATTCGTCGATATCTGTGTATAGAAGAAATAAATACAATTGTTATATACGAGGAATACTAAAAAGTTCGTGGTCTATCATTTTTTACTCTGTGTATAAAACAAACTTGGTTGGTATGAAATGAAAGGGTGTCTTTATTTCTTTAAGTGAGCTTTACTTTTATCGTAAATTTTTATTTCCGTCACGAACTATTTGGAATTTAATTACCACGGAAACTCAACATCGGCTTACAAAACGTTTTAAAAAGATGTAGACCAATGTTGAATTAAATTGAACGGTCATTTAATGATGAAACCAAAGAACATCTAATAATAATAATTTTAATGACATATATCTAAAATTCGAACTTTTGAATACACTGTGAAAATAAGTGTTTAAGACAGTGATTGAAAACAAATTTTCTTTGGGCACGATATACATTGTAAACTAGAAATAACTTATGAAAAGTAACAATGTTTTCCTTGAGATATATTTATATATTTGATAGAAAAGTACTCAATATGTAATATTTAAGAGTTGAAACATTTTAAAACCTTTTAACAAGTAGAGAAACTGATAACTAACAGCATGGATCCAGATCAGACTGCGCGGATGCGCAAGTTGGTCTGGATCCATGCTGGTCACAAACGCATTATGTTGGTTTTGTCGTGACGCGGCTCATTTATATTCTTTCTTTTAAATTATTTACCTGTGCAGAGTAAATTTGGCTCTCCCTCGTAACCTTTGTTGCATTCACACATCTTTTCATCATTACAGAATGCATTAGTGTGGCAATCACTATCTTGCGTACATAGTTTTGCTGAAAAAAGTATAACATATGTCTAATAAGCAATTTGTATAGATTAAAGGAACTCCACTGAGGTCCAAATACCTAAAAACATGCCATTTGAAATTCTAACATAGATCATCTGGGTGCACTTAAGATATTTTTCTTTTCGGTGTACCAACACAATTAGGGTGTATGGCACCGAAACAGGAAATATGGTCTTGCGGTGTTACATACATCAAGGCAACACCAGGAGTCAAAACCACCTCACCTTCTGAAGCTTTGTGATGCATAGACTAAAGTAATCCGAATCAATTAAGTCCCTCTTACGATCACGAAAGGATAAAATGTGACTGCAATTCTAATTCATGAACCCTGAACCCCCCCCCCCCCCTTCGCAAGAAGACTAACACTTTAAAGGCCGTACATGGCGACTTTCTAACTTTAATGGTAGATGAAACTCTCTGTATAATAAATATATGATAAGGGAAATTGGAAAATAAACTTACGTCCACATCCTTGACCAGCTAGCAAACCATCCCCCTCATAACCTTCCTTGCACGTACAAGTGAAATTTGTTTCGTCTATGTCAGTACATATTGCATTAGGATGACATACAGTAAATGCATGTTGAGAACAGCCATAACTTTCCAAATCTTCCGCCTTAAGCTGACCAGACAATATACCTTTAATTAAAAAATGTTATACAGTGACGTTAGTGAATCAGCAATTGATTGATTAATTAATTGATTGATTGATTAATTGATTGATTGAGTGAGTGAGTGAGTGAGCGAGTGAGTGAGTGAGTGAGTGAGTGAGTGAGTGAGTGAGTGAGTGAGTGAGTGAGTGAATGAGTGAGGAAATTTGACCATATAAGACCATTCATCGTCAATATTTTTTTTTAACCTTTACGGATTAAAAAAGATCTATCAAAAAGTTATAGGATACTATTTTATCAACAAAATGTATTTAATTATCATAAAGTTTGTTATTTCCATTACGTTAATTTTTTTAAATGTAGAAATAAGTGAAAAGACTGTTTTATTACGCTATTTAATACAATAAAATATTTTTAAAAATGATCATATTTATTGACCTTAATTGTATATTTAATGAAAAAAACAAATTTCATCCCAAATATTAAAATTTCCATTAGAATGACAATTTCTACTATGCATACAGCTCTGTGATGTACTCATAATTTTAACAAATAAAACTCCGTTTAGGATGATATAATGGTGATTATTCATTTTTGTTGCATCAAATAAAGACTTGTAAAATTATTTTCATTGTTATAATTTTATCCAAAACACGACGTTTCCGCTCTTGTTACATCCATACGCAAGCGCATACGCTCCTAAAAATAATCGGCATATTGCTTATATTGAAAACAATAATGATATTGAAGACGAGTACAATTAAATTTTGATCTGTGTTTTTGCCATTGTAGTTATATATCATATAAAAGAACGAAAAAGTACATAAAAAGACAAAGAATTTCAAAATGTTTTTTTTTTTTTCATAAAATATAGAAATTTAAGTTTAAACAAAAAGCAAAAATTATTTTTAATAAATACGCGTAATCAAAAGTCTACAGTGTATGATAATTCAATATGAGTCTCAATCTAATTTCAGACTGTAAAAAAATCCAATTCAGCCAGTGAATATGATAGTACACCCAGTGAATATGATTTTATAAAAAGTTGTGTTGACTACTATTTGGACCAATGAGAATGTAACTATATTAAGATCATATAATAAAACTTCGTCATGCACTCACGAGAGCACATAACCCGAGTATCACATTATTAAGCAACCACTCAATTTCTTAAACAAAAAAAACTGACGTTTCAGTGAGAAAGAACAGCATTTTGTTTGTTTATGTTGTTGGATTGTCTAGATTTTTTCTACAGTGTATATGCAAATGAAATAAACAAGAATCAGCCTTTTGATACTGTAAGTACGATTCTCTTTCAAGTCAAACAATAAAAGCCGTAATTGTAATTATCTAAAAGGACGAAAATTTCCAACCGTCAATCAATGCACCGCAACAATAGCATCAATGCTCCCTATCAAGCTGTGACAAGACACAATATTCTGACACCAAGAGGCGTTCAAATTGAGCGCATATGTTACATGCCCCAATGATTGTTTTGCTTAGCTCCTATTGTAATTCTAACAAGTAATGAAATACCATTGGGATAAAGAAATAGCCTCATGCCAGGCGTTCTTTTATGCAATAGATTCTTTATCAGCTTTCGTTTAAAGTCTTTATTTGATAAACAACACATGTTACAAATCATCAGATAAAAGCATACACAGGACTGGTCTTCGTGAAAATGTAAATCCTATATTGCGTGGTTTGGTTTTTTTAGTAATCGAAAACTCATTGTCTTATATATATTATTTGTATTTTTAAATGATGAAAAAGAAACATTTTTTTAAAAAGTCGTAGATTACAAAATCTGTGGGCGGTGATTATGTTTGTAAAGATTGATCTGTCTTAGGTTAAACAACCGGCCTTGACCATATATTAGTTGTCATAGAGTTTCAACTTCAATCAATAGCCTCATCTGGCACGATTGTTCATTAAAACTACTAAAAGATTGAGCCAATTTTGTGGCTTCAAGATTGTCAAAAAGCTTTAACATTAATGATGAAAAAAATATCTGTCCAGAAGCAAGAGTTACTAGCAAACGCATACTTTTTTCGTTTAAATTGACATTATGACCTTTTTACGCTTATAATGACTTCTTTTCATAGTTGTCTTGGCATTCTAAATGGATGCCGTGATGGCGTATCGGAAATGTTACCTGATACGTTGTTATCTAACGAAAAACATGTTTTGATCTTATCAAAATGTTTTTGTTCCGTTTTGACATAGGAGAACTTGCTTTCTTGTCTTGAAAATCACGTTATCTTTTAGTCATAATTACGTGAACCGTCTTTACAAAAGGTGTTGTTTGTTATTTAAAGCACCTTAATTATAGATGTGAACAGAATAGATTGTACACTCACCGTATATTCATCTGTAATTTGATAAATGTAAGCGATTATTTCATGTATGCACCACCGAATAATAAGTAAATTAACAAATTTGGAAATCAGTAAGATGTAGCATGACTTTAATCAACAAATACAGAAATAATAAACCTTAAAAAACTATCAAATATTATATAGCTTAATTCTCTTTAACCAACACAATTCACTGATTGTCCTAACCAAAATTATGTTACAGAAACATTGCTCTTAAATGTTTTATATTTCGATAGGTCTGTAAAATTCCATGGCATTTTTATTTATTATAACTAGAAAAAAAGAAGTAAATGTTCCATATGCAAAAGTCTTTTACTGTTTGATAACCTTTTTTAAAAAAAATTATGCCCCGTATTCAATGTTGAAATATTGTGGGGATGCTGTTAGGGAACTTTCTTGAACTTCAGTATCATATTTTGCAGTTGATTTAGCGTGGTAGTCTGCATATATTTCACACTGGCGTCTTGATAAACGAATTAGTACATTTATATTTTTTTAAATAATCATCATATACCCCTTTATGAACAAAATTAAGCTTCAACTAATATAGTTGATAAATTTTCCACAACTGTTATCAAAGTAGACATATTTTCCATTTTATTTAGTTTTCTCGTTAAGTGCAACGCATTTTTTTACTTTGGGACCACATGCCGCTTTTCATGGAGTGGTCCTTACGTGTCACATTGAAGGTTCTATGAAAACCGCTATATGAACATATCTGCGAATGTTTCAAAATTCAAAATGTCGAATTCTGCCTAACCCGGTGATAGTGGGCTGGTAGTTGCAATAACCATTACAGTCCATAGATAGACTCAAACAAACTGAGCCTGCAACATTTTCAATTTTGACATGTTTGTCATTTCTTTCGGGATTCATTTTTTTCATTTTACAAATTTCGTTTCAAAGGATTAAAATAATCTTGAATGAAGACATATTCATCAAATCAAATCACTAGATTGCTGTAGGTTACTTTAATGTTAATGAAGATTGTGATATGTAACAGACAAGAGAAAATCATTTAATAAATTTAACATATACAAATATATACGACAATGCACTTGTGTTTTTAAAAAATCTCGAAAAGGGAGATCACTCTAGAGCAATGAAAACAAATACAAATGAATGAAAATCGAATTCTCGGTTTTCCTAATGCTGATGAAATAGGCATCACTGGAGACATAATCATATAATACTGGAATATTGGCCCTTTTATTTATCTATAGCTATTTTTTTCTCTCAACCTTTAACGTTTTAATGCGGAAGAAAGCAAGGCGCTGCAATTTCACCCCATTTATTTATTTATCTATTTATCTATCTATCTATCGACGAATCAGGCAATATTTCATTTGCAGAAATATTTACTCCTGTAGAGACAGTTTGAAGGTGTTCATTGCATTATCTGGGACGGAATACAACCTTTTACAAATTTTACAAAGGTGCTGACAACCTAAATTGTTCTTAAGATTACCAAATTTCTATTGTACAGCTAGCGCTAACATTGAAAAATGGGATTCCTCAAGGAACGCAGAAAACAGCAAAATTGAAAATGTTGCAGGCTCGGTTAATGTACAGAAGTGGTAAGTGCAAGCTATAGTTCACAGTCTCGTAACACCGGATTAAGTAGTAGGAAATTGGTAAAATTTCTAAATATCAATTAATTTAAATTTTGGCATTATAATCAAATGTCATAAAATTACAGAACAATAATCCTTTCATTTTACGATAGGATAAAAATAATATACAGGTTTTAGTCTACAGTCATGTTAATATTTATATTCACTCATTATTGTAAAAATATACATTATATATTCAGTATCTGGACAGACTCAGTAGAGTAGAAAAAACAACCGAAAAACACCACCGGCTTAAGCATTTAAGAATGAAATGGTAATATTTTGAATTAAGAAAAACCTGTATATGTGTTCATATGGAATATTGTGCAATTACATGTACATAACACACGGCGTATGGACCTCAAGTTAAATAATGTGTATGACCTAAACAAGAAATATGCAAACTAAATAAAATTGAACTTTGAATGGTGAATGGATGAGTTCAATTTGGAAGATGTACAAGTCCATTTCAGATAGTTAATTTGTTAAGGGTAAAGGTCCGCAAAAATACCATCTCTTATTGACAGATGGCGATTTTCAATCATTTTCTTTCTTTATTTTTACTGCTGTCGAGTGATCTCCCCTGCATAGCATTTTCTTTAAATTGCAAGACATTAAAAATACATGTAATTTGATGCACATGGCTTTTTTGTTAAATGCATGTATGTTTATTTACAATTTTAATGACATAACATATCTTATACATAAGAATTATAAGCAATGTCACTGTATTAATGGAATTGGCCTATATTTTCTTCTTACATTGACTATTTTTTGCCAAAATGCGAAGCCATTTCCTCGTGACAACTTTCCCGGTCAATTTATGTTATAATTGGAATTAAATGAGATTTTCCCGTATGTGAAGTGCGGCCTAAAGTTCACGAAAATGCATATTGTATATAATGTCTCGACATGGAATTGCACGACCGTGCATATATTTTGGGATGACGTCGTTTTCGTTATACTTCGTTGTACTATTGGCGCGTCAATACCGTTCTTATTTTGAATCTATGTGATATAATATATTCGTGTAGATTCAATACTAAACTTTTTGAACTCGTATAAAACAATATATTGCTTGCCAGAGGCTGGCATAATATCATTTTATTCAACTCGTTCAATACATTTAGTATTAAACCAACACTCATTCAATATCCTCAATAAAACACACAGTAAATTAAATACATGTATGTATGTATGATAATTATTATTATATATAATGTGAATGCCAGACGAAATCAATGCTGCAAACGTTTAGCCCATGTTATATAATGAGAGCAGCTACCGTAACAAATAAATACAAAAACAACATTTCCAGTCTTTTACATGAATACAATCATTTTCCATTTGGACACAGAAATACAGCTCAGTAGGTGTCCAGTGGCACATATTTTTTGCCGCCGTAAAATCCCGATACAGCTTAATGTGATTACAAAATTTGTCTTACCCAGCAAAAGCACCACTCCGATTTGATATAAATGTCTCATTGCCGCTGTTGCAGCGTTCCGGTCTTAGTCTTATTGTCAGCTGTGAAATCTGAAATCGAAAACAAACAAATTGTAAGATGAAAAAAAAACAACAAAAAAAAACGAAACTTGAAATAGAAAAAAAAAATTGTATGATAGAAAAAAACTGAAACCCTAAAAAGTTTCTAACATAGCAAAATTGAAAATGTTTTAGATACGGTTTGTCCATGAATGGCAGTGATAAATGCAATCTACCTACTGTCTATGTCCCACCCCATCACCGGTTTAATAAGTTTGACAGTTTAAATTAACAAGATTGTTCTTGACTTATGTAGGACCAGTCCTGCTTCAGAATTTCATACCCATTTGACAATGCTTTCAAAACATCTATGAAATCCGTAGATGTAAAATAAGCTGTACACAAATAAGTACTTTTTAAAAGTTGTGATTCCTTTTTCTGATGAATTGATTGTTTGTTGCACTTACCTCTCTTTGTCGTTTAAATCATTTGTAGAAGGAATATTTTTCAACTTGTGATATTCATTTGTTATCAAATATCTGGTGCATAAACATGTTATTAAATAGAAATAAAATACAAGAATATATTATGTAACATATTATTGCTGAGTTTTGAGGTTGGCGCACAGTTATATATGTGTAATTGCTGCTTTGCAGACTTGACAGTTTAATACAAAATTCATATACGTTCTATTCACTGTAGCGCCTAAAACGTTCGTTTGCCTTCTATAGAGACAAATCAATTTCTATAGTTTGATAGGTGAAATAGATTCTTTTTTTATTTTTACGATGATACAATGACATCAATTTGATAAGCTAGCCTGCGGCAAATATCTTGAATTATTCATCCAGATGTCATGATTGAAATCTTTAGGATTATTGATGACAAAACTCTCAGCGAATTTTCACTACATTTAAAACATATATCGGAGTGAAATATAGCAATGATTTGTTTACAGCTAGAAGAAAAGATATTTTAATCTCTTGTTGAGTTAACCAATTTATAAGAAAATAAAGCGTATTGAAAATGAGTTAAAACGTTAAAGAAATACATCATTATTTACATTCGATGAAAAGAAAATGTTTTATGCAAGGTGATCCTGGATTTACAAATTAAGAACAATAATACTAAAATTAACTAGATTAGACCATTGTCTTACCCCAGTATAAAAATGTATAAGAACTTTTAAACATGTTTTGACACATCTTACGTTATACACGAGAAGTGATATTCTTAAAGTGTATACAGAGATAAAATTGGTGGCTATAGTTTACAAAATTACTGTTTGAATTTTGAAACATAATGCTTCCAAGATACTTGTATAAAAAGAAATATGTTTGTATAGTTTTAAGAGCCAAAAGCATATGCATGAAATCATTGCTTGAAGGTCGACACTCTATTTACATTAACAATATAATATTTTATTCTGATGCAAGAAATTAAAATCGTATGTTTTAAGGCTTTTTTGGAGCTCAGCGGAGTTTCTTTAACTAACAATAACAAACGTTCTTGATAACAGAATGTACTAACATATTTCAAAGAGATGTTGATGATTATGAAAGTGCTATTGAAAGCATCACATGGTCATATTTTTCAACCAAACGTTATTCACAGCTACTGTAAAACTGCCATTCATTTGTGTTTCAGGGATTCCCTTTGCAACTAGGAGAGCTGTCTAAAAGTTTCCATTGTAATCTTATCACTGGTTATAGTTGATCCACTCAAATACCTTCTTGTCACACATGGTTACAAGAACGTTTACATATGCCATATACATAAAATAGTTTAATATCATCCCTAGGGCTATATATGAATATTATTGTTTACAGCAAAAGTACATCCTTGTTTGTTTATTTTCCGATGTTATATATTTTATACAATATGTTTCAAATCTAACACGTGTGACGATTTCCGGGAAATTTTCAAGATCTTTAAATCACTGTTCTGTTTAAAACTTTGACATTTCTATTATATAGGAAATTATTTGACACAAAATTTTTTGATTAATTAATAGAATATTTTTGCTGGACCAAACCTAAAACTGTTAATTTTTTTATTACATCTACAAAAGTGTAAATCATTATTATTGACGGAGTACAAGATGTGCAAGCAGTTAAACAGCATTGCAGTTAGAGTTAAGTTTAATAATATTCTATTGTGTTTGTATTTTTCTTCTTTGCAAAACCGATACAATTTCATATCAATAACATATTCATACATAAGACAAGCGATTAAAGAAGAATACGTTTACAATTTTAATATTGAAATAATTTCAAAAATAAAATAATAATAATTATCAATTCATAGTAATAACGTTGTAGTTGTTAATTAAAAAGCGAAAATGTCGGACCGTTAAAACCTTTACTTTTTCCGAATTAATTTTATTCGTATAAAATTATGCCTTGGAAAAACGAATAAATAGATTTGTCTGTTTATTTTTAGCGTCACTTTCTAATCAAAATTGATCATAATTAGTGGATGGGCCATTCCCATAAAAAAATAAATCCAAGAAATGATCGGCAGGCTTTGCAAATGATACATTGCCTTTTATATTAATTATAAAAAATACAATGGCGTATGTTATTATGAGATTTCAACTAGAACAAATTGAGCGCATATCACTTCTATAATCTAAGCTAATATATGAATCAAGGGAAAATAATGATAAAACTTATGATGGAAGCAAAAGTGGAAAAACACAAGAATATTGTATGTAATGTCATTTCTTTAGAAAACATAAATAGAGCAACTATAGTAGGTAGACAAGGGTAAATCTGCGTTAAGCTATGTACATTATTCTTCTTACATTTTTTTATTAAGAAACCGTGCCTCTCTATAATACTAAATATTTAAAAACTTAAGATTAGAAAATGATTTAATTCTTGTTAGAGGGTTTTAGATATTATGATTACCAACGAACTTTATGTTATTTTGTTTAATTAATGACCATAACATATGATGCCTTTATGCTTTTATTTCATACGATATAATTTTATATAATATAATAAAAAAATTCACATTACCTCTTATAAGCCCGTTGCGAAAATATTCATTAAACTAACGAATCTCAATCTACTGTAGCTTATATATTCTTGTTATTAAAGTGAAAAATACACTCAGCAATTTATGTTATGTTTAAATACTTCTTGCCAAAGAAATGTTTCGATTTCTTCACCGCAACATATGTTAAGCAGTGAAAAAAAAAACATGATGACGTTTTGATAACGCTTTAAAGGTTAAATGACTTGACGCAAAAAATATATCAGAATACGCGCCTTAAAGAACACCTCTTTAGTTTCTTTGATTGTCAATTCTTCCCTTGTAATTTTTAAAAGTCGATTTTACAAAAGCCGATGAAAGGGAGAGTGTTTGGGAATAAAGCGGAAGAAGGCATCAATCATCTCCTGTCCATTTACAGATACAATTTAACCAAAGTCAACGATTTCAGTCTTTTGTCCACAATTTCATATTTTACAGACGTTTTCGTTGTCATCAACGTTGCATAGATATACGTTTGCTTTTGTTAATTTCTAAGAATACTCATTGGTTCCCATCAAAACTGTTTACCATGATTTTGGCGGTATTATATGTATGAGACTGTACCTTTTTACGAAACGTATAATATGATAACAAATGCTCATTTGCACTTCTTCAGATTTATGCACGAAGAAAACTGCACGTTATTTTCGTACATCTACATTCCACGTTATTATGTCATTCGCCTTGTATGTTCAAGCTTAACCCGAGAAAACTCGTGCATTTTCATATCTTAGTGGTATAATAAAAGGGTGCTTAAATAAAAAAAAATATAAAAAAATAAAAGTTAAAAAACAAACAAAACAAATCGAGAATTGTTTTTGCTTCTAGAATTATAATTTCGTGTGTGTGTTTTATATTTACTCATTCATCCATTTTGCATTTCATGAGAATATGTTTCTATAGAAGGCAAGAAAACCTTGTAACTGATAAGTATTTGAGCCGCGTCAACCAACATAATGGGTTTGTGACCAGCATGGATCCAACCCAGCCTGCGCATACGCGCAGTCTGATCAGGATCCATGCTGTTCGCTATCAGTTTCTTTTATTGTAATAGAGTTGTTAAGCGAACAGCATGGATCATGATCAGACTGCGCGGATGCGCAGGCTGGTCTGGATCCATGCTGGTCGCAAACACACTATGTTGGTTTTGTCATGACACGGCTCAATTTTATTACTTGCAAATGGCTTATAACATGTAAATAAAGTTTTATTCAGATATGCAGAATTTACCGATAACAAAACTGATGTGTAATTATTGCAACATGACCGTGGTATATATGACAAATTGTGCTTTTATGGCAAATGATACAAAACACATGAACTACAAGCAAAACTAAACGGGGAAAACCTTTAGCTCATTCAGTTATTATTATATTTTAGTAAAATCATTTGGAAACTGAAAAGCCGCAAAAAAATATATATATAAAAGAATAGAACAATAACCTACCCCGTGCTAACTCCGGGCGCCAACTGAAAGAGGTACTCTAACTGTGTGAGCACTAATCGACAATTTGTATTAACAGGTAGCGCGTCATATGATATATTTAGTTACCATAACGATAAGCAGCTGTGACAAGGTACTTCATACCCAGATTTATTTCTAATAGAATGGCTCGCTAAGTAAATATATCTTCAGATTAAGTTACATCGGGACACCTAGAGCGCGTTTCTTGTGCGTGCCAGGTGTGTGCGTAGGAAACAGACAGGACATGACAAACAATCAGGAAGTTCTTTTGAGTGATGTTATAAGTACATCAAACAACTGTTCAAGAGTGCAAACAAACAAGCGATGAAACAAGAGTCTTGAATCAATGATTTTGATATCGCAAAAGTCATATTTTTTTCTGCACCAACAGCTGAAAATACCACCTTGTGGTGTCCTTGAACAACTAGAGATGCCCACTTTTGCACAACATGAGCTGCAAGAACGAATTGTTAAAGAAACAATTAAAAAGAAACTTGAAAAAATACCTAGATTTATACAATGGCAATTGCATTTCAATATATTCTCTATTCTCTTTCTCTGGATAATGAATCAGTGCAACGAAATATGAATTTGCTAAAACATATAGCAAACTGATTCATAAAAAATAAATATGTATGTACACAAATAAAACAATTTTATTCAATTTAGATATAACATCAGTGTTCAGTATGATAAAAATATCGGCTAAATCTGCAATGAAACATTTGGGGACAATATCATTATTAGATATGTTAACGTTCCCGAAATAGCGTAATTGCAATTTTATTCCAAATGTGTGATATATCGTTATTATTTCAAAATATAGCAAGTATCACTTTTCAAAATATCGATTTTACTATTATGTTTCAATATAATATGTGTAAAGCTTGCTCATACAAGCTAAGTTAATACGCACAAAGCATTCTGTAATAATATACCCTTTAATGGCATATTGCTCGTAAATAAGGCGGAAATGTAATTTTACACGCAAGTCTCGGAATTGGCAATTAATTCAAAATGTCGATTCATAATGCAAAATGTTTTGGTCCAGAATAGGCGTATCATATTTCAAACAATCAGTCATATGTGTCGTTTGATAGCTGGGAAGTTGCAATAATTAATTTATACACGAACCATTTTGATATAAGATATGTTTTGAAATAATATAAAACCTACCCTCGAAACAGCACGGTTGCATTGAAAGAAAGCACTACAGACAGCAATATTTTGTAATCAAATATTTACGGAAAATAACTGTATATTAAACAGAATTATACATATACATAATCAAATTACAGTCATAATTTAGCCATAAAATACGTATATAATAGATTATTTATGATATCAAAATGGCACATCAATGGATAAATTTCATCTGTGTTTTGGTTGGTTTAGACGTTCTTGAAAGTTAACTTATACAACGTTGATGTTGGAAACATGATATTGATAGATATATCTACTTAGATTCAAGGACATTTTTATAATGATTGTTTGCTTACTTTATTGTCTTATTGTCCCCAATGTATTATTATTTTTTGCCAATTTACCGCACCTATCAAAATATAGATGTGTAAACTCTATGCTTTTTTGCTTTGTTTTATACCTTTTTCAAATTCACGTTAATTACAAAAAGCACAATCAAGGTTTCAGGTTATAATATATTTAAGTTGCATCAAAAATGGAAACATTGGTGATATGTGTAAAAAAAAACGATTTTTATCAAACCATTTAACAGCTGTGCTTTTTCAGATCTGTTATACTCAATATATAGACGATGAAATGCGTTGTAAACATTTAAATTCGTTGAATTACCTTAAAAAATATTAAAACATGTGTTGTTAAACAAAACACTGAAAATAAAAATAGCTTTAATTGCTCAAATGAAAGTTGATACAGTCATATTTACCCTTGACATAAATGATCTTTTTGTTGGCAATATACTTGTACAATTTCCTAAATTGATAGCGAAATACAAAATTATACCGGGGGATTGCTGTTATGCGGTTTACATATCTTTCATACCATATCAATGGATTCGCACCAATTCGTCAAGATGTCTGTCAAGCATTAGTCGAAGAAATTGTGTACATATTTTTCTTTTCAAATATTCTTTTCTTTTTTCTTTTTGATAAAATAAAAGCTGACAAGAACAACAAAAAATCAGCATCTGGGAAAATAGCAAACACTTCTGACTTTCATTTTTGGAAAAATGTGTAAATCTTTGCTTTTTCTGTTGTGGTATCAGTTTAACTCGAAGAAACTCACGCTATTACATAACAGAAAGAGAAGTTTTGAAAAAAAAAATCTTTTACTTACAAGTAACAAAATATTCAAAACTGGTCTATAATAAGGTCATTTATTTATTAATATTTTATACGGTAGTCCAGGGGCAAAGTCATTGGTTCAAGTGAATAAGAATTAATTGAAACTGTACACTATTACCTATGTAAACGGAACATGTGTTTGTGTGTTTCATTGTGGTTCTTTACATGTAAAATGAAATAAACTTGTTAATTGGTGAAAAGTAAATAATAAGTCAAGTGAAATCAAGTGTTTCCTAACAACCTTTATCAAAATATTAATATTATGCATTTCAAACAAGACAGCTATAGAATATCGAGAATCCAATAAACTGAAAAAATATGTAAATTAAGAGGTTAAATAGAGGATATTTGTTTGTTTTGCATGTAAGATTGAAATATAATTCCACTGAGTGAACACCAGATGCAATATTTTCACGAGTGGCGTAGCCACGAATGAAAATATAATAGCTGGTGTTCACGAATGAAATATATTTCAATCTTATATGTAAAACAAATAAATTTTCTTTTTATTTCATGCGTTTTAAGTAATTTAAGTAATTTTTACTGATTTTACCGTGTAACGTCGCGCATTCTCCTTTGTGACGTCTTAACATCATGACGTCACATCAACAAGTTTGAAATATAGTTCTGTTAAATTTCTCTAATTTTGTTACATTTTTAACATAATGTATGGTGACATCGACGTTCTTTTCCGAAAGAAGCAAAATTTACGCATGACGGCATTTATTTTTGCCTGTTATTCCATTCAGTTTTGATTTTCTTTTCACCTGCATTCAGATATAGTCCGGCTACAGTGAAAATTATATTTTATAAATTTCACTAGTGGTTTATCAGAATATAATCATCTAATATATTACAATAAAACACTGGAAAGCATGAAATAATTAATTGTAATGCCGTTTTTTTAACATTCTTCCGTAAATTGTTAAACGTTGTACACTCATTTGAAACACGTTTATCCCTTTTCTATATGTAAATAAATTTAAATTGGCCTTATGTATTTTCAAGCTATTTAATGCCAAATAAAGATTATGTTATGTTATGATATGTTATGTTATATGTGTCTTGCAAAGACACAAATTTCGTCTTGCCAAGTAAATATGTAAAGGGTGCTATTTATTTTTGTCTGTGGAGACTTGCAATACAAAGTATGAGAAAAGTTATATAGTATAAGTATGCGAGGCGCTTTGACCTTATAAAACTAGAGAAGAAAATTAGTCATTTCGTTATCATGTCGATAATAACGATATTTTCTTATTAGTTTGCGCATGCGCAAGAAAATGAGACGCTCTGACCTCATAAATCTTCCGTAAAAAAACTGATTTCTGTATATTAACATTATTAATTATCGTTTCAATATTCATGTTCTCTATCTGTCAAAGATAAAACGTTTTTTGTCAATATGACAAAGGCTTGCAAAGGGCAACATGTGCATGTCATGCGTTCATGGACAAAAGATAATAAATGTACTTATTTGACCTAATTAACGTAAAATATACCCATTTATTTGTATGTCTAAGGTTTGCAAGAAAATCAAAACGAGTCATGCAATTTTGACAAAATGCTGGTGCTGATCTGATAATTCTACAAGTGTATACTACATTTCAGGCATACACTTTATTTAATCAACATGGCTTATTTTACAAATAAATCAAAGCACTGACGTTACTGGAAACTTTATTTTCACTTACAGTAAATACATTCACACATTATAGAATAGACTGAAAAGTACGACCGCACGCTTAGCTCAATAAGAAGAACATCGGTTTTGTAACCCTGGGGGTCACCGGTTCGATCCTCGGCTGGGCGTCACATCTCCGTGACAATTGATCTCGGACGTTTAGCCTTCTGGTCATTTGTCTCTCACCGCTGATTTAGAAATTATGTCGGATTTGTAGTTAGTCACTTGCAGAGAATTTAGTAATAAGTGGTTAGTTATCCAGTTAAGCCGGTTAGGTGGATTTGGACATATTGGTTTTACTTATTGAAGGTACAAATTTTCCGAGATGCTCAGAAAATGCATTTATCACATAAATCGCGGCGCAGGAGTGTAATAAAGCCATTTAATAAAAACGATATTACACTAGTGTAATAACACTTTGACGTGACGTCATTTGCGCTATATAGAAACATAGCGTTAAAGCGCGCCAATGTTAGCGTTACACCAAAGGCGCGTCATTGAAAAATTACTCATTTTTACAGTTTACTGTTCTTATTTTATATATGTGATAAATAGAATATTATATTAGTGTAGTTTCAATACTAAATTTATTGAACTCGTTGAATAAAACAATATTATGCTCGCCAGAGGCTCGCATAATAATTATGTTTTTATTCAACTCGTTCAATAAATTTAGTATTAAACTACACTCATTCAATATCCTCTATTTATCACATAAACCGCGGCGCAGGAGTGTAATAAAGCCATTTAATAAAAACGATATTACATAGAGGATATTTGTTTGTTTTGCATGTAAGATTGAAATATAATTTCACTGAGTGAACACCAGATGCAATATTTTGAAAATATAGTGAAAATATAAAAGCTGATGTTCACGATTGAAATATATTTCAATTTTATATGTAAAACAAATAAATTTTCTTTTTATTTTATGCTTTTTAAGTGATTTAAGTATTTTTTTTACTGATTTTGCCGCGTAACGTCGCGCATTTTCCTTTGTGACGTCATTTTATCATGACGTCACATCATAAGTTTTGAAATA